CAAAAAGTTGAGCTCCATGGATATTGATAAAGCCTCATTATTACATGATAGGTCATGTGTATTTAACATAGTTATAGTTTATAACTTAAATATTTTAAGAAGACCATGCAGTCAAGGTAAACTTATTTTCATGAGATCTTAAACCATTTACTGCATTTATTAAATCAAAAAGGCTTTTATTTGATACTAACTATTTTTAGCCCATTATCATCCCTTTCATTATTAATTGACGAATTTAATCAGACTTGGTTTTTGCATATCATCCGAGATCAAATAAATATAAAAATGAGGAAAAATTCTTGACATTTTTAAATGATGATTTGATCGTTGACATCATTGGAAGCTTCATCTTACGAAATTAGATATTATCACGAATTCCAAGTGTCAATGTCCTTCAAGTTGACTAACGCCTTCGTCAGCTTTCAACCAATCATAAACATAGTTCTGTCAAAATCTCCCATCTTCTCTCTCATCCAATCGACGTACATTCCCCACGGCGCCGTCCTCCTCCCACCGCCGCCGGCCCCATACGCCGACAAGGTGTGCATGGGCAGAACAGCTCTACAAGCCGTCCCCTCTGGCGCTGTCTGGTGGAGTGTCTCCGTCGGCGAAACTTCTTCCCCTCTGCCGCTGCCTCCGTGGAGCATCTCCGTCGGTGAAACTTGCTCCCCTCTTTCCGCCCGCAACCCACCGCAGCGCGATTTCTTTCGTCATATTGCGTTCGTTCCATGGTCAACCGGGGAGATGAACAGGCCGCTTCAGATCTACGCGTATGATGTCAGTAAGAAGTAAAGGAATACGTTCAGCAAGAACTCGTGTGAGTGCGGTCAATCTGACGCATAGTCTACACCTTTGTTGACTCGTCCACACTGCATCTTCCTCGAAGCTGACCGAGTTGGACAAAACTTAAACGGACAAAGAACCATCAGGGTTCATGTGGCTCTCAGAGGGGGGGTTGGCATCACTGGGTCAGCAAGTCAACCATCAGCATGCGCTCCTCCCAACTACCTCGCACCTTCGTGGTCCATTGGTAACTTCCATTGGTAACTAATGCCCCCTCAGCGAGTCCGGATCCTCATCTACAGAAGTTCTCCAGAATCTTTCCCAAATTTCGGCATGGTTCGCTACCACCCTCTCCTTGTGTGCTTCTGTCTCATTTCTACGTCCCTGGAACTTGGGACAGCTCAGAGTTCCGCGAGGTCATTAGCTCATGTGGGAGCTATCCTTGATGAGGGAACCTTTCTGGGGAAGATGTACCCGACCAACATATTCGTAACCTTGGAGGATTTCTGCGCCGTGCATGGCAACTACACCACCAGACCGGTGATCCACGCCAGGGACTCCGGAGGAGATGCAGCTGGTGCGGCGTGGGTAGGTGCGTACGCACATCCATCCCTGCTCTTCTTTCTTTTCGGTGATTCTACTGCAGATCAGAGCCTGCGAATGATGGAGCCCGGTTGATGATAACACATAGGTCTTATTTCTTGTTACCTGTGAGCAGGGCGAATAGGAGTACTCATCAGTCATTTCCTTGTTCCCCGGATTGCCGCAGCTGACGATTTGATGAGACCGGTGCAGGCCATTGTGGTGCATGTCACCGTCTCTTCTTCAGCCATGTTCTCCTCTATGTCGTACACTAAGTCCTCCTTCCTCATCTCCTCCGTCAGCCATTTTGGACTCAGAGAGGTGGTTCCGATATGCGACCGCACTGGTCACGGAGATACGTTGGTGGCCCATCTCGTCGACGCACTTCATGGAAAAGGAATCCAGGTACTGCACCAGAGCTCGATCTCCCCTCACGACACTGACAGACAGATGGAGTTCCGCCGGCTGATCCGCGAGAGAACCCGCGAATTCGTCGTGAACCTACTGGCGTGTCTCGGGTCCCCTCTGTTCCTCCAGGCGAGAGATCTGGGGCTCATGGGAGGCGGGCACGTCTGGAACGCGACGGACACGCTCGCGAACTTCCTGGACCAGGTTGACCCTCCGTTGGTTCACGATATGTGGGACGTCCTGAGCGTGGGGCCTTCCATCCCTGACGTGGACGAGCTCCGCGATCTGACGGCTCGTCTTGAAGTGAAGCTTCGCGAGGAGAATCCGGGGGTTGAGTTCGGAGGCGTAAACATCTTCGGGTTGTGGGCTCACGACGCCGTCTGGGCGTTGTGAAGGACGGTAGAGAGGACGGCTTCCCGGAAAAGCACCACCTATTGGACCGTACGCTACAGAAGGAAGCTTGCCAGGGCGATCTCCAAAGCCAAGTTCAGCGGGAAATTGGGGGCCGAGCTCCGCTCGTTGGGTAGGCAGCTGAGGCCTTCGTCGTTCCAGGTAATCAACGTTGTGGGAGGGAAGCCGACGGTCGTAGCCGTCTGGTCGCCGAGCAGCTACTTGGCGAGACGCTGCGTGACGCTGGCGGGCGGAAAGGAAACTTCATGGCCCGGGGTTTCGACTTCCGCATCTGGGGGTTGGGCGATGCTGGCCGGTGGGAGGACACTGAGAATCCTAGTCCCCGTCGGGGATAGCATCAACCAACTGGTCAACGTGGAATACGATCCTACTGGAGGCTCAAGCCCGGGGTCCTCTGGATTCTGCGCCGACGTATATAAAGCGTTGATGACGACGGGACTCCGTTACAATGCAGATCTGAGTACGCACCCTCTAGTAAGGTCGAAACCTTGACTTCATGGACCTACGACGCCTTCGTGGAGTTGGTTTCATCCAAGGTAAAGTTCATCGAGGAAGACTCTGTTCTTCACTTTTTCCCTTTTTCGGCCCCCTCTGAAGGAAGTCAACCCTCCTTCCTCACCGGCGCTCAGTACCGGTGTCTAAGAGGGCCGGTTTTAATTATGAATATTTATTGGTACTATTTTCTTATTATACAGAATAGTCAACAAGGTCAACATGTTTTGTGTTGAGCAGATATATGACGTCGTCGTGGGGGACGTTGTTATCATCGGACAGAAACGATCAGGATTTGTTTATTCCTCAGCATCCTACAGCAAGACGGGGATATGGATGCTTGTCCGAACCGGGCCGAATGAGAGCGTCAACGGGTGGATATTCCTGGATCCGCTTGAGGCGGACCTCTGGGTGGGTAGCTTGGCCTTCATCTTCTTCACCGGCTTCGCGGTGTGGGCGATCGAGCACCGGATCAACCCGGAGTTCAGGGCTCCTCCCCACCAACAGTTCGGCACCACCGTCTACTTAATATTCTCGACCCTCGTATTCGCTCACAGTTAAGTCGAACGACAGGACACCCTCCTGCTCTTGTCCCTTCCGTAATTGTCGTGAGGATGCCCCGACTCAGCGCTGCCTTCCGCGTCTGTTCATGTTACAGTGGAGAGGCTGAGGAGTAATTTATCTCGGCTCGTGGTGATGGCGTGGGTGCTCGTCGCGGTCATCCTCGCGTCGAGCTACACTGCGAGCTTGGCTTCGATGCTCGCGGTGCAACGGCCTCAGCCCATCTCGGTGGAGGGCCTCCGCCAGAATGGCGACTTTGTTGGGTACCGAAGAGGCTCCTTGGTGGAGGACACCCGCACGGAGCTGAAGTTCGACCCATCTAAACTGAGGGCGTACGACTCTCCAAAGGAATACGAGGATGCCCTCTCGAAAGGAAGCCGCAATGGCGGAGTGGCGGCGATCATCGATGAGGAGCCGTACCTCAGGATCTTCCTCGCCAATCGATGCAGCGAGTACAGAATCCTCGGGCCTGTAGCCCACACCAAAGGCTTCCAATTTGTGAGTCCTGATCCATCTCATCGTCTCGAAGCCATCTGACTCCCGATGTTCTTGCGCCGTTCTAACCTCCTATCCTGTCGGAAACCTGCAGTTGCCCTTGGAAATCGCCTGTAGGCTCAAGAACAGCGCCGGCGAGTCGTACAGGCTGAGCTTCAAGAGCTTTTCGGGCCTCTTTATCATCAGCGGCACCGTTTCCATAGCGGCCCTCCTCGTATTCCTTGGCGGGTACGTCTGCGAGAACTGCGACGAGCTGAAGGCCCTGTCCTCCGGGAGGCACTTTTGGTGGAGAATCATCGCGTGGTGGAGGCACTTCGTCCAGATGGACCCTGCTGTCGTCTCCGGGAGGGACGAGCCCGTAGCGCCGGCGGAGGAAGCTACCTACCCTGCGCCGGGCTCTTCAGCCCCCGGGGTTCACCCGGGAGCTTGCGGGTCCTCTACTAGTGGAGGCTGCGCGCTTGGAAGGGAGGGTCTCCTCTCCGCATCAACTGACGAGCTTGCTTCCAGTGAGAGGCCTGCGGGGACGCCTCCCTCTATTGAGCTCACTCTCAGAATTGGGTGAGGATGATCAGTGGCGACTCTCTCTCTCTCTCTCTCTCTCTCTCTCACCCTCCATGGTCGGTTCCGCAGGGATTAACGGCCAAAAAAAAGCTTTTGACGTTCTCCTTATTACGTAATTTTTAAAAAAGAATCCCTATTTTGCTTTATGAATAACATTCCAAGTCCGTAGAAAGTTGGGGGCATATTATTAAACACCTGTTAGACAGAAGAGAGAGTACGAAAACTTCTGTTATTTATTATAATAATTTTAATGGTCATTTTCGCAATTATTTATTTTAAATAAATTTTAAAAGGGCCGAGACGGCCCTCGTGGGATCGCGATGCTCGCACGCCCCCGAGATCCTCGTCTCCACTGCCACTCTTCTCCATTTCTCGAACTCGCAGCTCCGGCGCTCTTTTGGATCTTCCGGGGCGCTCTGTGCCATCCATCCATCCGCTGATCGCAGAGGAGCGAGCGGTGTGCCACGACGAAGGGAGCTCTGATCCACCCCCCAGCCTCGGAAACCTGCTCTATGTAGCCGGAGAACCTCAGGTTCAGGATATGTTGATTGGCCGGATTCTGCTTTCCTCCTCCCTCTCGGTTCTGTTGTATCTTGTGTGTTTCCGTTTTATGATGGTTGTTTATTTTGTAAACAACTTGGCGATGATCATTTGCCGGATCCACTCCCTCATCCAGATCTAGCGTGCAGTCTTCGGGATAAACGGGAATGGAGTCCTCTGGCGGAGAAGCGGAAGTGAGACCCTTATTGAGGCAAGCTTCCTCATCGTTCTTCTGTTTGTCATCGTCCGCAGTCCCAGTGGTTGGAACTGGATTTCGCCGGTGTTACTGCCGAACGCCCAGCCTGATTGCATTTATCCGCGTTTTCCATTCCAGACTGTCGTCGAAATTAGGTGTCCACGAATCGACTGTGGATGCTTCAATTTTTACAATGCAGTCCAGTTACATTTGATGGGAAAAAGATTTATCGCGACAACTTCACGACGAAAATGTTACCTCGATTTTTACCTTCTCGACCTTTAGTCAGCCTCTACAAGATATTTGGGTTGTATTTCCGTCGACAACTTATCGATGAATGAATCCGGATAGCATATTTAATATGCTTATCTGCATTCATTGGATGTTTCCGAGTTTAAAAAGTTTTTGAGGATCCTGAGGATCCTCGGTCCATCTAAAAAGCATTCTTAGACTTTGGGACTGTGCCACAATCAACTGAATTCAAGCGTCTTTCCAATCGGCGGTATAGTTTTAAAAGATATTTACACTGACAGGTTTCTTTTCTGTTTATTTTTCTTTAGCCTATTAGCTGCATTATCTTATGGGATCGCTTCCATGGCCATGGTTTTTATCAACAAGGCAATTCTTATGCAGTACCCGTACTCAATGACTCTTCTGACTTTGCAGGTATTGTTTAGCTGCCTCGTACCCAAAGACAGTATCTTGTCTTTATGTTCTTTTTATCTTGCGACACAATCTTAGAAGCACGTTATGATTGTCTCTGTCTCAGCAAGTGGCCACAGCATCTCTCATTCAATTTGGTCGAGGATCGGGATACGCTAAAGCGAGAGGATTCAGCCTAGACACAGCGAAAAAGCTCCTTCCGCTTTCACTCTTCTACAATGCTAATGTTTCATTTGCATTGGCAAGCTTGAAAGGGGTCAACATTCCCATGTACATTGCATTAAAAAGGCTCACACCACTCGCTGTCCTGGTTGCTGGATTTTTTTCTGGAAAAGGAAGGCCATCAACGCAGGTACGAATCCAAGTTTTGTAATAATATTTGACAGATGAAATTCAACAGATGTTGCTTCTCCTCACATTGGCAGAGATCCTTATGCACATGGAAAAACGATTTTACAATGCAATAGTATCAAATGATAGAAATTCATGAATGCTGATGCTGGTCTTTTATATTATGGAACATCATGTTCTTATCATTTGTTCATCTTATCACTACCATATACTGTGCCTCTAATCATTGTTGTCATACAAGTGGATTTAAGAGTATAAAATTTGAAGTATGGAGGATCTGCTCGTTGTGAATTTCACATACACTGTTTCCATCTGCTCCCTCGGGTTTTATCATTGATCATCTCAGGAATGTAGGATTTGGCCCCATCAGCTGGTATCGAAGTGCCCTATGATGCCCACTGTTCATGTTACATGCAAATATGAATTGTACACAAATGAGTGGATGGCGAGAAACTTGAAGAAACGAAAGAAATTGGGAAGTATCATTCTCAATAAAATAAGTTCAAACCCTCAATTCAAAATAGCAAGTTATGGAGGTAGTCTGACCCATCAAGATAAAAGAAAAAGGGAAAAAACTGAGGAACCCAAAATAACTGGGGTTTGAAAATGTAAAATAAGAACCGAAAGATCTTAGAGAAGGCGTTTGAATTCAGTTATGTGCCATAGAATAACCCACTTGGACATTTGTCTATTTTCACATGCCTTCTAGATTACCTAGATTTTATGCCACCATTAATCTATGAAACTTATAATTTTTTTGACAAGAAATAATTTAAAGGATTTGGGTGACAACTTTTGGTTAGCTGCATAACATTCATATTAACCTTGTTGGGCTTTTGGGTGGGAAATGAAAACAGTTGTAGTGAGAATAAAAGAAAGAAAAATACACCCATTGCAGAAGGAGACAACGGTTTTATAGTGAGGTTAACAGTCGGAAATCCACTCCACTCAAGTCTCTCCTTAATATTTTCACTCTGTTCTCGCAAGCCTACGAGTAATTTTGCTTGCTCAAAGTACTGAATAAATATATCCCAAGCCTGTCTCAATAACATGCTTGAAAAAAGAAAGATAAATCAAATACAATGCTTACAACTCATCCTGTATGGATGACGATGCCATGTCAAGCTCGAACTCTCACTCGGACATTGGATAGATTAGAAATGTGGTAGGCTTAATGCTGCTTCTATTATTTACAAGATTGATTCGTGGATACTTGAGATTCTCTCTTTCTTCTTAGACTTTTTAGAGTTAGAGATCATCAATAAGTCGACGCTAGCTCCTCTTATAAACAACTTAAAAACTTCATGATTTGTAGTTTTTTAGCTTTCTTTGCTTTAATTGGAATAGCCTTTTCAAAGCCATGGGGTGGACTTGTAGAAGCATGAGATTGACACTTCAGACCTGTAACATCTTGAAGGGTTGACCCTCATGTTCACGAGGGTTACTCTTTGCAGTCTTCTTTGTTTTGTTTGAATTGACCTCTTTGTAGACTGATTATGTGCATTGCCCAGGTCTACTTAAAGTTCAACTCCTATGAAAACACTGTTTTATTTTTCACAAGTGTGGCTCCTGGGAAAAAGTATTTTACTTTTTACGTGGGTTGACTTGAGTATGTACTTCTATGTAAATATTTAAGGAGCTTTCTGTCTTATGCAGAAGTTAATTTAAGGGTTGACCACTACTACGTTTTTTGTCTTCTATTACCCAAAGGGGTCAACCTAAAGGTCGAATCCTTTATTTTAGTTCACATTTGTGCGTACAAAAAAGCTTATGTATTACACATATTGATTGGACAATGAATTCTAGATATTGATACTTGTCAAGTTGACTTCATTTTTTAGCCCTTTGTGGCGTGGAAAATCTTCATTTCCATGTCTGAAGCTCAATGCAAAAGATCCACATATTAGTGTAAAAATTGAGGTTTTATAGTCGTCACAATCAATTTACTGGGTTCTACGGACCTATTCAACTTTTCTGGCGATTGGTGATACTATGTGAACATAAATATGACCCTCTTGAATATTTCTAAAAGTACAAGAAAATCAGAAATTATTGCAAAAATAGACGTGCGAAACATTGACCGGACAATTCTCCTTATGAAGTGAAGGATACAAATGCTACTATAGTTATAAAGGAGGATATTTACAGTTGTTAAAACGTCAAGGACATTATTTACACCAAAGGTAAGTTAAAGAAGTGAAGGAAACAATCGCAGATAGCATTAGAAGTTCATTAGGAATTGCACCTGAAACTTAGTCTTTATGTCAAGAAGATTGATTTTTGACTTCATTTGCCTGCTCAGAATATCCAGGAAAGAACAGGAGGATTGGAAGGAGAATATACCACGATAATATGTGGATTTCTCAGGGACTAGGACATAAATTTAAAGATGTATATGATAGAACCCAAACCTATTATTGTCTATGATTTTTTGTTTTGCCTTCAGAATAGATCAGCTAATGGTTAAGACAAAGTGTTTTCCATAATCTATCTGAGAAAGATGTAACGCTAGTAGATATGACTAGAAACCGTAAAATCTATATAGTTTACAATTATTAGGATTAAATAAGAAAAAAAAGAACATTATTTAAGTGGATCATTAAAGTAATACCATTCTATTCAATGACGAAGGGCAATATTGGATTGATTTCTTCTTGATTTGGTGACCTTATAAACACTGTCTATTTCCATATGTGCAGACCTGCAGCACAACATCTAGAGCCATCCATATATTTATAAACAATCATATACTTTCATTTCAATTCCTGCATCCATCTCTAGAAAATAAAATAAATATATATATATATATATATATATATATATATATATATATCCTCAGATTGACCTGTCCATCTCGACCTTGCTTGTCTGTCAGGTCGCACTTTCAGTTATATTAGTCGCTGTTGGGGTCATCATCGCTGCACTGGGTGACTTCTCCTTTGACCTTTTCGGGTACACCATGGCTCTGACTTCTGTCTTCTTCCAGGTAATATATGGGCTTGTGCATTATCTAGCGATTTCAGCTTACCCATCCCCTGTTGCCACCTTATTGCTTAAATATTATTTATTATTGTCCGTGTAGACAATGTATCTGCTTCTGGTGGAGAAATCAGGAGCAGAGGATGGGCTCTCCTCCGTTGAGCTGATGTTCTATAACAGCTTTCTGTCACTGCCATTTCTCCTTGTACTTATCACAGCTACAGGGGAGATTCCACATTCCTTATCCTTGTTATTTGAAAAGGTCAGCATCTTACTCTTTATTTCCGCTGTATTAATAATTCTTCTTATTTGGTAGTTCAAATGAATCATGATAAAAATTCTTCTGAAGTCTCATTTATGTGATTATGTTGTGGCGAGAGAGAAAGAGACAGATAGATAGATAGAGAGAGATAGATAGATAGATAGATGGAAATAGAGAGAGAGAGAGAGAGGGGGGGGGGCGGTGCCACATGAGTGATTGTAGAAAAGCCCATGCCCCAAGAATCCAAGGCCGGGCTAGCCTTTTCTGGCATATTCTTTTAGTTTCAAAGAAGCTATGCTAGGATACCATAAGCATCTTTAAAGCGGCATCTCCTTTCTTTATCTTCCTCTGGTAGGATAATTCTGTGGCGTTTCTGGTGATATTCATTCTCTCTCTGGTGATGGGAATCGTTCTCAACTTCACCATGTTCTGGTGCACCATCGTCAACTCCGCTCTCACGACAACCATTGTTGGAGTTCTCAAGGGCGTGGGGTCAACTGTGAGCACTCCCCCCCTCCCTCTCTCTCTCTCTCTCTCTCTCTCTCTCGCTGTCTCATCAATATCTAACGTGCCTACCATTCTTCAGACCCTTGGGTTCGTCACGCTGGGCGGCGTGGAAGTACACGCCCTCAATGTGACAGGGCTGGTCATCAACACGGCCGGCGGCGTGTGGTATTCCTACGCCAAATACCAGCAGAAGAAGGCCAGGCACCGCAAGGCGCCATCAGACACCGAAGCCCGGCATAAGTAGACACCTCCACCATCTCCTGTGCTCTTCCCATCATCAGATACCGCTTCCCACCGCCCAGTAAAGATCATAAAACCCCAAGATCCTCCGTGATTAGAAGATAATCTTCATTGGTTGACCCCATCTGAGTATGGTCCGGGGTCAAACTCTCATCCCCTCCCGAAATGGGTTGCAGGGACTGAATCTCCCCGGCCAGATCAGATCTACCCCATCTGGTGGGCCCTGCCATCAATTAACCTAGTCAACCGTTTGAGCAGCCGGAGCATTAAATAGTGGGTTGGAGTTGACTAAATCGATTATTTTTATTAATTAAAAGCTTCATAATGAGGGTGGAGTAAAATCACCCAATAATCTGGCGTATCCTCACGTAGATGGCTCGAGCCATACCTGCTTCCGACCGCCATTTAATCCAGCTCGAGAGCGAGGAGGATCCAGCGTAACTCGCGCGTCCACCAGACCCCTGTCGTCACGTGGATATATAGTTTTTTGAAAGTATATTCGATAGTATTCGTATCTTTTTTTTATCTCTTAGTCCCCCAAAAGATCTTTCAATTAGCTGCGACTCCTAGGCGTGCCTCGACATCAACTTTATGTCCCCCACTTAACTTGCCGAGGGAAGTAGAGAGAGAGAGAGTCAAAATATCGTGCGGTCAAATAAGTGGCACATGGATGCACGCTTGCATGTTGAATTTCGTCGCCTGGCCAGCCACGTATGGAAGAGAGGTGAAGGCAATCGACACTGGGTTTAAGTCAAACGTCTCCCCATGATCGTACAGCAACCGCAATTTTATATCCAAGGCCAACCCCCCCCACCTTCCCAGCTGTAGTATACATACATTGAACCTGTACATACTACTCTTCATCTCCCTAATGAGTCAACCCATGTCTCCACTCTTCGTTTCAGAGTGAGTGAGTGAGTGAGAGAGAGAGAGAGAGAGAGAGAGAGAGAGAGAGAGTCTACAAGGTTGACTTGTCTTCAATTATAATGTTTCCAGAGAGGAGGACTCTTGCGAAATTAACGTGTCGGTGGTCACTCGCAGGTGGAATTCGGGTGAAACGGGATCCGCCAACAGAGCTTGTGGTGCACCATGTGACTATTACTGCCAGGCCAAAACCACGATTCAGTTTAGAAAGGCCCATTTGACTGAGAGCCCAGCAAGGATGCTACAAGGCCCGCGTTTTAAACATTTAGCCGAATATTTTAAAAATTAAAAATCCTCCCTTCGAGGAAAAAAAGAATTTATCAATAAAATATTCTCTCTTTTTTGGGTTTTCCCATAATTTCGCCAGCCTAATGTTCCCATCCGAGGAGCTGACACGTCGCCGGATGTGCGGGGGCTTCTACAGAGGTTGACGACGCTCTCACTCTCTTCCCCCGTGATCGATCGATAGGAAGACTGTACAGAGGGTTGACTGGCCGCGGTGGACGGCGACGTGGAGCCTGGAAATCCGCATTGCATTGGTCTCTCGGCCTGCCTTGAAGAAGGGCGGAGTGGGTATCCCTCAGTGGAGGGTTCTTCCTTGTTTCTCCTACCTGCTCCCTCATCACGGTAGGTGGTGACTCTCGGAGAAGTGAAAATGGGAGGGGGGTTGAGATTCTGTGGACGGAGGTGCTGATTTAAGGCCTTCATGGATTGAGCTTTACAACTGCGGACGATACCTTTCCCCATTAAGAGTGGTGTCTGCGAGAGGTACGGAGGGCGGAGGACCGGGGTCCCAGACCCAGTTTGTTCTTCTTCCTCCTCCTCTCTCCCCTTTCTCTCCCTCGCCTCACTTGAGGTGGGAGCTCTGCAATAGGAGATGGGGGGCCGTGTCTTGGGCGAGGGGCTCTGGTTTTGATATTTGGCTCTGGGCTTCTGATAGGTACAGAGTTTTCTCCCCGGAGGAGAGAATGTCGCCGGGGCTGTCCTTGTCCGGCTAGTCGGGGAAGAAGAAGGAGGACAAGGGCTCGCCGGTGGTCGTGGCGATGGAGAAATCTAGCTACTCCATCGTCGAGATGGGGAGGGCGGCCGTTTCCGCGTTGCAGGGGAGGGAGAAGGGGCGGGGGAAGAACGCGAAACAGTTCACCTGGGTCCTGCTCCTGAGGGCTCACAGGGCCGCCGGCTGCGTCGCGTGGCCGGCGGCGACATTGTGGGCTCTGCTCAGAGCCGCCAAGAAGCGCTTGGAGCTCCGGCAGAGCCTCTCCGGCGACGGCGACAAGGTCCTCTTCAGGTTCATCAAGGGCTTCCTGGCGCTGTCCCTGGCGACCCTCTTGGTCGAAATCGTGGCCCACTGGAAGGGGTGGCACTTCCAGGGGCCCCTCCTTCCCCTGCCGGAGACGGAGGAGATCAAGAGCTGGATGCACGCGGCCTATCTCTCCTGGCTCTCCTTCCGATCCGACTACATCGCCTCCCCCATTCAATCCTTGTCGAGCTTCTGCGTCGTCCTGTTCATCATCCAGTCTCTGGATCGCACCGTCCTTTGCCTCGGCTGCCTCTGGATCAAGCTTAAGGGGATCAAGCCCACAATCGACAGCGACCCCTTCAAATCCGACGACCCCGAATCCCCCCACCAACATTACCCCATGGTTCTTGTTCAGATTCCAATGTGCAATGAGAGGGAGGTAATCCTTCTTCTTCTTCTGCTGCTGCTTCTTCTTCTTCTTCTTCTTCTTCTTCTTCCTAGAAACGTGGAGCAATCGATGACCCCCGGTGGATGGAAATCGTGTGCAGGTGTACGAGCAATCCATCAGTGCAATCTGCCAGTTCGACTGGCCGAGAGATCGCCTGCTGGTTCAGGTCCTCGACGACTCCGACGACGAGTCCATCATGCAGTTGATCAGAGGCGAGGTCGCCAAGTGGAGCCAGCGGGGGGTCAACATCGTCTACCGCCATCGCCTGGTCCGCACCGGCTACAAGGCTGGCAACCTGAAGTCGGCCATGAGCTGCGACTACGTCAAGGAGTACGAGTTCGTCGCCATTTTCGACGCTGACTTCCAGCCCAACAGAGACTTCCTCACGCAGACGATCCCGCATTTTCAGGTCATCGTCCTCCCCATTGACGAGACATACCCAGTGACCTTCCTGCCTGAAAATGGCGTCTTTTTGCTCGGAGCAGGGCGACCCCGAGCTTGGCCTGGTTCAGGCCCGCTGGAGCTTCGTGAACAAGGACGAGAACCTGCTCACCCGTCTCCAGAACGTCAACCTGTGCTTCCACTTCGAGGTGGAGCAGCAGGTCAACGGCGTCTTCTTGAACTTCTTCGGGTTCAACGGGACGGCGGGCGTGTGGAGGAGAAAGGCCCTGGAGGAGTCTGGCGGATGGCTCGAGAGGACCACCGTCGAGGACATGGACATCGCCGTCCGAGCCCATCTCTGCGGGTGGAAGTTCATCTTCCTCAACGACGTCAAGGTGCTCTTCTTCTGGTCTATTAACGGCCGTCATACATTCTCTCCCGCGTTTGGCGTTGACCCTTCTCTTCGCAGGTCCTGTGCGAGCTTCCCGAGTGCTACGAGGCCTACCGGAAGCAGCAGCACCGCTGGCATTCGGGCCCGATGCAGCTCTTCCGCCTATGTCTCCCGACGATCATAAAGTCAAAGGTGAGTGCTCCTCCCTTCTCGGCGGCGGCGGCGCCGCCTCCAAACTTTCCATTATAATGGATTTCTGAGGAACCAGTCTTGGGGTTTGAATGGCAGGTCCCGACATGGAAGAAGGCGAATCTGATCCTTCTCTTCTTCCTGCTGAGGAAGCTCATCCTCCCGTTCTACTCGTTCACGCTGTTCTGCGTAATCCTGCCGTTGACCATGTTCGTTCCCGAGGCCGAGCTGCCCCCGTGGGTCATCTGCTACATCCCCTTCTTCATGTCCTTCCTGAACATCCTCCCGGCGCCAAGATCTTTCCCTTTCATCGTCCCCTATCTCCTCTTCGAGAACACCATGTCCGTCACCAAGTTCCACGCCATGGTATCGGGGCTCTTCCAGCTGGGCAGCTCGTACGAGTGGATCGTCACCAAGAAGGCCGGGAGGTCTTCGGAGCCCGACTTGCTGGCGGCGGCCGAGAGAGAGTCAAAGCTGTTGACCCAGCAGCAGCTGCACAGAGGCGCCTCTGAGAGTGAGCTCGCCAAGCTGAACGAACAGCGAGTGGAAGCTCCCCCCGTCAAGAAGAAGGCGAACAAGATATACAGGAAGGAGCTCTTCCTCGCCCTGCTCCTCCTCACCGCCGCCGTCCGGAGCCTCCTGTCCGCCCAAGGGATCCATTTCTATTTCCTCCTCTTCCAGGGGATTTCTTTTCTCCTCGTCGGCCTCGATCTTGTGGGCGAGCAGATTACGTAACCGGCGCAGAAGAACACCGCAGGAATCAAGAAGAACCACCCGAAGAACAATTCATACCGCTTCAATACTTCTATACTACCTACAGCCAGCCGCCCAACAGTTTTCTTTTCCGAACAGACCCATCAATTATTTTGTAATAGGCACAGAGTCTCTCTCTCTCTCTCTCTCCCCCCCCCCCTGTTCGTCCTAGCTCCGGGTGGTGTTGCTCTCTGTGAAGACAAGCCCCCTCTGTGTTCTCAGAGCCCCTAGGGTTTCTTCTCCTTCTCCTTCTTCTTCTTGTTCAATCCTGCGATACTGAGCTCATGTAACAGGTACCTGTAAATCTTGATAAGCTCTGTCTATTCCAAGTTAAATGTGATGTCAAAATCTCTTCGTTCTTTTGCGTCAGGTGGCCATCTGCCGTGCGGTTTCTGGCCGGGCTGGGGGTCCCCGACCGTCGTTTTCTTCTTCCAGATGGTAGAACGCCATTGCCCAGATGAGGAGCTGAGGTTTATGGAGCCTGGTTTCTCCTCTCTCCACCTGCAGAAGCCGACGGCCATGCTCTGCCGCAGCCCGCTTTGGCCCTTGCGCCGCCCTGCACATGCTCCGGCTGCCCTCCGGCGGCGACTCCGCCGCCACCCATGGTGGACGACGAGAAGCTGGCCCCACCTGGGAGGCCTTCTCTTGGGGGGCCTCGGAGGCGTGGCTTCTCGCCGGCGAGGTGCCGTCCCGAACCTCGCTTCTCTCTGGTTTGGGAAGAGGGCGGCGACAAAACGGCCGCTAGCGGGGGCCCCCTCTCCGTTGGCCCACTACAACCTGCCGTGGCCCGACATTCTAGGGGCCAGAGTGTGAGATGGGACCGCTTCTCCGTTATCCACGTCTCCGGAAGAGGAAGTCAGACGGAGACAGGGCGCACTGCTGTAACGGAAATTTAACCGCCTCAGGTTCACCCTCGCACATCAGCCCATTAATCAATCGTCATGAGTCCCAACAACACACGGCCTAGTCTAGCCCAATGTGTGTCTGCGTGTGAGGAGAGAGAGAGAAGGAGATATATATATATATATATAGAGAGAGAGAGAGAAAGAGAAAGATAGATACTAGTGGCCCTGCTGTAATCAAGCCATTATTAAGCCCATTAGTAACTTGAAAATTATGAAGAATTCATTAAAAAAATTACCTCTCCTTCTTCTAATTTTTCTACGTGTATGTATATATATATATATATATATATATATATATATATGTTTTCTCATCTAGTATAGTAGATCAGAGTCAAGTAAAAGCCTTTTTGATTTAATAAAATGCAGTAAATGGTCTAAGATCTCATGAAAATAAGTTTACCTTGACTGCATGGTCTTCTTAAAATATTTAAGTTATAAACTATGACTTTGTCAAATATACATGACCTATCATTTAATAATGAGACTTTTCAATATCCATGGAGCTCAACTTTTTGATGTGACTCTAAAAAAATAAGCATTCTATCATTTTTAAATTGAACACATATTACTCAAATACATATTATTTGATGTTAATGGCTCCTCATATATTTGAAAAGAGTCATCATAAGATTTATTGTGGTGTTCTCATTCAAAATATTGAACACAATGTTCTTGACTACCATCAATCATCTCTCAATTTTTTTGCAACATCTTATATGACTTCAAACTAAGTAACAAATAATATAACTTATTCTCATACAAGCAATCATTTGTCTACATTTTCTTGAACACAAAATCACTCATATTCAACTTGTTGATCTTGACCTTATTTCTTGAACACAAAATCAGATGCCATAATATCTGTTGTTGGAGATGGCGAGCATCTTCATTCTCTTGTCACACAATGAAGATTAAGATAAGAACATAAAATACACTAAATTTACATGGTTTGCAAAAATCTTGTACAGTCACACAAAAATACTTTTATTTTAGAAGAATTGTCTTACAAAGTAGAGTTCCACTTGACAACACACCCTGCTAACATAGCACACCCCCCCACATGTCTTAGAACAAAGATGGCAGCTCATACGCCTTTTACCAAAAGATTAGGGAAAACATATGAGATGATTGGAGACCACTAAGGCTCAATGGGGGATCATTCTCTACGACTCCAATATAGTTATGTTGCTATTTAGATTGCATTAACCGAAAAAAATGAACTTTCTAATGATTTTATGCTTTCACTTATTTTATACCCTCAACGTGATGTAGTATTGAGAGCGAAAATAGAGCAGGATACTACTAAGGTTGCAGAAACTATGAGAGAGAGAGAGAGAGAGAGAGAGAGAGAGAGAGAGAGAGAGAGACGACATTGATCATCCTCGCCCATTTCTGAGTGTGAGCTCCGTAGAGGGAGGTCCCCTCGCAGGCGTCGCGCTGGAAGAAGGCTCGTCAGTTGACGAGGAGCGGATATCCTCCCTTCCGACTGCGCAGCCTCCATTAGTAGAGGACCCGGAAGCTCCCGGGTGAACCCTGGTGGCTGAAGCGGCCGGCGCGGGGTAGGCAGCTTCCTCCGCCGGCGCCACGGCAGCGCCACTGCGACCCAGCACCGCGGGCTCGTCCACCCCGGAGACGGCGGTGGGCTCCATCCGGACGTAGTGCCTCGCCCACGCGACGACTCTCTTCGGAAAGGGCCTCCCGGAGGACAGGGTCCTCAGCTCGTCCCAGTTCCTGCAGACGTACCTGCCGAGAAAGACGAAGACGGCCGCCGCCGAAACGGCGCCGCTCACGATGAAGAGGCCCGAAAAGCTCTTGAAGCTCAGCCTGTGGAACTCGGCGACACTGTTCTTGAGCCTGCAGGAGATTTCATCCCCGAACCACTTCTTCTCCAGCTGCGCCATCAACCCACTCTCCGTGGCCTCCAGAATGGCCCTCGACGCGTCGGCCGCGAGACCAGAGCCCTTGGAAAACACCTGCGGTTTTCCGACAGGATAGGAGGTCAGAACGGCGCAAGAACCCCGGGAGTCAGATGGCTGCGAGATGATGAGGTGGATCGGGGCTCACAAATCCGAAGCCTTTGGTGTTGACTACAGGCCCGAAGACGCTGTACTCGCTGCATCGATTGCCGAGGAAGATCCTGAGGTACGGCATCTCGTCGAAGATGGCCGACACTCCGCCATTGCGGCTTCCTTTCGAGAGGGCATCCTCGTATTCCTCTGGAGACCCGTACGCCCTCAGCTTAGATGGGTCGAAGTTCAGTTGCCCAAAGAGGCCCTCCACAAAAGAGCCTGTTTGGTAACCAACAAACTCGCCATTTATGCGGAGGCCCTCCAACGTGGAGGGCTGAAGCCGTTGCGCCGTGAGCATCGACGCCAAGCTCGCAGTGTAGGTCGACACGAAGATGAGCACGACGAACACCCACACCATCACCACGAGCCGAGATAAGTTACTCCTCAGCCTCTCCCCTGGAAGATGAACAGACGGGGAAGGCGGCGCTTAATCGAGTCACCATCCCGAAAGTTACAGAAGGGATAGGTTCAGGAGGGTGGGTATCCTCCGACTTAACTGTGAGAGAAGACGAGGGTTGAGAAGACGAAGTAGACGGCGGTGCCGAACTGTTGTTGGGGAGGGCCCCTGAACTCCGAGTTGATCCGCTGCTCGATCGCCCACACTGCGAAGCCGGTGAAGAAGAAGAAGGCCAAGCTGCCCACCCAGAGATCCGTCTCCAGCGGATCCAGGAATATCCACCCGTTGACGCTCTCATTCGGCCTGGTTCGGACAAGCATCCATATCCCCGTCTCGGTGTAGGGTAGTGTGAAGTTTACTCTGTCGGACCGATTGGCCATTATGGTCGTGTCCCCCACGACGGCATCAAATTCCTGTTCAACACAAAATATGTTGACCTTGTTGAGTATTTTTGTATCGTAAGAAAACAGTACCGATAAATATTCATAATTAACCGATGATAGAAGAAGGAAGAAAAAGAAAAGAAGCAGCCTTCCTCGATGAGCTTTACCTTGGTGAAAACCGAGTTTACGAGGTCGTCGTAGCCCCGTGAACTCCAGTTTTCGACCGTACTCAATGGACCCCGGTCGTCGTCGATGATATATACTCATAATCTACTTTGTAATGGACCCTCCTCATCACAGCGTTAAATACGTCGATGCAGAATCCGGAGATTCTCGGGCTTGAGCCCCCAGTAGGATCGTATTCCACGTTGAGCAGTCCCTTGAAGCTGACCTTGTCGGGGACTAGGATTCTCAGCTTCCTCCCACCGGCCAGCATCGCCCAACCCCTGGAAGCGGATCTCGAATCCCCTGGCCACGAAATCTCCTCTTCGCCGGCCACCGGCGAGTAGATAGACGTCCGGTTGCTGTTCGGCCACCAGACGCCTACGACCCTCGGTTTCTCCCCGACCACGTTGAGTACCTGGAACGACGAGGGTCTCAGCTCCCTGCCCGACATGCGGAACTCCCCCGACTTCCCATGGAAGCTGTCGGTGGAGATCGCCCTGGCAAGCTTCCTTCTGAAGGCCCCGCTCCAATTGCCGGAGATTTCCTCCCCGGAAACCGCCATCTCTGCCGCCCTCGCCAGCGCCCAGGCCGCATCGTAAGCCCACAGCCCGAAGATGTTCACGCTTCCGAGCTCAACCTCCGGATTCTCCTCGCGAAGCTTCAGTTCAAGACGAGTCGTCAGATTGCGGAGCTCATTCACGTCGGGGATGGAAGGCCTCACGCCCAGGACGCCCCGCATGGCGTGGACCACCGGAGGGTCGAGCAGGTGCAGGAAATTCGCGAGCGCGTCCGTCACAATCCAGACGTGCCCCTCTCCCATGAGCCCCAGATCTCTCGCCTGAAGGAACAGACGGGACCCGAGCAACGCCGTCAGGTGCACGACGAACACGTGGGCTCTCTCGCGGATCAGCCGGCGGAGCTCCTCCGCAATCTGTTCGTCGGTGTGGCGAGGGGAGATCGAGCTCTGGAACGGAACCCGAATTCCTTCTCCACGAAGCGCGTCGACGAGATGGGCCACCCACGAGTCCCCCGGACTTGTGCCATCGCATATCGGAACCACCTCTCTGAATCTAAAGTGGCCGAGGACGGAGGAGATAGCAGCCACCTGGGCTTTGTCATCGAATGCCGCCCGGATGAAGTAGGGCTTTTCAGCGGGCGTGACGGAGGGGCTCGTGGCTGAGAAAGAGATGATGGGTACCTCGGCCTTCTGTCCGAAGTCAGCCACGAGCTCGGCTTGAGCCGACGTCTGGGGCCCCAGAATGGCCTGCACCCGAGCATCTCTCAGCAAATCCTGAGCTGCGGTAATCCGGGGAGCAAGGAAATACTGATGAGTACTCCTACTATTCGCCCAGCTCACAGGTAACAAGAAATAAAACCCATATATGATCATTAACCGGGCTCCGTCATCCGCAAGCCCTGGTCTGCAGTAGAATCTCCGAAATGAGAGAAGAGCGGAGATGGATGTGAGTACGCACCTACCCACGCCGCACCAGCCACATCTCCTCCGGAATCCCTGACGTGGATCACCAGTCTGGTGGTGTAGTTGCCGTGCACGGCGTAGAAATCCTCCACGGCCACGAAGATGCTGGCCCGGCACATCTTCCCCAGAAAGGTTCCCTCATCGAGGACAGCTCCCACATGAACTAATAACCTCGCGGGGCTCTGAGCTGCCCCGAGTCCCAGGGACGTGGAAATGAGACAGAAGCACACGAGGAGAGGGTGGTAGCGAACCATGCCGAAAATTGGGAAATATTCCGGAGAACATCCGAAGATGAGGATCTGGGGTTGCAGAGGGGCCACTGAGTTACAGATAGTTGGGAGGAGGAACCTGCAGAACAGACAAAATGGAGACGTATGCTGATGGTTGATTTGCTGACCCAGTTTTTGGAAGAAGTGCCGGTCAACTGTGTCCTCCAAGTCGCAAGAAAACCTTACCCTGTGAGAGTCAGATGAACCCTGACGGTTCTTCGTCCGTCTAAGTTTTTTCCAGCTCCAGTTGGTGAACTTCAAGGAAGTTGTAGCGTGGATTCAAGAGGTTCGAGGTGTAGACTATGCGTCGGATTGACCGCATTCGCACGAGTTCAGCTCCCCGGGTTGGCCATGGAATGAACTGAATATGACGAAAGAAATCGCACTGCGGCGGGTTACAGCAGTTGAAAGTAGGGGAGGAAGTTTCGCTGACGGAGACGTCAGGCAACTCCAGAGGGGAGCAAGTTTCGCCGATGGAGACTCTACCAGGCAGCGCCGGCGGGGAAGGCTTATGGAGTTCTTCTGTCTACGCAAACTGGTGGGAGGAGGACGGCGCCGTGGGGAATGGCAAGTCGACCAGAGGAGAGAGAAGATGGGAGATTTTGGCAGTTAAATATGTTCATATATGTTATAAGTGGCTGCATGATAACATGCTCATTATTAGGTTTTAAAGGGTGAGAATTATCATCCTGTATGAGCTTAGAATGCATATTTAAATTGCATATTTCTCATTTCTATGCATTTTATAATAAGTTTAACATTTTTTATATATTTTTCGGAATTATATAAATATAATTAAACTTTTAGATCTAATCTTTTAATCATTCAATTAGTGTCACGCTCTCAATTCATCATTCCCATTTGGATCGACTTGGACTTACCCTAACTATATTTTAGTTAGCTTGAGCCCAAATAATAAATTATTTGATATATAAATTTTTTGAACTCAACGACATTCAAGAAAAAAATATGAATCATCACTGCACCAACTATATCTTAGAACATTATCCAAGAAATTACATGAAGATTCTCCAACACAAATCATAAAAATAGATTTATTATTAGCTGAAAAGTTGGTGAAGGTGTTAGTCAACTAGGGTAAGATGAAGTTTCCCATGAAGTTCAACAATCAAACATCATTCAAAAGTAGGGGAAAATTTTCCTAATTTATTTATTTCCCATGGAGTCGTAGGTGTTGACTTTTGAAGCCTCATACTTTTAGTGACTAAAAAAAGGCAATTTCTCGCTGTTTTATTACTTTTGTATCACTGAAATACATTCCATAGTGAAATATATTTAAATATTTCTAAAAAATAATGGAAAATGAGAAGATGGCATGCACGTAGTTTAATTTGAGGACAAAATATTTAAAGAAGTTATACTACCAACTTATTTAGTGTAATAATTTATCACGAGTAATATATTAAGGAAAAATACAATAAACCTATTATGTTCTAGAGCAAGAATAAAGTTCTGAACTTGATAAAAAAGCTGATGATAGCTAAATGTCATTTCATGGTATTTGATAAGAGGAGGATTTATTGAATGGACGGTAATTAAACTCTAGAAAAGTTTAATAAAAGAAAAAAGATATATTAAAAAAAAAAGAAAAAGAAGTGGGTAAATACTGAAGTATATATGAAGTTTATGTCGGAAAGCATAATGTGTAAAAGTTAGGAGTAATAAATTTCATTTATCTTGCTTGATCATCTCATCTATTTATAAGGAGTAAACTCCCCTTAATCTGGAAATGTTTGTTGTGTGAGATTTTTTTTCTATTTTAGCTAAATGGAACAGTATGAGCGCCCTCTTAAGGTCTTCATTATTGAGAGATGAGAGATAGAGAGAGGGAGAGAGAGAGAAAGGGGAGAGAGAGAGAGAGAGAGAGAGAGAGAGAGATCCTCATCCAACGCCCCTTCATCCTCTCCTGCTCAATTAAGTGTCTAATCATATGGTTAGAAACGGTAGACGAGGGATAAATATGGGGTTCAGTGGACGTTTAACGAACACATTTTTAAGATTATATAAATATCCTATTTACCACGTGGCATCCACGTGGCGACTGCTGTGGTGGAGTATGCCCTGCGTGGCTGCGGTGCGACGGTCGTGCGTGCGTCATATCCTCTTCTCCATCCAATTCCCTTGCGGCGGGGGCCCTTCGTCTGGACAGGAGGAGCGAAGAGGAAGAGGGGGGGAGGGGGAGTGGGGGAGCTGCAGAAGCCAGGACTTGCTGATACGATGCTCCTCTCGACGTGGGAAGCGGCCGCTTCTCCTTCGTCTCTCGCTCTTCTGTCTTCGACGAGCCGCCCCTCGGCCGCATCCGGCGACTCCACTCTCTCCCTCCGGAGGTGTCAACGCCGCGCCGGCGTTGCGGTGGCTTCGGCCTCCTCTTCGGCTGTCGAGAGAGAACCCCAGGGAAACGGCAGATGGAATCCTCTCCCCAGCATTTCGTCATTCGCGGGTAGCGGCGGAAGTAGGTCGGTGGGACTTCGGTTCTCTTCTCCTCAATTAAAGTTCCCCGTTGTATCGTTCCACGGCACATTTTTGCTTTTTTTTTGGTTTCTTTTTCAATTCTGTAGGAACTTAGTTACGCATTCCTTCCCCGAATCGCTTTAGGTCATGTTTTGATGAAAACTTTGTCGAAAATTTCAGCGGAATATTTCAGTCGTGTCCCATTCTTTCTCTCATTGCAATTCTGGATGAAAATCTTGTGGGATTAAGTGCCATCATTTCTGGGAAACGTGGTCATTGTTTTAAAGGAGAGGACTGAAGGCCGCCTTTACTAATATGGTTTTTATGGTAACACGTAATATCTCCGCTTTACACGGATTCTGCGGTTACAGCTCAAGGGGAATCCTTTGATTCTAGTCTTATTGACGTTTCAAGTTTCACATTTGCGTAGAAGTTTTGTTTAAACTGTGGAATCTATATGTTTTGCTGTTCGTCTATTCTGTTCTTAATTTTTTTACCTTGGTCAATTATTCTGTTACAAAAATACTTCTGTATTAAATTTTTTTCTGATCCATTAATGAAGCCTGTTTTTTGTGGTCCCAGTTTCAACCAATCCTTAGCATAAATTATGTCATCCCTCTGTTTTATAGCGCGTTACAGACATCATTTGGTTTCATTTATTTTTTTGAGAAAATCTCACATTTTTCGTTATTCCTAATCTTGAATCTAAGGTTTGAACGTTAGTTCTTTGTGATCTTGAATCTCACATTTATTCCGTCTGTTGGTTCCTTGCAGAGTTACTCAACAGGTTGATGCTTCTAACTTTGATCCTTTGGGTATCAACACTTCGGATACATCACTGGACCTTAAAAATGCTTGGGAAAGTGTCAAGCATCTTTTTGCTCAGACATTTGAAAGCTCATCAAGTACAAAAAGGGAGAAAGTTCCATCAAGAGGAGTTGCTGGTGCGCACATCACTTTGTTTTGTATATTTTCTCTGTGTTCAATCACTTGTTCTAAATGCGATTCATATGTTTGGTCTGTATTATTAGCCCAGCACGTACTATTTTAGATGAATGCAGACTGGCATACGATGAAAAAACACGATGGGTTACAAGTGGGGAAAAGAGGCAGATGTCATTTTACGCTAAATATATTTTGAGGTTGTGCCATTATTTTCTTGTGGGCGAGGGGCAGAGGAAGCTACAGCCCTATTGATTACATTTAGAAATGGCTAGATTGTTATTATATTAGATGTCAATGTATTGTACTTGGAGGATAAACAGACGCTTAGGTTCAAGATTGGTACATTTAAAGACTCCAGAATTTTGTGTCATTATCCATCCGATGGACTTCAGAGAACATTGGTGCCATCTTCCTGTTGTAAGTGTACCCATACAAGAGGAAACATTTACCGAACAGGGTAGAAGTGAAGTCATTACCCCTGCTCTCTTTCACTTCAGTGGATGCCTTATATCCCCTACGTAGTTGCTATGTTATTCTCCTCTTCAATCGCACAACATTTATCTTGCCAACTTCTCTTCCTCTATTCACAAAAACATAATATTGATGGGAGAAGAGAGAAACTTTTTTTTTAATTAAATCCATTGAATTGATTTCATAACTCTAAAAGTTTTGTTTTTTTTAAAAGCACTGTTATGTCATTAAGATGAAGCCATTGTAACAAGTGAGGAACTAGGAACTCTATGAATATATGTCAAGGATCAGTGAAAATGAAACGAGGGCACTGTTATCTTGTTCTTAGAAAATAGGCTAACCCCATTCAGATCAGTCAATCTGAATGTCAATGATGAGAAAAATGCAAGCAAAGGTTTTATAAATGTTACATATTCTGGTATTACTTAAATATGCATAGATAGTCCTGTTAAATCTTATTTTCAATGGATTTTTTATGGGGATGTCCATGTCGCTCTGGCATTCTGCTTTCGCTCCACCTTTAAACGATACATGTATTGAATGTATTTTCGGCCACACCTTCCATTTGTGACTCCAGTTGGAAATTCTAATCGATGTGCAAGGCTGCTTTGTTTTGTATTTGCCAGCATTACTGATGCTTATGGATAAATTCTTCAATTTCAAATGGGAACAATATAAATTATGATTCTGCACCTTACATGTTGACATGGTCATGTGGTTTGCCTGTTTTGCATTTCTACGTTTGGAAACCAAAACTACCAATAGACTTCCAGACCCTTATCTCTATTAAGTTTCTCCCTGACTAGATATTGAGTCGTAAATGACTATTCCCGAATTCATTATTGGAAGAAATATCAGTTTTAAAATGTAAAACAAATATTAATTCCTTTCTAGCCATTACTTCGTATGCTTAATAAAGGTTGCTTGTTGATTAGTTAGGGTGTAGGACTTTTGTAACAACTTGGGAGCCCTTCAGTCCTGAGTTGAGCAACTGGACGTGTTCTTTCTCTTAACGATATTTGGTTATCCTCTCAGCTGCTATTGAGGATAGCTCCATTGATGTTGGTGACTTCTTCAAGGGGCCACTACCAGGGAAGTTCCTGAAGCTTATAGGATATCTTGCGCTATCACGACTTGGAATATATGTGCCTTTAGGTGGTGTCAACCGGGAGGCATTTGTGGGAAATTTTGATCAGAATAGTTTACTGAGTACTTTGGATACTTTTTCTGGAGGAGGCATTGGTCGGTTGGGAATTTGCTCCCTGGGCATTGTACCATTTATCAACGCACAGATTGTCTTTCAGCTTCTAACCCAGATTTATCCCAAGTTGCAAGAACTTCAGAAAAAGGAGGGGGAAGCAGGCAGGAAGAAGGTCCTTCAGTACACACGCTATGCGTCAGTTGGTTTTGCAATCGTACAGGTTGAACACCTTTTTTAAATTGAATGATAATTAAATAAATTGAATCCTGAAATTCTTTACATTGTTTCTGTAATGCAACATCTTTATGTGCGTGTAGATTATTTGGATAAACCTTACAGATATTTCACTCCTTTTTCTGCTTTCGTAAGGCAACATGTTAACCAAGGAGAACTGATCATATTCATGGCTTTTATTTGTAACATATCTTCTGAGGTTTTTTTGGAAATATTTGCACCAAAGTTGGAACATATCTTCTGGGAGAAACATGCCAAGGTCATGAAACTATTTTTTTTTTTTTTTTGTTGTTACACCTGACAACATCAACGAAGTGGATGATGGGGATTTCCTTGATTAGTCTCCATCCACAAAAAAGAAGGCAGTGATGCGCTTTTTGTTTTTCATCATTCTTGTTTGTCGTTAGCTAATGCTGTTATTGTTTCTAACGGCCATGATTGCTGCTTATTGTCACGAAGGATTCCTATGTCTGATTGTGGCACGATATAGAATAAATGAAAACTCTACCTTGAAAAGGAAGACATAAAATGATACTGAGCCACAATTTAGACAAACCCTTTGTGTTTCATTTTTTACTTAAAAGATCATGAAACAGCCGTGACCTTTTTAGTGCCATTTTCTTGGTAAGGTCCAACTGCTTTTGTTGAATACAAGTTTTACATTATTTTGAAACATCTAGCCCTCTTTCACGCATTGCGTCACTTCCCTATCTTGAAACTGTTGATTTTCCGACTCTCCCTAAGCATCTTCCTCCTGTTGAACACTTGAGCAATGTTTCACTGTCAGCTGTGGGGATGGCCAATTTATGGAAGAAATGTTGGCTTGAAGGAGCACTCCAATATATATATATATATATAAAGATGATTTTTTTGAGTTTCATACATGAGAAAATTTCAATTTTTTCTGTTTTGACTTTTATTGGTTGTAAGTGCATGGTTAGATGGTCTAAATGATGAACCAACTAGTGAAAAAATGCTTTCGTCAGAAGAGGAGTTTCCAATGTCAATAACATTTAGAGTATGTGTTTTAAAAAGTATCTTGAAAATGTCAATGATAATGACGAGATTTGTTTGACATATCAGAATACCTCTTCATTAATGCATCTGTATCTTCATTTAAGTGATTATCTGGTCTGGATATTTACTCCATTTTGCAAAGAAGGCATGGCAATATCTTCCAACAGAGGAACTCACTTTTTTACTTCCAGTATATTTTCTTATATGGAATTATTCCGTCTTGTAAATACTGTTTTCTAACTTTTTGCAGAAGCATGAAAAGACTAGACTTTCTTGCTTGAAATATTGACAAATTGTGGTCAATACTGATTGCAGGCTATCGGGCAAGTTCTTTTCTTACGTCCCTATGTTAACGATTTTAGCACAGAGTGGGTGTTATCATCGGTAACGTTATTGACTCTTGGATCCGTGTTCACGACCTATATTGGCGAAAGGATATCTGACCTCAAACTTGGAAATGGAACATCTCTCTTGATCTTTACTAGTATTATCTCCTACTTGCCCGCATCATTTGGGAGGACAGTTGCTCAAGCATTTAATGATGGAAATTATGTCGGTCTTGTTACCATTATTTTTTCATTTGTTCTTTTAGTCCTTGGTATCGTATATGTGCAGGTAAACTTTATCTCTTCATTTTCATAGCTTCTTTAAGACTGTCGTTTGCATATTATGTTAATAAGTATGCAACCTGGGATCTCAGGAGGCCGAGAGGAAAATTCCCCTTAACTATGCATCGAGGTACAGCAGTAGAAGTGGAGGGCTTGAAAAGTCTGCCTATTTGCCTTTCAAGGTCTGTTTGATTTTATTTTTGCTTTTCTTTTGTTTCTCTTCTCTCACTGCTGGACAACTAATAAATAGATAAAGACAAGTTACTATGTATGTCGAAAGCCTTATCACATAATTGTTGGCTTTGAAAACTTTTCGAAATGTATCATTAATAAAAAAATTAATCTTCTGGTGTGCATTGTTTTACATTGAAGCATCTAAACCTACATATATGGAATTTGGTGCCTATGATTTATATAGAGTAGATGAAAATCTAGGAAATATTGAAAAGTCTGAATATTTACAGAAAATCTTGCTAGTTCAGTCAGCTGAATTTTTTGAATAAGCTTACATCAGGTTCTCTGAAAAGAGTTTCATTCTTTATGTTTTATGTGGTGGTGTTCCCTAGTCTTGTATTTCACTCTATCTGAACCTTGATCTTAGTTGCTAGAATTATGTTGATGAAAGCTGAATGATTAAGACAAAAATTATCAATCTCCTCGTATCACAATTTTTCTTCTCTTGTTATGTAGGTAAATAGCTCTGGTGTGATGCCTATTATATTCTCCACATCATCATTAGCTCTGCCCGGTACTTTAGCGCGCTTTACTGGCATAGCTGCTCTCAAGAATGCTGCGGTTGCTTTGAATCCCGGAGGTTAGTTATCTACTGAGCCTTCCATGAGTGATAAGATATCAAGCTCTGCCAACCACATGCTGGCATATGTTTTGGTTTTTCCTTTGCTCATCTGTTTTTTTCTTTGTTCTCTTTTCCAAATGGCCTTTGAGTATTTTTAGATCATCTTTTCTATGCTGCTTAAAGGGAAAGAGCTACTGAATTTGCAAAATATGCTTTGCTTCTATAGCTAACTATCACATTATTATTAAGGTTATACCGCCTAAATTTATCTTACCTGGGGGTTTCCCCCCTCTGCGAATTCAGGCAAGCTGTCATGATTCCTTCCATAATTTCTTCAATTATGACTATGAGTGGAGAAACTATGCCATGGTCTGAAGATGGTGGGTTTATTTACATGATATTTTATGCTGTTGACACTATCATATTCTTCCCTTACATGATATAACCAAAAATTATCAATTTTGGAACTTAGCCTCATGCCACGGTTTTTCTTCACACAACCGATATTTTGTTTTTTAAGTCTCAGACAACCTTCCCTTAAAGGTACTGGAGATACTGACTTAATCATATCCATCTGGGGAGCTGCATAAGTCACACTAAACCATAGAAAGCAAATAAAATTTCTGTATCTATCAACTCATACCATGCTTCAGCTGTATTATGCTCCCAATTTGTCTATTCATTAATATGAATCGCAGAAATAACAGGGAAGACCACATGAGGAATAGAAGCTAGTTATCTTGAACATGATTTATGATTTATTTTTCATTTAAATATTCCCAAATGAAAGGTAGACTGAAAATGAGCATCTTATCTGATCAAATTTAGCCTTTGTCAATGGAGAAGATGCCAACATCATGACTATCGAGCTTTGAAAGAAAATATGTCATGAACAGATAATTTAAAGCAAATTCAATAAAACAACAACTGGTACCACATAGAGGCGGCCATAAACTCGAGAGTCTTACCAGTGCATACATCTCATTGTCATAAATTCTGAACCGTGGAAACTCAACAGCAGTGAATGAGATCTCTTTGAACAAAAACTAAGTAAATCATGTGTGCAATTATTCACAATCTTTTATGGAAAACTGGATCTTTATTATCATTGGTTTCCTAAAAAGGAATAATGTATATCCTACCGGCTTCTTCTTCTGGTATCTGAAATTCTTTGGCAGTCATACAGAACTATTCATCCAATTTTTTCCTGTAGGGTCCTAATCTGGTAAATTTTTCTTGTAGGCCCTTTGTACATCCCCACCAATATATTGCTCATCGCCTTTTTCAACTACTACTACACCTTCTTGCAATTGGACCCTGATGATGTCAGTGAGCAGCTGAAGCGGACAGGTGCTTCTATCCCTCTCGTCCGACCTGGGAAAAGCACGGCAGCTTTTCTCAAGACGGTATGGGCCCCCACCACTGCCATACCTTGATCATTAATTGCCAATATGTCCTCTTATTTTCATTGTTTCTATGTGAAGCTCATATTTTGTCATATCTTTTTAGCCCAAAGATCTTCTGGGTCATACATATACTCTACATCTCAGATTATTATCTACCTGCCTATACAGGTTCTAAGCAGGATATCAGTCCTGGGATCTGCATTTCTAGCGATATTAGCTGCTGGCCCAGCTGTGGTTGAGCAGATCACCCACTTGGCTGCGTTCCGAGGTTTCGCCGGCACTTCGGTCCTCATCCTCGTCGGCTGTGCGACTGACACAGCGAGGAAAGTTCAGGCGGAGATAATATCACAGAAATACAAGAACATAGAGTTTTACGATCTGGATAAATATGGGCAATGAGCTAATGAAGCCAGACGCGCAGATCTCCTTGCTGCCCCTGTTTAGTGTCGACTCTGGGCTACCAACAGGAAGCAAACCTACAGCTCGGTAGCTTCCCGTATTTCTTCTTTAGCCTGAGTCTGTAACCTGCGAGATGTAGCACCGCTGGCATATAACCTGTACATATGCGACATTGCATGGTTGCAATTGAACCGTTCCTGTCAGTTTTCGAGGTGGGTACCAAGGATGAATGCAGAGATTGGTAGCTGTTATTTCATGCGACATTCTTGGCAAGGCCCATGGTCTAGATCTGTCCAAAGGTATTTCTTTTTTTTTTTTTTCATGTTCAAATGTGGAAGAACAGTCTTATTATATATATATATATATATATCTTCTGTGAGAACCCTCGTCTAAGCTTTCATTTAGACTCTGAAACAGATGAGTTACTCATTCAATGCTCATAAAAGGCCTGAAACCCTCTGGGACAAACAAATAAACAGATCAAACCTGGGAAGGAAACAGTGAAAAAAAAATGGGAAACTTTGTTAAACTAGTTTCAGAAGGACTTTGCACTAACTTGAGATGTGGCACAAGCCTGGGAACATGTAGGTTCCCAGGATCTACAGAGATTTCACACACTGCAAACTGGCCATGGAAGCATGTTCAGTCTGGGTGATGAAGAAGAGGAAGAATGAACATATCGAATTCCTGTGAAGAAAATAATTACAGACACTTCACAACAGCCCCTATTAGTCCACTAACCACCGGATTCCTTGTGCTACACGCAGATCAACAGCTTCCCCATTCAGTTCTTTAGCGATTCCTATCTGAGATGCGCCTTGATCTCTCGACCCTGATCGAAATGTATTATGACGGATGCTACCTACTGCACTCAATTGTATGCGTCAGAAGAGAAATCAGGCTCCTCAGGTTTCTGTAACATGGGCAGATCCATGGCCTTCATTCTGAAAGATCCTCTCTTGGTGCTGTTAAACTTGGTCAACATCTCACCGATGTCCTGGTTGGGTTGGGAAGAGCTACCGGAGGCCATGGCGAAACCCCCCCCTTCATCTTGCTCCGACCCACCATCACTGTGATCATCTGGCTGGGAGGAGAATGGCTCCCGCTTGCTCAGATCCTGGGCCATCTTCCTCTTCTTGAACCGGCGCCAGGCAGCCTGTATGAAGCAAGCCGCCCAGGTCCTCCAGGAATGGGAGTAGACACGGAAGGTGTGCTGCAGCTTCTTGCTGTGGAGCCGCCTGAACTGGTTCGCCACGAGCTTCAGATGCTCGGCCCGGAGGGCGAAGCCCTCCACCTCCACGAGGGCCTTCACGGTCCTCGTGGAAGACGGCAGGCTGCCGGTGGACTTGGGGAGCAGGGCCCATGTCAGCAGTTCCTCACCACAGAAATCCCCGGGCCTGAGAGTTATGGAGTCGAAGAAGCCAGTCCTTCCCCCGTTGGTCGTATAGCTCTCCAATCTCCCCCGGATGATGAAGAGCATCTCCGTCACCGGGTCCCCCTCGCGAACAATGTAAGTGCCCTCGGTGCTCAGGGATGAGACCAGGTGCTCACATATGGCGTCCAGAAGCTGACCATCCATCTGTGCAAAGAAGGGGACCTGCGAATTCACATGAACCAGGTGAGACGGAGGGCATAGCGAGGTGAAAGAGTCGTCGACATGGGAAGACTGAAGATGTCAGATTGAGGATGAGCATGGTACCCGGCGAACAAGATCCAGGCACAGATGTTTCTTGATATCCCTCCGGAGATCAGTCGGCAGAGCCCGCAGAATCGACTCCTCGTCGACTCCCCTGTTCGCAAGCCACTTGTATTGGACGAACTGCCGGACCCTTTCACGCAGCTCATGTGGGAGCTGGCGATGTCTCATCCACTCTTCAGTGTCTCTTCGTTTCAGTCGCCACTCCTCAACTCTCACAGTGATGGACTGCAGATATGCCTGCATGGGGGGAAGTAATCGTCTAAGCCATTTGGGCGTGGGCAAAATCATCAGCAAGTACCAGAAACCAGGCCAAGAAAAATAACCATGAAACTTTATACCGAAGCAGAGTCAATTTTTCTTCATCTCTACTGTTTCATGTGGTAATATTAATGTGCATGAATTTTCCCCGATGGAGAGAAATTATCCACACAACCCAAGAATTTCCCAGAAATTTGGGTTGATAAACCTGATAGAAATCAGATCTTGCACTCGGGTAAACATGGAGGATTGATTCAACCACATTCACTTTCTAAAAAAGGCTGTGGAAGCTTCAAACACATGAATGATTAGGGTTGACATAGCCTCTGATGAACAAGGGCTATGATCCTCTCACATATACAGATATTCTCAGGCCTGGATGTTAAGATCTAAGCCCTCTGTCCAGACTCATATATGATTGTGAGGCATAATCAGAATGAAATGACATAAATATATGAGGACATAAAATTATCATTCAAAAAGCCATTGATGAATAGGGGGAAAACCCAGCACATCACCTGCATGTTCCCAATCAAATGCGCGAATAAAACCAGGCCCACTATGGCAATCAGGATGGCGAACAATGTTTCTCCGATGAATGTACTAGTTGCTAGATTTTGCCCGTATGAACTGCCAAAAAGAAACAGCAACCGGCCATTAGATTATGAAGGGAGAAGGGGAAATCTTCCAAGAAAATCATGCTTTTGAAGGTGGATAGCAGCAATATATATGCAATAAACGGCCAAAAGAGAAATAAATATTCAGAAATAAATGATCGGCGGGTTCTTGAAAATCTCTCTAGGCAACATTTCCAGTCTATATTTTAGGCGGCACTAAAACCCCAGATCCCTGAAAAGCAAGAAATAAAATCAGGACAGTTCCCCCTCAAAAGTAAAAAACCCTATTGAAACTTCTCACCCTCAGCAACCTCACTCCCTCGTATCAAAGAACAGCCCCGTTGGAATGAAAATCTGCATAGGCGGCGGCAGCAGCAGCAGCAGTAGCATATGGAAAAGGAAAGGCCCTTTTCCTTTCTTTCTTTCTTTCTTTCTTTCTTTCTTTCTTTCTTTCTCTCTTACTTACTTCCACCTTCCTCCCCCACTCTCCACCAGCTGGCAAGGGATGCCACTGTCGCCTACCCTTCATCCGACGGTAAATCCATCTGGGTACCAGTTAATCCAAGTTAATTCAACCGATTTCCTGCCAAGTTGTTATTTTTTCTCTCTTTTCTTCATCCCCTGTAGACCACCGGGTGCTCTGTTGAGCCACTGGCAGCTGAGGGCCACAAAACTAGCTCATCAAGGGTTCAGTAATGTCCCATTCATGCCCCAATGAAGAATCTAGTACGGGCAGTTTTTTTCTTTTTTGAATTTATTCAGTAATATGCCATGAAGAAAGCAAAAGAGTGATTAAGAAAACTATCATCAATTCAGTGTTTTATCACCATACCTCAGGTTCTGTAAACCCCACCACAAGCAATACAGGTATTTCTTCACAAAACCTTCTGAGACGGCGCCAGTCTTTAATGCATTCTGAAAGATGCCAAATTTGAACTTTATATCATCATCGGTGGCATTGCAATTCGCAAAAACCTTCGTGTTTCGTGCCCAACTCGCATCCTCATTCGCGCTGCAGTCTAGAAATTGATGGTTGCATTGTAGTCCATCTACAGATTCCTTCCTGCACTCTGACTCCCAGCATGTGGCCTGGCGGTCTACAGATAGCAAGTACCATGACGCTCCCAAGACCTGTTTGCGCAGTCAAGAACGAATTGTTGGTAAGTTAGTTACCGTTGACTTTCCTACCCACCAAGGAACCGGGTCAAAACTTGGGGGGGGGGTGTTGAAGAGGCATACATGGCTGGCCAACATGTAAAGAAGTAGATTGTATGCAGCCCCAGCCCAGGGAGTCTCCATGACAACTCCAGTGGCTTTGATGATCTGATAACTCAGCGGGAAGATTAGATATAGCCTGGGAATATACTGAAGAAGAACTATGAGAGCAAGGGCGTTGTGATTGTGGTTGGCGTTCGAATCTCTAATTGCTGGTATAGCCAGCCAGATGACGATCTGCAAAAGAATACATCAAGTTTTCACAAACGAGAGACATAAAGACGGGTTGAAGGAACCACATTGCATGTAAAAGCTCCTCCTCTCTCCCCTTCTCTGTGTTTTTCAATAGCCCTGTTCTTTGAGTGAGCGGCCAGAGTTCTAAACGCTACAGTTATTGGCCCCATCCAACCTAGAAACCAGCTGGTGGTGAATGTCAACGGTTCATTTCTATTATTATCAGTAATCTCGGGACTGTTAACACCTGGTCAACTCAGGAGCATGAAATCATGCCTGAGTTAATCAGGGCATCAAAAATCAACCTGGGCTCATTTTTGTCAACATAGGTTTTTTTGCGCAAGGAGAAGCACAGGACGGTTCTTCAATGGAGCAGAGAGAGAGAGAGAGAGTGATGGGTACCTGAGGAAGAGGCAACGCTGCCACAAGGTCAATAGCAAAATCTGATCGCAGGTACCTTCTTGCTATCTTCTTGGGATCCATGACGAGCTCCCCCCGGCCGAAAACCCTGGAGCTTGGGGCTACATAGGCCGTCCGGAATTTTATAACAATATGCAGGATATAGAAGAGATCTGCAATGCACCGGAACACGGTGATGACGGTGCTCAATTTCTTATCCAGCTTGATGCAGGAAGAACCTTCACTTCCACTGCGGACCAAGGGCAAGTAGAAGTACAGAGGATCCACAAACAGAGCCACGAGACACATGCCGAGGAAGGCCCAGTTCCACTTAAGCATGATCTCGCTTCCAGGGTCCAGTATTCGTTCCTGCCATGGTGCTTGTTCTTCACAGAACGCCTTGGCCTTGACGTCTCCTGTTGAACCACCTCCTACTCTGGTAAAGTTGAATCCTATCGACTTGGGCAGCTGGTGCACTGATGACTTCTCTCGGTTCTGCTTCTCATCAGAGTAGAACCTTCAAAATTTAAATGAGGAACCGTCAAAGCTCAGATGTATCTGGGAGTATCAAAAGGGCGAGGAGTTGACCGATGGCAAACTGGAGCAGAACATGATATCCAAGGAACACCAAGTCAAAAAAATCAAAACCCGGTGGCGATCCTACTCTGTGGAGCAAATGATGGATGTTAATGGGTTTTTGCCCTAATCAGAATTTAACATGGAGATTAAATTATGATTTTATTATCAACAGCAGGTCCCGTACCCTCCTTTTAAAATAACTGGGAATGAATTTTTATGAAATTTGAATGCTCCCAAGCTCAGAACCTGGAGAGGATATGGAAATTGTTGTGTATCCGCGGACCAAGCAAATTCTCTGAATCATACAACCCAGAAGAAGAAGAAGAAGAAGAAGAAGAAGGGCGATTTCTCCTTACCTTACAGTCCTCTTCTGCTGGACCTCCGTTACATCTTTAAACTTTGAGGAGAACATCGTGCTGAAAGAGAGAGCAACTGCACACGGGAAATTGGAGTCACTGGAGACGTTGGACCTCCGGCCGCAGGAGGACGGCAACAAGGCGGGGCGGAGAGCTCCTCATGATTCTGAAAGTCTCGTAAAGAGGGATGCCAGCAGCAATAAAGGTGGAGTGGGTGAGTAAAGGGGAGGTCACGGAATCTGTAAGCTCTTAGCCAGCAGCGACGCCCCTAATACCACCAACGTCCATCCCCTCACCAAGCGCGAGCAGGTCGATCCAATTAGCGGGAGAGAAGGAGGGACAGAAACCCAGATCCTTCTCTCTGTATGGGAGGGAAGAAATCGGCGAGAGATTTAGGAGAAAGAAAGAGTAAAACACCCAGATAGCTGAAAGGTTCTTTTAATGACGACGACTATACTTTTATATGACTAACATGTTCTATACCACGGCAGAGCTCTTGAAACCCAAGAAGGGGGAGGTCCTTGTCCCCTTTTTTTAGTTCTTGACGTGTCCCTTCTCCCCTTCCTCTTTACTTCCTACCTACCCTAACGCCAGATCACGCTGATTATGACTACTCGTATGTCTCTTCCCCGTTTCCTTAGGCCCGTAATCTGACGAAGGGAGAACGAAAGGGAGAAGAATCAGAGCAGGAAGGGTTCTCGTAACCGCAGGTCAAGAAACCCAGAGTATATTCTACAAAGTCAACGCGATAGACACGGTCGGCAGCGACGGCAGAAAAAAAATAAGTTGAAAAACGACAAGACAGGGTAGTTTCCCTGCCAGAGAAGAAAAAAATCAACGGGGATGGCGAGATAAGGTGGAGAGCGTCGTGCTCCCACTGCACCCGCCTCCGCCATAGCGGCGATCTCCCCCCGCAGTCATGACGCGCCACCAGCGCGCCGGCGAGAGGGGACCGCCCGCTGCTACTGCCGGTTAGCATAGCGTGACCACTGAGAGGGTGGTCCCAGGGTTGACGCCGAAACGGCAGCGGCCAACCTACGTAAAAATAAAGAGCAATAAACGTCGCTCACGTCTTTATTTGTTTACTTATTTTCCTACAGTACTCATCTCCATGTTCCAGTTCTCGCCGTAACAGCGAAAAGGCCCCATCTTTATTTTGTTCCCAGATGGTACACCGAAGCAAAAGAAACCCCTACGAACTACAGACAAAGTCCACGTGATTCAGAAGGTCAACCTCTCTCTCCCTCCCTCTCTCTCTCTCTCTCTCTCTCTCTCTCTCTCTCTCTCTCTCTCTCTCTCTCTCTCTCTCTCTCTCTCTCTCTCGCTCTCTGTGTTCCCCCTCAGTCAGGTAGTCTCAGAGCAGACGCGACGGGTCCCCTCGGAAGTGTAACTCCGAGACTAGGGCTTGCGGGTGGAGAGGAGAGGATACGTGGGCAGAGCTTGACTGGGTCTTCTATTCCGGAACTTAACCCCGACGCCCGGACCATTTTTTGCCCCGGACTGCCACCTCCCCCCGTTTGCTTCAGACAGCCCTCATCCTCTCCTCTACTCCACGCGCTCCTGGTCCGGCAACCTCCGGCAGGATATGGGACGTAAAGGGCGGTAGCTGATCTTAAAAGGACCCGGGATCATGACCCATCTTTTTACTGGAAAGTTGCCGGCGTTCTGTAAGGCCAGAAAGGCCCTTTCTTCCCTCGAGAGCCACCGTCTCTTCTCTATTTCCCCTGCTGATTTCCGCCATCGGGTGGTTAAGAAGCGGAGAGGGAGTGCGCGTGAATGGGGCCGAGCGCCTTGTTCGATACGGAGATTGTCTCGACAGAAAGAGCCGGAGAATTTTCTGCTCCACCGTAGTGGGTCCAGGGAGGCGGGAAGGCGTTCTCGTCGATGATGAAGGTGGATACCCACCATTGACGTCAGGCCGCGACGACTTTTCCCGATTATGAAGCGCTTATAAAAAGGAAGCGTTAGGTTGTTCTGGAGCTGAGCGGAAGGGAAAGGAAGGGAACAGAACCGGAGCCATGGGGGGAGAGGAGTTCTTGCCTCTGATCGCCGTCGGCGGCCGGCCTCCGCCCTCGAACGGCTTGGTGATACGACGGGGAGCCTCAAGGCTCCTCGTGTGGGCCTGGAAGCTCGTTCTCCCCGTCTTGTTCTCTATCTTATCCCCTCCGTTTTCCTGTTCCTTGCCACCTATGTTGCCACCATACCTACCGTGGATCGTCGACATGGTCAGGACGCTCTTCGCCATGAAGACCAAGGGTCCTTCGAACCTAGAGTGCCTGGCCCTTCTTCCCCAGCTGATTGAGGATCTCATAGAGTTCGCCGCCGTGGGAGTGGGTATGATGTTGGCGTCTTTCCTGCTCTCGTCGTTCACTGTGACGGCGGTGATCAACGCGCTCGCCATGGCTTCCAAGGCGGAAAAGGTAACCTTCAAAGAGCTGTTTTACAAGATCACGTGGATGTGCAAGGGCCTTGTTGCCGCTCTTCTCTATGTCAACCTCTTGGCCTTCGCTTAGATGATCCTTTGGCTGCTACTTCTGTCTATTGTCATCTTGAGCTTCGGCCGTTCTCTTCTGTCGTTTGCCCTCTCCGCCGCAACCATAATCTTCTTGGGCCTTGTTCTCCTTCTTTACTTGTAGATTGACAGGTCTCGAAGGGAGGGAGGACGGTACGGGCTGACGAACGAGTGTATCATCGTGGGCAGCAGCATCTTACCCTCGGTACTTGTGGGCGTGTTATTTGTAGCCATTGACATGGCGTTCTACTGCGAGTGCAGAAAAGCAACGGAGACGGTTCTCGTCTCCGTCAGCTTGTAAACCTCCTCTCTGTCCACGGTTCTCTTCTGTGATCAGAAAAGAGGGCAGGTTTCTGATAGGGCCCCGGGTACTCAGTTAGATGGTGGAAACGAAAACCTGATAGTTCGAATAACAATATCCGTCTCTGGACTATTGGGAAATGATGATTCAACTGAGGACGATCGGACGATACGAGAGAGAGAGAGAGAGAGAGAGAGAGAGAGAGAGAGAACCAGAAGGACTCCGGGGAGATGCTAGAAGACGAGGAGGAGGTCAGCCAGCAACCCGCTGTATCGGTTACTGTTCTCCGGACTGTTGGGAAATGATGATTCAACTGAGGACGATCGGACGATACAAGCGAGAGAGAGAGAGAGAGAGAGAGAACCAGGACTCCACGATAAAAGGGGGAGATGCTAGAAGACGAGGATGGGGCGGGGGGATAACGACCCTTCGAGTGGAGTGGGTCAAACTCTACCATACGACCCCTACATCGGGTCAGACTCCAAGACTCTTCCTTGCCTCCTTCAAGCTTGGATCATTCCGAGTCTTATAGACTCCAAGACTCTTCCGGAATCACCTCTACTTCCAGCTGGCTCAGCTCTAGGGGGTGGCCACGTGGTGACGGTCAACTTCATTGCCTACGTGGTGTGGATGATGAGGCGTGGACCTCATCACAAGGGACATGAAAATGAGATGTTAAAAGAGATCAAATAAATGATTTAAAAATCACAAACACTGTTATAAATAGAAGGAGAAATTCGAATCTAGCTCAAAATCATGTATGGGAACAATGGCTATCATAAAAATCACTCAGAAATGACAGAACTAATCGAGGAAAGAAGTCACCAGAGAGATCAGGTCAGCGAGTGTCAATCGTTGACCTTGGATCATTGACCGAATTAAATAGTTGACTATTGACTTCCCCAGAGGCCGTTGGACGTTGGGCAAACGGGGGCTGGTTGTTGGTCGGCTACAGATCGGAATCATCATAGCTTCTCGGCGGGTTCGGATCCGACCCAGAAGTTACCCGGTGGCGTGACGGGAACAACCCCGATAATGGGTCCGTGGGTAGGAGGCCCAACAGTGGCTCGCCGGTTTTTATGCCCTAAGCGTCCCGTGAGTGCTGGACCGGACGGCTGACTCGGTGATCTGAGACGTAGGTGGCGGGGACGGGTGAAACGAAGGTGGCAGAGAGAGTGAGAGAGGGCGATAGAGAAGGTTGCCGGAAGGCGGTAGTGGCGAAAGACGGAGGTGTAGGCGGCGGAGAACGGTGGAACGGCGGCGCCAGAAGGAGACGGTGGCAACGGCGGCGGCGGAATAAGACGGTGACAGTGGAGGCGGGTGGATGGCTGAGTGGTGGCGACGGCGGGAGAAGACGAATGTGGGGGCGGACGGAAGATGGGCCGGCGGCAACGATGACGGACGGTGGGGGTGGAGGATGATGGCGACAGCGATAACACTCCAACCGTGATCACGGGGTCCTCACGGCCAACTCTAACCGGGGGGATGGGGTCTCACGACCAACAGCAGACGGCGGAGCTTCCGCAAAGGTAAATGAATCTCAATCACTAATTGTCTGTCTAATGACGACGAGACGGGCCTTTTAAAGACCTTACAAAGAAAAACAAAGTAAGTAAAATAATGGAAAGCTTAACTAAGGAAGAACATGTTGATAATAAATGAAATCTTCAACTTCCGGGCGAATGTGTTGGCGTCGGGGATCTCCGGTTGCCCTCTGGGCCCAAAGCTGTCTGGGTCGAGCTTTAGTCCTTTAGTGTGCCGGCTGAATCTAGATTGGGTCCCCCGTCTTGCATCATGCGCCTTTAGATATGGGTGTTATGAAGACGAGCGTCCCCTCCTGGTACAGCAGAAATGAAAACTCAGGAGAAGAAGATGAAAGATCTAACGTTGTTCGGATGAATCCACCTACGTCAACTGTCTCACAACAGTTGCACTACACCACTGAGAGAAGGAAGAACTAGGTCAAAGGACCACTTTCATTGGTGACTCAATTCCGCTTTCTGTTCTAGATGAACTTCTGTGATCTAGCACTTCTTCCTTCAGCCAACAAGGTAGGTGTCTGAGTCTCTCCTTCTCTCCCAGCAAGGTAGGTGGTTGCATTGGCGGTGCCTCTGCTTCTTTAGCAATAGTGCAAGCAACTCCATCCTCAGTCAGCAAGACAGGAAGCGATGCCCTGCTCTAAAACCCCCACAATCATCCTCTCCCATCCACCTCTATTTCTCTCTTTGTCTTCACTCTCAGAGTTCTGCAAATGACAGAGGCCTCCTTTTATATTTGCCTCTCAGACGCCCCACGGGTGGGAAAAGTTGCCACGACCCAATAGAGGTGCTGGATCCGTTTCATGGGAACAGTTAGTGGAAGTTTATTACTGTTGAGATAATGCTTTTGATGTTGTATAAAGAAACTGAAATTATGTTTAAACGAAAGATTACATAAATTATATTAACTTCATAAATGAGAACTAAAGGTTCAATCTTGTATTTTTTATGTGAAAATTAAAGCTATTAGATGACAATAATTGTCTCCGAATGAAATCAGATCAATCGAAAGTCAAATGACGTCAAAACAAGAAGACTTTAATAAAATACATAGAGTGTGTCGACCAATGTTGACCATCTTTTGAGATGTGTAGACCCACTATGAAGTGTGTCAACCCATCGTTAGACAAAGGGCAAAATCAAAACCAAGTTCAACACGTGTGGCAATGAGAAAAGATTCAACGTGAAACTTGGCAGTCACTAAACATAGTCAGCATAGAAAATTTTAAAGTGAAGTGACACGTGGCAACCAGTTTGTCACATGGCACTTGGTAGAATTAAACCTTAAAAATGAAACGTGGATAAGTCAGTCAGCATGCGAATGACAGCCGACACATGGCTAAACAGTGCCTAACAGTCATAAAATGCCGCAAATAAAGTGACAACTCAGAAAAACCTTAAGTAGGAAGAATTTGACAAAGGCAATAGTCAAATTGACACATGGCAGGCATCTATCACAAAGATGGCATCTCCTGACACGTAAAAAAAGTAGCACGTCAGAGGGCATTGACTGATACAAGGACAGAGCTGAATTGTCGAAAGGCAACTCTAACAGTCTAGTCAAGGCAATCTTACAAAGCCTGAAAGCGGATTGACCCATGTAATGGCATGAAAAAACTTTTAACCGAGTATAACTTTCTCATTTGAACTCCAACAATCAAGTCTTAGAGCTCTACAAGTATCCTCATGAACAAGCTTTCAAAAAAAAACTATATGACACCAAAAAATTGCTCATTGTCTTGCAAAAAAAATCCTAAGAGAAAGCAATGGAATAAGTATCCTACATTCAAAAATTATTCCTCTACTTCATTTAATCATTTTAAAATGATGTAATGTTCCTCATTCCTACTCATATAAGTGAAAGCACCAAGGGGAGTGTTAGTAACATGTAATTGAAGGCTAACTAGGGCCTTGATGTCTTGTGTCAGGAGATAGATCGTGAGAAATTTTGTTTGTGTATAGACCCCAAGAAATAAATTGTACTCTTTGGAAGAGAATAGTGTAACCAAGGGTTCATATCCTTAAAAAGTGGATGCAGACTAAGGGTGGCTGAACTGTTATAAAAAATTTGTGTTTTGTTCAGAAACTGAAACCTTTGTTTTGGCATAGAACTCAAGTGTGTCAACCCACCTGAAAACTGTGTTGACCCATAAACTTCTGGTAGATCTATGAAAATTAAAAAGTTCCTAAACACCACTAAAATTTAAAAATCAATTCACCTCTCATAATACATCTTCAAAGTCAATTACAAACATAATAATCATGTTTTCTACTTGGCTCATTTTCTAAAATTGCATCCATGTCAAACTCTACCACAACCTTCATAATTGTTAATAACCTTGTTGAAGCAATTTTCACATGGATTTTAAGGTGGCCAAGAAAAAAGTAATGCTTGAACTTCTATGAAGGGATATACTTTGTAAGTGTATCCATTGGCTGTGCAACATATAAGCCTATTTTACAGTAATTATCTCTTGCAAAATGACATCATGAAAAAAATGATGCTTGACATAGTATGTTACATCATAATGCTTTATAGTTAGATGTATGAAACTCTTGTTATCATGCTACATTATAATCATTTCCTATACTTGACCTAGATTGCTAACCTAGCCTTTTAGTTACAAAACACTATCTAACTCCTTTCATTGTCATTTATTTTGGCTATGTCATTGACAAATGTAGAATGCACTGCAAAACAACCTTCTGAGTCATAGCACAATTGGAGAAAATACAGACATAGTATGTTAGTAATATCCTATTATCTTTATCATCACTATAATCAAAATCAATGTAACCAACTAATTGATTGAGATTGATATTTATTTTGTAGAATATCATGCTCATATCTGAAGTAGATATGAGGTAACATAGTATCTAATTTATAGCCTTCAAGTGAACCTTCATAGGATTTCTCATGTGATTGCTAACCACACTACTAATATGGAAGAAATCAGGTCAAGTATACCATAATATACGAAAATATAATTTCTACTTACATATAGAGCATTCATTGTTTATTCTATCTTTCTCTCTAAATTTGGTTAATCTTCAACAAACAATTTGAAATGGACTCCTCTCTAGAATTTATCGCATTAAAATCTTTCATGTCAAGTCACTTGAGTACCTTCTCCATATATTTGTGACAAAATCTTTTCAAAGTTACAATATGTGTGAATCTTCATTCTTGAAGACCTTGTTGTTCTAAGATTTTTTATTTTGAATTCATCACTCAATTCAAGTTTTAATTGATTGATTTCTGACATGTTGGTAGCTATTAACATGTTATCTATATAAAAATAAATAAATAAATAAATCATCAACAAGCTCTATACTAAACCCACCCAACCATCATAATCATTTCTAGATAATTTATGAACATAGATGTATAAAATCTTTTGTACCACTATCTTGAGGATTATTTTCAGTCATATAAATAATTTTTTAATAGGCCTACATGATCTTACTTGTTAGGAAGTTTCAAACCCTATGATCAGTGTGTGTAAAATTTTTTCTCAAGGTCATCATGTAAAAGCAATGGATTCACATCTAAGTAGCTCTATTTCTAAACAAAATAAATCAACAATGACATGTAACTCACAAATAATCTTTTGGTATATGTTACAATATTAGAAGCTAACTCATTGAAGTCAATAATCTTCTAGTGTGTGAAATTATTTTCAGTCATGTAGTATTTCCCCTAAAAAGATTATTTCTTTCTTAATGACCCAATTGGACTAAAAAATCTTCTAATCAAATTATAATTTCGCTATCTTCTATGTCACGTGCTTCTAAAGAGATTTAGTCTCCTCTATCATAGACAACTATTTTTTAGAGAATTTGTCTAATATGATGACTTCTCTACAAAACTACAATTTTCTCTAACTCAACTTAATATGCCATAGAAAAATCAAAATCTAATGTTATCACAAGCACACTTCTGCCTATCTATTAATGTGGATTGTCTTTGAAGGTCATGTTGTTGTGTTTTACCATTCTTTATCACATCATCTATCATATTGAGATTTTTACTCACATATTTTATTGTAGTTTCTATTGAAAGCTTCACTTCTTACTTTCCTAATTTGCTACCAACTTGTTCTATATATTTTTTCATTAATTTTCTCACACTTGAGGTATCATAAAATCATTGAAGGTCACATGTATTCTAAACATAAACTTGAGTGTCTGATGATTGGTACACCATGAATGATATATCTTCATACCCTATATTTATACGTATCCTATGAAAATATTATTTTGTTATTTTTTGCTCTAATTTTTCATTTGTGGCATAAACATATGCAAGACAACTAAAACCTTTAAGGTGAGAATTATTCATGAGACAACTAGACTATATCTCCTCTTGAGTTTTCACTATGGTTGTGGATAGATATCAATTCCCATAGTAGTAAGCAGTGTTGATAACTTCTAGACAAAATGCCTTTGATAGACTTACTTAAGATGCCATACTCCTCATTTTAAGATGGCACTTGTTCCTCTATTATGTAACATTATTTTATTGCAGTATCCATTTCATAATGTGATGTCAAATAATGACTTTCTTATTGTATGACTTACGAAATTCTTTTGCAAATAATTTCATATCACTCTCACATACTAAGATGCTCGATTTTGTTATTAGTTTACCTTTTAATAAATATCTCCCAGTACTTGAAATAGGTAAACACTTCACTCTTTTTATTCAGAATATATATGGGACATTTCTTGAGGAACCATTAATAAAGGTCAAAAAATACATCCCTCTTTGAGACAATTGAGCAAGAACCCAAGATTTCTTCACAAATTATATCGAGACAGGGCTACATATTAACTCCCAAAGATTGAAACATTTGAAATTTATGTCGTCATTAATCATCTCTCTAGACACATCATAGTCCAGAAATTTAGGACAACATTGTAGTCCATTTTGGACTCCTTGTATTGACTCCAAACATATGAACGCTCCCAACACCTATTTGAATAGTTGAAAAATAATTTTTGATGAGTAAATCAATGATGACTTCCTATGAACATAAACGGGTCAAAATTCTTGGGAGCATTAAATGAGGAAAAACCCCATCTTTATTTTATTTTCACATACTGCTCGGAAACCTCTCTCTCTCTCTCTCTCTCTCTCTCTCTCTCTCACACACACACACACACACACACACACACACACACACACACACACACACACACACACAACGTTCTGCCAGAGCAGCTGGGCCGAGAGCAGGCCCGACGAGCACCTCTGAAGAGCAAGGCGGGTGGTCCATAAGACTGGCCTTGCGGGCGAAGAGGAGAGAGTATATTCTGGAACTTGTCTCTGCGACAGGGCCAGGAAGAAGTCGCCGGCGACTGAAAGGCCTGCAAGGCCCTTTTTCTCTGGAGAGCTGCTGACCAGGACCAGAACCCATTCCCGACTTCACGAATCAGGAGAGCCAAACACGGTGCAGTTGAGAGGTGAAGCAGACCGCCCTCTCGAGTCGGAGGGGGGTAGTCTGGAAGTCAACCGTCGATCCCGGCGTCGCTGAAACCGTCCCTCGGACGGTTTCCTTTCTGGACTCCGGAAGTTATGTTTGAAACTTTACGTTTTGGGACAGTGTATTTCGAAGCGAGAGTTGGTCGTGACTGCGTCCCCTCGTCCTCCCTCCTGTCCCTCCACGACTACTGTCCAGGGCCAGAAAGCATTGGAGCACGCGGAGGACCCTCCACTGTCGCAACCTCCCTTACCCTGTCCTTCCGCGAGCTCGACAACATTTTTTCCTCTTTATTTCCAGAAACTACTCGCAACATCTGCTGACTCCCATTTATCTTCACGCATGTCTTCTCCTCGCCGTCGGACGATTCAGCCGTGGAAAAGGAGAGCCCGTGATGGGGGAAGGATTGCCTTGTTCAACACGGAGGATGTCTTGAAAGATAGAGCCGAAGAACACATTCTGTGGCTTGGGCTGCACGTCAGGTCCGGGTAGGTGGAGAGTCGTTCTCGTCCATAATGAAGGTGAACGCCACCGTTGACTACTTCTCACGACGACTGACCCCAATTAGGAAGAGCTTAAAAAGAAAATGCGACAGGTTGTTCTGCAACTGAGCGGAAGGTAAGGAAACACACCCAGAGCCATGGGTGAAGAGGAGTGCTTGCCTCTGATCGCCGGCGGCGGCCTGTCTCCAACCTCGAATGCCTGGGAGATACTGTGCAGAGTCGCAAAGCTCCTTGGGAGGGCCTGGAAACTCCTGTTCCCCCTCCTGTTCATCTATCTTATCACCTCCACTCTCCTGTTATTCGGCAACTATATTACCATTATGCCGTTGATCGTCGACATGGTCAAGAAGCTCTTCGCAATGAAGACCGAGGATCCCTCGAGCTCAGAGTTCCTTGCCCTTCTCCGCGGGATAATTGAGGATATCAGGGAGCTCGCCGCCGCGGAAGTGGGTATGATGTTGCCGTCTTTCCTGCTCTCGTCGTTCCACTGGACCGCGGTGATCAACGCACTCGCCATGGCTGCCAAGAAGGAGAAGATGACCTTTAAGGATCTGCTTTACAAGATCACGAGGACGTGGAAGGGCTTATTTTCCACTCTTCTCTACTCTAACTTTTTAAGTTTTGGTTACATTTTCTTCTGGCTGCTACTTCGGTTTGCCTTCTTGTTTCACTTTGGCCATTATCTGCCGCCGTTTGCCTCGTCCGCTATCACAATCGTTCCGGGCCTTGCTCTCCTTCTGTACTTGCAAATGGTCTGGACTCAAGGGGTGGTCGTCTCGGTGACGGAGGAAGGGCGCTACGGGCTGACGGCCCTGGGTAGGGCGGCGGAGCTCATCCAAGGAAGAATAAGACTATGGCTGGGAGTTTACTTCCTCTGGATACTCATCTTAATGGGGTATTGTCTGGCCATAAGTCTCCTCCTCCGGAGCGAGACGAACCAGATGATCATCATGACCGCCAACCTCTTACCCTCGCTACTTCTGGCCGTGTTCTCTCAAGCCATGGACGTGGCGTTCTACTACGAGTGCAGGAAAGCCACGCAGAAGGAGACCCCGTGAAGGGGAGCTTGACGTACACCAGGGTTCCCTCTTCTGCGTGCTTCTTCATGGTGGTCTGTTGAGATATGATTAATATCCCATGTGGGCTCAACAAGGTGGATGAATTATCAGAAGCTTGATGTACACCAGGGTTCCCTCTTTGAATCTCTCTCTGTCGTAAGAGATAAATAGTGGCTGATTCTCTTAGGTACACAGAAGCAGAACTGCTCGTTATTTGCTGTTCTCGGTGGAAATCAGAGCTCGTGTAAGGGTGACTTGGTCATCCTTCATTCAGCAAGGCCCATGTGGACCACGTCCATTTCTACTAGGCTTTCACTTATTACTGTTTTCTGTCCAGAAAATAGTTCAGCCTCTTTTCTATAACATATATTTAAAGGGAGCTCGAGGAGAGAGAAATATGAGAGGAAACAAACAAATCTAAGGCACAAGAAACCTAATACTCTTCAACGGCTGCAACAGGAGTTATGACATCATCTCCCTCCTTTTTTTCTCTCTCTCCTCTATTAGTAGCTAGTAGTACTGTTTCATTAATTCTGTATCCGTTGTATTCTATTCTTCAGATCTTGTCATTAGAAGCAGAACTCCTTTCTCTCTCCTTCATCTCCCTCCTTTTGTTCTCTCTCTCCTCCACTGGTGGCTAGTATTATTGCTTCATTAACTCTATCTCTATTATATTATATTCCTCAAACCTTGTAATTACTCTCTTCTTTATTGATTTACTAGTCGTGAGGTGTGTTTATCCTCTTTAGACCACAGTAATCAAAGTCCTTTATTATTATAGCCCATTCTTCATTTTTATTATCATCTATATATCAAAAGACTTGATGTACTTATACTCTTAAGTTTCTGCTATGCTGGTAGGGTAGTCTAAGTCCATTAAGATCCTGTTCCAAGCACTATTTCCTAACAGCTCGCTTTGTTCTCACTTGTTTAGTAAGTTCAGAGCATTGTCTTATCACATATTTAGAGATTTATTATTGAGTGTGTTTTTATTTTGTTCTTTCAGCACTGTCTGCCTTGAGACTTCTAAGGTCTCTGTCAGCCTATAATTCTCTCATGTCCTTGGTTCTCTCTTGTAGTCAGAAAAGACGAAACCTTGAATCCTAATACCCTAAGTCGGAGCCCATCGGTCCATCTTTCAACACTACGTGGGGCCAGAGAGAGACCAGCTTATCCCGTCGGAACCCTCTAATGCAATATTAATGAACATAAATTTTGCATATATCGGATTTTGAATACTTGACTAACAAAAGATTAGTGAATGTTAATTTTACAAGGAGATGGTCCAACTGACCGAAAGGACCCACACGTGGCCTGTTTCTTGATCTCATAGCATGATGGTACATTTCCTGAGGTCAACCCCTTAGTCTCTATAAATAAATGACCCTTCCTCCTCCTTTGATCATCCCATTAGCGATAGGTTTGAAGAAGTTCAAAGAGGTCTTAGAAAAGGTTCTAAGAGAGATCTATCTTTAGGGTTTTGTGAGTGTTTGGAGGGACAAGATCTGAGATTTATTCTCTCGGTTTTTGGTGAGTAATTTGAGGGCCAAGATCAAGGATTTTTCTTAGGTTCTTGGTCAGAGTTATTTAGTGCTCTTATTCCATTTAGTTAAATTTTCGTCATCGCTCGTAGATGTAAGAGGCCAACCTTAGAACCACATAAATCTTGTCGATGTTCTTACTGTGAGTTGATCCATTTCTCATTGCCTACATGTCATATACATCAAGAGAGCAATGTTCTGCAAGTCCATAGTTGACTTTTGCTGTAACACTTATTGATTCCCTTCCTATGTATAATTGCCTAGGTGAATAAGATTTGACTGTACCCCTCGTTGACCAATAATGGAGGCAATGGGTTTTCATCAAGTTGACCAACGACTTGTCCCTCTATTGCATTTACATCTGCCTCTCATGATGGGCATTCCGTCAATTGGGCCTGATCTATCAGTAAACTAGAGAACAAAACTATTGTTAATGCCACATAAGAGGTTGATGGGACTCTGTTCACTCTTTCATAAATTATCATAAAAGGATTTTCAAAGAGTCATCTTACATGGCGTAGAGACCAACTCAATGCGATAGATCACCTAGTTTTGAGGTGTGTAAATAAGACTTAACACCCTCCATGATAAATGGTTACTCTGTGGACTGGGTCTTGCAAAGAAAATGTTGGTCTGTGAGAAACAGTCAACTGATTCCTTGTTAACCGTTTCTCACAAAAGCCGACAATCCACTGAAGGGTGCCTATTTTTTCTTTGGGGCCCACCAAGACTCCTATAAAAAGAGACACCCAGTGCCTTTGTAATTCATCAAATTTAAGAGTTCTTTCTTCCTCCTATTCATTCTTCTCTACTCTCTCTCTTTATCTCTCTTACTATCCCTCTCTTGACAGTGTCTTCTCTCTTTTATTTTTCATAAAGATAGGCAGATCAATGCCATTGGCGGAGAGAAAAATGGACAGAATACCACAAATGATAGGAGAAAAATTGTCAAGAGATTTAAGGGAAAGAAAGAGTGAAACACCTAGCAAGCTGAAAGGTTTCTTTAATCACGACCACTATATATTTATAAGACCATAACGTCTTTTTTACGAGAACAGAGCTGTTGACTCTGGAGAAGGGGGAAGGAGACAGACAACCCAGAACAAGGTTCCTTCCTCTCTACTCCCTCCCTACTCTAACCCCAGATCACGGTGATCACGACTACTCATAGGTTTCTTCCCCGTTTCCTTGGGTCCATAATCGGACAAAAGTAGAGCACAAGGGAGAAGAATCAGAGGAGGGGTTCTCGTAACAACAGGCCCAGTGACGACAGAAGGAAAAAAGGTCAAGAAAAGTAAGACATGGTCGTCTCTCGACCAGCGAAGAAAATCTCAAGAGGGATGTGGAGATAAGTTGGAGAACAACGTCCAACCGCTGCGCCTCCGCCATGGCGGCGAGCGGGGACAGTTCATCGTCGCCAACAAATTTTATTTCCAGATAGAACTCAGAAAAGGAGATGCAGACATCATAAACTGTTTGCGTGTCTCAGAAGGCCACTCTCTCTTTCTCTCTCTCTTTCTCTCCTCCTCTCTCTCGCTCTCTTACTCTCTTCCCCCAAGCAGGTGGGTTAAGACCAGACACAACGACGAGCACTCTAAAGAGTAATGCCGGTTCGTGAGACTCGGGCTGGTAGATAACGAGGAGAGGGTACGTGGGCAGAGCCTGACTTAGCCTTCAAGCCAAGTCCTAAGCTTAAATGTTAGAACTTATCCTCATGGATTAGACTTTTCTAACACATACTTAATGAGTGTCCAGCCCGATAAATGCTGCAGAAATTTTCGAACTTTGACTAAACCCACGGCAGACAGTGCCGGTCGAACTCTAGATCTTCTCAAAGCTTTGTCCGAGCTTCAACTTTATCCATTTATAAAAATAGAAAATCCGTGAATTTATTTTATTTCATATATTACATGATATTATATTTAATGCCTGACCATAAAAGCAGTCGGGCCCATCAGCCATTTCTCCAGCGGAAAGCTGCCGTCATCTGAAAGGCCGTGACGGGGACAAGCGCCATGTTCGACACGGAGATGTTTCGAAAGATGCAGGCGGAGAATTTTGCAAACATTTTGTGGCTCGAGATGGTCCTGAAGGCCATGCAGGTGGGAAAGAGATCTCATCCATAATGAAGGTGGATGCCCACCGTTGACAACTGGTCGCGACGACTACCCCCGAAAAGAGCTTATAAATAGGAAGGTTAGGTTGTCCGCAACTGAAGGGTAGGGAAGGGAAGGAAACAGATCCAGAGCCATGAAGGAAGAGGAATCCTTGCCTCTGATCGCCGGTGGGGGCGGGTCTCCGCCGTCGAGTGCCCTGGAGATACTATGCGGGGCCCCAAAGCTCCTTGGGAAGGCCTGGAAGCTCCTGATCCCCGTCCTGCTCATCTATCTTATCCCCTCCTCTCTCCTTTTATTTGGCACCTATATTGCCGTGTTGCCGCTGATCTCCGACATGGTCGAGAAATTCTTAGCCGTGAAGACCGACGATCCCTCGTTCTCCGACATGGTCGACGCCCTCCTCCCCAAGCTAACTGAGGATCTTAGAGGGTTGGCCGCCACGGAAGTGGTTATCATGTTGATGTCTTTCCTCTTCTCGTCGTTCCTTTTGACGGGGGTGATCAACGCGCTCGCCATGGTCGCCAAGGCGGACAAGGTGACCTTCAAAGATCTGTTTTACAAGATAATGAGGACTTGGAAGGGCTTAGTTCCCACTCTTGTCTACGTCAACCTCTTGGCGTTCGCTTACTTGACCATCTGGCTACTACTTCTGGGAGTCGTCTTCTTCGTCTTTGACCTTTCTCTGTCATCGATTGCTTTGTGCACCGTCATATCCGTCTCGGGAATTCTTCTCCTACTGTACTTGAACATGGTCTGGTCTCAAGGGGTGGTGGTCTCGGCGACGGAGGAAGGACGCTATGGGCTGACCGCCCTGGGGAGAGCGGCGGAGCTCGTCCAAGGAAGAAGAAGACTAGCGTTGCGGGTTAACTGCCTCAAGTTTCTCATCGTCCAGGGGGGGAATCTCGCCATTAGTCTCCTCCCTCTAGAAGGGATGAACGGGCTGATCATTATGTTCGCCAGATTCCTACCTTTGGTATTTCTGAGCGTGTTCTGTGTAGCCGTGGACGTGGCGTTCTACAACGAGCACAGGAATGCCACGGGGAAGGGAAGCTGTGAAGAACTTGGGGAGACTACCAAGGATGTGAAATTAAATAATGTATAGTTTACGTGAATCTTAAAGAATTCCGCTTGAAGTCCTGCAAAATCTCCTCCCCCCCCCGCCTTTGAGGCTTTCTCCCTCACTTCCTGGGAAAGATCCACAAACAACTGGGCACCGGTGGTTTGGTGCCGCCGACAGAACAAAGAAGATGCAGAGGTGTGTTCCTCATCTTTGAGAGGACCGACGGTTATGGGGAGAGAGCTGTCCAGCAAATCCGTGCCCTTTAGCTGGTCAAGTGAGAATCTCAAGAACCTGATTTCAAAGCAGATCTAGTTACCTGCCGGCGCGTCTGGAGCAGCCAGCTCCCCGACCTCTTCTATGAGTTTTAAGGGGCAGTCCTTTAACAACCAGGCAGGCCTGAACTTGAGGGGGCGACTGAGGTCTGGCTTCGGAGAGAGTGATAATACTTTATTTCTACGTAATAATTGAATTAAAATCAAAGTATTTATTACATGAATTAACATAAAATGTAAATTATTTAAATTAAAAAAATTAGTTCTCATTTTAGAGTAATGTGACGAATTTATATCTAATTTACTAAATTTATCATTTATGTGAAATGAATAGATATTATTTATTTTGAATCTGTGTTAGCATAATTATCCAAGCTTTATATTCTTGAAAATTATTTTACAACTGAAAAAATATACTCATAAAATTAAAATTATAAAATTAAATATATCTTGGATTTTTGAAGGAAATTTATGAAGACAGTTTTTTAGCTACTTTTAGTCATTTATAAATTATCAAAATAATGAGAAAAAATGCAGCCAATCATAGCCACATCACCAAGAGGAAGTGCCAAGGGCTTATGGGCCAAGTTAGCATCTTTGGGCCATGTCAATAGTTATGCCACGTCATTGAAGTACATGCCATCTTCCATATCTGTTTTTGGGCACTAGATTAGACAGATAATATTCCATATTTCACAATGGTTGTTCAGATATTATTGCGTGAAATTTGGAAGGAAGTCATTACGAAATGGGAGAATGTTTTGAAATAATTCAAACTAAGATCTAAAATAAAATTAAAACAAATAGAGTGAAGAAATACTTAGTTATCAACCAAGGTAAGCTAAAAGAATTAGATTTGGCATCAAAACTAAATTATTAAAAAACTAAAATCAGACTTTATTACTTATCATGTAGCAAAATCCTTTAGAACAAATAAAGCTTTTAATTTAAAGATAAAATATAAATTAAACTTTATAACTTCTAAAAATATTCTTTTCCTTTCCTTTTTGTCACCTTAAAATGAGAAAAGAGATTAAACATAATTAAAAAAAAAAATTTAAATTAAATTCTTAATGATAATATTCGATAGTGGTATCAAACTCCCGGCCTACTCGGGCCAATTATTTATCTCTCTTCTCATCTTTCTTTCTTCTTTTTTATACAACTTCATGTACTCCTCTTTTATGACTTAGTTGTCGCCTCTGTCATTGCTCTCTTTCTTCTTCTCTAGGCCTCGATCCGTCAGCCGCTCCTCCAAGCCGTCATGTCGCCGCTGCCTCCCTCTCTAGCGCACCGCCCTCCTCTAGCGGTACCTTCCTTCAGCGGCGCCCTTCTCCTCTTGGCGGCACCAGCCTCCCAATGGCCTGAGCGTCACCTCCTGATGCCTCGAGCATCGACTCCCAACGCCCCAAGTGTCACCTCTTGCGCCACCTCCCCACACCTTGAGTGTCGCCTCTCGGCGCCCCGTGCGTTGACTCTCGGCACCCCCGTGCCGCCTCCTAACGCCTCAAGAGTCGCCTCCCCGTGCCCCATGCATCATCTCCTGGCATACCTCGCCACCTCTCGACGCCCTGCGCCACCTCGTGATGCCTCGCCTGTCACCTCTTGGCACCTCGCACGTCATCTCTTAGCACACCACACCACCTCCCAATGCCTCACGTGTCCCTTGTTGGTGCCATGCACAGCTCCAGGGACGTCCCCTCGCAATGTCATCTTGTCTCAAATGCCTCTTACACCAGTTCTTCAACCGGCTGTCACTCTTCATTAAGAGTCTGGCATGCACCTTCTACAATGCCACATATATCAAGTTGGTCATATTTAACTTATATGCTCTAACTAGAGGGAGAGTGTTTGATAGTGATATAAGACTCTCAGCCCAGTAAGAGCTATTATTTATCTCTCTCTTCTCATCTTTCTTTTTTTTTTTTTTTATATAATCTCATGTACTCCTCTTCTTCCTTAGAGAGGATTATGAATTATAAGGTTTCCTCTCTTGTGTAAATAGATAACAAGTAAGAATAAATATTAATGTTCTCTTCTTTTCTTATCTATCATCTAAGTAAATAAAAACAAAAAATATTTAAATTAATTAAATTTTAAAATAAGGTATCTTTGATTAATGTATTCCACCCAAAGAACAGAAAAGATATAAAATAAGACAATAGAAAAAATTAAAAGTGAAAAGAACTCCATTGATTCACAACTAGCTAGTTCCCTTAGTCTTCCTCGTTCATGTGCTCTCCAACCTCTTCCTTGCCTTCCAACCTCTTGCCCTCAAGCTAACACTGTCTTGAAGAGCTTGGACCTTCATTTTTCTTTCCTTAGATTTGAAAATCTCTCATTTAGTTTTGATTTAATTATTTTTCCTTATTTTTTGTCTTCAATCTTTGACTCTCATTTTGTGCTCTCATTCCTATAAAAAAATGGCATTTTTAGTATTTAAAATCATTCATTAATAAGCAACAGAGTTTTGGGTCTAATTTCATATCAATCAAACAAGTATTTGTAGATAAATCATGATTTTTGAATCATAATTCATTTAATTCTGTTTTTTCCTAATATTTATCCAAGTAATTCCTTAATTTTCCAATTGGTTTCCAATTTTTTGAGTGTTTCCTGCCATCTTCTGCCTATTAATCAGTTCGGATTAATTTGTGGAAGATGTAGGATTTCAACCCAAGTCACCTACTTAACAAGTGGGTCAATAGTCAACTAGCACTCTATCAAACCAATGCTTGCCAGACCGGTGCTTGTTAAACTAGCGGTTTGGACTAACATTTGTCAAACTTCTGCCCACTGAACCATTGGTCACCGAGCTAGTAGTTCTCAAAAGTTTAGTTTCACATTGGTTTTATCCAACTATTTAAGGCAAATATAACTCTGCACCTTATTGTGTATTTGAGTTCTCTCTCTCAAAATATAATGATGAAGAACCCATAGGGAGAGGGGCCCATAAAATCAGGTGGTATGCCCCATAATATACAAATGTGTAGGAGCATTCCTTGCCTCATGCCCAGTTGACCATTAGTGACGTGGAAGGGGAATGGCACGCACATGTTCTACATTTATTCCTTAGCCTCTTGAGCCCAACTAAGCTTCCCACTTGCATGTGGTGCCCTCTAGGTCAAGTATGAGTATTGGGTGGCCAGTGGCTCCCATCCTTTTTATTTTAATTTGTTACTTTCATCATAATAAACCTGCAAAAAATTTAAAAAGTATTTTCAAAATTTTCCTTAAAAGTAAAAAGAAATTCTCAAAAATTATAAAAAAATTAAAAAATGTCACAACTCATTTTAGAATTCTAAATATTAAAATTTCTTAGTTAACTATCAAAACTTATGATCACATTTAACTTCCTATTTTCAAAGAGATATCAATAAATCAATGTAAATGCATAAAATATTATTTTAATGTATGTATTTTTTTAACAAAATAAAGTATATACACATAAAAATTGACATCTTAACCATATAATTAAGAGAATTATCAGAGGATCAATTGACCATTGACTTGCTTCGCATGTGAGAAACCTAGGTTCGAATCTTATGTCTTCCACAAACTAATATAATGGATTTACACATAGGACATGGCATAATACATTGGGAAATACCCATAAAATCCAAGAAACACTCAGAAAATTACAAAACAATGTAGAACCGACAAAAAAAATCAAGAATCTCTCAAAAAATCAGAAAAAATCAGAACTAAATGAACATGATCTAAAAATCATGATTTCTCCATGAATACTTAATTGATTGATTTTAAATTTGAAATCAAGCTTCATTACTCATGAATGAATGATTCTATATATTAAAAATACCATTTTTGACTGAATTTGGAGCAAAAAATGAGAGTCAAAGGCTGAAGGTGGAAAAGAAGGAAAAATGGTTGAATGAAAACTAAATGAGAGATTTTCATATCTGAGGAAGGAGAAAGGAGGCTTCTCACTCGTCTAAAAGATAGGACATATTGTTGGTTGGAGGATAGGAGGCTATAATGTAGGGAAAGAAGGCTTGAGAGGACAGGAAGACGGAGGAAGATTAAGGGACTTAATTCATTGTAATTGATAAAGTTCTCTACGACTTAGTTTTAAATATTTTCTCATTTCATTTCTCTTTCTATTCTTTGGGTGACATACATTGATTAGAAAGACATTGTCAAATTCATTTAATGTAAATATTTCATTTTTCTCATTTTCTTGGGTGATAAATAAGGAAAAGGTTTACTTTAAAATTTATAAGGTTAAATTTATATTTTTATCTTTAAATTAAAAGCTTTCTTAATTCTAAAGAACTTTACTATGTGACAAACAATAGAGTCTGATTTTATTTTAGAATTTACTTTTGATCATGAATTCAATTATTTTATTTTATGAACTAAAGTATTTCTGCACCTCATTTGTTTTAGTTTTATTTTAACTTTTAGTTTAAATTATTTCACAGCATTCTCCACATTAATAGAAGTTATTCTATTGATAACCACAATTCTCAATTTTCCTTTTCATAGTCTCTAATCTATCTTTCTCTATTTTTGATTTAATCATAACATCATTAAAACCCTCTTTCTGATTATTTAGAGCTGACAAGATAATTACATTTATAAAATTAATTAAACTAAATTTGTGTTGAAGAGAAGATTACATCATTTTCTCATCTCATTTTATTTTGTTCCTTTCCTTTTAGTTATTTCTTTTTAAAAAATTAAAAATGCATCAAAACTAGTTCTCACCGTCCTTGAGGATCAAGGTGAGCTTGTATCAATATTAGAATTTATTTAGAAAGTGTAGTTATAAATATTATTCAATTTGCATGTATTAAAACCAACGACTAATGTATCATTAGTGATTATCAATAGAATGACTTCTATTGATGTGGAGAGTACTTTGAAATATTTAGAAATAAGATATAAAATAAAATTAAAATAAATATAATGCATAAAATAATTAAATACGTCATCAAAAATAAAATCTAAAACTAAAATCGAACTGTAATGTTCGTCACACAACAAAGTCTAACTGAACTAAGAAAGTTTTTAACTAAAATATAAAATATCTAAATTAAACCTTATAACTACAAATAAAAAATCTTTCCCTTGTCTATCACCCAAGGATGATAAAAGAAATTGCAAGTAATTATAATCATAATTTAAACTAAATTTTTGATGACTAAAACTGAAAATGATTAAAGTCTTCTCCTTTCCTTGTCTATCACCCAAGAAAATGAGAAGAACAAAACACTTTAAAATAAATAAATTGAGAAAAAATATTTATGATTAATGTCTACCACCCAAATAATAGACAGATAAATGAAATAAGATAATAATTAAAACTAAAATCGCAAAGAACTCTACTGATTGCAGTTTGCTGATTCTAAGATCCTCCTTCCTTCTCGTCTTTCTCGCCAGCCTCATTCCCTACCTTCCAACCTCCTGCCCTCTGTCTAACCATTCATTTTTATCCCCAAGAGGAGCCTCCTTTGTCTTGCTCAGATCCGAAATCTCTTATTTTTCATTTTCATTTATCTTTTTTGTTCTTCTTTTTTGTCTTTAGTCTTTGACTTATGCTTCCTGCTCCAATGTATGTCAAAAAGACATTTTTACTATAGATAACTATTCATTAATAAGTAACAAAGCTTCATTTCAAATTTCAAATTTCAAATCCATTAGACTAGTATTTGTGTAGAAAACATGATTTTAGATCAACATTCATTTCGTACTTCATTTTTTGGTTTTTTTTTTTTTTTACATGTTTCCTAAATGTTTCTAATCGATCCTCGTTGTTTTTTACCGTTTCTGAGGTTTTATGTGCATTTCTACCATCTAGTGTCATTTTTTATCATTTTTCTGTCAATTTACATTGGGTTCCACATGTTTTCCATCATTTTACGCCAGGTCAACAATCAACTATCAAATCGGTGCTCTCAAAGTTTTTAGTCCCACGTTAGTTTTTTTCCGAGATTTTCATTGGTACGGAGTGCTTTATATCTATCGATTTCTTACCCCCTATAAAAAAAATGACTAGGACTACCTAGGGGAGAGAGACACAGGTGGTCCGCCTCCACGCAACACGTGATGAGATCATACCCTGACCCATGCACACGTGGCTGTGATGAGTACTTGAGCTGCTTGAGCAGCCAACTCATAGCTCCTCCTTGACTGAGTTACCCACTCAAGAGTTCCCTCCAATTAGAGGGTCGATTGCCAAGTGACGACTGGTCAGGGGGTCCCCCTTTTATTTTCTTAATTCATTTATTATTTTTATCTTTATTTTTATCATAATAAAATCACAAGACTCTGAAAAATATTAATTTTCAAGATTTTTCATTAAAATTCAGAAAAAAAATCCCTTTTTAAAAAATAGAAAATACCTCATATCATCCTAGAATTCTAAATATTAATTTCTTATTTAACCATCATAACTCATGATCATATTTAACTTTTTATTTTTCAAATAATATCAATAAATAAATGTAAATCTATAAAATAATTATAAAAATTATATCAATGTCTTTTTTAACAAAATAAATCATAAACTAGTCATATTAATGCTATAATTTAGATAATTATCAACTAGTCATAGTTGTATCATCAGAAATTGGGGCAAAACATAGTGAGAGCACTATAAATTTAGTATGCTTTATAGACTAAGTCAAGAATGGCCCAAAAATTCTTAGTGCAATAAGATTGTTATCAAGATATATGAAATACTTTTTGACTTATCTACAAGCAAAAAAGTAGATTGATTGAAAACAACATATTGAGAAATAAAAAGGCATCCAATACAGAGAGAATTAACATTAGCCAAGATGCATGCTTTGAGTGATGCTTAGATTATTGAGCAAGTTTGTGTAAAAGAGTAAGGTAAAGATAGATATAAATAGTTTTGAAGCGTGTTATCTAACTGCTTAAATGGGAGGTAAGGATTTAAGAATCATTGCAAAAATGTGGTTGACTAAATAAGGGTAACAATGTTCTTGGTAGGGTAATACTAATTGAAAGAAATGCTGCTAAAACGTCAGAGCTGAAACGTCATTAACAATGTTAATGTAGGGGTATATTAACTACAATAATTGCATGAGGGGAAAAAGTAAAACACCCTGAAAGTTGAAACGTTTCTTTGACACGACCACTATATATTTGTAACACCGTAACGTGTTCTATAGGACATCAGAGCTGTTAAAATCCGGCGAACGGAGAAGAAGACAGAACCCAGAACCAGGATCCTCTTCTAATCTCTAATACTAGAACTTATCCCCAAGGCCTTGACTTTCTTAACCCAGACTTGATGAGGGTGCAGCCCGATGAATCCTGCAGAAATTTTCAAACTTTGACCAAATCCACGGCGAGCGTGCCAGTCGAACTCTAGATCTTCTCACAGCTCTGCCCAAACTTCAAATTTATTTATTCAGAAAAATCGAAAACGCGTGAAATTTCCGAACTTTGACCAAACCCAAGACGAGAATTCCAGTCGAACTCCATATTTTATTGCAGCTCTGTCCGAATTTCAACTTTATCTATTTAGAAAAATCGAGAACGCGTGAAATTTTCGAACTTTGACCAAACCCACGTCGATAGTTCCGGTCGAAGTCCATATTTTATTGCAGCTCTGACCGAACAACTTTATCTATTTAGAAAACTCGACAACCCGAAATCTTATTTCTTTCGTATATTATATCATATAATATTTAATGACTGATCTTAGAAGCATTCGGGCCCTTCGTCCATTTCTCTAGAGGAAAGCTGTCGACGTCTAAAAGGCCGTGACGGGGGACAGCCGGAGAGCGTATCGGAAGATAGCCGGAGAATTCTGCAACATTTGGTGTCTGGGGCCCCCGATTACAAAGAGCTTACAAATAAGAGGGTTAGGTTGTTCTGTAACTGAGAGGTAGGGAAGAGTAGGAAACAGACCCAGAGCCATGGGAGAAGAGGAGGGCTTGCCTCTGATCGCCGGCGGCGGTCGGCCTCCACCCTCGAAGGCCTGGGAGATACTGTGGAGAGCCGCAAAGCTCCTCGGGAGGGCCTGGAAGCTCATGCTCCCCGTCCTGTTCATCTATCTTATCCCCTCCTCTCTCCTGTTATTTGGCACCTTTATTACCGTGGAGCCGTTGATCATCGACATGGCCCGGAGGGTCTCCACCATGAAGACCAAGGATCCCTCGAGCTCAGAGTTCCTTGCCCTCCTCCCCGGGCTAACTGAGGATCTTAGCGGGTTCGTCGCCGCGGAAGTGGGTATGCTGTTGGCGTCGCTCCTGCTCTCGTCGTTCCTCTTGACGGGGGTGATCAACGTGCTCACCATGGCCGCCAAGGCGGAGAAGGTGACCTTCAAAGATCTGTTTTACAAGATAAAGACTATGTGGAAGGGCTTACTTGCCACTCTTCTCTACGTCAACCTCTTGGCCTTCGCTTACGAGACCATCTGGCTGCTACTTCTGGCCTTTGCCTTCTTCATCTTTGGCCTTTCTCTGGGATCGTCTGTCTTGACCGCCGTCATAACGGTCTCGGGCCTTCTTCTCCTTCTGTACTTGAGCATGATCTGGTCTCAAGGGGTGGTGGTCTCGGCGACGGAGGAAGGACGCTACGGGCTGACTGCCCTGGGGAGAGCGGCGGAGCTCGTCCAAGGAAGAAGAGAGCTAGCGTTCCAGGTTAACTGCCTCAAGTTTCTCATCTTTGCGGGGTGGTATCTCATCATGATTCTCCTCCGAAAGGTGACGAACCCGCTGATCACCCTGACCGTCAGCTTCTACCCCATGCTACTTGTGAGCGTGTTCTGTTTAGCCGTGGACGTGGCGTTCTACAACGAGTGCAGGAAAGCCGCGGAGGGGAACCCATGAAGGAGAGAACTTGAGGAGACTCCCATGAATGTGAAATTAAATAATATATATTTTACGTGAACTGAATCTTAAACCCTGCCCAGCCCAAAGAGACGCTTTCTCCCTCCGTTCCCGAGGAAGACCCACAAAGAACTTGGCACCGGTTGGTCAACCCCTCTGGTGCAGCCGACAGAACAGAGAAGACGCAGAGGTGTGTGCGTTCCTCCTCATCTTTTGGGAGGCTCGACGGGGCTGGGGAGAGAACGGTCCAGTAGATCCCGGGCCCTGTAGCTGGTCAAGTGAGAAGCTGAAGAACCTGATTTTAGAGCAGATCCAGTTACCTGCCGGCGCGTTTGGAGCAGCCCACTCCCCGACCTCTTCTATGAGTTTTAAGGGGTAGCCCTTCACAACGAGGCAGGGCTGAGGGCGTGAGGGGGCGGCTGAGGCCGAGCGCCGGAGAGAGCTCCTCTTTTATGGCGGAGGTGGCAAGAACGAGGCCAGGGGGGAAGGAGCAGAGTCAAAGGGTGGTGATGCGGCAAGGCTGGGCAGTCTTTTAAGTGGGACGACGACCTCATCAACATGAAGAAGAGAGATTACAGATCTCAGCAGAAGTCAACCAGTCTTTAAAATCAGAGCTACTTCGCCTACAATTTACCAACAAGAAACAGCCAAGCATGATAAAATATAGAACGACATGCAGGAAATTAAGCCACATCCAAACCCAGGGTAGTGGGATGGTTGGAAACATTTACTCAGATGCAGAGGAAGCGAGCTTTTGCAATAAACAGGCGACATTCCCGGTGCTCAGCTCCTGCTGCGGCGCTCAGCCCGACCATCAGAGTTGCTGCACGGCGTGGCAGACACTGTGAGCCCCCACCCCCCAACTAGAATGCAAAGCAACAAAGAAATTTAGGCAATGAAAGCTTACCCGTTGGCATATGGGGATTCGTCGTTGGCATGCTTGTATGATGGAGACCTTGACCTGCTGTAGCTGCGGCGGCTTGGGGAGATGCTCTGGTTGTGCGGAGAGGCGCTGTGACGGGGGGGGGAGACATTACGGTGAGGAGGTGAGACACTGTGGCCACGAGGGGATGTTCTGCTGGGGGAAGGGGAGATGCTGTTATGTCGAGGGGAGATACTGCGATGGCCTGGTGAGATGCTGCGGTGGTGAGGGGAGATGCTGCGGCGATGAGGGGAGATGCTGCGGTGGTGAGGGGAGATGCCGCGGCGATGAGGGGAGATGCTACGGTGGTGAGGGGAGATGCTATGGTGACGAGGGGAGATGCTGTGGCGGTGAGGGGAGATGCTGCGGTGGCGAGGGGAGACACTGTGTCGGCGAGGCGAGATGCTGCGACGGCGAGGAGAGATGCTGCGGCGGCGAGGGGAGATGCTGCGGCGGCGAGGGGAGACACTGCGGCGGCGAGGGGAGACACTGCGTCGCCGAGGAGAGATGCTGCGGCGACGAGGTGAGATGCTGTGGCGGCGAGGTGAGCGGTTACGGGGGCTGTAGCTCCTGGATAGGGGAAAACAACAGCAGTCAGATCAAATTGGCACAGAATTTGAACATGGGATACATGGGGCACTTCCCTGTGTACTTGTGCTCTTTGATGGTTCCTTGGGCCATGAAGTCAAGCATCCTTTAATGGATTATATTTCCTTTCATCCGCCATGCTTTTTAGTCTATTCAGGGCCTTTCTACTATGCAGGGAGAATCAAAAGTCATGCTTCTTATTGACTTATAACAAATATCCCATGACCAGTTCAGCTGCAATAGCTTCATATTCTCTATAGATGATCCAAATACTATTGGAAACTCTGGACTCATTCAGTCATGGTTTCCAGAACTTTGCCACTTCATGACAGAGAAAAGAAAGCAAAACCCTTTAAATTTTATCCTCTCAGAAATATGATTTTCTAGCATTACCTTCGACCATAGCTGGGGCTCCTGCGGTACCGGGGACTTGGAGTACGGCGCCTTCCACTTCCCAATCCTCTGGAACCAATACGAAGGCGACATTCACGGGCAAAATGTCCTGGCTCACCACACTCGTAACACTTCATATCAGAACCTCCAGGTCGATCACGGGTATGGCCACGTCCTCCGTGTGACATCTCTACCCTCCATCCATTTTTACCTATTTAAAAAGATCAAGAAAACATAAATCCAATCATTGAAAACCATGCTGTTGCACCAAAGGATACTGGAAACAGTTTTTACCCAAGACTAGTAATTGTAAGCATTTATACATAAGCATCAAACTATGCTAAAAAATAAGATAAAAGACACGAGTTGATTTACGTATAAGCATGTAAATAGATATATTCAGACTAGTAACTGTAAAGGACACTCAATTTCATGGGAAAAAAAGATTGCATACATATTACAAAAAAGCCTATATACTTATTCACGGACCATCCAGCTCACGGATAGCATCAAGAGCATCTCGTCGGTCGTCAAAGTCAATAAAAGCATAACCGGGTGGTTTACGGGCAACCCATACACTGCACACAAATATTCAAAACAATTAACTATCAATTAAACGGGTTATTCTAATCATATAAAATATGAGGAAATGAGCCTTCTGTAAGTAAAATAACACGAACAGGAAAAAAAAAAGATCACCAAGAAGTTGTACAATGAATCCATCTCAGATACCACAGTTCAAAGGAAGAGAGAAAGGAAAGTCAAATGTCTGAACCCATTCCAAAGAGCAAAAAAGAACGTTAGATGTCCAGCCTGAATCCATGCTGCTATGACATAAGCGTTAGTGTACCACCAATGTAGGATATTTTTCTAGTCTCATATGAAGACACAATACAACTAGCACCAGATATCCTGGAAATTCCTGTTTCTAATTTTGTGAAAAAGAGGTAACAAGGTTACACTAGTATGATACTTCACTCATAGATATACAAAGATGTGTAGCGAATCGAGCACAGGTTCTCAATTTTCTTATATCAAGGCTGTAATAATCTGGATACTGAAATGCATAATATACTTGGCACTGAATTTTACTTGTGCCCTTGCTAGACCTTGCACTCAAAATTCAAAAAAAAAAGAATAATTGTGATATTCGAAGCATGGTTCTTCACGAGTGGATCTCCATATTAAGTATAAGGCGAAAAGTAAGGAGTGAATAATGTGCAACCCCTTCACCACCTTCAAACAATGATATGAACCCAGACGGAGAACAGTATGGCCCTCGTTTAGATTATGACTTAAGATCTAATGGTATCCTGTTGAGATAACATACCACTTAACAGAACAAATAACATAGTAAAAACAAATATTTAGCCACACGTTAAGGAACAGAGAAGAGAGCTTTAAATTGTCATTTCCATCAAGTAACACTCATGGTAAATATTTTTCTGTGGATCATATAGTAATTCAATCCTCAGGAAAACTTCAGCAAACTAAGAGAAAAATAGCTATATTTCGCTACTGTGGCCGTTATTCTACGTGGCATAACTACAAGAAAAACAGAGCTGATAGCTCTCAACATGTATACATAGTATAAAAAATAAAAATACCAAGGTGTTGATGAAGGCAGATTGACGGGTTTAAATTTCAAAGACATTTAAAAATACCAATAGTATATGTTCGAATCTCTGAACTAAGGGTACACAGGTCTACTGCAACGACATTGGTCGCAACTGCCACATATCCTGATTAATCCAACGTTCTTCCATTGAAACAAATCATCCACCGTTAATAGAGAACAGATATGTGCCAAATGAGTTTACACAAAGATGAGATATCAGGAGAATGTCGGGTAACCCATATAGTTCCCGTTGCTTTACACTGATTTGAAGGTCAATACGGAAATGAATTACAGTAATGATAGATGATGTCAACAACCCCAATCCGACTCTCAGATATATCTTAAAGTAAATTATCCTAAAAAACACTCCCACCGTACCTTCTCAAAACGCCAAATACGCGGAACTCGTCCTCGAGCTCCCTTTCGGTCACCCGTGAGTCGAGGTTCCCCACGTAGATGCGAGCCATCTCTGAATCAGGTCATTATAGTTTCATGTACAGTCGAACTTCTTGACATGGGTTATGAAAAGAAATAAAATCTTTAACAAAAAAGCCTATATCTTCCGGCAGAGAAGTGAAAATGAAACACTAAATAGTGTGTGCCGGGGAGTAACCAGACTTTCCATGGAGGATGCCAAGAGGAAAAAACAATTCAAAGTGGAGAAAAAGAAATTTCGAGTACATTGGACGATGGAAAGACGTCAAGCAGATAACCGCAAACTAAATCCTCAGGGCGGCAAACCCCCAAAACGGTGCTAAAGCAGAAACGACCGTCAAACTGAAAACGAAGAAGTTCCGACTGATTGCCCGATAATCTACAGAAAACTTCAACAGGCTACTTGGAATCGCATGTAGGGAGAAATTAAGAACAATCAGATCTCAAAAGACCTTGCGCGCAGAGAAGACGCGGAACCGATCCACCCGTGCAAAGTAATGCAATGCTCCTATCGGTAAGAAGGACGAAAAGACTCTCTAGATACCTCCACGGAGCTCCGCTTCCAGTTCCGATGCCCAAGCACCGGGCGACCGCGGCCACGGAAACCCTAGGCAAACCCTCCGGCAGAGACGGCCGGTCGTGTCGGAAGCGATTGGGCTAAAGGGCCGAGACGGTGACTATTTGTGGTTTTTAATGGGCTGACAGCTACCCCGACCCGCCCTCCCAGATATGTTAAGGGGCTTACTTTGAGTCGAGATAAGCATCCCACTACCGGGCCGAAAGTTTCTCCCTGAACAAAGGATTGTTTTGGGCCAGCACATATTTCAAGCATCGTCTGAAGGTCACTGAAAATGGGTCTCGGCCCATTAAAGGAAACTGGTTGATACCCCATTGCGTCTGAGAGAGAGAGAGAGAGGAGAGCCGATGTCTTCCCACTTGCGCAGCAAGCCATTCAGTTGCCCAAAAGTTCAGCAGCTGAAGGTTTAACAGATCCTATTAATGCATGCACAAATGTGGAAACTACCCATGAATAGATAAATACGTGAGCCTGGATATTACTGGCTACTATGTACTCACTCGATTTGGATGTTCGTGATGCAGGTCTCTTCGTTGACTTCAACCGCGAAGGATGTGTTTCGTCACCTCTGAAATCAACAGACCCAGCATGAATTCATAATATATCATCCACTGCGAGTCAGACTGTCACTGGAGGACGACGGTACGGACATCCCCGAGTCAGCTGCTTATCTCCTTATTTCTCTGTCCAAATCTCTCTCTCTCTCTCTTTCTCTCTCTTTCTCTCTCTTTCCCTCCCTTCCCTCTCACTCCTCTCATCCCCGTTCCCTTCCCCCCCCCCCCCCCCCTTACTCGCTTGCCATAGGAAGTTTTCTCTTTTATTGTTTGTGATTCTCACTCAGGGATTACTCTTGTAATCTCACAGAGGAGAACCCATTAAGCGTCGTGCTTTCATAACCAGAAGTAAGAACATATCAACAGGAGGGTTTCTTCGCGACAGAAGGAAGAAAGAGAAGAGAGACGGAGCAATGAGAAGTGAAGAAGGAGAGTCACTGAGAACTGCAGCTGGTGGATTCCCCCGCTCAACAAAAGGAACTACTGGGTGCTATCAGAGAGTGGGGTTCTGAGTACGTTGACATACTTGCGAGTCAACCGTTTGAACAAGGGATCCAAAGTTGTGAAGGTGTCTAGGATATGAGGTCTTGTGTATGTTTCGAAAAGTCGAAAGAAACTGAACAGTTTGATGGATAAATCTTCATTTTATTCTGATTATCGTCTCAAAAAAGCAAGCAAGTCAACGTTTTGGATGCTTCGGCTCCGCTTGGGTTTCAAGGGATCTGGACACAAATCCAGGGCAGCTGCTCTCCAGACAGCAGCTCGCGTTATGGGCCTTACAAGATGTTATGTTTTGAAGGCATTAAGAACACATCTGCGACAATTAATTGACTCCGTGGAAATGGATCTAGGAATGGAACAGGTACCAGAAGAGAGCCGTCCCTTTGAAAGACAGCTTGATCGCCAGTTGAGATTCATCAACGAAGAGTGATGCACCACTAGGCATTAATTAACCAAGAACAAGTTCACAAAGACGAGTAAGCGCTTTCCCAGATCTGACGGACATATTGATAATGATGGCTGCGAAAATAACCATAAAGGCGGAGTTGTAGACTGCTACAGATGACGAAGAACATCCACCCAGTTGAGTCACAAAGCTTCGCCATCTCTCTAGACTCGAGGGAGGGTCGCCTCATGGTTCCTCGAGTGGAGCCCTCGTGTACGCTAAGTTCTCCATCCTCGTGGCTGCTTCTTCTTGATTCTCCTGGCACTCGTAGTAGAACACCACGTTGACGGCCTGGATTAACACCATCACCAGCAGGTAGACTAACGAGAAGATGATCGAGCTGAGCAGATCGGGCAAAGGGAAAAAAGTTGCTGTTGAGATCAACGTCTGGGCCAAGGCCACAACGAGGAAAAGGAGAAAGTTTACTCTGAACCCTGATCCCTTCATCCCTTGGACGCGCTCCGCTGCCCTTCCAAGAGCGAATATCCCGGAGCGTCCTTCCTCCATCACGGAGACCACAACGGCTTGTGACCAAAGCATGCTCAAGTGTAGAAAGAAAAGAAATCCCAGGATGGCCATGGCCGCGATCAAGGCAAGAGTCGCAGCGGAAATGCCGCCGAAGAAGGCGACAGCACTCATCAGCAAGACGCAGAAGCTCAGATAACCCGAGGTGAGAAAGTAGACATAGATGTTTGTGGCCATCGTGCCCATCCAGGTCCTCCGGATCCTGACGACGAGGTCCTTTAGGGCCACCGTCCGGCTCTTCCCGACCATGGCGACAGTGTAAATGATCGCTATAACGATGAACGAATAGAGCAGGTAATAAGTCAACGACACAACAACTACGGCTCTGATAATCTGCCGGATTTCATCCCAAGATTCGTTAACGATCGAATTAAATGCGTCAGTACCATTCTCCAGTCTGCGTAGGAGGTTTTTACGCCTGAGGAAGTGCGAAATTGAAGAGTCGACGATAGACGAGGTTCTAGAGAGGCAGACATAGTTGAGCACAAGAATGATAACCAGGATGGAGAGCATGGGCTTAGCGCTCCTCCAGAAAAGATTTGCACCTTTCCGAATAATCCCCATGGCCGTCAACGGCCTAGGCGCCTCCTTACCCATGGCTTCTCCGTGTATCTTGCTTCCTGCTGAATTCAGTCCCTTCTCACCTCCCTCTTCTTTCTATTTATGCTCTTCCTATCCGTTTCGAAAGGTTTCTCTACGGGTGATCCAGTCCGTGACAGGCTAACCTCGGGAAAGAATCGTGGCGGAAGCTCACTTGAGCTCGTCTCCTCGGGTGGGAAAAAAGCTTTAAAAGAAAGCGTCAATCAGCTGTTCTAAGCGCGCATCTCATTGGATAAGACTGCCTTGGTCTCCACGGCAAGAGTCAAATCTATTTATAGCGATATCGAACCGTTCAGCCGTCCAAGTAATGGCAATGGAGTCGATAGAACGTTTAGTTGCTCGCTCGCGTTAACGGCAAGAGCATCAACTTCCGCTCATATCGATCTAGGAACGGCCCAAGTCAACTCCTCACTAGAAAATATATCTCTTTTGATGTCCATGATTACGGAGAGAAAGAACTCTGGTTTCCAATGAGAACTCGGCCTTAGCTTCCTTTCCTCCGTGGCTCTTCTGGTGGTCCTTGAATGATGGAAGATGGTTGGAGATGGGCTGGAGACGGAGGCGGAGCGACGAAGAGGCCAGATCCCATTGCGTGGAAGAGTCGATGCATCTCTTCCATCACTTGATTGAGGGTAGACAAACCTGTTGGACTGAGTGCCCTGCCTCGTCGACACTAAACTACAAAATAAAAATGTTAACCAAACACTAACTTATATAAACTAATATACATTATCTGCGAATTACAGATTTCACCAGTGCGACGTAATTTTCTATGACATGTATTTTTGAAATTAATCTCAATGTGAATAATTATATATTATGAGGCTATCATTGAGTTAATTCCACTTAAAATAATTCATTATAATTTAAATATATAATATTATAGACTCTCTTGTAAATATGAATATAAATATAAATATGTATAGAAACTAGATCTTATTTTAATTTTATGATATAATAAATCATAAAAATATATCAAAAGACTAATCACTTTTTATCTATAAATAAGGAGGTTATAGTCCTTAAGTCACACATAGTCAGTCACTCTTAAAACATCTTATCTCTCTTGAGTAAGTTATTGGACAATTACTCTGTGCTAATCTAAAAGGTCACCTTCATATGTTTTCATAGATTCAAATATGATTTTAATTTATTATTAATATGTTTTATTATTCTTTATTTATCTCACCACTAAATCCTTCATATTCAACATATACAAGAGAGAGAGATAAAGAGGGAGGGAGGGAGCGAGAGAGATAGAGAGGAGAGAAAGAGAGAGGGGAGAGAGAGAGAGCGAGCGAGAGAGATAGAGAGGAGAGAAAGAGTGAGGGGAGAGAGAGAGAGGGAGCGAGAGAGAGAGAGGGAGAGAGAGAGAAGAGAGAGAGAGGGAGGGAGCGAGCAAGAGAGAGAGAGAGAGGATTGCCTGATGAGCTTCGAGGAGAAGACATTGGCTCACCATTCATTCTCCAGAGAAAGATTTCAGCTTTCAAAGGACACCTGGATGGCGGTGGCGGGGTTGGGAGGCCGCGTGGAGGCGGAGACTAAGCCCTGGAGAGTCCTTATAACCTCCGCCGGATCGTCAAGGTAGTACCTCGCCCTGCTTGGCTTCTGCCCGACAGTGCAGGCGAAGACCTCCGTCGCCTCGGCGGTGGCCAGCCTCCGTACCTTCACCGCTCCGGCGATGCTCTCGAACATGTCCTCGTCCGATCGATCGTCCCCGACGCAGAAGATAAAGTCAACGGGCTTCCCTCCTGTGGCTATCGCCGCGACGAGACCCTCCACCACCTTCCCCTTGCTGACGCCCTGAAAGATAAATATTCTCATCCATCTTGACCCCCGAGTTTCCCCACATTTTGATCCCATCTTCTTGTCCGAGGAAGATGGCCGATCATCATCACCATACCTGGGGTTTGACTTCAACGATGTGGTGGCCTCTTTTTACGACAACGGCCTCGTTGACGAGAACACTCTCGAGGTGGTCGAGGAGTTCCTTCGCCTGCCTCGACCCGAAGTCCGGATTGGCGTCATGGTGGTGCCAGACCAGGGCGCTCTCCTTACGCTCGATCCACGAGCCGTCGGTCGTCTCCGCGTAAACCCTCATGACAGGCTCCACCATCTCCATCCATCTAAAGTCAACGGCCGGCGAGCAAGTCTCCCACTGCGTGTCCCTACCCCACCTGCAATCAATTCCACACTGTTTGATTCCCACTCTCGCCAGAAAACAAAAACCAACAATTTTGGTTCGTTTGCCGATGACCTGAGATCAGAGCTCTCTGCCAACGATAAAGATGGATAGATGGATAGATAGACAGAAATAGATAGATAGATGCCTCATGAAGAAGCCGTGCTCGGCGGAGATCCCCAGGTTCTCGACGGTGCCGAACCAGTCGCTCAGGGAGTGTCTCCCTCTGCCGCTGACGAGGAAGACGACGTTCTTTGGATCGCTGCAGAGGCTACTGAGCAGGGAGATAACCTCCTCGCCGGGGGCCTTACTTGCTGACGCCTGAGGCAGAATCGTTCCGTCGTAGTCGAGCAGCAGCAGCCTGCTGGTCGTCTTCCTGTAGACGGAGACGATGTGCTCCACCGAGAGCTTCCTGAAGCTGGGGCCGAGGGCGACGACCCTGAATCCTAGGCCGAAGCCGATCCCCCAGACCCTCTTGAGGAAATGGTGTCTGCAGGCCCTCTGCAGGTCCCGGTCGAAGCTGCCCGCCCAGAAGGCAACGTCGTGGGAGCTGACGTACCTGAAATGCTTCTCATGGCGTAGCTGCTTCTCCGCCGCTGGGGTCTTGAGGGCGACGCTCAGGGCCTCCGCCACCGCGTCGACGTTCCAGGGGTTGACTCTGATGGCGGCGCTGAGCGACGGGGAGCAGCCGATGAACTCCGAGACCACGATGATGCTCCTCCTCGGGCAGCCCTCCGCCGCCGCAGCCGGGCTCCCCTGCCGGCAGACGGTGTACTCGTAGGGCACCAGGTTCATGCCGTCCCGCACGGCGTTGACCACGCAGCACTCAGCGATGGCGTAGAAGGCGACCCTCTCGTGGGGGGGCAGCCGCCGGTGGATGAGGACAATCGGGTCGTACCCTGGAACGGCGAAGCGGCGGTTTATCTCATTGGCGATGGCGACCATCTCGTCCAACAGTTCCTGCACCTCCTTCCCGCCGCTCCTCGCAGGGTTGGCGATCTGGACGAGGACCGCTCGTCCCCTCCATTCTGGGTGATCTTCCAGGAGCTGGCCCATGGCTAGGAACTTGAGGCTGATGCCCTTGAACAGATCGACGTCGTCGATGCCCAGGAGCACCGTCCTGCCGTGGAATTGCTGCATCAGTTGGCGGGTCTTCTCGCTGGCCGCCGGCGACCTCATAACCGTCTCCAGTTGCCCAATGTCCACGCCGACAGGGAGGATCTTGATGCCGACGATCCTCCCGTAGTATTCGAGGCCGATGAACCCTCTCTTGGACCGGTGGTCGATCCCCAGCATCCGGCTGCAGCAGGAGAGGAAATGGCGGGCGTAATCGAAGGTGTGGAAGCCGACCATGTCGGAGTTGAGCAGCGCCTTGAGGATCTCCTCCCTAACGGGAAGCGTCCGGTAGATCTCCGAGGAGGGGAAGGGGGAGTGGAGGAAGAAGCCGAGCTTGACGCGGTGAAACCGGCGGCGGAGGAAGGTGGGGAGAACCAGCAGATGGTAGTCGTGGACCCAGACGTAGTCCTCGTCGGGGTCAAGGACCTCCGTCACCTTGTCGGAGAAGGCCTTGTTGGCGGAGACGTAGGCCTGCCAGAGGGCGCGGTCGAAGCGGGCGGCGCCGGCGGTGGTGGAGATCGGCTGAGAGTGGTGGAACAGCGGCCAGAGGTAGCGCTTGCAGAAGCCGTGGTAGAAACGGTGGTGGAGATCATCGGAGAGGAAGACGGGCACACAGCGGAACTTCTCGTACAGGTGATGGGCGATCTCCTCCTGATCGGCGGCCTCGACAATGGGGTCGCCGCCGGTCGACGGTCGCGGCGGCGGCGGCCGGAGGGTGCCAATGTGGATGACCTCCGTCCCGGCGGGGAACCCCGCGCGGAGCTGGAGGGAGAGGGCGTCGGTGTCCCAGGAGAAGCGCCACCGGCGGGTGAAGGAGTCCCGGTGAGCAAGGACGGGAAGCTGGTTGGTGACGATGATCCGCCGTTCAAGGGGGAAGGGGGAGTCGCAAGCGCCGGCGACGAAGGGAGGAACCGGATCGTCGGAGGAGTGGCCGGTGGCGCCGCCGATCCCGCCGGAGTCGGAGATGATGCCCGGAACCGTCACGGCGCGGGAGAGGCGTGGGTTCAGCGGTCTCGTCGGGGAAGCGAAGTCCACCGCCGTCTGAGACACCAACTCCAGCAGGTTGGCGCAGGATATCGACGGCATTCTTCCTCGAATGCGAAATCAAGACTCCACCTGGTGCCGCAACCAACCGAGGAAGAAGAAGGCGATCTCGCGGCGCATCGGAGGGAGGAAGAAGGCGATCTCCCTTCCCCCAGGACGGCAAGAGAGAGAAAGAGAAACACAGAGAGAGAGAGAGGATAACGCAGAAGGGAGGACGTGGGTTAGGAAAAGGACTATAACACCCCTAACACATTGTCCTTTACCACTGAATAGGACCTATGAGATTCACTTCCAGCGTGGCCTAAGGTCGGCCTAATATAGAAAGGGTATTAAAGGCCTTTAGTTTAACGGACACGTGGAGGCGCAGCGAATGGAAGGTGACTGGGACCGGGACGAGATCTCTAGGCCTCGGCCGTCTCGCAACGTGGCAGCAGAAGAACGAAGGGATGCGCAGTAAGCACGTGAGAAATGGCAACCCCTCCGACAATCGACATTCGCACAACCGGTGGGGCCCGAGGAATCCTCTCCGCGTTTAGTACATCGCCACCGCCGCAAGTAGACGAACACAGGCGACACGTGATGACGTCACTGACGGGATGTTGACCGACATCACCCCCCCTAGGTCCGACCCAACACCCACGGCGTGTTAATCGATATCGGGTAATCTCTGGGACCCACCCGGCCCTGTTGAAAGACTTCAAGAAGTCTACGTTTGAAGTAGCCAGCATCTGATGTTCGCATAGTGGTATCTACAATTAAAGGCCGGATTTTGCTAGTGGTATTACAAAAGAATAAAATTAGAATAATACCTTGAAAATAATTATTTTTATACTCTCAACTACGATTTTAATAATAATAAAAACAGCTCGTAGACCCAACTCAGATTTTGCAAACTAAATCTGCATATGGAAAAATGATGGAGCCTATTTATTTATTTATTTTATGACAAATATTCAGAGAGAAATCGGCGGCTGTCAGAGATGTCGGCGGAGACGGATGCCGAAGAGATATCTACACCTAGATAATTTACATGGGATCAAGGGGGGGGGGGGGGATTGTTACATGCCTCTTTGGGGAGGGAAGGTGGCGGCGCCGCCGCCGGGAGAGGGGGAGATGCTGAAGGAGCTGACTTTCAAGGGGGTGGCGACGACCAGGGGTGCCTCGGGGGAGTCGCTGACCGCGAAGTTCTCGTGCATGAAGCGGCTGTCAACGATTGACTCGTCCCTGGGGACGATCTTGTAGCAGTAGCAGCTCTTCAGGCCCTCCTGCAGGCGGTAGCACTCGTGGTGCCCGTCTTTCACCCGCTGGAAGTTCCACACCACGCTGAACTTGCCGACCGTCGCGACCAGATGCCGCTCCTGCTTCCCCCCGTCAGTCACCTGAATGAGGTCAAAGAATGTCAACGAGTGTTGGTCAACCTTCTCAGAGGTCAGCGATCAGTTAGAAAACCGAGCGAGCAAGTGGAAACCGGTCAATGGACATGCGGAGAAAGAATATCATAGATAAGTAACCGACTACCATAGTAGAACTCTTCATCTAGAGATCTTGGCCTCTTATAACAATTTTCAGCGAGATTCTAATTTACAAACGAGTTAATAACACTACAAATTTATGAGTTCTAGCTCCGTTCTGGACCTTCTCCAACAAGTCAACTGTCTATATATTGCGACCAGAAATGGGTCAAAACAGGTTTGAGGATCATAAGAAGGAATCTTCGCCGAAGACTATGAACCCTAGGGTGGAAGGGACACAAATCCTGGACACTGTTGAACAGAACCTAGCTGCCCGCGTACAAACAAACAAGCAGTGGCCCTATGCCATGGAAATGAAGATTACACCACAGAGACGAACTGCCAGAGGATCAATACACAAAGAGGAACCAAAGACTGTGTTTTTCAGATCAGAAATTAATATCTAAGACAGAAAAAAAAAATGTAGCTGTCAATGGTAACAAAAGATTAGGGATTTACTTACCCACGAGAAGTGGCCACCATGGAACTTGTTATTTTCTCCGGCCAATTGGGAGTCCAGGGGGGTGAGCTTCAGCAGTCTTGGTGCTGCAATCCTGTTCCCCATACGTCCACTGAATCCAGTCTTCTCCTTCCCGTCCTTGTCCTTGAAAACAGTAGAGATGAGCACCAAATAGGTGTCTGTGGTGCCCAAGATCCATCTCCCATCGAAAGTAACATCTACATAGGTGATTGGTGATCCAAGACCAGGGAACGCAGTCTTTGCCATCCTCATTGAACTTTTGGAATACAGCCTGATCCTCCCATCAAGAGATCCAACAACAATTGATCCGTCACCAGTAGTAGCAAAACATTGGAAATTCGTTCCTCGAGAGAATTGGTGCCCCTGAGTCCACTGCAATATCGGCGAGTCCGTTGACTTTGCAATGGTCTGAACCATGCCTTTCCTGTCCCTCATATCCCACCTGCACAGTGCGTTATCGTCAAGCCCAAGGAAGGTGGACTCCGATGGGTACAGCTGGGCGCCCTTGCTATCATTTGTAATGTCCCTCATTCCGATGCCAGTTCCATCCTTCTCAAATTTCCACTGCGCGATAGATCTCCCCGTTTCGATATCAAGTTGTTGGACACCAGCTGCACGAGGCCTTCCGTCCATTTCAGGGCTCATCACGAGCATGTTGCTCTCAGCCTTCATGAGAAGTGCCTTCTTGGGAGCAGGAGAAAACTCCAAGTTAGAACAACCACTTCCTCTGCTAATTTTATTAGCAAGCTTCACTGTTACTCCCTTCCCCTGGATTCCATGGCTGAAGTTCTTGACCACTTGGATGCCAGAATCGCTCACCAGAAAGCTGTTATCCAAGGCCCCCAGGGCAAGACTCTGTATACCGCCGTCGTCAGCAACCTCTTCAAACTCTTTCAGCAGATCTTGACTCAACCTGGAATGTGTCATTCGAGGAATCTTCTCGAAGCTCTCCTCAGCGTCCTCCCAGATCGTGTCATCGGCGAATTCCGGCTTCACCCATCCCAAAAATTCCTTCCCGTAAACTTTGATCTTGTTCTCCTCGTTGGCCTCCATTCCGTGGACGTTCTCGAAGAAGCAGTTCTGATACTCGTTGTAGAACTGCTTGTAAGTTTCAGGGGTGAAGAACTTCAGGGCCCAAACTCCAGCCGCCACAAAATCGACACGTCGTTGGTCCGGGAAAGTCTTCAGCTGCATCCCAGGGTCCACCCTCACCGAAACCTTCAATCCAACCTTCAGGAACCACGAGGCGGATGCCTCTCCATCGCTGTCGGATTCGCCTCCCGTTCCGGCGGCAGGGGACAACTTGCGAAAAGAATAGGCGACGAGCTTCTCGGACACGATCCATTTGGCGTCGTGAGCGCTACCGCCGACGTGAAGGTAGAGCTTGGCGGCGTTCGGAAAGCTTGCCGGGGAGAAATCAGACGAGGGAGAGGCGGAAGCATACTTGAGCTTGAGGGATTGGAGCCTGGCCTCGACATCGTCTAGAGCCGAGCTTTTCCCGCTGTTCCCAGAGGATCTGCTCGGCGTCGTCGGATCCCCTCCATCACGCCTCGTCTCTACCCTGTCTTCTTCTTCTTCTTCCTCCTCCTCGGCCTCTGAATCAGAGATTTCCAATCCCTCCCGACTGTGAGAGCCTCCCATCGCCAATTGCAGAGAGAGAGAGAGAGAGAGAGAGAGAGAGAGAGAGATTTTGGAGGAGGAATTTGTATTTATGGCTATCCGGAAGCGGTGAGATCACCTATCTTGGCGTAGGATCGACGCTTAGCGAATGCTTCCCCGCGAAGGAACGGTTCATGTCGGTTGGGTCGAGTGGGCCGGGTCGCCCGCGTCCGGGCCGGGTGATTTGGAAAGCGAGGCCACTAATTGATTTTCCCTCATCATTTGACCGTAATGTCGGCAGACCATGTTTCTAGCCGCTGATGGGCCGGGCCTTGGTGGGGCCCATCCAGGAAGGTAGAGCCACGCAGGAAAGGAAGCGAAGTCAAGAGTGCTCATTGGAAACCAGAGATCTCTCTTTCAGTAAATAGTGATCCCTTTTCTAGTGAGAAGTCCACGGCCCGAGAGAGAAGTTGACTGGGCCTGTTCCCGGATATGAGCAGAAGTTGACTTTCAAGCCGTTGACTCCATTGGCATTACTTGGACGGCTGAATCGTTGGATATCGCTATAAATGGATTTGACGCTTGCCGTGGAGACAAAGGCAATCTCCCCGAATGAGATGTGCTCCTAAAACTGTTAGTTGACCTTTTCTTCACGTTGGGGTGTTGCATAAGCTTCCGCCATGATTCTTCCCCGAGCTTAACCTGTCACGGACTGCATCACCCGTAGAGAGACCTTTCGGATTGGATAGGAAGAACATAAATAGGAAGAAGAGAGAGGTGAGCAGGGACTGAATCCAGCAGGAAGCAAGATACACGGAGAAGCCATGGGTAAGGAGGCGCCTAGGCCGTTGACGGCCATGGAGATTCTTCGGAAAGGTGTAAAGCTTTTCTGGAGGAGCTGTAAGTCCATGTTGTCCACCCTGCTTATCATTCTTGTGCTCAGCTGTCTCAGCTGCTACAGAACCTGGTCTGTCGTCGCCCCTTCAGCCTCAGGCGTTCTCAGGAAGCTACGCATCCTAGGAATACAGGACTCTGGCACTGACACGATTGATGGCATCTTCAGGGGATTACGGACTGATCTCCGGCAGATTGGCAGGGCCGTAATCGTTGGGTCGCTGATCTCTTACCTGCTTTATTCGTTCATCGTGATAGCGATCATATACACGGTAGCCATGGTCGGGAAGGGCCGGAAGGTTGCCCTAAAGGATCTTGCCGTCAGGACCCGGAGGACGTGGATGGGCGTGATGGCCACAAGCCTCTTTGTCTGCTTCCTCACGTCGGGTTATCTGAGCTTCTGCGTCTTTCTATTGAGTGCTGTCGGCTTCTTTGGTGGCGTTTCCGCTGCGTCTCTTGCCTTGATCGCGGCCGTGGCCATCCTGGAATTTCTTCTCTTCCTATACTTGAGCATGCTTTGGTCACAAGCCGTTGTGGTCTCCGTGATGGAGGAAGGACGCTCCGGGCTGGACGCTCTTGGAAGGGCAGCGGAGCGCGTCCGAGGCAGGAAGGGATTAGGGTTCAGAGTAAACAGTCTCCTATTCCTCGCTGTGGCCTTGGTTCAGACGTTGATCTCAACCGCAGTGACTCTTTTATCTTTGCCCAATCTGATCAGTCCGATCATCTTCTCGTTAGTCTACCTGCTGGTGATTGTTTTGATCCAGGCAGTCAACGTGGTGTTCTACTACGAGTGCCAGGAGAATCAGGAAGACGCGGCTACGATGAAGGAGAACTTAGCGTACACGAGGGCTCTACGCGAGGAACCATGAGGCCACCCTCCTTCGAGTCGAGAGAGAAGGCGAAGCTTTGTGACTGTTAACTGGGTGGATGTTCTCCGACATCTGTGGAAGTTCACAATTCCGCCTTTGTGATTATTTTCTCAGGCATCATAATCATCATCACTATATGCCCGTTATACTTGGGAAAGCGATTATTAGTCTTCGTGAACTTGTGCATGTAAGGTGTCTATCTATTGACAAAAAAAATATGTTATCAAGCTCTTCGAAAACATTATGAGTGGCGGGCATTTTGAATAAGGCCCATCAAGGAGAGTGTTGTGCCTCATTAAAGACGCTGCAACCGAGACTAACGAGCGCGTCAAAGGACTGGTTCCTCCTGGCTGAGGCCTCAGTCGAAGGGACGACCCGACTACGGTACTTGTTTCAGCCTTGAATCCATTTCCACAAAGTCTATTTAGGTAAACATGTCCTTAATGTTGTAAAAAAATAACATTTTGTGAGCCATTTGATCCTACACCACTCTTTCAGAGTGTCCACCAATCTTATTTCTTTTACGGCGTGAGTAAATAGAAGATATACTAGATGAACAAACTTTCTCTACCGAGGATGATGATTTGCAGCAATTTCTCATCCGTTGGAGGGGACGGTCATCTCTGGATGATTCTTAGGCGACTGAGGAAGAGTTCAGTCGGCTGGATCCAGTTCTTCTCGGCAGGGGAGAGCTGATGGAGATCAAAGAGGACGCGACGCACCGTTTCGTTCTTGTGGGCCTTACAAATATGCCTAAGAACCACTGTTCAAGTAGAGGAGAATTTCTGGAGCCTGCCCCTTCCGTTTCGCTCCTTGAGGGTTGGCCGGAGGTCCCCGTCGCTCTCGGTGGGAGATTGCCAGGGGTGGGTCCCCATACTCCCGGTTGGGGCTAACCTTCTTCCCTCCTCTCTATCTGCGAGTCATCTGATAGCCGCTAGGGTTGTCAAGCTTCTGCTGCTCGTAATGACGCCGCAGGGACCACAGGATCGCATCCCAGCAAGTTCCAGCACGCCGAGGGCTGCCCACACCTACCCCGGCTCGGGCGGAGGTATTGGCCGATTTCTTTCCCCTCATTTACTTTTGCTTCTTTAATATATTTCAGATTGCCTCGCCCATGAGTGGAGCCTAATTCGTCCTCTAAGCATCTAGCTAGGGGCGAATAGTGACAGTTTGGCCCATTTGATTCCCCGAGACCGAACATTGAGTGTGGAATGCCATAACCACGGCGATTTCTTATTCGCATCGATCCCTCTCTTTTCCTGGTACGAGCGGAACCTCAAGGACAAACCTTTGTGATAGGAGATCTTCTGGTGCCTGCAGGCCTTTGTGAGAGACTGTTGAGGTCTTCGGTCCATTTGCCATATGTCTCGCGTAAGATCCCTTGAAATCCAAACGGAGTCAAAGCATCCAAGACGTTCACTTGTTCGGCGCTAATTAGTGGCGCGATTTTTTGAAACGTTAGTCACAATAAAATGATGATTTATCATCAAACTATTCAAGTTCTTCCAACTTTTCGAAACATACACGACCTCAGATCCTAGACATCTTCACAACTTTGGATCCCTTGTTCAAAAGGTAGAATCGCAAGTATTTCAACGTATTCAGAACACCGCTCTATGATAGTACCAGTAGTTCACCTGTAAGTGATGACTTTCCTTTTGTTGACCAGGGAGGCCAGTGCAGGTACAATCCACCAGCAGCGGTTCTCAGTGACTCTACTTCATTCATTACTCGGGCTCTGTTCCCTTTTTTCCTTCTCTTGCGAAGAAACCATCCTGTTTATGTTCTTCCTTTTGGTTAGAAAGTCCTACGCGTAATGGGCTCTCCTCTGTGACATTAGAGGACTTAGTCACCTAAACACGTTCCCATAGTAAGGGAATAAGGGGGAAAGAGGAGCAAGAGGGAAAGGAGAAAGAGAAATGCGAAGGGAAAGAGAGAAAAAGAGAGAGATTTGGAAAGAGAAAGGAGATAGGCCGTGTCGCGAGAGACAGACAGCATGGTTAAAAGCAGCTGAGAATGTTGCCTAGTGCGATCCAAGCGGACTCCGGGACGTTCGCACCGTCCTCCAGGGACAGTCTGACTCGAAGTTGTTAAGATTTCATGAATTCATGCTGGGGTGATGATTCCAGAGGTGACGAAACGTATCCTTCACGCTTGAAGTCAACAAAGAAACCTGCATCACGAGCATGTAAATCGAGAGTACATAGTAGCCAAAGATCTGTCAGGACACTCACTGAAAACTTCTACCTGTGGAGAACATTGATCACCTTTTAATCGACAGCAGAATAATACTCTTGCGCCATAGTTGGATGGATAGACCGTGGAGAACCCAGTAGGTCTCTCACTTCCAAAGATAAACTCGATGCAACCACAATTTCCAGCTGTGAGAAAACCCAAGAGATGTAACAAGAACAGATCCAAACCAAGGTGCTTCCACATATTGACATTCATCTCCTGCAACAAGAATAGTGAAAAACACCAAATCCAAATAGACGCGCTGATAACGTGATTGCATGGAGCTTGACCGTAATGAGGTCTTCTCCATCCAGGAAAGAATGTCGTTGGGGATAACCTGCTGCCCCATTCATAGCCATGCCGGCTGTGCAACGGCGGGAAGTTGGAAGGTCAAACGTAAAATTGTCTTATATTGAAGGACAGAAAGCTCAACTTAGATTAGGGTCACTGGCGGGTAACATGGGTAAAAAAAATAATCCTGGCCTACTTTTCGTCTTTAGCATATCACTTCAAAAATAGATAGGAGCAAGAAGGTTTTGTTTTGACCCAGCTGGCCCAAAACTGGTGGCCCAGGCGTTCTGGAAAACCCTAAGGAGGGCGGCAGGTATGAGATGACCCAGAATCTGAAGGTCATGTGTCTCTCTTTTCTGTTGAAATTATCGTACGTTCATAAAAATTGGAATAAATTGATTAGTTTTGATGAGTTGGTAGAAGCCAAAGGTCCTCATTCTCTTCTTCACAGTGATAGACGGATGCATAACACATTAGAAAGATAATAGGAAGAGAGACGCAAGAATGAAGAGTTAATAAATTTAATATGACTCAGAGAACACTCCTATGTCCACAATTGCACAAGGATCTTTTTATTCCTTTTGGAGTGAAAATATTGTCTTACAATCTTCAGTGCAGCAGCACACAGTGCTCACGCAACACGCCCTCATATGCTCTCTTTAATAGAGATGGATTTGTATACTCATCAAAGAACCCACAAAGCCTACTTAGTGGAGATACTTGATAGCCTACTTCGATGGCAGATGTTGAGGATCAGCTTTCTCTTCTTTTTGGCTTAGTTTGGGTCTTTATTCTGCTCCATAGTTGTATGATTTCCTCATTCATAATAGAATTTAGCCTGTCCTTTTAATGGATGTGAGAAGATGTATCAGGCTCTTCGTTTTACATTACACACACATCACTTTTCTCCCTTCTTGGATATCTATTACTTTGTGGATTTATGCGCATTGTGCTTGTTGTTACACTGTTAAACCCGTGCTCAGATTCAAGTCATTGCTCAACACTAGTCATTTTGATGAGCTATTTAGCTTCAGTTAGAGCTTCCCTTATGAGGCACAATATCCTTTTGATGGGCCTTATAGAAAGCTCCCACTTCTCATAAAGTTTGCCTAGATCTTTATTACACTTTTTATCTATAAATATCTTCCACTAATAACTTAACAAATATTAAGAAGTGCTTTGCCATATAGAACAGCCATATTAACATTCATGCGTGAGAAAACAACAACAAACGTCGGAATTATGGACTTGTACATGTGGCGGAGAACATCCGCCCAGTTAATAGCCACAAAGCTTCTCCATCCCAAGACTCGAGTGTGGCCTCACAGTTGCTCGGTTAAAACCCTTGTGTACGTTAAGTTATCCTTCCTTTGTGGCCGCTTCTTTATGATTCTCCTGGCACTCAAAGTAGAACACCACGTTGACGGCCTGGGTTAACACAATACCCAGCAGGTAGACTAACGATTGAATAATCAAACTGATCAGATTGGGCAATGGGGGAAGAGATGTCATGGGTCGGACAAAAGTATAGGCCAAGGTCACAAGGAGAGATGTGAGAAAGAGTAGTCGGAACCCTACTCCCTTCAGCCATCGTACGTGCGTGCTCTGCTGCCCTTGCTAGAGCGTCTAATCCGAAGCGTCCTTCCTCCATCACGGAGACCATAATGCCGAGACCAAAGCACGCTGAAGTGTACAAGGAGAAAAGATGCCAGGATGACCATGGCCGAAATGAAGGAAAGAGACGCTACAGAAACCCCACAATTAAAGCGACAGTACCCATCAGCAATATGCAAAAGACCAGGTAACCCGTGGCGAGAAAGTAACCAGAAAGATTTGTGGCCAACAAACCCATCCAAGTCCTCCGGATCCTGAAGGTGAGAACCTGATGCCAACATTCCCACTCTCATTGACCATGGCGACGATGTAAAGGATCATCATCACAATGAACGAATTGAGAAGCGTAAAGATCCATAACTCAATGGTAATGGCTCTGGCAATCTGCAAGACATCATTCAGTATACTCTCTAAGAACTTATCATATACCAAAGTGCCTGCCTGCAAGGTGCCAAGGATTTTTGGCTTCGGTATAAAGTCTTCAGGTGAAGGGGCATTGACCAAGGTGCCTAGAAAGTCTTCAGAGTAACTGAAATAGCTTAGTACAGGAATTATAAGAATGGTGAAATACATGGTCTTACAGCTCCTCCAGAAAAGCTTTACACCTTTCCGAAGAATCCCCTTGGCCGTCAACGGTCTAGGCGCCGCCTTACCCATGGCTTCTCCGTCTATTTTGTTTCCTGCTGTATTCCGTCGCCTCTCACACCCCTCTTTCTATTTCTGCTCTTCCTATCCACGCCAAAAGGTTGCTCTATGGGTGATGCAGTCACTGACAGGTTAAATTCGGGGGAGAATCATGGCGCTTCTTATTGAAACTCGATCTCCTTGGGTGGGAACAAGATTTCAACGCGGTTGAGGTGACAGCCGAAGTCAAAGAAAGCGTCAAGTAACCGTTCCTTTTAGAAAATCGGCTTTAGGTGCACATCTCATTGGGGAGGATTGCCTTTTTCTACACGGCGAGCGTCAAATCTATGTATTACGATATCGAACGTTTGACAGTATAAATAATTGCAATGGAGTCAATAAAACGTTTACCTGCTAGCTCGCAATGGGGTTGACGGCAGGAACGTCAACTTCCACTAATATATCTGTCTTGTACGGCTCAAGTATTCCAAAGCGCGTACGAGAAATCTCGCCGGCGCCTTGGAATTATCTGTCTTGATGTTTAGAGCGAGAACTCTGGTTTCCAATGAGCACGCGGCCTTAGTTTCCTCTCGTCCATGTCTTTTCTGGTAGTTCTTGGAGATAACGCAGTCATCACCAAAAATGTCAAAAATCTTTTCAGCTGGCGTCTCGTTCCACAGAAAGCTCGACTCGACGTAGTAGGAATGCTCGCTTGCAGTTATCGCTATCCTTCTCTCTCTCTCTCTCTCTCTCTCTCTCTCTCTCTCTCTCTCTCTCTCTCTCTCTCTCTCACGCGAAATTCATTCCTTGCCTTGATTACTATGGTTGTTAACTAGCGAGTACGACTCAAACAGAATACGTCTTAAAATGCCAACACAGAAAGTCAGACACGATTTCGTCATTTAGTCAAGGATACATTTTTCTACTAAACCTGGCCGGTAACTATACGATTCTTGACCGAAGAGCAAGAAGGGATTGAACGAGGTGTCCTAATCAGAGAAGCAACACCAATCCATGTCAATCCAGATAAGGTTTTGAACAACCTTATCACGGGGTGCCGCCATTTATGACGGATTATGCTCAACTGAACGTGCCGGGTAGTTATCCTATGATCTCTCGAGCGACTTGAGTTTCGTTGACCAACTTGTTATCCACTGTCCGTTGAGCAAAGTGTTGACCAGTGACCCAGTGACTTGGCACGAAGCAGGTCTTACGGGGTGGTTCAAACCCAATGCGAGGGACCGGCGCAGAGCAGACAGTCCAGTCTGTCCGGCATTGTTCGAGCCGGTATGGCAACCCGGTGCAGGCCGGTTGACCCGGGTTGGCTCGGACTGGCGAACAAAGTGGTTCAAGCTAGGCGACCGAGAGGAAATGGGGCGATGGGGCCGGGAAGGTCTGGGCTCGTGAAACAGGGTTAAACCCTAACCGGAGAGACAGGAGAGAGTGGAAAATGGCGGCGAAGGCAGAACAAGCGTAGGCAGGGATGGAGGCAGTAGTGATGGTGATGGCGGTGACAATGGGGGCAGGCGGCAGCGAGCCACAAGGACGTACTATATTGTTCCAAGCCAGGGCGACTGGATCAATGTCGATACACATTGAGGGCAGAGCAAGGACAGAGTGAGAAAGACTCTGGGATAGGCAAGAGGGCAGTAAAGATCGATGCCGATACACATAGGCAAAGAGAGACATAGAGAAAAGGAGAACAGAGAAACACCAAGAGAGGCAGAGAGAGAAGAAAGCGGTCCGGAAGGAGAGGGGAGCTATACTGTCTGAGGGTCAGGAAGCTCGAGGAAGGTTCTCGTTACAATTCTCTTAGAGCTAGTGTGATCAAGGTCATTTGCTCTTTTGGGATGATGAGGTCGTAAGGAATTAATCTAACATGACAGCATGAATTCATCATTCCAATATCTTATACTCGTCTAAGTCATTTGCTCTTTTGGTCACTTAGCCTTTTCATTCCTCATGATTGGTCCCATGATCCCACCTTACACGTTTAAGTTCATGAAGAGTAATAAGTTTTTTCGCCAAATATAAAAGGCATATTGATATTGACGAATGAGAAAACAACCACAAAGGCGGAATTATGGACTTCTACAGGTGACAGAAAACATCCACCTCGTGAATAGTCACAAAGCTTATACATCTCTCAAGACTTAGGGTTAGACAAATCATTCCTCGTGTAAAGCCTTCGTGTAAGCTTTCTCCAGCTTTGTGGCCGCTTCTTGATTCTCCTGGCACTCGTAGTAGAACACGACATTGACAGCATGGATTAGCACAATCTCCAGCAGGGGGACTAACGACCGTATGATGAAACTAATCAGATTGGGCAATGGGAGAAGAGTTGTCACAGCTGGGATCAACATATAGGCCAAGACCGCAAGCAGGAGTAAGAGAATGTTTACTCGGAACCCTAGTCCCTTCATGCCTCGGACATACTCCGCTGCCCTCGCTAGAGCATCTAACCCGGAGCGTCCCTCCATCACGGAGACCACAACGCCTTGGGACCAAAGCATGTTGAAGTGTACGAAGAGAAGAAATACCAGGATGGCCATGGCCGCGATCAAGGCAAGAGACGTAGTGGAAACACCACCAATCGAAGCGACAGTACACATCAGCAGCATGCAGACGCCTAGGTAACCGCTGCTGAGGATGTGTACGTAGAGGCTCGTGGCTATCAGGCCCATCCACGTCCTCCGAATCCTGATGGCAAGAACCTTTATGGTCACCGTCCTGCTCTCTCTGACCACGGCGACGATGTAAAGGAATGCCATCACGATGAACGATCTGAGAAGGTAATTAGTCCACATCTCAATGAAGAAGGGACTGGCAATATGCAGGAGATCATTCAGTATATTATTGACGAGCACATCAAAACCCCAAGTACCTGCCTGCATATTGCCTAGGGCTTGTAGCTTCATTAGAAAGTTTTGAGTTGAAGAGTCGTTGACAGATGAGAGTTTAGAGAACCAACGATAACTGAGTATAGGAATGATCAGAAGGGTGGAGAACATGGGCTTACAGCTCTGCCAAAAAAGACTTACAGCTTTTCGAAGAATCCCTTTGACCGTCTTCTTACCCATGGCTTGGCTAAGTATCTTGCTTCCTGTTGTACTCAGTCCCCTCTTACCTCCCTCTTCCTTCTATTTATGTTCGTCATACCCATTCCGAAAGGTCTCTCTATGGCTAATGCGGTCTGTGGCAAGTTAAGTTCGGGGAAGAATCATGACGGAAACTTCTTGAAGCTTGTCTCCCTAGGTAGGAACAAAACTTAAATGTGGTTGAGGTAACACCCGAAGTTGAGGAAAGTGGCAATTGACTGATCCTCTTAGAAGATCGGTTTAGTTGCACATCCTAATAGGGAAGATAGCCTTTTCTACACGGTAAGTGTCAAATCCATGTATAACGATAACGAACGCTTAGCGGTACAAGTAATGGCAATGGACTCAATACTTTGGCTATCCCGCATTGGAGTTCACGGCGTGAACCTCAAATTCCACTCACATTTGTCTTCTATGGCTCAAGCATTCCAAATCACATACGAGCAATGTCGCACGGGTCTTGGAATTCTCAGTGCAAAAGAGATGTCTATTGAAGTTAGGTACAGAAAGTGAGAACTCTGGTTTCCAATGAGCACTCGGCCTTAGTTTTCAATCCTTTGTGGCTTTCTGATAATCCATAAAGATAAGCACATACACGGCCGGTGAGAACGAAGGCGTCACCCAAAAGGGGGAAAATGTTATCAGCCACCAGCTTGTTCCACGAAATACTCGATGAAGGAGGAACGCCCACTTGTAGCTGCGGCTGTCCCTCTCTCTCTCTCTCTCCCTCTCTCCGTCACACAAAATTCCTTCATATCCTTGATTACCGCGGTAGTCAGCTACCATCCCTTAAAAAGAATGCGATTTCAAATGGCAGCACAAAATGTCAAAGGCGTTATCTCCATTTAGTGAGGCATTTATTTTTATGTTAACCCTGATAGGTAACTGTATGGTTTTTGTCTAACGAGCGAGAAGGCAGCGGAGCGTGTCCTAATCAGATAGACGATGACAATCCACGCCAACTCAGATAAGGTTTTGAACAACTTTTCCAGGCAGCTACATAATAGTCAGCCAGAGATTTATGTCATTGGAAGGAAATTCAATTTCTAGCAGATTCATTTAGAATGAGACCGCTCATAGAAATTTCCTGAGGAGGACGGTGACCGGTCAGAGATTGTCCTCACCATAATGGACGGTGACCGGTCAACACAATTTTCGGCTACCGGATTTCAAGTGTCTCCTACAAGAGAAAACTGATGTTTAGAACATTTCCATATGTAATAAAACTTCAGCTGCATCCGTGCTCCCCTGTTGGTCTTCTTTCACTCGTTACAGAGGAATGCGTCAACGCCACAAACTTTTCACAAGATATGCAGTTGGCGAGGCGGAGAGGGGAGGGGAGGTTCAACAAAGGTGGGCGGAAGAAAGGGAGGGGGGGGACTACAAGGGAGAGAAGTAAAAGAGTGAGAGAAACATAGAGATACAGAAAGAGAGAGAGAGAGAGAGAGAGAGAGAGCATCGGAGGAATAAAACGTGGAAGGAAGAGGGACAAAGTGAGTATGGGATAGGCAAGAAGGCGGTAACAAAGGAAACCAATACAAAGGAAAAGAGAGAAAGAAAACGGCAATAGAGAAACACCGCGAGAGGCAGAGAGGGAAGAAAGTTGTGCAGAAGGTAAGGGGAGGGAGGCATATGGTAACAGAGAAAAGAGGGATAGGGAGAGCGTCATCGACCATCGATTTTCTTTATTTCTCAATTCGATATTGCTTATATTCCAATTAGAATTCTAGAACACATACAGCTTATTTATACATTTGATGATAGATAGCTAGCTGAATGCTCACATTGTAATATCATGCTTTTAACAAACTCCCATCAGCATGATAGCTCAAATTTAACCTTGATATGGGTTCTGCTGTCTTAGAGTGAGGAAGCTCGAGGAAGATTCTTGTTACAAGTCACATAAAGCTGGTGTGGTCAAGTTCATTTGCTATTTGGGATGATGAGGTCACAAGAAATTAATATAACATGACAGCATGAAATCACTATTCCGATTTTATTGTATTTTAGAGAACATAACTCCAATCAGTTAATTCTTGTGTTCACAAAAGTCATACTAGTTGTGCTCCTTCTAGAGAACATTGATCACCTTTTAATCGACTACAGAATAATAATCTTGGGCCATAGTTGCCGGAATAGAACACGGAGAACCCAGGGGGTCTCTCACTTTCGAAGATCAACTCGATGCCAGGCACGGATCAAGATCCAGGTGCTTGCAAAGATTACCATCCAGCTCCATAAACAAAAAATAGTATAAAACATGAGATCTAGATTCAGGTGATGACAACTTTCTTCCTCATTCATAGCCTGAACGCAAAATTGTATTATATATCAAAGGGTAGAAAGCTCGTTGTATTTGGGTCACTGATGGCAAGAGTGGGTAACAATTTCTACTTTCTGACCTGATTTGGATCCATGACCACTTCATTTTTGTTGGCTGGATGCGTATTCAAGTTTAGATAGGATACTGGCCGGAGACAAGTAAGCTCGGTTGGGAGTTTCCCAAATTCAAAGTCCCCCGCTTAATAATGATTGACAGTGTCTATTTGACATGATGTTACATATGTTAGATATAGTCGTAAATATGGGCTTTACCATATCTTAGTTAAGAGGCATAAGATATTTGGTTCATGTGTGTTCTATATTTCGGGCCTTGTTATGGGCTTGTCATATTTGGTCATTGTCATCTTATTGTCGGTACATCACATAATGGTAATATGAGAGTTGCCTATGTGCGGCCTATCATTCTTCCACCACCTCATCCATTTGTCTTGTGAATATAGTATCACTCTCCTCCCTCTCTATATTTTCCAACATGGTATCAAAATTAGGTTTTCTTTGTTCATCAATGCTAGGTATTCTTCGTCCTATAGAGCTAACTTTTGTTCATTTATTAAAGCTAGGTATTGTTCATCTATCATAGCCAAGGCTTCCATCCTCTGATATATTGGTATCCTTATCAGATATTGTTCCCTTCTCCTTATCTTTTTAGTGATCCTCATCAGATCTTGGTCTCATTGGTCTATGCATCAGATGTTATTGCTTACTCTCTTGGTGGCTCACTTTGGAGATAGGTGCAGAACTTGACCGCTTCACCGTATTTGCGTATTGAAAGATATGTGCAAATTTGGGACCACTCTCTCAATAGAAAACAATAAATTTAAAACTACATTTTTTATTTAGTTTTTCTTCACAAATTATTGCGGGCTCACAAACACAGTTGGGTGTAGTCAAAGATATGTTCAATCAACTAGTAGGATGTTTTCAAAAGATCATCTTTTCAGCAAACTTTTGATGTTTACTGCATCATGAGTTTGAGGAGGGTGTTAGATATAGTCAATATATAGCCTTTACCATATCATGGTTAGTAGGTTTAAGATATTTGGCTTATGGGCCTTCTATATTTTAGATCACTATTATTGACTTCTCATATGTGGTCATTGTCATGATATGGTCCTTGTTACATTATCAAGGCTAATACAAGGGTTGCATGTATGTAGCCTTTGTTCTTCTGCCTTTGTTCTCCTTGTTACATTGTCCCTCTCTTATGAGTATAGTATAGGTTTATAATGTGTTGTGATACCCTAATATAGGACACCCTGGATAAGTATAAATCATTCCACTGTGATTAGTCATCATTTAAGATCATATCCAATTGGGTTAGTCAATTCATCCAGATTAGGCCGTCCTTGGTAAAGTAATGTTATGTTGGCTTACATTCGTTGCAGTGTGAAATGTTCTAAAAACATCAAGAATAGTTTGCACCTCATGGATAACTTTAATCACGTAACCATCAACATACTTGATTATGAAGGTTCTTGTCTTGTCTTTCAAAATCACCTTCTCATCTTCCAAGAAGCTTTCTCCATTCTAGGTCTCATTATCAATGGAGAAGTCTACAATCTGTACTCCCTATGGATCAAAATAATCATCTATATGTTTGCCTAATAACCATTATCTCCCTAGGCACGGAAGATTTGTAGGATTATCCATATATGAGGTTTGACTAATCCCACCCATTTAATGAGTTCACTATAGTGGAGGGACAATAACATTGTACTAGTGGCAAAGAAGAATCGAGAATAATGGTAGACTATATGTCTATGAAAGAATCATGGCACCCCTTCTAAAAATGTGTTCAACTAGAAACCATGTAACAACTTTGTAATCCATCTCTCACATACAACATCCCACTTACATTACGTTCGAGACTGATGGATGTCGTGTTCAAAATGGAGACCATCACATTCACATCGAAGAGATTTTCAACTAGTATGGTAAGTCATTAGAATTGATGTCTGCATTGGCACCTTCTATTTGGAAGATCTATTTTATTTTAATCACGAAAATCCATCCAAATCCTACTAGTCGACACACAATGAAGCTTTATACAAATGCATGATTATTTTATTTTACTTTTTATTTCTTGTTAGATAGGATAAGTGTTGAGTTCGACTTAACATCCATCTACTACCACAAAAATATGGCTCGATGGGACAAATATTTAATTGACTTCAATCCTTCAAGACCAACTTGTATTAAGTTTAAAGCAAGAATGCGACTCTCAACCATAAAGTTTAATGACTTTTTCAAATACAATAACTAATTGATGACTAGGGATACATTATAGGGACAGGTATAATTTAGTTTGAATTTCTTCCCAATATAGGAAATTTCCACGAAGGCTCCTTGTCTACAAGGAGTAAACACAGCATGAGTTATTTATCATCGGAAAGGCATAACAAGTATAAATAGAGAGTTTGGGAATGTTGAGTATTTGGAAGGGAAGGAATACGTCGTAGCCATGGCTAGGGAAGAGGGACTAACCCTTAGAAGCTTAGAAATGGTGTGGAAGTCTTGGAAGCTCTTGTGGAGGAGCCGTAAGCAATTGCTCCTAATCTTGCTCATATTTTTCCTACCTTTCTCCATTCTACTCGGGGCCTTCTCCTTCTACATCTTTCATCTTGTAGCAGTCATGATAGGAATGTTCATGTCAATGATCACAGGGTCTGTGCCTCCAAAGATGCAAGTGCTGGTGTTGGATCTCAGAAAGTTGGTCATCGCAGAAGTGGCAAACTTACTAGCCTCCATCCTGCTCTCAACCCTCCTTGACATGGCAGTTATTTACACAATCGCGATGGCTTTAAAAGAGAAAGAGATGACCCTCAAGGACCTAATATTCAAGATTTGGAAAACGTGGAGGGGCCCGGTGGTCACCAAGCTCTATGTCTTTTTTATTGCCAGTGGTTATCTCAACTTTTCCCTCTTATTGATATATGCTGTCATATTCGGTGGAGGTTTTACCATGGGGTCCATAGCTCTTGCTAGTGCCATATTTATCTTGCTCTTTCTCCTCACTATATACTTGGAAATGGTCTGGTTTCAAGGCATCGTGGTCTCAGTTATGGAGGACTATTTTGGGCTATCTGCATTGGGGAGGGCATCGGATCTCATCCAAGGAGAAAGGGGTCTCGGGTTTATGGCTAATCTTCTCATGAACCTCCTTGCCCTTATTGTCAATCTATTATTCTTTGTGCTAGGATACATGATAGGGTACAAGAAAGCCATCTACATGGTCTTACTATTCGTCATTTGCAGTATCAATCTATTGATCGCCACGCTCAAGGTTGTGATCTATGTCATGTTCTACAACAAGTGTAGAGATAACCCAGAAAAAGAGCTAGCAATGAAAGATAGATTAGTGTACAATAGGGTCTCATCTTCTATCCCTATTCCTGAAGATCTCCCTTGAGTCTTTCAAAATAGAGAAGCTTCATGACTACTACTGAGAAAGTTCACTTCTTAAGAAGATGCACCCAAGAATTTGGAGCACATAGAAGGGCATGTTTCCATCGAAAAATTGCCTCATCATCCTCTTCAACATCGTATTCGTGACTCTCTAGTACAGATCAATGCTTGTTGTTGTCTTCTGACCTGAAGTTTGGGGCTTTCCTACATTTCAGACTTTTCATGGCCATCTATGATGTTTTGTCCGTCATTTTTTTTATGCATGATCTGGGACACGGCGTGGTAATATCGGAGCTGGCGGGAGGATGCTACAAGTTTTCTGCAGAAATAAGGGCATTGGAGTTCAAGGAAATAACAAAGGTTTTCAACGAACCTTCACTCAATGGCAATCCTTACTGCGTCCCCCTATATTTTATATGGCCATATACTGCTCACCATCCCGAACAACAAGCCGAACAGTTGCATACTTTGAAAGAAATACTATTAATGTCCTGGAATGTCTTTTATTAATTTTCTCAAACTACAAGTATTATCTAGCTATTTTTGTGTCAAAAGTGAAATTTACAAATATTTTTGTTTCCAATTTTAGCATGAGTATGTCTCTCTCTCTCTCTCTCTCTCTCTCTCTCTCTCTCTCTCTCTCTCTCTCTCTCTCTCTCTCTCTCTCTCTCTCCTCGCTCAATTGTTGCTCAGTGAATATAGACATCAAGCAAATTATTTCATGTGAACGCATGTGAACACTTATTGGTCAGAGCAATCAATTACAAGACGTAAATGAGGAATAAAAGAGATACTCTCATAAAGAAAATTTGAAATCCTTGTAGTTATTGAAAAGGTTGATGACACATTCACATACCTTATGGTGTTAAGGTTTCCTATGTAATTTGAAGTTCAAGACATAATACACCAAAGTCAACTCTGGGTAGAATATCATGATTAAACAAACATGACTAAAGTTGAGTGTTACTCTACGAAGATTAATAACCTTCCTATTCTCTCATTAAATAAAAATTTTCACCGTCAAAATGATGCATGCATGATGCAAACTCATTATGGACACTAGTTTTTATTATCATTTCTAACTCATGATTCCATTACGTGAGATACATTAATGGGGACATTCATTTAAAATAATATCATTTTTAACTCATTTCTAACTCATGTTTCCACAATTTCAAAGAGCTATTAAAGACATGTTGACTTCATACCACAATTTCAAACATCGATTTAGACTATCAATATCTTCATTAAGGACAGAAGTGAAAACCCTTGCACATGCCGAGCTCTTCTTAGTGAATTTTCTTGCAGCTGTGAAAGATCCCACAAGTTTAGATTAAGCCCCTATGTAAGTGGGTAGTCTTACCTAGATGACAAAAAGGTTCTAAGATAAGTGAGGACAAGAGCTTCATCAAGTCAAGGTATGTTGTAAACCCTGATTTGTTACACCCATGTGGCAGTCCCTTTCCCAAAGAAACCAGATCCTAGAACTCTTCGTTCAAAGAGTGAGAGGGTAATCATCAACCAGATGCCCTAGTTTTTTATGATTGATACCCCCCTCAATAAGGATGAAAGTATCATCCAATCTCAAGTAAACATTGGTATTTGGAGGACTTCAAACATTATACTTTTCATTATCTTAGGTCTCAATCTATATAAAATATAGGTTAGTATGTTCCATGCTTCAACTGTCAGCGGCCTCTCTTGCTTTCTTTCCTTTAGTCAAGAGACCTGAGGTCATGTTTAAAATAGAGATAAATTGAGCTCAATTGAGCCATCTCTATGGTGGTAGATTAGGCAACTCTCCTCCGACTTTTAGTCATGTTACTTGGAAAGGTAGTATATCTTCTAGTCACCAGAAGCCAAATTAGTACTAGGACACCCTATTTACAGCATAAATAGAAAGATTAGCTCATGTAAAGGTGTTAAATGATGACATAAAGCTGAACATTTCTCAAACTATAATCTCCTCACATGGTAATGATGAATGATTCAATGAACTAAAATATTTTAGATTACTTTTAATAACACATTAGCCCCATATGTTGTGCTATTTTTTTTTTACCAAAATATATTTAAATAATTTTTAAGGTGAGCCTTATTTGAGGGTTATCTATTCACATTTACCATTTGATTGGCATAATCCATGATATACTTGTCTTTCATGTTCTTTTAATGAGGCCATCAAGACTTTCAAGAGGTTAACTCATGTGTAACCTAGTGAACATTACTATTTGAGGTACTAGGTTTTGGAGCCATCCTAGTTTTGATAATAAGCAAATCCGCATGAGGGTAAAATAGTAAATTTTTTTCATGAAATCACTCTATATATTAAACTATTGAAAAGTTGATATCAAGACCATTTTGAAGAGATTTTTGTGTCTTTTATTTTTTTCAAAATTAAAGTTGACTCACTTATAAGATTTATTAAACTCAAGGTGACTAAGATATTACTACGGTACAATGACAATGTTACATTATTAGTATAATTGCCTAACAAATATTTCATTCATGATATCTTATATTAGCCCTTGCATAGAGTCAATAAGATTTAAGACTAACTACTTGTAAAATTTGCCTATTAAGTTTGTCTACAAATGTCAGCACAACAAGACACAAATAATATAGAGCTGAATTTTCAAATTGATTACATTAAACTTACTATGTCAATATGTGAAAGCTATGTGAGTAACATTCTGATAATTGAGAAAATATATGATGAGGTATGCTGCACAATAGCAATATATATTAAGCTTCATATCTTACAACATAGAAATGACATTGAAAAATGCAAATATAGAAATGATAATTAATGATAATATATAAACTAACTTTACACATGTCACGAGGTTGGAATCACATTGTAGTCTAGCATATTATGTCAAGTACAAAATCTTATCAAAAAAATAATTGATGATATAAATTATAAGGTGACCATTGATAGCAACATTTGTGATAATTATGATAAGGTAATGAACAAGAAGATTGGGTCTCATGAAAAAGTACAGACCTTTATCATCTCAAAACCTTAAGATGTACCTGCACCATAAATTCACAACTTTTATCAAGATGTGAAACTACCAACTTTGTTTCACCTAAGGGTTTTTTATTGTGTCACTATTGTCTTTTCAAATTTATTTTCTAAGATAAATGTGAAAAGTTCAAATGTAATGTATGTGAATTAGCTAACTATAGATGGATCTTACTTCCCATGAGTGGCAAATGGAGTTTCACTTTATTTACACTTATTCATAGTGATGTGTGGAGATTATCACCAACTCTCAATATCTTAGAAACGAGATTGTTTGTGATCTTCATAAATGATTGTTTATGAACTAGATGAATTTATTTAATAGATCATAAATATGAGGTTAGTAAGGCATAAGTAATTTTAATTATTAAATAAAAATTAATTCAAAATAATTATCAAAAAGTTAGGTCAGATAATGTTAGAGATTATTTTAATCATTTAATAACTAATTTTTTCATAAGACAAGTAATTATTCATGAGTCATCATCTTTGTATATCAAATGAAGTAGCAAAGAAGAAAAAATAGTCACACATTAAAAGTTGCAACTACACATATTCCAAATTAATACATCTAATCATTTTTAGATAGAAGCAATCTTAACTCCCACTCACCTTTTAAATTGCTTACCAATTTGAGTATTAGATTTAAGAGCCCGTTAGAAGTTATGTCACTCTACTATTCACAAGTTTGGTTAAAAATAATTTGATTTATAAGATTTATAGATGTGTAGGATATGCCCACAATCATGATCAAATCAAAGTTTGATCTATGGGAACTAAGCTATGTTTTCATTAGATACTTGAACACTAAAAAATGAGTCCTTTATCAAAAAAATATTTAAATTTATATAACCTTTAATGCACATGAATCCTTTCTTAACATGAGGAATGTTTCTCTTGAAGAGAAAAAGGTTCCTAAGGATGATAGTAAAGGACTAGAAGTTAGAAACTTCTTGTTACCAATATTACCTTTAGATGAACTTATGCATCTAAATATGACCTCAAAGGAATTTCCACCTCATGAATCCTTTCATGGCTTTGAGAATATTCAAAAATATCCCAATCAATCTCTACACTAAAAAAAATCTTGAAGAATTATTCATTGCCTTTTTCAAAATAAAAAAGAAATACTTTAAGGATCTAATTTACTAATTTATGTCTTTTAAATGTTTATCTCCTTCATATAGAGCATTCATTACTTATCTTAACATCTTATTCATTCCCTCATGATGTTTTTAACATTATCTTGTGAAGAATGAAAAAAAAGACTAATGAAGTGATGAAGGCATTAGAGAAGAACCAAACTAGAGAAATAGTAAAATTACCTAAAGGAAATAATATAATTTTGATGTAAAGGGGTATAATATTATTAAACATAAATCCCATGAGACAATAGAAAGATATCAAATTAAATAGATCTCTAAGAGTAATAGTTAAATTTATGGGGATAAGATTATTTGAAGAAATTTACTCTAGTGACAAAGATGAATACTAATCTACTTTTACTTTCTTTAGTAGTTGATTGTAATTAGGATATTCAATAATTTAATAAAAGAAATGACATTTTATATAGAGAACTTGATGAAGAAAATTATATAGATGCTCCACAAGAATTTGAAATTGACTTCAAAGGTAATGGAGTTTGTAAATTAAATAAAAATTTATATGAGTTCAAATAACCAATAGTCTGGTTCAAGAGATTTTAAAAAGTGATGAAGAGATAGCTAATATACCTAATAATGGAGACTATATCCTATTGGTTAAAGATTCATTGTCAAGGGAAACTAACATTGTTAGTGTATCTAGATGGTATAATAGTGATATAAAATGATAAAAAGAACATTTAAGTGCTTATTTAAAAAATTGATATTATAATTTTGAGAAAATAAAATATTTCATTAGTATTGAAATAACTCATTCTGAATAAATAATATGTATTTCTCAATAAAAGTACAGTATCCACCTCCTAAGGAGATATAAAAATTAGGATCTAAACCCATAAGCACTCTTATAGATACAAATTGTTAGCTTGAGAATGTAAAAGAAAATAATACTATTGCATAAAAGTTAGAAGTATCAATGTCTCATAGGAAAATTAAGTTATCCTTCCCACACAAGGTTGTGCATCACATACTTTGTAAGTATACTTAATTAATAATAACATGATGTAAAGAAAGTTCACCTCTTAATTGTGAATTGAATTTTATAGTACCCAAAGTGAACTATTGGTAAAAGGTGATTATTTAAGAATAATCATAATATAGATGTAATGATTTTTACTGATTCTAATTTAGATCAATGATCAACATTAAGTTACTACACATTGCTTAAGGATAATTTAATTGCATAGAGGAGTAAGAAGTAACAAGTGATGGCTAGTTAAAGTTTTTAACTATGGTACAAAGAATATGCAAAACCTTGTTTGTGAAAAAATATTAAAAAAGCTTAGAATCAAACCAAAAGATTTAATCAAGTTGTAGTTTGACAATAAATATGTTATAAACATTGTACACAGCTCAGTGCAACATGATTAAATTATATGTCTAGAACGACTAACACTTCATAGAGGAATAACTTAATAATAGCATTACCTGCACATTATATATATCAACCCATGAACAACTAACAAATATTTTCACAAAATGATTAGGTTGACCAGATTTCCAAAAGCTCACGTCCGAATTAAGATTGCATGACATCTATTCACCAGATTTGGAGAGAATGTTAGAGAACAAGCTATTAAATCCATATTATACCCATTGTTTATTTATGTATATGTCTAGTTTATTTTTGTGATTTTGTTCTTTTTATTCATAGGCGTGTTGAATCTGATTTCATCATAAGTGAAGTTGGTTAACACGATCTGACCCACTAAGATTGGTCTTGGTATAAATACCTATTCTTCCTGAATTAATTAAATATATTTTCAACTTTTACGTTTCTCTACACTCCTTCACAAATTAGTGGCTCACTCACTGCCATTGATGCCCATTCTAGTGACCACTAACCTCCACGACATTGGCATCACCAAATAATCTGAGTTGATTGTCTGCCCAATTCTGCTGAAACTTTAGAAATTGGAATTTATCCTTCACATGTTGTTATCCTCCTCAGTCACCCGTGATGGAATATAAGCCAACAGCTCCTCTGAGAACCTTGTATTTTCTGTTGATATAAGAGTTGGATAGTAATGCAGAGCATGTCTTGTAATGTCTTCTTTCAGATGTCACACAAAATATGCTTCTTTTATCCAATGTATTTATTAGGCCGCTTGATCGGACATCAATTTGCCGGGATGTTCTTCATGTGCAGTCTTGATTTGGCGATTGCACCTTGTTGGGCGCCTCAACAGTATAGTGAGTGTACTGCGCACCTGAGAAGTCCACTGGGCCTGTGGTCCATACCTTCGTCCCAAAGAAATCCGTCATTCTCACAGGAACTCTGCATAGTAAGCGAGAGAAGGAAAGGGGGAGAGATGGGTTCCAAGGAGAGAGGGAGAAAACTGCAGGGAGGGAGAGATATGGGATGGGATATGTCGACAAAAAGAGGAAATAGGGAAGGGAGAGGGACGGAGGGAGAGATGGGATGGAGACACAGAGAGGGGTTGACAGACGAAAAGAAATAGAGATTGAGTGAGTGAGTGTGTGTGTGTGTGTGTGAGAGAGAGAGAGAGAGAGATTACGGACACCACTATTTTCCTCCATTTTACATTGTTTATATTGTAATTATAATATGGTGCACAGATATGATCACATAAAGCGGCTCAATCAAGCAGCAAGCTAAAGGCTATGGTTTATAACTCCCTTAGTATTCCCTCGCCTATCTAGGCTTTTTCTATGCTTTCAGAAGATTATTACAGCGAGTCGTGCCATCAGATGACAGAGTAACCTCGAGGAAATGTTTTGGCAGAAACCTCCTCCAAGCTCATATGCCCACATTCCAAAACCGGTTTGGCTAATAAGCCAATGCGAACCAGGACGAGATAAAATACGTCATTAACAATTTGACCAAATTTTACTCATGCTTTCACCTCCGTCGTGCTTTCACTCCCTCAGGTTTCTATTCTCTTTCCCTTCTGCTTCAAACCCGCCGCCTTCTTCCGGTGATCTTCCTTCCATTCAGACCAGTAAAAGGAATGGATCGGTGGAGAATGGAGACTGCCGGAAGAAGCAACTCACTCGTCTTCTTCTGACCCAACGGAGTTTCTCCGAGGTCAAAACTCGTCGTCGAAAATGGTTTCAGAAGAAACCAGTTTATTATTAAACCAAACTTTCCGACGCAACAGATCCTGGTTTAATCCCGTTTATTATTTAAATAACATCAAGTCAAGATTACAAGAATGAGATTTTTCTGTACTGGAAGTGAAGATACTAAATGGTTCGTCGGTTGCCTTTGAGCCATGACCTCACGCCTGAAGAAGAATTCCCACCTGCCCAAAGAACCCGCAAGCGCCCAACGTCCAGACTGCACTGGCCAACACAGGCTTAGGGGAGATCGAAATCTCCGCTGGCAACCTTATCGAGCAGATTTCATCCTCCCACGCGCCGCCGATCACGAGGACGCGGTGCGCCGTCGCCTGCAAGAGGAAGAAGACAAGGAAGCTCACCAGTTTCATATCATCCATCAGCGCAGCCGCTCGCCAGAGCGCCTCCACTCCGTGCCTCCCATCCTCCCGAAGGAAGCCGAAAGCCCCCACCGACGCCAGCGCACCTGTCCGAAGAGCCCCCGAGCAATGAACACGATATTTACCTCTTTTAGTCCCTGTGGGTGAGGTTTTTAAAACACAAAGGGATCGCCCTGCCTGAACCCATACTAAATCGGAATCAGCAGAGGAATCTCCGATATTTATTTACACTGCCGTATAGATTGTTAGTTGGATGGTACCCGTATAGATCAAGGAGAGTGCGGCCAGTAGATAAAGAAGAAATTCCCGCTCCCTTGACTGGAGCTCGTCGCCGGAGATGAGGAAGACGATGCTGAAGACGAGAACCAGAGAGAGGACGTAGCCCAAAAGTACTATCGTCGAGTATACGCGTAAGACAGAAGGCTCCCACCATAAAGCCTTCATCTTGGAGAGCAATCGCCACGGAGATAAACGTACTCTGGAGTAGATTGGCAGATGCGCAGAGACAAACCAAGCCGCTGAGGCGGAGATTACGATGAATGAGACAGCGGCAATCGCCGTCTCCGTACCTAAGATAACACTGCCGGACCGCTTTGGGTGCACCCATGAGTGATAGCTTCTGATGTAGGAGGCATAGAATCCGTGACCAGTGAACTTCGGAAGGAAGAGCGTGATGGAAAAGTAGTGACCCAGGAACAGAGGAAGGAAAGGGGCCAGGGAGGCGAGCGCGATGGAGCGGGCGAGCTTCCAGCTCCGTGGAGAGGCTTCCCGGTCGTCAAAGTCTCCCCACCGTGAGGCGGGGGGCGGAGGCGGAGACATGCCGGACAGGAGGGGATCCCGGAGCGATGAATCTAGAGGAAAGGCCAGAGTGCTCAGTTATTTCTCCTCGGCCTTTAAACCAGTAGAGAGATGGAGAGTGAAGACTGTACTTTGTCTCATTTCCAAGGTATGCAGAGGGGAATCATTCATTTTAGTTTAAGAATCATAGCAGGTTGACTTGGTCAACCCGTTGGGGATAAGTTTTATTATTTTGGTCAACCCTCCCGGACCTCTCCCATTTCCCTTATATTTCATTTTAGTGACTGGTTTCAGACGGTCAAAATTCAGGCCATCTCTCTCTCTCTCTCTCTCTCTCTCTAATTTATCAAGTAGACAGTGAAAAATGATAGGACTATCCCACCTAGTCTTCCAGAGAAATTGCACATAAATATCAATGACTGTTCTATTTCGGAATACTAAATTAATTCGGTCATCTGTCAACATCTGATTGGCGCAGGTACCACCCCCTCACTGGCCTTGGTGCTAGTCCTGATCACAGAAAGCGGCATATTCTAAAAGCAACGGTGACATTCTACTCACAGCAAGCAACAACCCTGCGCTAGATTGGAGAAACGACACCACTGCCAAGAAATCATGGGAAACTGATGGTCCTGTGTGTCAACCCCATCGCTGATCAGCAATAGGAGGCAGCAGATGAGAATCTGGAAGAAGCTGTGGCCCAGAAGAACTTGGGCTCCGCCGACATGCCCCCAGAGATAGCAGTCTCCCGGAGTTGACCATATGGGGTCGGTAAGACAGTGACTGATTCGTCCACTTTACCAAAAATATATAAAAATTTTCAAGGCATGGATGGGCTCAAGTGAGTTGAAGGGGCTGTTTCAAGCTATGAATTGAATCCGAAAACAAATTGGAACCGGTCAAATTCGACACTTTCATGGACGAAGTCCACCCAACATATGACCGGGCCCACCAATCATCTCAAGGAAGATCACTCACTGTAGCTCTTCACCCAATCTCCCATGAAAAGAGATTCGGGCACAGATTTGTTTGTTCCCTGGAGTTGTGAGATAATCTGTCGCAAGAACAGCAAGGCATTACCTTAATTCAGTCAATGCCGAGGGCCACAGAGATAGCCCGATTGCACAGCAAGGTACAATCTAGGATTTTAGGTTATGGGCGGAAAAGGGGAGGAAGAGAAGAGGAGGATCTTGGAGAAGGTGGGGGAAACAAGGTAATGGGGTACTTGACACAAATTCAAGTGGGTTTCAAGTAGGCTTACCTAATCGGAGCGAGATCGCCATTGCTGTAGAGCCCAAGATAAATCATCACCCTTCGTTCCCCTCCAGTCAGAGAAATCAGCCATTCTGACAGAAATATAAACAAAAGTCAACGTTTATCCAACCCAAGATAAGCATCGGAAAAAAAAAACAAATTTGTAGCCATCCGTGAAGTCAATGATCACAACGGAAACAGAAGTCGAGACAGTCAGTGCAAGCCTATTAAAGTTCTTCAATCCGTTCATCTGGACACACTGAAATCACTAGTATACATACAGATCCTCATGTAAACTGTGCCCATCACGATCCCAGAAGAAAAATGATTGAGAAAACTCATTACCTTGTTGTATGAATCTGTTTCAGAAGTTTGGGGATGAGACAAGAAGGGAATGTATTCCAGAAGATCATTGATCAAGAACAGGAAGGAAAAGAGAACAAAATGGGAGAGAAAGCCCCACACATGCAGGTAGCATCACACTCGCAGATGGCAAACAAAGGGGAAACCCAAATAGGAGATGATGGTGTTTCACAGAATTGAAGGGAAATTTTGATGTTATCTAACCTGACAATACTTCTGCATCTGTATGAAGGATTGAAGAGCATTGTAGAAGTAACTTATGAGACCCTCTGACCAACATTTCTGTGTTCCGTACCAAATAAAACAAAAAGACAGGCTAAAAGCCAGCTAAATGAGCACAAGTCAACGGCAGATGGAAAGAGATTATGTATGAATCTGTTTCTATGAAGCGGGATGATATCACTCTAGGACAAAAAAATTCCGTCTAATCCCATGGGATCCGATGAGAATAAGCAGACATGAGAGAATTTTATAGGTTAACCATTTCTTTTACAGAGGCAAGGCAACTACAAGCAACACTAAATAGACATCACAGGCCCATTTTATACGATGCGGAGAAGAACATTGCCCATGGAGAAGAACACTAAATCTGTCGAATGTGCGTCCCGTCCCTTCCACCAACCAGCTTGCCCAGATCAGGCCCATTTTCTGACATTTGTCGTTCTGATCCACAGAGGCTCTTATTTCTCTCTCCGTTCTTGTTTATTTCAAAGGAGAGAAGGCCCCATATGCCAGATGAGAACAATATGTATCAAAATCAGCAAGCTTGCAATGGGAATAGCTAAATCTCCAATCCACAATGGATTTCACGAAGTGACATTATCCTCTGTAAATGGGCCACCAATCGCCGTACTGGAAGGGAGGAGTAGGATATTCATCATCATCATTGTGACATAGTAAAAGATAGAATGAGATAATCTTATGGAGAGTATTTGAAAAGATCAATAAAGGGAGAATGTGAGAACGTATTAAAGAGCCTCTTAATGGCTGGGTTAACAAGCCTGAAAATAACAGAGTGCTTCCCATTTCATTAATGAGTCAGGTAACAGAAGATAGAAGTCAAAGCCGAAGACACAAGAAAAGATAGGCCATCAATTCCCAATATATATATATATATATATATATAATTACAAGTATACATTTTTGCAAGAAATAATTTCCTGGGTTCTATATAGGAAGAAGTCTCAATATAACGAGATAATCGCAACAAAGAATTTGAAGCCGATGATAATGAAACGTAGCCAAATATTCTGTATGATTAGTCTTATTTCAGAACATATGTAGGTTTCATGGCTCAAGAATTCCTTAGAAAGTACTCCAGTTGACCTGAAAATTAAGGAAAAACACAGAAATAGCCAGTTGCTGGAAAGAAAAAAGACATCAATGGCCACAGAGAAAACGCAGCAGCAGACAACTGACCGTTCCTTCTCTCATTGATGCTTCATGAGTTGATGGGTTCTCACACTTTACGTTCTTTCCTTTGGTTCTCCTGGACAAGATCTTTGCAATCTGCAACTGGGTCTTAGCCACAATTTCTGTCCTTTTAAGCTCCATCTCCCCGCGCTTAATCTCCGCCTCTATCCTCATCCTCTCTGAATGCCTCTGCATCTCCATCCTCCCCCGCTCAATCTTCAATATCGAATGAGCCAGGAACATTATACTCTCTGCAACTTCGTTTCCCGAGCCCCTCCTCTTCGATGGATTACCAACCCTCCTGCTCCCCTCTCCGACATCGCCTGCCACCTTGCCTCTGGGGGTGCTCAGCTCATTGTCCAGTCCCCTGCTCTCCTTCTCATTCTTCCCCTTGACGGCTAGAACATGATCCGGCAACGTGCTGGACCCATCGTCCTGATTGCTCTCCTGCAGGTTCCCCTCCATTTCCAGATCGACCACCACCTTCGGCAATGGCCGGCCACTGGCCTCGTTATTCTCAGCCTTCGCCCCCTTCAGCAGCCCGTCCATGCGAGAATAGAACTGCCACGATGAGCGGAAACTGGGGGGCTGGATGGAGGACGACTCTGAGCGGTACCTCTTCTTCATCGACTCAACCTTGTTCTTGCACTGGTTGGGGGTCTTCGTCCCAGCACAGCGATCGGAGACCTGGCGAGCGACGTCCTCCCAATCGCTCCACTTGAGCTTCGCCCGATTCCGGAGCATCCACTTGGCCTCGTACGCCTCGAGCAGGCTCACCACCCCGCCCTCGCTCCATTCGTCCCTCTTGCTCCTGTCTGGGACCTTCATCGCCGCCGGCACAACAGCCCTCACATTCCACTGAGAAACAGGGATCCGCCAGCGGAGGATACTAAACCCTGGGAATCACCAGCTTCGAGCATGAAATCTTCGCCATCTTCTAGGGCAGAAAATTCAAACCAGAGACGAGTAGAAGCCCCCCTCACGAAACAGTAATCAAACAGAACTCTGGAATGACCTTTCTACTCTTCGCTGCTCCTCCTCCTCCTCCTCCTCCTCCTCCGCCGCCGCCGCCGCTGCCTCCAGCTTTAGCTCGGAAAGGTTCGGCGGAGGCGCAGATTGACCGAAGAAGGGGCGATGAGAATCACGACCACGCAACGGCGACGTCAGAGCATTTCGCTTTTGCCGCCGTAGGGACAGAGCCACCGGAGGGCCGGCGAGAGTGGCTCCGTCAGGAAGCATTAATGCGGCGGGATAGTGGAAGCTCGCGTCAGCGCTCCGGCGACCACCACCGCAACCCCGCGGCGGCGCCGCCACTTCCGCCGCCGCGGCTGGTTGAGCGTGGGGACTGTACAGGTGGCCGTTTAATCAAGTGTGGGCCTTAATAGGCCATAGTGTCTTTTACCGATATGGGTTCCGGGTGACCCATTAAAAATATCGGATCTCAGAGCTGGGACAGATCAGAGTTGGCGCCATTTTCTAACTGGTGGGAGGAAGAAAACCCTAGAGTGGAGCCGAGCGTTCGCCGGTGGTAAGGGTTTGCCGGCGGCGGAGTATGTGGCGGGATCCCACCCCACTGTGAGGAGATGGTGTGGGAGATTGTCCATGTTCCTGATAAGGTCCCTGGCCTTGAAGAGTCGACCGGTACGTTTGAATCACGTTGAGAATCCCCCTTTCCCCGCAGTCCCCGACCGTGTCTGATTTGATCGGGTACCAGTGTTCGTCCTCATTTTTGAAAATTTCCTGCAGTGAATGTTCTTGCTTCCAATGTGGAGCCGAAGCTGGCGAATACCATCATGAGGTGGGAGCATCGTCCAATCCCTTCTCCGCTCCTTTTAATTCTGGTTTTGAATTCGACTTTTTCTCATTCTTCGCTGGAAACGTTTTTGTGAATATTCCATTCTTATGACTCTCAGGCAGTTGAGTCTCGTAGCACCTCTAGAGAACCTACGGCATGTGAAGCGTATTCGACGGAAGCCCACCACAGGTATGAATTATGCCTCAGAACCAACCCCGTATTGTGAACTTCGTCATCATACATGTGTTTTCTTTTGACTATGCAAAGGCCAGCTTCAGTGTAGGCTACGTTAATATTTCGATCGCAGCGGATTGTCCTGTTCCTATTTATGAATCCATATTCTTTTCCAACCTTCGCAAACACGTTGTGAAGCCTGACAGTATCCATTATTCCGTACCAGAGATGCCTCATTTTTATTTTGAAGCCTTTTTCTGGCCATTATTAGAGGCAACTGTTTGCCGTATGTGGACATGACTTACACGTATCTGATCCTAATTTCACCGAATCAATTGGCGAGGTCGATTTTGTTGGCGGAGCAGGTGATTTTATTTGACCTACGAGTTCGTATGAGTTAAGACACTCTTCCTTAATCGAGAAAATGTGGTGAATGGTTATTGTCATTTCTACTCGGGGTTGTCTTCCCCAATGGGCAAGCGCATCGCCCTCACATGGGGATATACTTAGTGTATACGTTTAATTATTCTGTTTCCTTTCATTGCGTGCTCTATTTTCAGTCATTTCATCCTGTCCCACAGCTTGTGTGAATTGTGTGTCCTTGTTTGCTATGAGATATGGTACCTTTTAGTATATATAGTCCGCATAATACACGTTTGCATTTTTCATCCTTGCACAAGTTGATTCATCTTTTCCTTTTCCTGGATCATGATACATATGAGGAAATTTTTGGTATGCTACCTTGTGGTCAGACAAAATAGAATGAGTCTAATTGATTCCGAACTGGGTTGACTCTTAATGAATCATCCCGACTTGTTCCTGACTTAGTCCACATCACAGAGGTTTTCATGATTAAAATCATGTATTAAATAAAAAAGGTGAGAAAATGAAAAATGATGATCTACACTTTAGTTAACATTTTAAATGTATGGATCCATTTATGATAAAGATCAAATTTTCATCAGATTATTGTTCGGGACTTATATATAAAAGCCAGCTTAATTCCTGACCGCCATTTTTTACTGTTTTATATTTCTCTTTTTTCTTAAAATGTGGGTTTTAATTTGTAGTGCTTGATGTTCATTTGTGTTTCTCCTTAGCTTTATCCTCTTTATGTGATAGTGCATACTTCTACTTCATGGTTCATATTTACAAGTTTTCTGAAGTCCTAGATAATGACTTCTTGACAGCAGGAAAGAGTGAGCTATCAATAGTATTGTGTCCTTCCTTTGGTAATGAAAACGAGTTAGGAAGCATCCCAGATGATGTGCAAAAATTGATAAATGACTACCACTTGAGTCCATTCACTGCCAAGGTGAGCCATTCTTTCATTTTATTTTTCCTTAAATTCTGGTACTTTAAAATAATTTTTTCAATCGATTATCTCTAGATTATGTATCCATAGGCCATGAGATTTCTTCACACGTTTTCATTTTTCTACTCAATTTCTCAGAAAAAACTTCTTCCCATTTCCTATAAGCTGTTGTAGTTGACAAGTCTAGGCAACTGATTTCAGGTATATAAATATGCTGCAACGTCAAAAGAAGAATGGGAAGAGCAGTGCAAGCTTTGGCCCACATCATACCATCCGATGGTCAAGTATGTTTCACTGCTCAATGCATGATCTACATATTGTAATTTAATGATGTTTGACGGCCTGATCTAAGGTCTCGATTGCTTTATTTCATACACCATCTTCGTTATGAAAAGACGAAATTATTTTTCTTGTACTGATTGGAAATTTTTTGAAGAGGCCTGTTGATTTCAATTAAGACTACGCACAATGTACAGTACATTATTTAGAAATTACTATGTGATTCGCATGTTATATACGTTGGTGATACCACGGCCTGATTTTAGGTTAGGATAATCAATGACATCCCTGCAACCAATCCAATGGGTTGCTGTCGCAAACCTAGATTTTATGTCATAGTTTCTCACTGTACAATTCGATCCCTCAAGATTACTTATCCTCCATTCTTTAGGCGTTCACATCGTTTGTTGTGGATAGTCCTCCAGAATGAAAACATGACTTACGGAATGGATGATGGAGAATTTTATTTTTGTTGAAGATAGTTTCTGTTAAGGTTTCTCGCATGACTCGTGTTCGAGAATTAGATTTTTATTGCAGCAGAAAATCTCTCCATGTTAGTTTGAAACCCACTAATAAGGTATTTCTGATACTGTGGCCTGTCAGTCATCAGGAATTGCACCATTATTTGCCATGTATGAAGTGAAATTTTAGGAAAGAAATAATCTGTTACCAGCGAACTACTTGCGAAACAATGACAAAATCAGCTAAGTTGGGCAACTGAGCCTTAAAACTTCCGAATGACCTGTGCCCGCAAGGACAAATGCCCTATGGTCGAACAGAACCATAGAATGATGCATAATGATGACCTAAGTTTGATATTATTTAATTTCACGGCTTGCTTTTGATGGAAATACACTAATTTATATATTTTTCAATGTGATTATGGCAGCGTTAATTGTGTTACTGGATTTAGTGAAGAAGATTCTCAATGGATCATTAGTTGCATGAAGACTACACTTAAGCTTGCTAAATTAAACCATTTTGGTGATCAGGTACTTGTACATGGTTACGTGGATATCTCCTTGAGTGATGATGATGATGGTGTCATTATCATGTTAGGCAGAAACCATTTTTTTTATTTCTCTGGTTTCACAGTCATTGAAAGTTAATTACTCCATCTACCCAATGAAGCATCTGTTCCTTTCATTTCTTGCGGTTTTTTCTTCTCGGGATGTATATCCAAAGGATATTTATTCCTTCAATACTTAAACTAGCACACCCACATTTGGCAATTCCACATTTTTCTCCAGTTTCTAGCTCACTTAGTGAATTATTTCTGTGCTTGGATCTTACACTCCAGGGTCTAAATGCTGCATTAATAGTAGATCCTGCCTGCCGGCAGCTAATCGCGAGCGCCGTTGACCAAACACCTGTCACCCTGGAATCGTTCTTCCATGAGAACGGTGGTGATGAAGCAGAAAACTTTGGGAGACTATTCCAAGTATACACATCAGACGAGTCCGCCGAAGCGCTCAGCAGTGTTTCTTGTCTGCAACCTTGGAGTTGGCCTCAGCAGTGCCCTCAGGATCTTTCATGGCACCCACTGAAACATGCACCAGTCGTTGCGATTGAGAGCTCCGCTGCCAGGGACAGGCAACTGTTCCCCCTCCATGATCTGAATCCTTCTATCAGCTTTCCATCCAAGAGGCAGAGGACAGAGATCCCACAGGTGCGTGATGATCCAGTGGGTTGCTTGCCAGAAGTGACGAGGCCTTACCTGTGCACTGGCTTTGACATCTACCTTGCTTGGGAGCCATGTGCGATGTGAGTTCCTCATTCACCTGAGAGTTGACTTTACCATGATGGGTTGACTAAGTTGACCAAGGGCTGACGTGGGTTTTATCTGGTTTGGCCCAAAAGCCGTAATAAGAAGAATAATGTGGAGTATAAAATCAGATTTTATTTTTATTATTATTATTATTTCTTCCTTGAAGGTGTGCGATGGCTCTCGTTCATCAGCGAGTGAGGCGCATCTTCTTCGCCTTCCCTAATCCGAACGCCGGTGCTCTGGGCAGCGTCCACAGGCTGCAAGGTGAGAGAAGCTTGAACCACCACTACTCTGTTTTCAGGGTTTCTGCGAGCTGAAAAGTCAGCCCCCATCGGTCTGTTGCCTCATATATTACTCCACTGATGTCGGTCAACTACGCATCTCTAAATCTAACCCACACCATCACGTGGCTTTGCTCATGCTAATCAACAGTCAACGCCCCTGGTTGGGAGTTGACCGCCTTGACCACCCGCAGGGGCCCGCTGTGATCAGCCTGGACGGAGTGCCCCACGGGGCTTTGAATTCCGGTCCCCACCGCCTGGGCCCGGTCAACTACCCATCTGGGCAGTGGAGGCAGTGAAGGCAGTGGGGGAGGGGTCAAATCGGAGGTGGCCCATGTGGGTGGCTCGGCCTTGATTTCTTTTTTAATGCGCCATCTTAGATCAACGGGATCCCTGTGATCTTATGCTATTAATGGGGGTGGCAAGGAATCAGAGAAAGAGATGCAAAGGGCTGGCCGTATCCCGGGAGACGAAACCACGAGAGCTAGAAGGAGAGAGAGAGAGAGAGAGAGTTAAAGAGAAGGGGGGAGGGGCCAGAAGGGTCCAACTGCTCCCGTGAGTTACAGGCCTTGCCGCATTAACTAGGGGCTCCCCACCTCCTCCGTGAGGCTCTGGAGAGGGAGGCCCCTAGGAAATTACTCCTACAGCCTGTACAGAGAAGAAGAGAGAGAAAGAGCTAGAGATAGAGAGAGAGACGGTTTTGAATTTTGAATGGAGGCAGGGGGGGAGCTTGATGAATCAGAAGTGGGGTTGGGATTGTTTACTGTTTTGGTCTCCGGTCTTACGATTGCGGCGACATTGCCACGATCTTCAGCCTTTCCAGGGCAGACTTTGGGAAATAAGATGACGCTGCTGACACGTTCGGACAGCGTACGCCGACTTCCCTTCAACAGACATCACTGCTGCTACTCTCTCTCTCTCTCTCTCTCTCTCTCCGTCTCTCTCGAAGAGGAACAGTAGATCAGTTGACTTGAAATGATGAAGTGGGTGTGGCTCAAATCCGCCGCGGAGGAGATTGAATCAAAGAGGAGGGGGGGAAGGGGGGGGGGGGGTGGGGGGTGGTTTAATGGCCGCAATCTACATCTTCCTTGCAGAAAAAAGTCAAGGAGGGAGTGGAGGAGAGAGGATTTGGGTTTAGATTAGACGTGGTTGACCACCTTGTGGTGCCGGCCGACGAGCCAGAGGAGGGTCCTGCGGGCGAAGGACGGCGTCTCCCCGGCCCGGGAGACGGCAGCGCCACCGTCGCAGCTCCCGGCCTCCACGTCGAACCCGAACTCGCTGCCGTTCTTTTCCCAGCAGGCGTCGGAACTCCTCCGGCTGCTGCCGCAATTCGCCTTCTGCTCCTCCACGGCCGCCGCCGCCACCGAATGCGGCGCCGATAGCCGGAAGGAGACGGCCCTCCGTGGCCCCTCGCCGGCCTCTGGCTTGTCCTTCCTCGGCCACCGCAGCCAGATCTTCGAGATGGAGAAGCTCTCCACCCGCTGAGAATTGGAGGCGATAGCCCCGCCGCCGCCGCTTCTGGCCAGCTGCTCGAACCCCTTGAACCCTTCCCTCCTCGAGCTCCAGTCGCATTCGGACATGGCGAGCCGGTGGCCGGGGTTCTTCGCCGCCGGATTCCTCGCCGGCGGCTTTATCGCCACCTGCAACCGCGACGTCTCGTCCATCACGTACTCGAAGGAACCCATCGAAAAGCACCGCCTTTCGTCCAGGGAGCTGCTCCCTTCGCCGCCGCCCGCCGCGGCGGCGGCGCCGCCGTCGACGTTCCTATACTTGCCGAGCTTCACGGAGACCACCTTCAGCTCCGCCCCTGTGGGTTCCTCTTCCCCCTTCTGGACAGCATCCTCCGTACAAGACACCGTTTCCTCCTCGCCGCCGGCGTCTCTGTCTCCGGCGACCTCCCTGGAGCTCTCCCCGGCGGACTCGAGGACGAGGACGGCGCCGCCGCCGATGCCGCCGCAGGCGGAGTGGTCGGGGAGGAGGTTGCTCCGGCAGAGTGGGCAGGTGGAGTGGGAGAGGAGCCACGTGTCGATGCACTCGAGGTGGAAAGCATGGCTGCACTTGGGCAGCAACCGGAGTTTATCATCGGCCTCGAACTCGCAGAGACAGACGGCGCAGTCAAATGGATCCTTGGCGCCGACGATGGCCTTGTAGATGAACACCGGCAAGGTGTCGATGAAGGACTGGTCAACGCCGGCGTCGTGGAGGTGGAAGAGCTGCTGCAGCTGGCCCTGCAGCGCCGTCGCGCTCTCCTGCTCCTCCGCGTTCCTGGTAGCCGGCTTCAGGAGGAAGCGAACCAGAAGATGGAGGAGACCGGAGATGAAGAAGATAACCGAGAGGATCACGATGATGAGGAGGATGCTCGGGTTGATGTCCCCCCCCGGCCCGCTCTTGGAGGCCGCCGCCGCCGGCGGAGAAGGCGGCGCTGCCGCCCAACCCATCCCCAGGAAGATGAAGAAGATGTGGAAGATTAAGATCAGAGGGTAGAGAGAGAGAGAGAGGGGTTGCCCAGAAGGTGGTTTTGTGGAGGCAGCTGGGCTAATAATCTAGAGGGATATCGCCATGAGAGACGAGCTCGGAGAAGTGGGGCATGGGGAATCCCTCCGAGAGGAGGATGGTGTGGTGGTCGGCTCTGTTCTGTGCTCCTCTCCAGACGGAACCTGAAGAACAGATGCTAACCCTGGTAACCATTAGAAATAGGAGGTCAATGGAGGGTGGGAGGAGTGTGGAGGGGAAGGGGCAGCAGAGGGCATCCCGTGGGGAAATTTATGGAAAGGAATCGAGACAGAAAAAAGGAAACCTGGTAGAGAGAGAAAGAGAGAGAAAGAGAGAGAAAGAGAGAGAAAGAGAGAGAAAGAGAGAGAAAGAGAGAGAAAGAGAGAGAAAGAGAGAGAAAGAGAGAGAGAGAGAGAGAGAGAGAGAAGGTTGGCTCGGTGTGGGTTGGGTTCGGTGAGTGAGAGCAATTAATTCTACGGCTAACTTGGCGGAAAATCGGAAGCCACAGCTGTTCTTACGCAGCAATTGAATGGCATCTGTCCTCTCTCTCTCTCTGTGTAGCACGGTAAAGTGACGAGCTGGGAATAAGATCGGAAAGAGGGCGGCAACATGTGTAATTAAATGGACAGAGACGATGACGACCCTTATTTTTGTTTATGTTGACGGCAGTTAACAGGAGGGCAGACAGTCTCTCTCTCTCGCTCTCGCTCTCGCCCTGTCCATTTGCAGAACGGCTGCCTCCTCTCTCTCTCTCTCTCTCTAGATACAGTAGAGTAAACGAGGAGCTATACAGAGAGGAGGAAGAGTGAAGAGCAATTCATGGGCAGCTGATTCAGGGGGCTACCCTGTTGGGCTGACCTTGGAGACGACAAAGAGAGAGAAGAGAGAGAGAAGGCTTCCTCCATTGCCTGGGGTTGTTCTTCTCCTCGATCCTCGGGAACAATGCCGGGAAGACGATCAATATTCTGTCATCACCATCATAACTTTATTTATTTATTCCTGTACCCTCCTTCCTCCCTGCCCTTCGCTCGATCCCCCAAAGCTACGCGCATGCGTAAAATACGTTCTTCACTGGTAATTTTGTAATAACTAAATTTAATAAGGTTTTATACTTAAATGTGCTCTCTTTCCTTGCTTTAGGCAGAATCCTCCGCTTTGCTGTCCCGGTAACTTTTTATACTTTAACCGCCCCCTCTCCCCCGCCGCCACCGCCCCATTCGATCTGCATGGGGCCCACAAGCGTTGACCTCAGAAGCTCAGATGTGTTGTCTTATGAAGGGGGAATAAAATATTTAATAATATATACTACTTTCCGTATATTATGCAAATATTTTATTTCCGAAGGTTTAAATATTTTTAATTGGTTAATGATTCCACGTGCCGACGGTCAACCAACCCCCTCCAGACACCAAACCCGGCCCATAAGATCGGAAATCCAACTCGGCCCATTGTGTCAGTAAATGGGTCGAATTCGGCCCATTTTAACCGCGGATCCTCTACCGGGGCCTAGATACACGGCTGAATCCGTTGAGGGCATGAACTGTAATTATCGGCTTCGGATACATCAACTACCACACACCGGTTTCTACTTCCACTGTCTCGAGGGACGAAAGTACACCTTCTATGCTGCGCCTCTTCTCTTCCGGTGGGCCCCATGACTCTGTTAATCTTGGGGAGGCACCATCCGGGGCTTAGAATGTTCCGAGGGACAAGGTACCGGTCGGTTATCAACGAGACTAAGTGCCGGTGGGTTGGGAGATCCAGGACCAGAGGCGGAGGGAGAAGGTGGGGGAAGAGATGGCCTCCACCGCCTCATCGCCGCCGTCCGTACAGCTGCTGCCGAGGCTGGACCACGGCCTTCCGGCGAAGCTCCGGCGGGGGAGGAAGGTATGGCCTGGTATCTTCTCGTTTAGTGCCGCCTATGGATCGCTCAAGGGCTGCCATGAGCTTCTGCTGCCTTCGTTGCTCTCCGCCGCGTCGACCAATTCCGGCGAGAGCGGCGGTAGGGTGGGGAGGATCCTCTGCTTTGCACCTCATCTGTGTGAGCCTGAAACATTGGCGCTGGATTGGAGCTCCGTCACCATAGGGGAGGCACGATCCGACGATGAGCTACTGGCCTCTGTGCGTCTCCGCGTCCGCTCGTTCTACGAGTTTAACCAATCCTACAACATCGAGGTGAGTAACGTCGAAGCGGCCTCCCCCTTGGTGTTCAAATTTTTTTGGAGAAAGGAATTAGGTTCGAAGCGGCCCACCTATTTGATTTATCTTTGTAGTTGCGATGATCTTCGTTGTTCTTTCTATCGGGATTCTGAAACCGATTTCTCTGGAACCAGCGCCGAGTTATGTATGCTGATGATATTATTCTGTGTCAAGTTGTGGTAGGGTCACAAGGAGTATGTGGTGGAGCGGGAGTTCGAGGCTCTGAAAGAACGCGTAGCCGGAAAGAAGGTCGGCTTTCGAAGGGCTTCGTGCATTAATGCCACATTACCATTGTCAAAATTTTCAAGCCGTGCTGATGATTTGTGCACTGCTTGTAAGGTATGAAACAACTGGCCTTCCTTTCTTTTCCGCTTTTGATGATTTGTGACTCGGGTTTCTTCTTGGAGCATTGGACTTGACAAGAAAACATTTTCATAAGCTTTCGGCAGCGTCTATGTTGTTTAAAAACAAAATGGCATAATTTTCTCTTGCATAGTTTCATTACTTATGTAGATCTCTAAAAGAAAATCAAGTACAAGGCACTGACAGAACTGGAGAAAAAAAATGAGACTTTCTGTTCTTGGCCTGTCCACATTTTGATTCCCAAGATGCTGCTTTTGTTTCCAGTGAAGGAATATTTTACACATGGGTAAATCGGTTATCATGAGACATGTCTTTCTAGATTTACAAATGACCAGTATGGTTTCCTTAGAAAAATCAATTAATTAAATTCAAATGTTTTTATGAGCTTCGAGTCCAAGCTGTTATAACACTGACCGCAGAGGAGTTGAATCAGCTGGAAATCACATCAAAACTGCCCAAACATGGCGGATCTTTTTTTTTTCTGTCAAAACAAGTTTTCCTTTGCGATCCCTGAATTGGCTGAATCAGGCTGATCTGTGCTGATCTGAATCAGATTGGGATCAGGATATGGCGAAGGCTATTCAATTGTCTGAACCAATTCAAGCTGCTTCATACCTTCACATTGAAACTCAGTGCTTAAGTGTTTCTTAAGTGTTTCTTCTTTTATCTCTGTTATTCAATATTCTGCTGGAGCTATAATAGTTTGCATTTGGACTATTTTTCGAGAGACCACCTTAATTTTAATAATCTCTCGAATAGCTCAGAATTTGTTTAGATTCTGCTGGAAACCATGTCCCTTTCCCCTGTTCTCTTTAGTATAGTGATTCATTATTCGCCTATGCCATTTGATCACACATTCACAAATAGGCGCTGGCGAATCTCTTTGCAGTTTTATGACAACGAAGAACAACGAGTAGTGATTGCGACTTTGGATCTAAACCAGTGTCTGTCTTTGGCAGATGAGCTCACCGGCACGAGGCCCGAGGTACACACTGCTTCTTCACTTCCACATAGTTCATCTGCAACTTCCTTTTTACAAGGCGTATGTATCTCATCTCCATTCAGCTGAGAACAGAAAAACAGTACTGCCCCTTCTAGCCTCCCCTGTAATCATACTATACTATACACCTGTATGCTTTTCGTGGAAACATTTGTATCAGGCTGTTAAATATGTCTTCACCTATGAAAAAAATAAAATGTACTATTTGAAGTTCGTCTCTAAGCGAAAGATATTGAACACAGGGCACTGGAAACGATCTCCCACGGGCATACCTGAGCAATGTGTGTGTTGCCCAGGAGCTACAAAGAAATGGCCTCGGGAATGCCTTGGTACTGAGATCCAGAAAAGTTGCCGAGGAGTGGGGTAACTTGTCGATTCCCTTCAACTCTCACTCATCATCATCATCATCAGCAGCAGCATCAAATTTTTCCAAGATATTGTCATTTTTCGTGGGAAAATATGGTCGATTTAATTCATATAAAAAACATATTTTTCTCAGCCCATATCCTGCCCAGGCCATCAAAGTTTCCCTGTCGGATTCTGAGAACCGTGATCTGAAAGAAACCCAACTGGGTCGGAACCCAAACCTACTCAGCTCATCGTCCTGGTCTTCTTCATACTCTAATTCTCTCCTGGTTTCTTTCTTTCTTCTCAGGTATCACAGATTTATATGTTCATGTTGCGGTTGACAATGAGGCCGCCAAGAAGCTGTACGAGAAGACTGGCTTCACGTATGAGAGCGAAGAGCCCGCTTGGCAGGCCCGATTTCTGGGCCGGCCCCGGCGATTCCTCCTCTGGAGCGATCTAACGCGGGCCAAGTGATTAACAATGTAAATCCAGATTTCAGAGTATTTTTCTCTCCAGTCCAAGCAGCTCGTCCCACGGTCGCACAGCACTTCTCCACTCATTCTGCATCATTATCTCTGTATATCTCTCTATTCACTGTATGATAATATCTCACATATATAGTTTCCTATTTATTCATTATTTTTCCAGCCCTCTGGCTGCCTGCTTGCTCTTGAATCCCTCTGATCTTGATGATGGGCTGCTACTGGGCCTGACTGACTGTCTGTCTGTCTGTCTGTCTGTCTGTCTCGAGATGAACAAGGTCAACCCTTTCATCCCCGGCTCAACCGATCTTTCATTTCCCAAGCTTTGATGCAATAAATGTTATATATATATGATAACATCTCACCTATATAGTTTCCTATTTATTCATTATTTGGCCAGCCCTCTGGCTGCCTGCTTGCTCTTGAATCCCTCTGACCTTGATGATGGGCTTCTACTGGGCCTGACTCTCTGTCTGTCTCGAGATGAACAAGGTCAACCCTTTCATCCCCGGCCCAACCGGTCTTTCATTTCCCAAGTTGATGCAGTAAATATTATATATATGTATAGATATATAGATATCAGTGGATGAACACATACAATCTAGGTGTGCCCATCAATTGCCTATTCATGACCCGGAGCTACAGGCGGTGACTATACAGAGCACATGATGTGCATGAAAGGGCATAGTTCATCTACATTGCATGAACGGGCAGCTTGGAGGGATTGGATCCAAATCGGGTCGGCAGCGGCGGCTGATTTGACTTTTGGTAGGAGGCTGAAGGGGACCCCCGCTCTCAAGATACAGCCAAAATCGAACCAAATCGGCAGATTACGGATCGGAGTGGGGATGAGATCGGATGATTCGATCTAAATCGGTCCATTTCTGGCGGACTGACTCGGCCTTCTCAGATTGGAGGGATATATAAAGTTAGTAAATGTTTTAATTATATAAATACGTGTTCATGAGGAAGATCATAGATTTATTTATTTTTAATTAATGGGTCCTTCTCTGTGAATCATTTAACTGTAACCATGTTTCATTAAACCAATGTGGATGTGGGAAGGGGGGGAGGCTCGGTGGGACCCCGAATCTATGGTTGGAGACCCTGATTTGGCTGAGTCAACGCAGGGTCCAAAAGTAAGGTGACCCGTGTTTCGGAAATTGACTTTTACCCACTGGGCCCCACGCGTCGGCTCGTGGTTGGGAGGAGAATATTGGTCTACCGGGCTGGAGTTGGTGGACTAGAAACGAGGAAATTTCAGAGCTTGGGAGGGGCCACCTTATTTTTCCCTTTCCCCCAAACGATCCCATCTCCTTTCTGTGACAATAATCGGAGTAAGATGGGGGGGCCTCGCCATTAAATGCCGACCCACGAGCGACGGTGATGGCCTCTGTCTCTCTCTCTCTCTCTCTCTCTCTCTCTCTCTCTCTCTCTATCTCTCTCTCTTTGCGTGTGAGTCGTGTGAAACCAATAGCAGACGTTTACCGTCGGAGAGTGCAACCTCTCGAGGATGACTGGTGGGATCCGAGAAAACTCTGATTTCCACAATTTACGTGAGTTATCATCAAACCTCAGAATTCGACGAGCCCTCTCTGTATGTCTCTCACTCTCTCTCTCTCTCTCTCTCTCTCTCTCTCTCTCTCTCTCTCTCTCTCTCTCTCTCTCTCTCTCTCTCTCTCTCTCTCTCTCTCTCTCTCTCTCTCTCTCTCTCTTTGCGTGTGAGTCGTGTGAAACCAATAGCAGACGTTTACCGTCGGAGAGTGCAACCTCTCGAGGATGAACTGGTGGGATCCGAGAAAACTCTGGTTTCCACAATTTACGTGAGTTATCATCAAACCTCAGAATTCGACGAGCCCTCTCTGTATCTCTCTCTCTCTCTCTCTCCATTTATGTACATGTCTGTGGATATCAAGATCGAGATGTATGGCCAAATATCAATAAATTATCCCTCAACTACAAGTTCTCACGTCGAGTCTACGCGAGTCTCTCCTCCATCTTCATCTGCGAACGAGCCGAATCCGTGGCCCCTATTAGCTGCTACGACTCCATGCATGGCTCCCCTGGGCATGACCAGTGCAGCAGCTCGTGGCCGGCGAGGCCCATCGTCTTCAACCCCGGCCATCACATCAGCCAGTGGCGCGTGATTTGATTGACGTTCATAGAAGAACAATAGCTCTTCTTTTCCTCCTTTTACCGCGGTAAAACCTGGGGGTGGCTATTTCTTCCGGCTATATATATCTCGATTCGATTGCAGGGGGATCGGGCCCTCTTGGGACGGCGAATGGAAGCCTTCTCGGAGATGAGGGCGGAGAGGGCGGCGGCGCCGGCGAGGGAGAGGGCGGTGGCGAGCGTAATGCGGCGGTGCATCGGGCGCCGGCGGCGGGCGGCGATCAGGAGCTCGGTTCACCGGAAGCTGAGAGTGCTGGAGAGGATCGTTCCCGGCTGCCGAGAGGCGGAGATGGCGGATTTGCTCCGGAGGACCGCCGAGTACATCTCCCTCCTTGAGGTGCAAGTGAGCGTTCTCAAGAGCTTCGCCGATCTCTACGGCGTGTGAAGGCGGACTCCCCTCGATTTCCTCCTCATCGTATTGTTTCCTCTCTCTCCTCTCTTTCCATGTAGGTGTCTGGCAGAGAGATAAGAGGAGAGAGAGAGAAAGAGAGAGAGAGAGAGAGAGAGCTGTATCTGTGCATGTCTATCTCGCCTGTTCATGTTACGTCTGGTAAGTGAAATAAAAGCAAAGAAGGCCGACGCCATTTATCGTCCATCTGATTACGCGAAAATGACGTACAAAGAGAGAGAGAGAGAGAATTAATGACGCACTCGACAGATGTGCTATATGAACAACGTTCTCTCTCCTTATCTGATTCTGTAGCTCCATTACTCGGTGCAACCTCCGCGGCCGCTTCTCCTACTCGTAGGCGTTGGGGAAATCCTGGTCTTTGCGTGTGCCCGTGGGTTATCCTCGCGGTCACTGCGGCACCAATAAACATTTCCCTCTCCTTCTCTTGAGGGGTTGATGGAAAATAGTTCTCCTCTCTCCCTCTCTAGATGCATTCCACGGGGGGAGAGAGAGAGAGAGAGAGAGAGAGAGAGAGAGAGAGAGAGAGAGAGAGAGAGAGAGAGAGAGAGAGAAAGAGAGGGAACCAGTGAATGCCCTTTCCTTTCCCTCTAAATTTTGGTGGGCACTGTCTTCCTTCTACTGCCCTGATACGCGACTTTATCCATAAAGAAGATGACAGAAGGAAACATGCGTCATACCATGCTCATCCGACGAACATCGAGATCAACAGCGCCGCCGCTGAGCTCGACGCTAGAAGAGGATGCCGCGGACGAGCATCATCATCCTCGTCGTAACTTCAGAGGGGCCCGCTAGAGCTAACGATAACCTGGCCGAAGCAAATTATCTTCAGTACGATCTTGAGAGGGCAAATTGTTGCAGTGGTGCTCCGAAGGCCGCCAAAATTATCAGAACGGCCTCCCAAGACCCTCTTCCATACTTGGTAAAAACAATCGCCACTGATCTTCGAAATATCCAGGATTTCTTTCCCTTTGGAGAGAGAAGGTTGACCAAACCCGTCGACTTCTTCGTTTCAGATCAACTCATGCACTGACAGGGAAAAGAACTGTGGCCTGCTCTAGCGTCCAATCAAATTCAACAGCGTTCCCGTTCTCGCCGAGCTCGGAGCTGATCGCCTGCCCCCCTTGGAGATAGCCCGAAGACAAGCCCTTCCGTATCGAGAAGCGCTAGAAGACAGCGCACCGTCAACATGCACAGAAGAGAGAGAGAGAGAGAGAGAGAGAGAGAGAGAGAGAGAGAGAGTAACATCCTATTCATGGAAGCAATGCCGAGCGATCGAAGGGTGGGGCAGGGCTGAAAGATCCTGCGGAAGCGTGAGATGCTCCTGTGATCCAGTCTGATCAGTCCCGACGAGAGGTATTTTATTGACTGGAAGGAAGGAGGCTGACGTCTGTTCATTCAGCGAGTTACCGATTAATCTATGGTCGAAAAGGTGGTGAGAGGGAGAGTTCCACCGTGGCCGGAGGCCAAGTGGGGGAGCGATCCATGTGGGTTGGTTCTCAGGAGCCTTGACGCTCTGTACGTACTCAGTCACACTCGCCGGCGGCGTCACAAGGTTCCGCTGGTGGCGGGGGCCATCGGAAGGAGACCTTCCTTCCGTGAAGCAATTAACTTGATCATTGACTTGAGAAGCGATTTACCTGATGATTCGATCATTCAAGGGGACGACAGATGCGGTGAGAGATGGAGAGACTGTGTTTGTGTTATCCTAACCCTCTCCCATTCATCTGGGGAGATCAATCGAACATGAAACCAAAACATACGAAATCAACCCGCAATGGGCAATCGATCGTAAGCTAGGATCCCCGATAATTTCACAGAATCAACCACAACGGGGCTGTGAATCGTCGAGCCGTCTCCAAGAACAGGAGAAGGGTGGGTTTCCTGGCTGAGCAGACGTCCTCTCTCTTCCAGCTAGGAGTAACGTGAGGAATCGGGAGTGCAGGAAACAGGTGCCGCGTAAGATTCCCAGGCTCTGCCTCCGGCAGTTAAAAGATGTCGTGGAAGACGGGGCGGGGGTGAGCGATCGCTCTCCAGGATTTCTATGACGAAGGAAGAAGAAGACTGTACGGGAATGGGCCTCCCGTAGGCATGTGCCGCGCCATGTGGTGTGTCTCTCTCCACAGCGCGTCTCTCTCTCTCTCTCTCTGTAGAGAAGTTCGCTTTGTTACCCAGGGTTTTAGCCCTCTTTGCCCATGTTTCACGGCTTTCTCTCCTCCCGGCGGTGCAGGCGGAGAAAAGCTTGGCTACGAATACAAACGCGAAGAGAGGAATCCATTTTCCACGGAATAGCTTGCTTCCTTTGACCAGGCAACCCCCCTCCTTTGACCGTTGTCACCTCCTGCGAGGCCCCCTATCAAAGTCAACACCATGTTTGACTTCCCTAGTACTAAAAAGTAAACACCTTCGTTTCTGCTGACTGAGATCATTAAAGAAAAGGGGGAGCGATGGAGTCAAGAAAAGCCTTGCCCTTTTCGTGATCTTCCCCGGCCACGCCATCTTCCTGTTCATATTCCTTCCGTCTTCTACGCCGCGCACCTCGTCGGCGGCGGACCAGGCGACAGCATATAAAAAAAGGGGGGGGGGATCATTGTCTCTACCGAGGCAACGAGTGACGGGCTTTCAGAATTTATGTCCAGAAATGGGGCAGCCGAGGAGAAGAAACCCGAATATCAATCAAATAAGCCTCTCCCTATCTCTCTCTCTCTCTCCAAATACGGCAAAGCAGATGAAAAGACGGGAACACCAGGAGAACAGAAAAGACGGGAACACCACCTCCACGAGAGAGAGAGAGAGAGAGAGAGAGAGAGGACAGCCACGACAGTAACTCCAGCATGTACAGAAGTCGCAAGGTAGCCAACCGGAGGGGACGAGTAGTCGCAAGGAAGGAAGGGGGGTGGGGTGGGGGTAAGAAGAAAGCCTACGGCCTCCACCTCGGGTCGCTGTGGGCTTTTTCCGCCCGGTTGTTCCTGAAGGCGCAGCATCCGATGGAGTAGACGATGATGAGGATGATGAGGAAGATGATGTTGACGACGGCGACCTTCTTCCAGTCCCTCTTTATGTTGGCGAGGAAGCCGGCCTTGCAGGAGTTGCAGTCGTAACAGAGAGCGTTCGCGCTGTTGCTCCAGGTTGTGCAGTCGGAGTTGTTGGAATTGGAGATTCCAGTCCACTCGGTCGGGCTCACGTAGACTAAGCCACACTCGATCGGAGGCTTGCAGCATCCAGACTGCACAAAACAAATCACCATTATTCACCAGAAAGCTCTCCTCCGCTCTTCTCTGCAACACCATAATCACCACTTTTCGATTCTGCAAACCCAACGAGCGAGGGGCCAGAATCATATCTATATATGCATATACTTTGATGCCCAGATGGGAATTTGATTGGCGGCATGGCTTTGGTGCTATGAATCCTTCAGATGGTTGAAGAGGATCAAGTATTTTGTATGATCTTCATCTAAAATCTTAATGCTTCAGATGATATGAGTGCTGCCCTATAGGAGATGGCTGAGAATCGACCGAGTCAATATCTGACGAGCACGAGCGGAGAAAATGATTTTTTTTTTTTTTTTTGGGGGGGGGGTATGAAATGTATCTTTCAAGAGGTAGATTTTCTTTGTAGTTTAGGCTCACAAAACCCTTCTCCTTGGCATCAAAATCTCGCCCCCTATCCTACACAAACCTGAGTCTGACAGACCAATTGGACTCAAATTTCTATATACGTACACAAACAGTCACAGAAGAACTACTAGCAGAATAAATGGAAGGTGAGACATCTGCGACACATGAAAATTTGGGAAAAATAGGTAGAATAGGAGAGTAAAATAAAGTGAGGATTTTCCTCCTGATGATGGCCTGACATGAAAATTGCAGAAAGGACTCGGCTTCTGCCGATACAGAACAAAGAAACCAGATTCTGATCTCGGGGATGAAGAAGGATGGTCTTGCACAAAGGAATAATCGTGAAGAATCTCATATTGCAGCATTAAACCTAAAAGGGTTCGAGGAAATGCTTTCTGGTGATCACCGTCGAGAAACTAGGCTGAAAAAAGGGACTCAGAAAAATAACCCCACTCAACTTACAGCACGTCGAAAGAGTTGATAGAATTGTAGACACCAAGCAACTAAAGGAAAAAGTAAAGATCAAAACAAGATCTAAAACCAAAAAGAAAAATCCACCAAGAACATTCAGGAAGTAACGGGTAAGAGTCAATAAGATCATCATACAAAGCCCGTGTAGATTTTGGGAAACATGAGCAAGACATATGGCGCATAAGCATTAAAACACCAAACTAAATTTCACAAGAACTAGAAAAGCTCGAGATATATGTTTCTTTCCATTGTTAAATACGAGGTCCAGTAAAGGAAAGCCTTCTTAAGGATTATTCAGATAAATTCTTTTGAAGGAAAAGGCATATAAATCAGACGAATTAAAAAATCAATTAATGTAAAAGCAATCGTCGTCATCATCATCAAATCGCATAGGAATGACATCTGATTTCCAAATCACGTAAAAGCAAGCAGTCATCTATAGGATGAAGCCACAAGGCACGGTTATATACCTGGATGGAAGAGAGATTTTCTTGGTTAAACAAGGCCAAGGCTTCCTTTTTAGCTTGCAGGGTCTGGCACACCTTGCCGTCCACGAGGCAGCTCTTGATCTTGTTCCAGTTCTTAGTGTTGGTGACCCGCTTCTGCAGCCAGTTGGAGTAGTCCCCGAGCCGATATTCTTTAAATCCCCTCCCAGAGACCACTTGGCCCGCTCCCTTGTTAGTCACGACGAAGGCGAAGATGGTGAAACAGAAGACCAGAACGATGAGAAGGAACATAACGAAGAGGTAAATCCACAGCAGCCAGGTCACGCCGCAGCACGCCCCAATCAGCCCCGCGAGGGACACCACCATGAGGAAGACCCCCAGCGCAATCACTGGCTTCTCAAGGAACCGCTCGCACTCGCTGGTTCCCCTCGTGCTCAGCCATATCCCCGCCCCCAAGATCGGGATCGACAGCAGGAATGTCAAAAAGTTGAGCACCCCCACGAGACTGTTGCTGCACCGCACCATTTTCCCCTTCCTCCCTCTTCCTCCTTCCTCTCTCTCTCTCTCTCTGGATCTTCCGATCGCCGATCTTGATCCCCACCGCCGATAAGCTTCGTCGGATTCCAGAGCAGGCTGAGGAGGACAATGACAAGACCAGCGGGGAGAGGGCGGTGTTCTTATACCCCAGTATTTTGCCATAATTAATGCTTTTCAAATTACATTAATTATTATATTTTTTTCTATGTGGGCCCTAGTGGGCTCCGCACGATCGGACGGTGTGCACACGAGGAGTCCTGGTTGGACGGTGAGATTTCCGGATCCGAGAAGCCGTGCGCCGTTTCGTGTGTACCACGTGGATTTGACTGTTGACAGCGCGGTGGCGTCACCGCGTCAGGACCGTGCTGACGGGGCTCGTTGACACGTTCGGTTGACGGGGCTCCCCACGATCGGACGGTGTGCACACGAGGAGTCCTGGTTGGACGGTGAGATTTCCGGATCCGAGAAGCCGTGCGCCGTTTTGTGTGTACCAAACCACGTGGATTTGGCCGTTGACAGCGCGGTTGCGTCACCGCGTCAGGACCACTAACGAGGCTATATTCTGTTGGCGGCCCTTCGGTAAAGTCACCGGCTGAGGTCATCACTGCATTGAGGGCAATTTCGAAAATAAGTTAGTATAATTTATGATTAGTTTTATTTTATTTTAATATTTTAATTCAACGGAGCACGTCCCACTTTACCACTACAAACTTTTTATGTGTTATTACTATATATATATATAATAATTGAGACGACGGCAGTAGACCCGTTCTTATCTGCCCACTGCATAAGGGGTTGTTGTTCTAGAAGTAGGAGAGTCTGTACGGCTCTCTCACCTGCCAGAGAGATAGAGAGATAGATAGATAGAGAGAGAGAGAGAGAGAAATAGAGCGAGAGGGAGATACTTATAGAGAGAGATAGAGAAAGAGATAAATAGATAGAGAGAGAGAGGGAGAGAGAGAGAGATAGATAGATAGATAAATAGAGAGAGAGAGATAGAGAGAGAAATACATATATATATATAGAGAGAGAGAGAATCACTCCCAATTAAGTAAAAAGGGTTGCTGGATTTGGGAACCACACATCAGTTGAAACAGATAAAAAAAATTGAAGTTTCAATCAAGCACTGCCCACTGAAATTTACTCAGGATGATCAGGATAAGACTATATTATTCAGGACGATTAAATCATTAAGCCCACAGACTCAGATATTCTCATCAAAGCGGCACAGATTTATAGACGGAGTGAGGATGGGCCCGCAGGAACTTGTACTGACCATCTCAGCAATCAAATGGGACCCACATGGTTGACCCTCGGCGCTGTTCCAAGTCAACATGGGGCCCATACTTGTCTAATCAATCAAGCCATCTTCTTAATGTCTAGCTCCGACTCACCCAGGCAGGAGACATAAATATTTCGACTTTCACAACAGGGATGTGGGATGTTCTTCAGCAATTCATCATATCAGAGTTATTCACTGGGTGGGGGAATAATCCAGCAATTTTCTCAATTCTTCCTCATGATCCGAGCATCCACAGTCCAGATCCAGCAGAAGAACGTTTCTAAGAGATCTTTCCCAGGCAAGAACACCTCAGAAAGAGTGATTCTCTGCGCACTAAAAGATTGACTTCGAGTGTAAGAATGATGATCCTCAAGATCCCCCAGCAAGCGGATAGGGACAACCAAAAACATACATGTAGAAGAAAGTGATAGAGATCAAGAAAAAACTGGACTTCATAGAGAAAAAAAAAAGGAAAACATCTGTAAAAAGCAGTCACAGAGAGGGAATCTCCTGATTTCCTTCGAGTTAGGTCCTTCCCTCTTTGATTGAGAGAAAAAACCCATCTCAGTTTCTAAGGGATCTGATCACACTGCTTGGGCTAATCCCTTATCAGATTTTTATTTTTTTTAATGTTCTTATGATCCTTATCAATTTACTGTTCATAATAAGGATCAAGATCAAAACGGGCATCATAGAGAAGGAAGGAATCTCTCAATTTCGGGTCGAGTTGGGGTGCTTCCCTTTGATTGAGAAAAAAAAAAAACCATCTCTATTTCCAAGGGAGATCACACTGCTTGGGCTAATCCCTGATCAGATTTTTATTTTTTTCTTTAATGTTCTTCTGATGACTTATTGACAATTGATTGTTCATAGTACGGTTAGGCTGAATTATTCTGGATGTTCGTACGCATCCGACCTTCGTGAAGATCTTGTGATCGACCATAAAATGGGCAGACGAGAGAAAGATCGATGACACAGAGAAACTCTCTGATTCAATGGAGATGATGAGGTGAAGGGCTCCAAGAACAGGATTCATCCACTGCAAAGTAAATAATACCTGAGAAAACTGGTGGGTAGATCAGTCATCTCGTATCAAGAGGCAGTCGTCGATGCAGAGAGCTCAAGAACGGCGAGGTAGAAGGTCGACTCGTCGACGAATTCGACCACCCGAAAGAAATTCTCCGCCGCCGCCTGGTCTAAACTTGATCTGTCCGGTAGGTCTGAGGTGACCATGTCAGGGTACTGCCGCCTCTGACTGTCAGCCGCCTCCCTCCCTTGCTCGCAGCCGATCACCACTCTCGAACCTAGAGAATTTGAAGCTCTGGTCAGAATTAAGGGATCGGATGGAACATTCCCCACTGCTAGGGTTCTTCGAGAGGAGGCGGAGGAGGAGGAGGAGGAGGAGGGGAGGTGAGATTTAGGGTTTATCCTGCGTTTTACCTGGAGAGCAGCGTCGGGACAAGGATTCCAGCAGCTGGCCGATGGGAACTCCCATGGCGGGGAAGTAGCAGACGAAGGCGGCGTTCAATGGAGAGAACCTCTCCGGCACCGCCTCAACGCCGCCCTGCCAGCACCTCACGGCGTCGTGATTCTCCTTGATCTCCGCCAGCAGGAAGAGGGACTCGTGAGTGGCAATCACTAGCTCGCAGGGCCGAGTCTCCACCAGCCGATCGACAAACGCCGCCGTAGGGAAGCAGGCTAGGACCTTGGATTCCTCGCCGACGCCACCGGCGGCGATTATCCGATCGGTCTTGCTCGCTCGGTCGCCTTCGTCGGAGCTCGGATAGAGGAAGGACCAATCCTTCTCGACCAGCTCCTCAAAGTGGACGGCGGAAATGGCGGGGAGACGAGGACGCAGCGAGGTTTTCCGGAGAGGATGGCGATGTCGTTTTGAGCGCAAGGAGAGCGATCGAGCGCCGCAGCTTCCGGGGGCGACGGACACCGCCGCCATGGGCGAGCTACTCAGAAGCTGAGGACGGAGGGAAGCGGCAGCGGCGGAAGAGAGAGCCATAGCCTTCTGCGCAACGCACAGGGAGATTCCTCTAGTCGTCGTCGTCGTCGTCGTCGTCGTCGTCGGCGGCGGCGGCGGCGGCGGCGGCCCTCCGGCAGCTCACTCCCCCGAGGAGGTGTTTCTCCAGAGCCTCGAGTCGTCAAGATAGGGGAGCCTCAACGGGCCGGGCCTCTCTCTCTCTCTCTCTCTTTCCACAGCACCCCGGCCCAGAGAAAAACCATATACCTCTCTCTCTCTCTCTACCTCACCCTTCTATCTATCTCTACCTCGCTCTTACTTATCACTGGTATACTCTAAAAAATATTAAAATAAAGACGAAAAACCTTTTAAATATATGCCAAAAATCTCCATTCCGTTTTTTATTTTAATTTCTCATATTTTATTTATTCCAAATAATCTCCTTAAATAAAACCCTCACTTTTCTAACAAATAGTTTTAACATATTTCTTTCTTTTTTCTGTTTTTATAATTAAATTTTAAATAGTCTCCCTAATCACATTTATTGTGGACCTAAGAACATGATTTCCTCTCATTTCAACTCAAACTACTAAGATACTCTCAAATCGTTCATCTTTACCCCTCTCTCTCTCTCTCTACCTTACTCTTATCCATCTCTATCTCACTCTCTATCTCTACCTTACTCATGCATCTCTTACTGCTCACTCTCTCTCTCTCTCTACGTCTTTTTTACATATTCTCTCTCTATCTCCGTAATAGTCTTAGTTGTCCTCTGAAGAAAGAATACCATTAAAATAATTATACACCAGCTAAGAGAGAGGGACGGACGGAGGAAATGTTATCTACTCAACTAGACTTCTGACTGCAGATAGCCGGCAGTTCCAGAGCTCCAGGGCTCACAACCTCCGGTGGGTCCTCACGAAGTTGGTGGTCATGAGTGAAACCACGGCGGAGCAAGCGTAGGCCACCGCCAGGCTCGCCCCCGCCAAACCCAGCAAGATCCCCTTCCACTCCCTCGCCGCCGCCACCACGGCGGCGGCCACCGCCACCATCGCCAAAGCCACCATCGCCCTCCTCCACACTTCCAGCCGACCCAGCAACTTCCTGCAACTCTTGCAGTGCACCACATGCCGGAAATATCGATTCACCAGGTTCGGGGCGTGGATCGTCCCCACCCCTCCCTTCGCCGGCGCCGCCGCAGCTGCCGCCGCCACCATCCCCGCTGCCGCCTGCTCCACCACCGCCGGCTGCTCCGGCAAGCTCAAGGTCCTGTGCCCGAAATAGTACGGCATCCCGGCGCCGGCGCTGTCCATCCACCGCCGGTACTCCGCCACCCACACGTCTGAGGACCGCAGGTTCAGATACAGCTCCCCGGTGGGCTTCTTCTCCCTCATGAGCACCTCGTTCTGGGAGGAGAGGAACCCCATGTCCTGCTCGAACACCTTGCCGGCGTTCTGGTGGAGGAACCACTTGGGCATCAACTTTACCAGCAAGGAGTTAGTGGAGTTGCCGAATCTGACGATGAGCATGGACTTGCCCTGCCCCGTGGGGCGGCACAGGAACAGCGCGGAGAAGTACTGCTTGACGCCATTCTTGTCCACGAACTCGAGGTTGTTCTGCAGCACGCAGGGGGCGGAGAAGCGGAGTTGGTTCACAAACGCCGGCGAGCGGTGGCGGTGCCAGCTGCCGGCGAAGCCGCGGGGGGAGCGCTCGGAGACGGAGAAGACGAGGGGCTGGGCGTCTTCTCGGCGGGCGGTCCAGTCGGTGCGGTCGTGGGAGATGGGGACGTGGGCGGGGTCCATGAGGTTCTCGAGGAGGATGGAGTGGTCGTATGGGAGCTCGTGGATGGTGGAGAGGTCGCGGAAGCCGGGGCGGGCGTAGTGCTCGAACCAGGGTAGCTTCTCCTCCTCCGGCGGGTTCTTCTCTGACATCCACACCCACAGCACCCCCTGCGAGTCCCTCACCTCGTACGTCTTCGCGCAGGCCGCGCGCGGGATCTTCGCTCCCTCCGGCAGCTGCAACCACCATTACAGATCCAACGAACTAGTCCATGAAAAAGGATGCAGGAAGGAGGAAGACGGAGGAAGGGAGATGGGGGGGGAGGGACTGGAACCTGGGGGATCTTGACGCAACGGCCGTCGCCCTCGAATTGCCAGCCATGGTAGAGGCACTCGAGTCGGCCGTCGACCAGCTGGCCCTCCGAGAGCTTCGCCAACCTGTGCAGGGTTTGATCTGAAATCTAGCGAGGAGGTGGAGGAGGAGGTTGGAGGGGTCTCGCTCTTGTGGTTTTGTGCTTTACCTGTGGGGGCAGCGGTCCTCGTAGCAGCGGATGACGCCGCCACCGTCTCTGTAGACGACGAGCTGCTTGTGGAAGACGGTGAGGCCCAGAGGCGCGTCATCGGGCATCTCCGCCGTCAGGTACAGAGGGTACCACTCCTCTCTCCAATCGTACTCTGCCGCCGCCGCCTCCGCCGCCGTCGCCTCAGTGGGCGCCGCCGCCGCCGCCGCCGCTTCGTTGGGGAGCAGCGCCTCCTGGTCCCTGGATCTGTCCTCGGAGGGGGAGGATCGGCGGCCGAGATCCTCCGCCAGGGCGGCGCGGCAGCCGCCCGCCGCCTTCCTCCACCGCCGGCTGAGGGATAAGGCGGCGGCGGAGGAAGGGTGGCGGCGGTGGGAGGAGAAAGAGAGGCAGAAGGAGGATGGCCGGCAAATCGCCACCGCCGCCGCCGCCGCCATCTGGTCGCCGCTGCCGAAGGAGGAGGAGGGCTAAGCTGGGGTGGTGAGAATAGGGAAAGAAAATACGGCGGCGCGACTTCCGACCACATAAAGGTCAACAATCTAGCCCAGCACGGAAACTGCGGACAGTAGATGGGGCTCGTATCCGATGGACACGTGGCGATTGCTAATTTCCCATTTGAAAATAAATATCAGTCGATCCAAAGTCAGACAGATGGGTGGCGGCAAGTGGCCAGTGAATTAGCTGCCCACTCCAATTAAAAAGATATAATTATATATTTCTAAATCCATTTAAATCGATTGATCCTTTACGTATGGCCAAAGTCGGATCGGAGAATTAATCCACGTCGGACAAACGGCGAGGATAACTACCACGCGGGATGAAGTACACGTGGCGCCACGTCAAGTATGTGAAAATATTGGATATGAGGTAAGTCGGAAGCCTTTGGGCAGCACCTCCCACGTGTGAGCGAGTGAGACCCGCGGGAGCCGATATCTTCTCCGTGTAATACACCTGGAGAAGCCACGTAATAACTCTCTTAGTCACGAAACGCGGGTTCCTACTGATCGCAGGCTCCACTAGATGATGATCAGAGGAAAAAGAAAAAGAAAAAGAAAAAGAGGTGAGGGTATTAAGATTTATTTTTTTTAAAAAAAGAGTATTTTTAAAATTTATGAATATGATTTTTTAAATTTTATAATGGTGATCAATCACCGCAAGAAATCGGAAAAATAAACCAGAAATACAGAATAAATAGGGATTTTTTTTTTTGAAATTGATTTGTGCCAAGAACATCTAGCAAAATAAAAATATATATCCTCGTTGACTTTAGAAACAGGATTGAAAGTATTAGTCTGGTGATGAATCGCCGTGTAGCAAGAAACCTGAATAAGAAAAGAGAAATGCAGAAATATATATTTTTTTCATCGTATTATATATGCGAAAAATAAAGTGAGAAAAGAACGAAGATGATGGGGCCGAAGAACATACATTAATTAGTCGTCGTCACCGGCGTGCTCCAGCAAATAATTGGCGGCCAACTCCTCGTTCCTGTCGCAGGCGAAGAATGCCTCGATGACGCGGGCCCGGTCAAATCCCATCGCCTCAATCTGAATTTCAGCGGAAGAACAGCTCGGTCAGGCGACAGCAGAATTCAAAGGCTAGGCTGGGAGATGATTGAGAACAGATGGAATAGGGCCCACGCGCTCGATGGCTTCCTGCTCGGCGGGAGTGACGCTGATGGTTTCCTGATCGGGCTGTTCGTCAAACATATCCCTACAACGGAAAAAAAAATTTGATGATAGAACATCAGATCGTCTGGGCACAAACATGGTTGACTTCCAAGTCCGGAAATACACATGGATCTAACAATTAAGATGAAAGTATAGATTGACTTTATGGTTGATGGAGCCCAAAAACCTCCCCAAAGTCAACCATTAGGGAAAAAGGGGGAGAAAACGCAGATGGCGGAATGAAAACCACTGGGTTGGCTGAGCTCGGCTGCAAGGAATCCAAAATGGGTAACAGTTGACCACGACATTTCCATGTTTTCTTACATTTTTGCGTTGACCAAGGAGATGACTATAAGGGGTAAGAAAGAATGCAGGTCTTGAGATGGTACTTGGCGTGAGCGGTGAACTAAAACCAGAATCGAGGGGAGCACAAGTTTTGGCACTCACACTTCATCTCCTTCCTCCGGCGGCTCATTTATCAGCTGTAGGAACTCAGCGTTATGCTCCTGAATTAATCTCAGAAGCTCGGGATTCTGCTTGCTCAACTCCTGAAGCATCGGCTGCAATAGGAAGAACAGTTAGAATGCTAGTAACGATCAATCAAAGAACACCCGAAGAATCTCAAAAGTACCTGTAAGATCTGGGGATTTGCTTGGACCATTGAACGCAATATTTGGAACTAGACAGTGTAAAAATAAAATAAAATTATATGAATAGGTATGGACAAAAATAGGTACTCATCATGCATCCAGATCAGGAAAGCAAATCGAGAAGAACAAATTTATTTTTCAAAACTAATTTATATGAAACGACACCAATCATCAGAGTGAATAGATTCTCTGAAGTCAATCTCCAATCATTATTTTTTGTTGAATTTTTGACGAGTTTGTCTGGGTAGAAGATCAACGATCGCAAGTGTAATTCATAATAAGAATATATTTTCATTTTATCCTCTGGGCTCTATTTAGTAGCAGAATCTGAGTTCATATCCGGAGAAGAGTTAGGTTTGAGAATTCAAAGGCAGAGTTGCGCAGATAGCAGCCAAATATGCGAAATCAAATGCATATATATGCATATATACTTTACAAGGCTGTCATTGGAATAGTCACAAAACCTGTTCGTTGTTCCTAAGAAAATCGAGTGTTCCACTGCTAATTCCAGCAGAAAGAGCGGGAGTCCCCTGTTCATCATGAATCGAAAACATGGCACTTAATGTGACAGAAATGACAGATAATTTTATACATGTTGGATACAATAGGAAGCAGCATGTTACCTGGGGGAACATATTCAATGGAGAAGAATTGGGCAAACCGGTCAAAGGCACTTGACCTCCTGCTGCTTCAGTGGCAACCGCCTGATCAGAAGCAAGATGATCGACTGGAACAGCAACTTCAGCGGATGCAGGAATTCCCTACGGTATACATCAGATATCATTGATCATTAATTAAACCATATATAGTCATAACTGGATTCACATCATTGCATGCCGAGAGAAAGAGACGCCTACTGAATATAAATACTCCACAGCACGCTCTGGATTATTATAAGCTGCCCGGAGTGCGCGAAGCACTTTATCTTTGTCCCAGTTTCCACCGCCCATATCCATCAACTGCTGAACCACTTGCTCGTGATTATCGCCAGAGACTAGATTGGATACTGCCTGATCATAGGTATTAGCGGACACCCTGCAGATATATATCGATGGGTTAGCTAATATCCTTGATACACAAGAAATCATCCTTGATATTCATAGTAAATGGCAGGTCCACAAACTGAACTTCAAGTCCAATAATTCTAAGCCAAAACAAAGATGACGGAGGACCATTTAGATGTAAGTGTAAAGCAAGAAAATGATAACAGCAACAGTACAAGGTCAATGTTCTCGAGCCTCCAAAGTACTCGGAAAACAGGGCCATGGCGAAATTCGGGCAGCAAACTCAAGTTATGTCAGTTATCTGACCCACAACAGGTACTCCGAATAGAAATGTACACGAAACCTCGGAAGTAGACGGCAAATATCAAGCCATCTATGGCACACAGACACGTGATTTCCACAACCTGAGGATTAGATGTGTTAGAAACTATGAATGACAACACACGAGGCTGGTACGTCCATCTGGACAAGTAAAATACCATTAGGTTGAAGGGGTACAGAATGCGACTAAATCTTCTTTTCTAGTATAAAAGTTTTCACATAATAAAGGCAGCAAATTGTCCTTTTCTCAAATCTTTTTCGCTTCTGCATCTCAATGGTCTCAGGACTAAAAAATAATGGGGTTGCGACTTAAATCAGTGTGAAAGAATGTTTTTCCCTCCTTTTTTCCACATCAATACTCCCTCACGAAATCCAAGAACACTTTAGACAATTGGTACTCTGAGGCTAATCTACAATCAAGAATACAGTTTACTACAACTTACTAGTCTCATAAGACTCCCGACATGTAAAGGTATCAATGACATTGAAAAAAATGAGGTCAAGGAGAGCAGTCACTCGAAAACACTACTTTCACTGGCTCCGAATGACATATAATGAGGATGTTGCAGACCCCAACACTAAACAACAATTCGGAAAAATGGAAGACATTTTCAAACCAATCATAGACAGTGACTGTGAAATAGTGGGAATAAGGATATGCTCTGAACAGTGACGGAATTATCAAAGATAAATACATACTCCGTGGGCTCTGTCTCAGCAGGCAATGAGCTTGATGCAGCCCTAATAGAAACAGTTAAGAAGTAATTCTTAGACAACTTAGAATTTCCAGACTGATGGATCAAAAGTTAACATATAACAGCGATTTACAAGGGTTGAGATGGAGCTTCAGTTGAAGATGGAGGAGCGGCTGGCACAGGAGTGGAAGTCTGAGCGGCTGGCGCAGGAGTAGAAGTCTGTTCAGTCAAAACGCTCGGTTAGCTCCATGTGCGTAGTTAACAGCAACTAACATAAAATTTTAATCAGATAAGCAAACACAAAGTACCTGCGCAGGTGTTGCTCCCGATGTACCTGAGACTTTGCTCTGAAGAAAACTAACACAGTAAGATTTACAATGTATACATGGGAAACGAGGTATAGCCAACGATTCATACTGATCATTGGTTGCAAGGGTGAAAAGGAAAATATTATGCTCAGGGCAACATAAAACAGACCACAGAAAAGGACAACGTGCTTGGCGTTTTCCTCGATCTTGTGAAAACAAGGATTGAAATGCTGCATAAAAATGTCGGATAATAATGAAATAAGCCCCTCTTTCTCTTCCATACACAGGATGGAATAGCAGCTGGGGCATGTGTTCGCAACTGAATTAAGAAAACCACCCTAACCAGTGGTGATGGTAACCAGCATCACCACACTAATGGTGACAAGTCCTCATCCATTTTCTACGTCTACTTTCCTTGTTGGATTGGGGGTTTGAAGGGGGGGAGTGGTGTTGTGGGGTGTTGGGTTGAGTACCTTGCTGAGCATAACAACAAGAAAGCTATCCTCTTTGATGCTGTTCTCTTCCAAGGTACTTTCATCTTTCAAGACTCTTCCATTATAGATTAGTAATTGTTGACCCCACGGGTAGCTGTCCTTCCCTTGCACCTCTTCAATATTCTTCTTCACAGCCATGACCTAAAGAGAGCAGGTTAAGTCATCAAGGTTATTAGTGAAAACGAACCAAAGAAATAAGATAACGAATATGTATGATGAGCAATCACAAAATATCATGAAAAAAATTATGACTCGTAACTGAAAATTTTAAATCGAACTACCTGGATAAAGTGAATTTTTTCAATAAATCAATACAAAACTGGGCTAAAGTTCTCACTAACCTGAGAGAAGGCCACAATTTCAGAAGACCGAACTAATTAGAAAACGGCCTTCTACTGTCTTTAGAAAACGAATATTTCTCAAAAAAATTCTACTTCCAACCACTATTGACACGTCAGCCACAATTGTTTTTGACATGTTATAAAACACATTCAACAGTCTGGATGCAGCAGTGCATGTTTGAGAGAGCCACACTTTAATAGATATATCATCAGTACATCTACTGCAAATGGTTCTCAAACATATTATTTTTTCTTGCACGACATGCATATAGTATACCACATCCTTTTTATGAGAGCGGAGATGACCTGATTTTTCTAAGCGTCAAATTGTCACAATTGTTTTTCAAAAGTAGTGCTATTACATTTGGACTGTGTGAATAAAATATTTTTGTGCTAAATCAATTTTGTAGAGTGAGAGACATTTCAAGCATTCCTGAGAACTTGTGTCAGCGTCCAAATAAAAGCACGTTAAGGGAAACACAATGGCCGAAATAATTAGGGATAGCCACAGACAGAACTGAGAGTGATGAATGGTGTCTTCTTTGATCCGGAGAAAGAGCCTACAATAAAGCGAATCAAGGAAATGACGGAAACAAGGGAGAATCGTGATTTCCAGATTATGATTTTCAGGAACTGGAAGACCCGTAATGGAAAAAATGAAACCAAATAAGAATTATGATTTTCAGCTCCAAAGCTGTGAAAAGACAGCTTATTCACTGATTAATTCATAACCATAGCTGCCCGGCAAAACCCTTCACACCTTCCATCTCCAGCACTCTGATAAACTCTTAATTTCAATCCACCGGAACCACGTCTTTCCGAAATAAAATATGACGGATACCATCTGAAATATTGTAGTCCGGTCACTCAGTTGAAGAAAAAAGGACTCAAAATCTTCTGGTACCAATAACACAAGTTATTTCATCCATACTTTATCGTACCTTGTCTGTTGCCTTTGCCGTGACAATATCAAGTATTATACGGCATCCTTACGATGTTCCACCCCGTATTCTAATCGATCCATAGTTTCAATCCACTGGAACCACATCATCACAAAAAACAGATCCCAAGGCGGCCTCTAGAATACCGATAACCATTTATTTAAATTAAGAAAAAGGATTCAAAATGTCACCCTCGATGAAAACCAGCGACAACTGAAAGCCGGTTGATTCCCGCAACCGTTCCTGCATTTCATGTCTCCTTCACCGTCATTACTTACGAAGCCCGAGTAAACTATTCAGCTGTCTCCTGACAGAACTCGTGCAGACGGATTTGACATCCACGACCACACACACATTGTAGAACCCATCGTCCTTCAACTATTGTTGGCCACAGACAGGTATCACACCAAAAACAGAATAAAAACGCAGTGTAGACACGGAAAGAATACAATGATGCACCAGAAAGGGCACCGAAAAACTTTCCAAGCGACTTCCTCACCGTATCGCCCGGCTGGACCAGGACTTCGAAGCGGCTCCCCTTCAACGTCTTCACGGACAACTTCATCGCGATGGCGGTGAGGAAGAAACGACCAAAACGCGCCCCCGGAGGCAGAATCTACCTTTCTTCCTGCGGAAGAAAGCGAAACCCTAGACTCAGCGATCTTCTCGCCGTCACTGGGTTCGGGCGGGAGGGAGGCGAACGAGCCTCCTCTGTACCTGCTCTAGTTCAAGTACACGTGCTGGTCTGACTATCTAACAGCTGGTCCGCCCACCGGGGTAGCCGCCGACTCGGCGACGATTCCGATCGGTGGAACCGGTTGCGGTCAACCAGAATCGCCGAGCTTCCGATTTACTCCCACCGATTTATGAGAAAAGAAAAGGGGAAATAAATATGATTTTTTTTCTGTAATTAAAAAATTAAACATATTTAATTTTTGTTACCACTATGTGAGAACTTTTTTCATCTTACCTTTTTCTCGTCGTAGCTTATTTAATTAAAAAATAAATATGATCCTCAAAATAAAATCCTCCATTTATTTACCAATAAATGAATTTATTTTATTTTTAAAAATATAAAAAAAATCAATAATATAATCAGTTTAGCATGATCAGGGATTTTAAAAAAGAAGATAAAAATCCCATTTATATGATTTAGTGATATTTTTACATTTGTATTAGGGACACTTTTACAATTTTCAAAGTAAATGAAGTAGAGACAAATTGCTTGCATTCTTTGGGGTGCAGTGGAAAACTCGAGGAAGACACTTTTCTTATCAGGATTAGGGAGGCCTACTAATCAAAGGAAACTATTTTCTGAGGATTGGCACATAAATATTTATGCGGGATACTTTTATAAATTTGTCGCGAAAATGAAGTAAAAATAAATTAATTCCATTTCGGGGGTGCATGAGAAAACACGATGAAATCTCATTTACTAGGAAAACTCGCCGAAAAGAAGTTCCTCGTTTCTCTGTGTTTATTCTGTTTTTCAGATGGCGGCGAGGACGGTTTCCTCAGGAGGCCACGCCGGCGAGCGAAGACGCAGCGCCAAGGGGAAGAAGGAGAATAAGAAGAGGACCACCGCGAGCCACAGGGCGGCGCCGCTGCCTCCATCTTCTTCCTCCGTGAAGTGAAGTGAAGTAGCCCCTCCATCTTCTTCCTCCATTCTCTGCGGGAAGAGAACAGGTTCATGGCCGTGGACGCCGCCGCCGCCGTCCGCCGCCGAGCGACGCTCCGCCCTCCCCTCCGCCTCTTCACCGCCGGATCCCGCTCGCCATGAGAAGACGATCTGTGGCGACGACGGCGTCGGTGATATTGGCGCGCATGGCTCAATCAATCCTATCTGTTCCCTCTCTCTTCCAATTTTTTTCATTCTCGGAGTTTCCCCGATTTCTCGCTCTAATGTACCGCCTTCATCCTCCTCCCTTCGGCGGCTGAAAACCACGGCCATCCTGATTCCCTCTCTCTCTCTCTCTCTCTCTACTTCTTCTTACTCATCTTCTCCGTTCTTCGGCGACAACGTGGCGGCGAAGAGGCGGCGCCGCCGGCGTGGCCTCGGCGCCGCCGGAGGGGGAGAGCGGCGGCAGTCCCATCGGTAGCACAGTCGCGACTGGCACACGCAGATATAGTCGCGTCGCGCAGGCCCTGCGACGGAGATCTCAGAAGCTTGTCGTCTTCTTTCCCCATCATTTCAAAACCTCTCTGTCTCTCGCAAAAAAGCGTTCCAAAGAAGTATAATTGTGCATCTGCCCTCCTCGTTAGAGAGAGAAATCGCAGTAGAGCGTTTCTGAAGCAACAGATACCGATGGAGCAGGCGTGGAGAGACCGTGCTCGATCGCCATTGTCTCACAGTTGCTGCGCGGATGAGCGAAAGAGAGAGAGAGAGAGAGAGAGAGGGGCTTTTCATATATTATTACAAATGAAGGGCGTATTTAACCAACTGTTCAAGGCTGAGGGTTTTACATGCGAAAATGGTAGCCTAGTATCGGAAATTCGAGATAGAATCACAGCCTACCGATGATTAATTTCCAATATTAATAAATATAGAGGGTCTAGTTAACTGAGCTGTTAAAGGCTGAGGGTCTATGTGTAAAAAATTCAGCCTAGCATCGGAAATTCGATATAATCACAGCCGTCCGATGATTGACTTCTAATATTAGCACAAATGGAGGGGGTATGTGTAAAAATGTCCGCCAAGTATCGAAAATTCGAGATATGATCGCACCCGTCCGATGATTAATCGCGAATATTAGTCCAAATGGAGGCCCTATTTAAATAAACTGTTCAAGTCTGAGGGTGTATGTGTAAAAATGTCAGCCTTGTATCGGAAATTCGAGATATGATCGCACCGGTCCGATGATTAATCTCCAATATTAGTCCAAATGGAGGGCCGATTTAAATAAACTGTTCAAGTCTGAGGGTGTATGTGTAAAAATGTCTTCGAGATCTGATCACAGCCGTCCGATAATTAATTTCCAATATTAGGACAAGTGGAAGGCGCAATTAACTAAACTTTTGAAAGCTAAGGATTTACGTGTAAAAATGTCAGCTCAGTATCGCAGATTAGAGATCTGATCACAGCCGTCGGATGAGTAAGACGGGGATCCTAATTAAATATTATGATTATTCAGGACATTATTGTTTATTTTATTTCTCATTTTCAGTTGCTCTGTGATTCGGCCGTCGGTTTCTGTCTGCCCGCCGGTTTTCCAATCAGATTCCACCCCTTTCTGCGGGGGGTTCCTCCTCACTCCTCTGCTCAGCCCGCCGACAGGTGGCCAGCAGCAGCTGCTACCGAGGGCCTCGAGCTTCTTCCTCATGGCCTCCGTCAGAAGGCTCCTGCTCTCGTCCTCCTCTGGAATTCTGGTAATCGCCATTTCGATCACCTCAAGGATTCAATGTCGTTCTTCCCGTTTGCTTTTTGGGTTGACGTTTTTTTTTTCCTTTTATTTCCGTCAGAGGAAGCCTGTCTCGTGTGGTTTGTTCCACGGCGGGCATGGAGGAGGTTGGTTGGCTCTCTCATCCTTCTCTTCTCATTGTCTTTAGAAAGACTGTGGTATCATAATTAGTTCATCTACTTGCGGTTCCAGTCGCTGCGCTCTGTCTCCTATCTTTTCTTGAATGGTGTCTTGTATGATTGAACGTTCATGCGTAGAGGGGGCTGAGTTTGGAGCGTTTCGCCGGGGTTTCACGGCAAGAGTGGCTTCCGAGATAAGGCCCGACGAACAGACGTCTGTTCCCGGGTGTTCGGGCAGTAGTAACGAAGTCGACGAGATCCGGTGCGAGTTTGAAACTGCCAAGCGGAGCTTCCTCAACAACCCTTCGGCGCTGAAGGATATTCCCCTGATGAATCCTCGAGGTCTCCTTTTGCTTCTTGATCTATGTTCATTATCTGGGTTTCCAGTCATTAGTGGTAATGAGCTCACAAGCCGGCGGCTTCCTCACCCTCCCTCTGCTTGTCCTGCTGGCGGGTGGCGGCTGGTGGGCGCCTGCTTCCAAGAGGCTCGAGCTCGCCGGGATTTTGCTTCTCGAGATATTTTCATTCCCGAGCCTTCTGTTAAGTATCTATCACCTGTGTTTTCTTGTTCTCCATCTAGGTATATACGTTAATAAAAATGTCAAGCTGGAAGATATACAAGTCTATGGATTCGACTACGACTACACGTTGGCCCACTACTCTCAAAACTTACAGACCCTCATATATGATCTTACCAAAGAGCACCTCGTTAATGAGGTGAGTTCCCAAGACTGGGTTTTTTTTATGCCATTGCCCTTACGTTTGTGAAATAGTCCGGTATTACAGAAAGTTCTTTTGTCATCTCAGCATAAGTATCCAGCGAGCTGTTTGGACTTCAAGTATGACCCAAAGTTTCCCATTAGGGGATTGTATTTTGATAGGCTGAAGGGAAATCTTTTGAAGTTGGATTTCTTTGGGTCCATCGAATCTGACGGTTGTTACTTTGGTCGACGGAAGGTAATTTTGAAAGTCTCTTATGCATTCTCTCTGATACGGCCAAATAGTGGACCTAATCATTTGGTCACTTTAGCAATAATTTGTTGTGGACTTCTATTTTTGGTGTCTGTACTTTGTTTTTTAGTTGAGGCAAGTTTATGACTAATTTTTCAGGGGTTATTAATTGGTCTTTGAAAAATGGTTTTTCAATCATCTTGGATTAACATCTCCTGACAATTTAAACATTTATTTCTGACACTTCATAAAAATAACCGTGGAGCTTTGCTCCCACTCCTGTCTCCGAGTGTTACACCTTTCTTATGCGGCATGTTCATTCAGTTTTCAGTTTTATATTTGAAAACAGTTTTTTTTTCTTTGTTATGTTGTCTTTCATACATGTGATGTTCGATCAACTCCTTTTATCCCTGAATTTGTGGGTTGAGATCCATAGGTGAGTTATTTGATAGTGACTATTTTTTATGTTTTTTTTTCGTGCATTAATATTTTTTGAGAAGAATTTTGTTGAAGGTGTCTATGAATTTTGAGTTTCATGCTATTTCTATCGACTCATATCCACTTTTTATATCCTGTGACGCCATGCCTGCTTCCGCTTTTAATCAGCTCTCCTTGGATGAGATAATAGCAGCATATGGCACACGACACATTGGTCGAGAGTCAGCTCATGACCTTGTTGGTCTCATGGATTTCTTTTGCTTTAGTGAGGTAATATCGTGTCTATCCTCATTGTTTAATCATTATCCTCGTAGCACGTGGTTCTGGTTAACTTGGACGTCTTTGTCGATGTGCTCAGTTTTTCTTAAGTATGGTTTTGGTGTTCCTATTTATGACACCTATGTTTTACTTGTTGAAAAGTTTGAATTATCAGTTCTGATGTGACACCAGCAAAACCGGCCAGGGGATGAACCAGTATTTACCGAGCACTGATATGGATCTTCATTGACATCCACAAAGAACTAGATGCTGTAAAATTTATTCGTCCGAGTATTTGCTCTTTTTCTTTCTGGGACAGGTTGTTCTTGATTTTTATCTATAAATTCCTGTCATGTCTATAAATTTAAACAGTTTTTGCAAGTTGTAATAAAAAACTATCTTATTCTTTCCAGACGTCTTTAAGAAGAAAACATGGTTGGACCATGATAAGAAAATATCCTAAACAACTCAATACTGGTTCAGGAGTAACTGTCTAAATGAGGTTACCAAAAATTCAAGATCAAGCTCAAAATTACTGAATTGATGGGATATTTGCATATGCATGCTTCAAGGTGTATCTTCATGTAGAAAAGTTCTCGTCTTTTGCACTCCAATATGACGTTTAAAGTGAAAGTTGTAGCCCAACATTAACAGTAGGGACGGAATATGGAAGGCTTGAAAATGTGTTAACATTAACGTGCTTACATGTCCTCTCATGTATCCTTGTTCGCTTCACATGTTAAAGATGATTCACCAGATCGACTATGAAGCATCATGATTCTTGTTAAAAGAAAATATTGATCATATTTATGCCAAATAATTCATCTTTCATTAATATATAGAACATCCTATCATTCGTTGCCCTTGTATGTGTATCTCTTTGTCATTGATGACACAGAACATGCCAAGGTGTTCTGTGTTATGTGATGTATTATTTCTTTCATTGGACATACATGTTGTTTGTCGCATTTTTTCTTTGCTCTTAAATACTTTGTTATAGATCATTGTTGTCGTTTGATTTCCTCCCATTGCCATGGCTGTAGTTGGGGTGAATAATCTACTCTATTTGTGGATACAAGCGATTGAAAGACTTCTAGGGGAACACGATTGACTATGAAGATTGATATGTTTTAGGTGTATTTGCGTTGTGTGTGTGTGTGTGTGTGTGGAAAGACTTGGTAATTTCTCAATAAATCTTTAACTTATTTACGGAAGAAATGTGAAGATACTCTGTTGTCTGAATTTATGGCTTCTTCACTAATGTTATCCCATCTCCTTAATCTGTTGAGCAATTAATTATATGTATTACCTGATTTATTTCCTTGTCTTACCTCTTCTGTTCGATTTTGTAGGCATGCCTTATTGCTGACGTAGTTCAGCACTTTGTTGATGCAAAGTTGGACTTTGATCCTTGCTACATCCATGAAGATGTAAACCATGCTATCCGGCGTGTCCATAGGAGCGGTTTACTTCATAAGACAATACTGTCTGATCCTCAGAAATATTTAGTAAAAAATGTATGTCGTCTATTTTCAGTTGTCCTTTTGTAATCTCATTGCAAAACGAAGATCTCAAACAAATGATACTGACTGTGCAGTCACATACACTATACTTCATCCCCAGGAACTCTAATAGTTTAATGGCCGTTTTGGTGAAAATTTCATTGACCGTTAGAAGCTGTGCATATAGGAAGAGACTATCTATGGATGAGATATTGTTTGGTGCAATGATGTACGAAATATTTTTCGACTTTGAAAGCATTTGAAACTTCAGTGATCGTTAGGGGCTGCACATGTATGGGGATAGAAAATCCATTGATGAGATGCTGTTTTCTGAAAGGGTGTCCGAAATATTTTCTCTTTTAAGGTTTTGAGATTTTACGAAAGGCATTCCAAATCATAATTTCCTCTAAAGGTTTCAAAGCATTTGAAACTCATTGTTCTGTTGATTTTTCTTCAGTAAATAAATCTTTCAGGTTTATCTGAGAAATTTTCTTTGGAAAAACTGCAGGATAAGATGTTTGAATTTCTAGAGACATTAAAGGAGAGGGGAAAGAAGCTCTTCATGCTGACAAATTCTCCCTTTTATTTTGTGGATGGAGGCATGCGTTTCATGTTGGAGGTGCTCTTCAAATATTAGTCATTCAGATGGCCTTACATTGTTTAAAAATACATTAATTGATATGCTACATGTTCTGATAGATCTCTGAGCATAACTCATATGTTCTATGCACACCTAATAGAATTTACTTATGTAATTGTATTGCCGAGTATTTGAAGACAAGTTCTGCCAAAACATTTACACACCATAGTAAGCGTCTATGCAATTACAAGCTGAACCAAAAATCTTTCAAGAGGCAAGTCATCATGTCTTTTGCTGACTAGCCACACGTTGTTTTGCACTAATCTACGACCATGAAAGGTTGGCCCATAAAGCTAGGTATAACGGATTGATACTGCGAACTTATTAGCCCACACATGGATCAATTCTTGAGTACTAACTAAATGACTATCCTTCCAACCGCCTACAGCATACATTTTTTATGCTATGCCACTTTTTTACCTCTTTATACTCCCGTTCAGATTTCCCCTAAAAGAGTATCTAACAGAAGAAATTTGGCACTCAAATAGAAATTTTTTACTGAAGTGAAACCTGCAACTTTGTTCTGTTTTGTTAGTGTTGTTGTGTCGCATGCAGTGATCCTAGATATATAATGTGCCATGCTGTCTAAATGGTTGTCTAGATTGGATCAGAGGATTTAGTGAATCAAGCATTAGGACAATAATATTAATTTCTCTCTTAAATAGATAAAAGTTTATCTGAAAGTATACTCTGATGTATATTTAACTGGTCTCTTTTTTCGTTTTTGGAAGCAATGGGGTACACCTTATTTTCTGCTTATTTCTGTTTCCTTATTGAGTCTCGAACTATTGAATAGGGTTCTGGCGGACATACGGATTCATGGAGGAAGCTTTTTGATGTTGTGATTGCACAAGCTAACAAGCCAAACTTCTACTCATCAGAACATCCATTCCGGTACTTCCCAAGCCGGATTCTATATTTTCCATTGCAGTTTCAAATTTTTTAACCTTTATTTTTATTCACTATTGCCTTTAAGTTTAATTGTCTTTGAATTGTCCTCTATACTTTTATTATTCCACAATGATTTCACTTGATTATTGGATGCTTGAGATTGGTAAGACCACCTTGGGAATCTAACACAGTTTGCGACATCCTTTGTTACTTTCGCCTTGTGATGATTTGCACTGAAAGTTGCCGTGAGTGAAATTCACTATATTTATTTAATTTACTGAATCTTATCCTTCTCATATGAACATTGTGGTTGACTTTGTCAGTTGCCGTTCAAATTTCTTTAGGTGCTATGACATTGAGGAGGATACTCTAGCTTTCACTGCAGTTGACAAGTTTCTCCCCGACCATGTTTATTATCATGGTTGTCTCAAATCTTTTCTAGAGATTACAAAGTGGAATGGCCCTGAGGTAAACTAGAGGCTATATAAAACTTTTGAATTTTTTTCTTTTCTTGTTATGTCATTTCTGTGGGTTTCGTGTTAGTATCTATAATTATTTATTTTTCTCAGGTAATTTTGCTATTGTGTTCAGTTGCGTATTATTGTGATGTGGTGATGGAGACATTCTTGTGATTTAACGTAGACATTGGGATCTGATATGAGGTTGCTTATTTGATGATTTTTTGCTTATTAATATGTTCCTGTGTGCATGAGTTTCGCAATATTTGAAAAACCCTGAAATAGTGCTCTAAAAAACCAGAGGCTTGTAGTCACCGGAGCATACATCTTGAAACATATCGGTATTACCAAAGTTTTTCACAGAATTTTATTCATCCGAAACGAAATGCAAAAACTGATCAGTTCTCGGATTGCTGACTTGACAATATATATCAAAGATCTACCATTGTCATGACTTTCAGTTTCAATCATTGGTTTCTTCGTCAAGTTGAAACAGATTACTAGTGACCGTATTAATCGCTTATTGAACTGCTGACTTGACAATATGTTGTAATTCTGAGAAGTTTGTGAAGTATGCTGTGGAATTGTTGCTACTATTGCCATAAATATCCTCGGTGTCGGTCATCAGTTATCCTATCTGCGATCACCTTAGCAATGGAATGCCGAAAAACCTTGTGGTCAACAATTGGCAGTAGGGACAAGAGGGCGGGGAGGGTCGGTTTCTACCCGTTGAATGTGCCAACTTTATATTTTAGGCTTGTTGGCTGGTAACAGAGTATCCCCATCAAATAGAAGTCAGAGTCATATCCATGAAATTTCTATTGCAAAAGATGCGTTATACAGTTTTCCTTGTACATCCTCAGAGGTCGCAGGCTTTATGCTGTTTAGGCTAAATGCAGTGTCTTCCAGGTCGATTTGAACTTTTGAAACACCTGCTTCTGTCGTTCGGTACTTCTATTTTATTGATTCTTAGTTCTGGTTGTCAATTACTAATTATTTACTGATTAAAGCTTTCCTGGTCTTGTCCACGCTGGTAGTTAATAGAATACATCAAAATGAGATTATGATCCTAGTAGACTAAATAAATCATCTTTTGTGGAGAAGACTAGGTGGAGCTTTACCTCTTCCTTCCCTAGAAACGAGATGATCTTGAGCTGTTATTTTTTCAGTTCGAATAACGTAGTAACTTGTGAGGACCTCAGCTCAAGATCTCCATACAGCAGCTCGTAGTTGCAAGCACCCTGAGACTCGCTGGTATGAACGATGATGTGAGAAATTGTGTGCAATTTATCACGCAGATCACCTCGATCTGAGATGAAACCATAGCAAAAAAATTATCTATTAAAGTGGGGAAACGATATTTAAGAAGCAAAGCAGTTATTGTTCCATTCCTGACAAAACAATCACAGGGTCAGCTACCTTGGGGATCAAGCTTTCTATTGGGCCTGGTCTGGGCTAAATGTCACGATCTAATATATGTCATGCTTTCATCTAGTCGGCATGCATCATCTCGATTTCAAAGGGGAGCCAAGGATTTGGATCTTCAACTTTGTTGTTAAGATTTGAATTTCTATTTCAGGTTGAATGGGCTTTAATTACGATGAAATGCAAAAGTGTTTGTCAGGCTTGGCTATCAAGGCTATCGCCCTATCTGGACCGAGGCTGAATATGAGTAATGGTCTGAGAGTTTGGCAGGTTTGCCTGAACCCCAGACCAGGCCATTGACAACCTTAGTTCTGCAACTAAAATTATTTATCTCTGCATGACATCCCCAGATATTTTTCTGTCCGTAAACATTTCTGGGTGAACCTGCTTCGCGTGAAATCAGAACTTTACCTCTCAAGTCATTTTAACATAAGCACGTGATTTCCTTTACGTTCTAGCACCTGAAACAATCATATAGGTTATGTTTCTAATAAGGTGCTTGCTTTGTTTCTGAATTCTTTTGCAGAGGTTTTTGTGTGAAGTTTAATTCTGCCAGAAAGTTATTCATTTCATCTTATGTTTACATTTTGTGACTCAGAGTTGTCATGTACTTATTTTACTGAGCTAGAAATATGTCACTTAAGATGGAAAAGAAGATGGAGCCTTTTCATGCAAGTCTGCATATCCCATTATCTTAAGGAACGTCGCTGGACACCAAATTGCCAATTGGATATGGAAATCTGTAGTCTCCTGTGAAAGTAAAAGCTTAAGTACGCTGGATTTTGCGTGAGACTTTTTATTTGAAATCGTTTGGCTACTTGTGTGGATAATACTCTTACTCTTTGTAGCATACGTGGAGAGAAGAGATAATCTTTGGAACGCTCTCTCTGCAGATGCAAAACTTTGAAACCCTTGTTCTTGTTCTTCAGATGCCTTTTCTCTTAGGATGTTGGTAGTTATTATACATTAATTGGGTGGGTGTACAGTGATGAAAGGTGGAACCAGCATTGGACAAGAAAAGCAGATAAAGTACTTGATGCCTTATTTTTCATGCAATCATCTGGGCCATATGAACGAGGATAAATAAATACTCTTTTAAAGATAGGAAGTAGCACCATTTAAGATTTTATGTGGGCCCGTGACAAGATGTAAAAGTGGGTGAGAATAGACTGTCATTGATGGATTTTAATGCCTCTCTGTAACAAAAAAAGTTTGTGGCACACAAAAAAAAACTGAATCATACTTTTACCTTGTTGCATTTTTTAAACTTTTGATTTCTTTTTTTATTTGTCTTTCCTGTTTTTCGATGGTGTAAGTGCTTCGAAATTGGAAAATCTTCTATGGTTGTGGTACGGACTGAATTTCTCAATAAATATTTATTATTTGCGTCTTCTCTCAGGTGATATATTTTGGCGACCATCTGTTTAGCGACTTGAGAGGCCCTTCAAGAGCAGGGTGGAGAACTGCTGCTATCATTCATGAACTCGAGGTATTTTTGCCATCTTAGATACATCAATTACCATCTCCAATCTGGTGCCAATGATTTGCACAAACGAGCCTCGTGATATATTCTAGCATCTTCCAGTCATTTCGAAAAAAATCTACAACGTCTCTCTCGCCACAAGCTTCTAAGTGATTGGGAATCAACACCTCATTAGATGCCCAGATAATTTTTTTCATTATCCATGGGAAATCATGTCTGGTGAAATATATACTCCTCACAGTGTGGCAAGTAGAACTTCGCTTCAGACGCCAAACTCGCCGTATATCAACAGATTAGGAAAAGATTTTCCTCTGAGTGGATATGTGGAGGCTCTTTCCCCTTTTAACCGTGCCCAGAGCCTTCACCTTCTATTCTATTTTCAGCAGCCTCGGGGATCCTAGACATAGAGGAAAAATACGCAGAGTAATCTTCATCCTTCCATTCTTCTCGTTTTCTTATGATTTCATCTGATAGCAGCCAACTCAAGCATCAGAACCTTGCCGTGCAAACAGTCTGGTGGCCTAACCCTGGGCTGATTCCCCCTAACTTTTCGGATTATAAATGGCATTAAATGCGTTCTTGGGATATTTCGCCTTTCCATGAGTGCATTCTGGTCTCTGCTCTCCATATGGTTTATGCCCTTTTGATCTCTTCTCTTCATTCTCGTTATCACAATCTGAGTGTACCGACGCTGGAGATAGTTGCAAATCGTTGAACTTATCGCGGTGAATCTTCTTGTTGCAGAAGGAGATTGAGATACAAAACGATGAGAGCTACCGGTTTCAGCAGGCAAGTACTCTCTTGTTCATCCTCTTCATCATGCTCAGTGTTCTTGGTGTTTTTCTCTGGCATCCAGTCACTGGGGATTAGAACGTCAGATGAATGAATCATAATTCCTCGTGATATATGTAGGGCAGTGTTTTCCAACCATGCTTAGAACAGGGAAATATTTATTTCCCCCCAGTTCTACTCTTGTTTCTTATTTTAGGGTTCCACCTACCCTTCTGGCTGAATTGAACACCAGGGAGCTGAGACTTGACGACTGGATCTTCCTATGAACCCTAAGCCAATCTTAAGTAACACAGAACTTCTCCGTCTCTCTTCTGATCATGGGTCCAGACCAACCCACCTGCCTACCAAGAACAGAGACCAAAAGCTTTTTTCGTATAATTTTTATTTGCTCTATAAAAAAAAGTGCACTTGTGGAAACATCCATCCAGGCAAACTTTCTCATCATCCAAGAATTACTGGGCAAGTGCCAGGCTCTGCTCTCTAGGACAAGTGCCAGGCTCTGGCTTTTCTATGAACCCTAAACCAATCTTAAGTAGCAGAGAACTTCTCTGCCTCTCTCACGATGATGGGTCTAGACCCACTTACCCACCAAGAGCAGAGACCAAAAGTTTTGATTCAACCGGGGAAACTTTTGCATACTTTTTTCCGTATATGTATTTTTTAATTTTTTTCAAAAAATAAAACTGGTCTTGTGCAAACATGAAACCAGACAAAATTTCACATCATCCAAGAACTACTGGGCAAGTGCCAGGCTCTTGCCTTTCGATGAACCATAAACCAATCTTCCCACGAACCCTAAACCAATCCTTAGGAGCAGAGAACTTCTCTGCCTCTCTCCTGGTCATGGGTCTAGAACCCTCCCACCTGCCTACCAAGAACAGAGACCAAAAGGGAAATTGTTGCATACTTTTTTGTTCTTGTATTCTTTTAAAAAAAATTGAAAAATAAAATTGGTTTCGTGCGAACATGCATCCGGGAAAAAATTCACATCAACCAGGAACTTCTGGGCAAGTGCCAGGAATCTGGTCTTTCTATGAACCCTAAACCGATCTTCCTATGAACCCTAAACCAATCTTTAGGAGCAGAGAACTTCTCTGCCTCTCTCCTGATCATGAATCTAGACCCCCCCCCCCCCTTCACCTACCTGCCTACGAAGAACAGAGACTAAAAGGGAATTTTTTGCATACTTTTATTATTATTATTATTATTGTGTTTTTTTAAAAATTGGAGTTTGTAAAAATAAAACTGGTATTTGTGCAAACGTGAATCCAGGCAAAATTTCACATAATCCAAGAACTACTGGGCAAGTGCCAGGCTCTGGTGTATCGGGAGCCGAGGGGGGAGGCATACCACGCCCTGGTGGAGGAGCTGAATGCGGAGTGCCGGAAGGCCCGGTCGATCATGAGGAACATGTTCAATGGCTCCTTCGGGGCGACGTTCCTCACGGACACGGGGCAGGAGTCGGCCTTCGCTTACAACATCCACCAGTTTGCCGACGTCTACACCAGCAAGCCGGAGAACTTCCTCTTGCACTCCTCCAACGCCTGGCTCCACGCCCCCTACGACATCAAGATCATGCCCCACCATGTCAAGGTATGATACTCTTTCAACCCCCATCTCTCTCTCTCTCTCTCTCTCTCTCTCTCTCTCTCATCTACCTTTCTGTCTATCTATCTATTTTTTCCAGCCGTATCAACTTGCCCAGAAGAGCAGTCCGACCCCCCCTCTCTCTCATCTACCTTTCTGTCTGTCTATCTATCCATCTATTTTTGCCAGGCGTATCAACTTGCCCACGAGAGTAGTACAAAGCTCAGCCAACCCCCTCTTTCTCACTCTCTTTTTCTCTCCCATCTACCTTTCTGTCTTTCCATCTGTGCCTACCAGCGATATCTACTTGCCCAAAGAGTACTCCAAAGTTCAGTCAACCCTTCTCTCTCTGTCTCTCTCTCTCTCTCTCTCTTTCTAGCTATATCTCTACCCAAGTTGGATTAGTTGATGAAAAATTTATATCTTGCAGGTTTCATCCAGCTTGCTGACGACAACGAAGCCGCAATGACCTGCCACCGAGTTCTTCATTGCGATCTTTGTTCATGGGGGTTGGGGGTATTTATTGGAAATATCTCAATAAACCAGAGGGAGAGGGAGAGAGAGAGAGAGCATATCTCTACAAGAAGATGAGGAGATCAAGATATTTATTTAACAGACCAATGTTCTTGAAAACCCGCCTCCTAGAGAGAGAGAGAGAGAGCCCGGGGAGGGGGAGGGGGAGGCAGTGTTTAGGGGTCGGTGCAGAAGTCAAGGTTTGGTATAGAGAAGACTACGCTCTGCAGGGGGGGAAGTGTAGGAAGGAATACATAACCGGGGAAAGCGACGAGGCGGGGAGATTTGGCCGTCGGCGAGTCAGGGGGAGGCTTTTGAATGATATCCTCGTCCTGAAAAGGGTCCTCCTTTCTCTGGGCGGTGGCGCGGGGGGGGGGAGTTTTGAGGTTGGCGAGGAGGACGTCGGGGGAAGTTCATGCGGGCACGGAACGAGCCTGAGGTAGATGGAGGCCGCGCCACCAGCATCCCAACTACCCTCTCTCTCTCTCTCTCTCTCTCTCTCTCTCTCTCTCTCTCTCCCTGCTTTCAAAGAGGAACAGCAAGGAGAGGAGTGTTCTTCGAAGACGAGAGTTTCCTGGACGTCTCCTTCTCCCTCTCGGAGTCTGTCTATCCATCGGCTGGTTCGCTTCTAGTTCTCCCCATTCCGGTCGTCGTCTGACGAGCACGAGAGAGGCGAGAGGGGGGGTACTGAGGAGCCGCAGAGTTGGCTGCAGGATAGAGCATATCTCTCTATCTCTGGAGGAGCAGTCGAGGAGAAGATGACCTTCTGCCCAGGGACGGAACGTTACAAGACCGAGGTCTGCGTCCTTGATGCCTCCTCCTACGTCGGCTTCTGGATCCTCAAGAAACTTCTCTCGAAGGGATACAAAGTTCACGCCGGACTCCGCAGTGATGGCACGCTCTTTTGTCCTTAGACCATCCAAAACTCTCTCTCTCTCTCTCTCTCTCTCTCTCTCTCTCTCTCTGTGTCTCGTCCTGCCGCTCTGAGCAAGTTTGGGTTTGCAGGGAAGGAGGAGACAACGACGGTGATCAGGGAAATGTGGAAGTCGGACGCGGGGAAGAAGACTCTCTCTCTCTTCACCGTGGACGTCCTCGACTACCAAACCATCCTCACCTCCATGAACGGTTGCTCCGCTCTCTTCTGCTCCCTCGACTCCCCAGCTACCTACGACGTAACATCCCCAAAGGGCCCTTCCTCTCTCTCTCTCTCTCTCTCTCTCTCTCTCTCTCTCTCTCTCTCTCTCTATTCCACCTCTCCTCTCTCTCAGATTAGGGTTCACTCGTCGGTCCTTCTTCTCCCTCGCCATGGACGAGCCGTTTCAGGAGGATGCCGTGGAGACGGAGATGAGGGGAGTCTTCAACGTGGTGGAGGCCTGCGCCCGCACACCGTCCGTGGAGAAGCTCATCTTCTCCTCCTCCCTGGCAGCGGGCATCTGGAGCGAGGACTTGCAGACCCTCCGGCAGGTGGACGAGAGGTGCTGGAGCGACGTCGAATACTGCCGGAAGCTCAAGGTATCGTAAGAATAACGCCAACTGCTTCCCAGATGAAGAAGAAGAAGAAGATGACGTTCAAAACGGACGATCTTCCTGGTTCATCCCCTATCTCCAGCTATCCATTCTTTTGTTTTTCGAACTAGCTTCAACTCTGATCGCTCGATCCGCGCAAGAATAGAAAGATTTATGAAACTGAAAAATAGGAGATATTAGGGTTTGAGAGGACATGGCGAGCCACCCCAAAATCATAACTTCTGAACACCCCTAGTCAAAATGTTAATAACAGTAAATACCCTTGAGTGTGATTCAGAATCCATGGGGTCAAACAAAAAAGATGAATAATGAATTATTCTGAATAAAGTTGGACTCATTCTCTCCAGATTTGGTTGCACCAACTTAGGTGGACCAAACTGTAAAAAATAGTGATAAAGCCACCAAATTCCCAGCCTCATCTGAATGAAACAGGTTATATCTCGTTGCCCGTCACCAAGAAACCAGGTTTTCGTTTCTTGGAGTGTTATTTTTCTTCTAAATTTAGTAATCCAGATCAAACTCAGGAAGAAAAATAAGTGAAAACACTGAACTTGACCAAGTCCAGGCCCGGGCTTCACATGGCTTGATAGGTGACGTTGGTGAGATTTTCAGCTGTGGTATCCGGTGGCGAAGACGCTGTCGGAGAGGACGGCGTGGGGCCTCGCCTCCGACCGGATGCTCAACATGGTGTCTGTCAATGCGGCGCTAGTGATCGGCCCCGACGTCGCAGTCCAGAATCCCGTCTCCACCCTGTCTTATCTGAAAGGTATCTCTCTCTGTCTCTCTCTGTCTCTCTCTCTCTCTCTCTCTCTCTCTCTCTCTCTCTCACACACACACACACACACACACACACACACACACTCTCTTCCTCTCTCTCTCTCTCCCTCTTCCTGTCCATTCCTCTCTCCCTCCCTCCCTCTTCCTCTCCATTCCTCTCGCCCTCCCTCCCTCTTCCTCTCTTTCTCTCTCTCTCTCCCTCCCTCTTCCTCTCCATTCCTCTCTCTCTCCCTCCCTCTTCCTCTCTTTCTCTCTCTCTCTCTCCCTCCCTCTTCCTCTCCATTTCTCTCTCTCCCTCTTGCTGCTGCTCTCTCTCTCACACACCCTTCTCGTGAGGTGCAGTTGCGTAAGGCGATGAAACAAGTCAAAGTGGGTTTAATTAAACCACCTGACCCAACAATTACTTAAATCATAATAAATCATTTACAAAGCATTCTTTAGTCACATTTTAATCAAAAATTAAATAATTCCTCACATTATGTCATGAAAAAAAATTAAATCCAATAAAAAAGTCCATGCTTTAGTGGCCGATCTTCTGTGGGCATCTACGTGCTCTCTTCTTTTATCAATAATTTGATAATTTATTGATGATTAGGAAATTAGAATATTCCTAAAAATTAGGTATTGCCCAACTCCCCACCTCACTCGCCATCATAATTAACCTTAATCAGAACATATCAAGAAAACCTAGTCATAAATATTGGCGATCTCCTCTGCCTTCAATACTAATGTTGATAATACCTCAACATCTCATTATTATTATTATTATTATTGTCTCCTACTTAATGATTATTCAGTATTTAAATAATTTAAAATATCTTCGTTATTAAGTGTTGCCCAAAAAACACCTAGCACTATAATTTGCCGCATAAAAAAACTTGGTCATATCAACTGAAGTTCTTAGAACATAAAATTATATATATATATATATATATTTATTACTTCTTCATGATGCTGGATTTGGGTGAAGCCGAGGAACCTGTAAGATTCAGAGATCTCTGAGCCATCCATCCATCGCTTGCTTCCTACAGGAGCAGAGAAGATGCAGGAGAGCGGGGTTCTTGCATCAGTCGACGTTGACTTCCTTGCGGACGTCCACGTCAGCGCACTGGAGGATCCGTCCGCGAACGGGAGATACTTCTGCTTCAACAACGTCGTGAGATCGGAAGAAGAATCTGTGAAACTGGCCAAGAGGTTGACTCCTCTCATTCAAATCCCACCGAGGTATGTTCAAATGATTCTAGGAAAGCATATGATCGAATCATGTCAACGCAAGCCAAAGATTTACGATATTCAGCACCCAGAAGATTGGGAAAAAAAAAAAACCATTATCTATACTGGTTGGGTGGGTGTTCATGAACAACTGAATAGGATGATCTTCAGAGGAAAACATGCACCACGCAGAGTATTTGCAGTTGACCCATAATCAGATTTCCCAGACATCCAGGAAGGGTTGACTTTTTTCTTCTTTATCTCTTTGGCTGTTTACAGACGCGGGTATCAAGAAATCGAGTACAAGCAAAGGCTGAGGAGCGAGAAACTGGAGAAGCTGGTTGAAGTTTCGGTGAGAACCACATGAGACCCTCTCGATGTGAGGTCAAATGGCCAAACTTTCCTGTCTTGTAAGGGAAAATGAGGGGATCAAAATCCAGGGGTTTCAGCGAAGAAATACAATGAACTTGGATTAACCTAGATTTTGATCTGCCCAGACAATAAACTAATGTCGCCCATGGTTCGTGATGTTGGTGGAAATCTACACCTCTTTCTGCCTTTTTTTTTCGGTTCCCCTTTCTAGAGGTGGTAGAAGATACCCTCCATTGGATAAGAGATGAGAAAAATCACACTGAAAATTGAAATTTTTGCACAGCTATTAAGAAAGAACAGCAGGCGGGGAAAAAAAAGGGACACTCACTTATGTTGAAAGCATTGTTCTAATCGCACAGCCTGCTCAAAATATGAAGATGCCCATCTAATTTATGCTGCTGACTGAAGAAAGTAAGCTTTTCGATCCTTCCCTCCTGTCAAGTGACTGGTCAAGAGGACACCAGCCCTCCAAGAGGTGAACAAATCCATTGAAGCAGGTCAAATCCCACCACCGGAAGTTTTTCCTTCCTCTATTCATTTTTTTTTTTTCAGTCCAATCTAGTCATACTCCTCCGATTATGACCTTTCGGCCCATTCTTGCATATTGTTCTTCATTTCCCGCCCTTGTTATCACATGTCCCTTCTTGATCATCCATACGACAGTCTCTGGTTCCACTTGGAGTTCCGTGTGCTCCTCTGCTCCCCTTGAACCTGCTTAAGCTTAAACATGATTCCCCATACACACATCCAATCTTGATCCGTTGCACCCACCATCAAGTCTGAATTAAATAAAAATAATTATGAAAAATGATAAATGCGCCCTGACGACTTGAACCCAAAAGTACGGAAAGATTAGTCAGAAAAAGGCGTTGAGTGAACAATTAAAGCACGGCATTCAAGCACTAAGCACATTTGTCTCCGTCAGGTGTTTCTAGGCAAAAGTAGGCGATGAATACATTAAAAATCGATTTCCAGCGTGAATTTTTCAGCGAAAACATGGGCTGGTTGGTGAGAATGAAGAGAGAAAAGAGAGGGAATATGAGAAAACGTAACCACAGACAAATACTTGGGAAGTTTCTGCAGTAAACTACTAGTCTTTACCATTCAATCAGAGGATTTAATGAGATATCGTATGCCGGTTATCAGTTTACTTCTACATCCATGCCTGAGAAAGGGGTTCTAAGGACGAAAGCGCACGCAGATCCAGGCCGTGGGCACAGAACTCCTCTAGTGAAACACAATCTCTTTATTTGAAGTTGGCACTTGAATCAATACGTTGCTTTCGTTAACGAAACACTGATTCACAAAAAATAGGAACAAAAAATTTACAGTCATAACGACAGTCAGACAGCAAGAAAATCGGGTACAGGAAGACATCCAGTCGATTTACATAAGTCAAGAAAAATATACTTCTCCCTAACAAGTGGGAGAAGTAGATTTCCCAAACGCACGGAGATCGTCACAGACCTGCAACCTCAACACATCGACACAATCTTTCCGCACCAGGGAAGAAGTTAGGATTATGAATGCAGGCGACGGAAGTAGCTATCCCTCAGCGCTACCGTAGAAGGGGTCATCGGCGTCGGTGCCGGCGCAGACGCCGCCGCCGTCGCGGGTCGGGGAGTGGAGAACTCCCGGATGAGAGCGGCGAGGGACTCAGGGTTGACCCCGCGGTCACACAGGGCGACGAGGAGGGACAGGGTGTGGCGATCTAGGCCGGTCTCGAGCATGTTGGACATCTGGAACGCCAAATCCAGCGACTCCTTCGCGTTCCTCGCCGCCTCCGCCTGCTGCTCCATCTTCCTCCTCTCAACCCCTTCGGATTCCTCCCAGTGCCGCAGCTGCCTTATAAAGTTACCATGATTTTATTTACTAATACACCCCCATATAAAAATGTATTTTATCTATGGACCGTTGGAGATTTTCGTACATGTTCTAAATATAAATATTTAATATACGAGTATTTTAAAATAAAAAATCACATGACATATTTTTATATAAAATAATAATAATAATTATTATTATTATTTAAAAATAGTAGATGGGAATGAGAGTGAGGATTAATCAATTAATTAACCAATCTGAACTTGTGTGATCCCTCATGTAAATTGGTTTTGAAAATAAAACATCAAGATGTACCCAAATATCAAAGAACTATTGCTATATCTATATAGATTAATTTCATGAAAAAAATGAATAATTAAATGGCATATTTAATATAAAATTAGACTAATCAATTAACGTTCGGACTATTTTTGGAAAGTAGTAAATGCCACGGGGAGTGAGGATTAATCAATTAATTAATCATTATGAACTTGTATGATCCTTGATGTAAGTCGTTTATGAAAATAAACCATCAGGATCTACCCAAAGTATAGACGACTATTGCTAGATATATATTTGATAAATTAGTTTCATGAAAAAACATGAATAATCACATGGCATATTCAATCTAAAATTTAGGATAATTTTTATCAATTAACGTACGCACTATTTTTAGAAAACGGTAAATGGGAATGAGAATGAGGATTAATTAATTAATCAGTCTGAACTTGTATGATTCATGACTTAAATCGGTTATGAAAAAAACCATCTAGATATATCCAACAGTATCATATGACTATTGCTAAATATATTTATGTATATTTGATAGATTAGTTTCATGAAAAAAATGAATAATCATACGGTATATTTAATTACAAATAAGAATATTTTTTATCAATTAACTTCCGTACTATTTTCGGAAAATGTTAAATGGGAATGGGAGTGAGGATTAATTCAGTAATCAATTAATTAATCAAATTGAACTTGTATGACACCTGATGTAAATTGGTTTTAAGAAGAAAAAAATCAAGATATATCCGAAATTTTGATAATTTAGTTTTTTAAAAATCAACGCAGATTATTCAAAATCATAAATAATCACTTGGCATTTTTTCCCCCAAGCCAATGGATTTTAAAAACATTTACTTTTAGATATTGATGCTCGAAGAGAGCTAAAAACGAGAAAATAGCTAATTAATAACGTTTTATGAGAACCAGTGGAGGCCATCATCTGATAATAATACTATATAAATAATGGCTAATGAATCCTCCCGAGATATTATTACTATGCTTGGAGGACGAAATCCTTCTCATTCACTTCTTGGCTGGCCTTCTCCTGCTGGAAGGTGGCGTGATGCTCCAGATACTCCCTGCTGTTCATCTCCGTTAATCTGGGCAAGAAGAAGAACCCACATTGAATGGGTGAGAGATCCATCTAAAAAATCGGACTTAAGAGGGAAGAAAAGGAGGACAGACAGACCCGGATCCCTGTTTTCTTGCCACGTGGCCTCTCTCTCTCTCTCTCTCTCTCTCTCTCTTGGATTGGTTAATCCAGCATTTTTATATGGAAACAAAGACCATATTTATGTAGGGGATGCCCAGTCTATGAACAGCATTAATAAAGTCGGTTCTTACCGGCTGATGGTGCGGTCCTTGGCAAAACCCAGCTCGTTGTCAACGCAGAGATCAAGATCGTCGGTTCTCATGGACCGAGAAGAAGTCCTCGGTGAGATCTTCTGTGCATCTAACACCGTCACAATCCTCTCGAACAGCTCGACGGGGACCGCCTCGGCTGTGCATAGAAGCCTGGCTTTGTTTTCATACATCACCTGCGCATTGGAGGGTGGGACAAAGAATCAGTTCCATAGAAAAAAAAAAAAAAAAAAAAAAAAAACTCTCACTGGGGCAGTTGTTCTTGATGATTATATGGGCTTGGGTCTGATGATTCAGTTGGCGGTTCTCTCCACAGTTCTGGTAGAATATGAGACTCTCCAAGAAACATGGAGGAAATCATCAATGGAAATTCTCCAAAGGACAAGGTATTATAGCACGTACATCCACCAGAGTGACAAAGCGATAAGCAGCAGTCCTGTTGTGGATCCCAAATTTGGGAACTCCCTCCAGTGCCAGCGTGTGATATTTCTCTGCAAGAAAGTTGTGGATCATCATTCATCTAGAGAGAGAGAGAGAGAGAGAGAGAGAGAGAGAGTATATATATATATATATGCCATCAGTACTTTCTGTAGCCAAGAAAAAGTACTCACTGAACAAGCCAAAGTAATCAGCAGCCCCCAAAGGTCTGTCGCATAGATCTTCAAAAGAAAAGTATGCACACCCATTGGCTCCCAATGGAACCTGAAGAGGGGGGCAAAGGATGGAAGTCTAAGAATTTCCACGCATTTGACAAAATTCTAATTAGAGAAAGAAAATTCATCCTGGTGAAGGAAAAACCTGCAACTGGCGGCCCATGACGACCTCCACCACCTGGGGACTCGCTGTGTGTTGACCAGATAGCCAGTAGAACTTCTGCTTGAGGAGCTCAGAATGCTCATCTCCGACGAAATAGAAACCTTGCTCAGCCTACAGCAACCAGTAATATAAAGTATTTATTTTCTTAAAAACCCTGAAAAATGACAATAATTTCATAACAATCTCACTTGCATCTCGATAGAAATAGAAAAAAATAAAGAAGAGAATGATTTACAGAAGTCATTCTCCGATAGTCTGTGGAAGAACCAATGGCGTGAGATACACATCTTTCCTGTATTACCATTGTGTTAAGTTTATGTTAGAAAAAGATACCAGAGTCTATGAAATGAGTGAAGCCAGAGCACTAGAAGTACCTTCAAAGTCTCAATAAATGGCAAGAAAAGATCCCTCTGCAAGCCGCCTTCATAAAGGTGATCTGGTGCGCGATTTGAGGTTGCAACGAGGACCTGACCCACGAATGAATCAAGTTCAAATTGTTAAAGGAATGTTTGATCTAGAAGATAGATACGAAGAAAACTGACTAGGAGTTGATCATTCTATATCACATGATTGACGGGTTAGCTTTCCAGCCCTAGATTTAGCTTTTTCACTTCATATCGAGAAAGAGGTTTTAGAATATTACAAATTAAACCAAAGAAAATATGCTTCACAATATTCTCAGATTCGGTGGCCATTCAACATGTATTCTCGCATTAAAGACCCAGAAATTTCTCGTTGATTAACGCTCCACAAAAGATACATTTTATTAACTTCTGGTTAGGATCTCAACTCCTTGATTCATATCTTACATCATAGTCTACATATTGAGACGATGTTTCAGACCCTACATGAGCATTATATTTTTATCACAGAACTTGAATTACTCAAGCATATATACTTCACATCGTTGCAAAGCTCCATAAGTTAGAGTAAATAAATAATTTGAGCAATGAGCTGATCAGAATAATGAGTAAAATCATTTTCACGTATAAAAAGATTGCGTCTTTGCATTAAGTGCGTGTGTGCATATATATATATATATAAAATATAATATATATATAATATAAGTGTGGAGCAAGGGTTCTTCAAGAAAAAAATTATAGGCTATGGGATGCATCACTTACAACTCCGTTGCTGAACAAATGTCCAAAGAGCCGATTTAATATCAAAGCATCTGCAACATCCGTCACCTGTGCATCAGAAATTACATGTAGCCGATGAAGCAAAACACGTTCTCCAGAAGGCCAAAATATGCAGTTACATAAAAACGACCTACCCTTGTGTTTCTAACGTACCATGAATTCATCCAAACATAATAGCATAGACTCATCTGCTATCTCCCCGGCCACCTCTTCGAGAGGATCTGCCACTCCCTTATGTTTCTGCAATGAAATCAAGGTAGGTCTGTCTAATATTCACATTGAGAGATGATTACAATGGATTAAATAAGCAAGCAAAAATATATTTTTTTTTGTGCTTTCCAAGGTCAATTATTTAGGGTAAAAATGGGAAGGAGTTTCCTTAATTGAGGGGAAAATGTTTTTGGGGAGAGCACTTCAAAGTGAAGTACTCGTCAAGTCTAAATCAAAGGGAAGCGCCAATGGAAAAGAAAATTTTAGAAGCCAACCTGTAGGCGACTGTGGACATTCAACATGAAGTCGTGGAAATGTATTCTTTTCTTCCGCCAATTAGATGGTCTGCACTTGAAGAATATTCAATAGACGTATTAGGAGAAGAAATATGATAAAAAAAAAAAAAAATTCTTTTCAAGTTCTGCAGATCAGACTCAAGATATTCGACTATGAACAATTAACCACTGGCTATTAACCTGACCGCAAAGTCAACAATATTATCAAACAAAGATACCAATCTTAAACGATAAAATTAGGTCAGCCTGTAGCCTTCAGAGAACATTACAAAATCACTTTTTTTTAAGTGTTCTGTATATCTTGAGGTTTGATGCATGATGATGCTTTTTAGAGATCCTGAGGCGAGACAGGTTCAAACAAGATCCTTGACTATTTTGGGAATTTTAATGCCAGAACAGTTTTTCAAAGGCAGATCACATCCTTAAACTCTGAAAACAAAATCTATACATAACATGAAAACAGAAATGTGAAAAGCAGCATCTAATTAACAAATGAATAAAAAACACAAAATTGATAATCTGTCGTTAATCAACAAGAAACTTATACATCGAAATGGACTGATCATCAATAACAGTCCACGGTAGCATTTGAACTTACAGCTGATCAAAAAATAAGTCCATGAGCATTGTCTTTCCTGTGCCAACTCCACCATAGAGGTAAAGCCCTTTGACTGGTGAGTAAGACGACAGAGGAATGAAACGAGACCATAACCATCGACTCCTACAAAAACAGCAGGTCAACATAAGGATTCAAGACAGCTTTTTTGGATGCATAAGAAATAATAGCGACTAGTTCGTCCGCACTCCCAAGATCCTATCAAGTGCTTGAGATCTTTTTGGAGTGATATAAAGTGGATGAGAATTCAATTGTTCACCTTGAAGCTTTTCCAGATTCTGTATAGCGATCTAAGCGACAGCTATCTTGCAATTCTACAAGCTCATCAAATAGTCTTTGCAGAACCTGAAGGGTCTCCACCTGAGAGAGCCATTCTTGATTTTAGAATCTGATGTGGGGCGTACTTTGCCCCAACAACCACCAATACTAAATTCGAAGGCAACATGCAACATTTTCTCAATGACACGGTACCTGACAATCATCACCATCCTTCAACTCTCCAGATGCAATTCTCCGTTCGTATTCTAGCAATGGACCAGCATCTCCCCCGTCTAGAATTGAGCAGACAATAGAATCAATACTTAATTCCAGGCATTTCTTGTGGAAACCTACAGAAGAACATTTATTGGGCCATTTCTGAATCAGTGAAAAGCATATACCTCCATCTCTATAGTTCGCAGCGGGGTTCGAAAATGCCCTTGGGAACAATGTATACTCCGGATAGCTAGAAATCTTGAAAGAACAACAAGGAGCTGAATTGAGGTAGACATTTGGCCTTTTTCCTAGTGCAGTTTGCCGCAGATTTCCACTTTGGTGTCGATAAGTCAACCAAACTCGACGGAGATTTCGAGCTATTGATCTCATGGTCAATTCAGAGCTGCAATTAGAGCAGCGTGCCAAAATGCAGAACCTGAAGCATTAAAAGTAAAACTTGCCTCACCACAGAAACCACACCAAAAAGAGGCAGAATAACCAGAAATGACAGCCAAAATAGTCATAATTTTGGACATAAAATTGATAGATTCATCGATCGTAAACTAGATCAATCTCCTAAAATTTCCTCCTCAGAGTCAAGCGAATCGGGAAAAAAAACATAATATTTCAATGAAACCAAACAGAGATACGTGGCATTTTCCATCACAGGAAAACCACGCGTTTAAATCACCATACCAAAACCTCAGGGGCAAGAACTCCGCTCGCTTCTCCGCGGACCAGAGATTCTGAACTGTTCACAATTTTAAAAAAAGGAAGAACAGAAATCTGTGCCAGGCGGCACAACTCCGGGCGCGCCGGCCAAAGAGCACCTCACGGAATCGACCGAGCAGATCGCGGAAGAACAGCGGCCGACACTCATCGCTTCCCTTTCAACGAGATCCATCAGCCAATTGAGTGCCCCCCAAAACCCCACTTTTACCCAACAGTAACACCAGCAACAAGAAGAAAACCGGACGAAAAAAGGAAATCGACGAACTCACAATTTGAGACAAAAACAGGAGCTTCCAACTACGTCGGCGGAGAGAGAGAGAGGGACGGAGCCGTAGATCTTCAACACGGCTTCCTTCACTCCTCCTCGACGGCTTTATCGTTGCCCCGGGCCCTATCAACATACGGGGGACAGCCATTGACGCCTCGACAGGTCCACGTCAGTTTTACAGTGGGACCCGCAGCCGCGGAGAACAGTCACGGCATCGCGTGTTGGGGACCGAGACCCATCTCGAACCCTCGTACAAGAGACTTCTGCGTCGTCGAGAAGATCAGTCTCGCTCCGCCACGAGCCCCTCCGCGGCGAGCGTTACGGACGGTGGTTGTCCGTAGTGAGATGTACTATACTTTTTAAGCCATCGAAAGATGTCTCAGTCAACAACGGCGGGTATTGCGTACGCGCCCCCTGGTTCGCGCTTTACCAGCCGATCGGGACACTGACGTGGCCTGCTGGGGGTTGTTGCGCCTCGTACCTTCCACGCGTCGCTCTCTGGATATCACACGTGAGTTCACTAATATTAACAATCAGAATAGTCCGCGCTTGTCTACAAAGAGATAATTGACTATTCAAACAGTCATTAATTGTCCTTTATACGTGATCAATGGAGAATCTGACACCTGTCACGACTGAACTTTTCCCTCCGTGGTGACGTGCTCCCTCATACCGGATCCGATCTGGACCGGGTATAATCTCGGATTTGGAACGTGGACATGAAGGAAATGTTTAAATATATTTCCAGGGTTTATAAGAAATTGTTGAATTATTGGGGGCATATTTTTTAGTGAGTCGAGAATTTGGGCCTGGCCAATTAAATGTGGCCCGGGGTAGAAGAGGGAGGAAATGGCTGGGACAGCCTAGCTCGCCATGTGGCAATTTTTTGCCATAACCTAAGGGGTGGGATGGATAGCCACGTGGCAGTACGAATGGAATTGAAATTTGTATTTTTGTCCCTCCCTCTATTTGTTTTTTCCGTGATTTCTATAGAATAATATAAAAGGGTCGGAGTCTCTGTTGTCGGTATCGGGTAGGACCGGTAATCATATATCGGATCTAACTCGGTTGCGGTCGGAACCGTTTTTGACCGCGGGGGGTTCGAGGTGGTGGAGTTGAGGGAGCTTGACCGGAGTTGGAGAAGAAGAGTCAGAAGAAGAGGAAAAAGCGGAGAGAGAGAGAGAGAGAGAGAGAGAGAGAGAGAGAGTTGCGATGGCTAACCAGGGAGCGAAGAAGAGGAGGGAGGAGAACAAGAAGCACATGTCCAAGCTCCTCCGTTTCATCGTCGCCAGTAATGTAGGCTCTGATCTCCCTTTTGATCCCGTTTTCATCTTCCAATTGTTGTCCACCAGACTGCTCATGATCGACGGTTAAGTTGCTTTCGGATTCGAATTGCGTGGGAATGAGATCGAAGCTAAGCTTACTGACGATTATCTCGCGTTTCGTGCGTAAATACTCCGGATCCCGAGGTTCCAATTCTTTGGTTTAGGGCACGCCTAAATCTCGTTGTATTATTCTAACCAATCTAGGAGTTTTGTTCCTGGGTTCCTCTGTCAATAAGGCTTGCCATGGGCACGCATCAAGGATGGGAATTTAGTATCAGTCCGGAAAGATGTGTGATGTCTTCGTTGCCGATACTCGTAGCGCTAGATGGATTCTTCGAGAACAGAAGGAGAGTCTTTCTCAAATAGGATTTTCGAAATCCTTGAGTTTCATTATCCGGTATCCCCTGGTCTGTAGGTTTTGAATCGTTCATATCACTGAGTTATTCAGCTGAGCTGTGTGAGCTCGTATCTAGTTTCAAACGTGAACAGCCAGGCAGTATTTTGAAACTTGAGGATTATTTTTTCCTCTGAAAAAATCTGCAGTAATTTTTTTGCCACCGTAGATACTTCTTACTCATTATTTCTCTTTTCTATAATTGTTGAAGTACGAAGGAGGTCTTGGGCGCCTGAGGGCTGCGGCAATTATTGCCTTTTCTAGTTACCCATCATAAGGATTGCCATGTTCATTCCGTAGCATTGAACTATCAACGAAGGCTGTGATGAATGATCATTACCTTTGTTGGTTCTCTAGCTTGGAATTACCATGTTCGGACCATCTATTGAATCGCTATCATTGGGAAATTTCTTTTTCCAGACCTTTTATTTTATGTTTATAGTATGCATTATGATTGATCATTTGCCATCTCATGAACGGCACAATTTTGAATTTTGCGTTCTTGTTTCTGGCTCAACAATATTCAGGTCATTCATGTGTTGGTGAGGATGCTCATCTTCCACTCGTCTACTAGCTGGAAGCACTGGATTGGTCTTTTTGTAACATCTGCGGCTTATCTGCTTCCATACCAACAACTCGCCAAAATGGCAAAGCCAGCATACTCTGATGATGGCGAGCTTCTAGATGGTGGATTTGATATGAAATCTGATGGTATTTGCGGGTATCTTTTCACCACCCTCGTTGCAAGCATTTTATCTGCAAATATTTTTTTTATATGTGGAAGAATTGTTTTGTTTATACCTAATGTTGTTCATTGAGGCCCTGCCATGGCCACATGTTTAAGCATGACGCTGTTATAACCTTAATCATCCTTGAAATTTCTGGAGTTGCTCTGTGTACTGTTCAATTCCAGGCATAATCACCATTGTCGTCATTGTCGTCATCATCATCATTATTATTCTTATCATTACTTAAAACGGGGTAAGTTATATATCTCTTTGCTCTGAAACATCCCCCCACCTTACAACAACAATAGAATAAAAAGAAAGAAAACAAGACAAAGCGTGCATGTTTGCAGTTTACCTTTAGAACCTTATTCTGGCATCCCACTTTGTGTAATTTAAGACTACTGCAGCTGCCTTCTCACCCTTTTGTGGGTCACTAACTCATCATCTTACTCATCGTCTTTGATCTGATCGTACACCTCTTAACATGCTCTTTCATGTAATTGCTTTTGGCCTATGACATTGGTTCAGTGACGGTGTTTCTTGTCTCCCTGTGCTCCTCATTTCTTGAATGTGATGTAATCATTGAGAATGGTTCTAGGAGGAACTATACTACAATTTATGGACTTTCGTTTCCTGGATAGGTCTGCGTGTAGATTGTTTCTCTGTGGCAGTTCACATCCCCGAAACCTAACACATTCTTTTAAATGCTCTCTTGCAGCTATTTACATGATGTGATCTACATAACGATCTTTGTTCAGCTGGCGTCCATCATATCCGATAAGTTTTGGTACACTTATCTGGTGGTAAGTATAATATCGCCTGTCAGTCTACAAGAGAGTAAATCCCATCTTCCCCTTACTCTTACTGAGGATCTCTTCCTACCTCGAGTCGCTGCCAAGAATTTTAAACCGGCAATAGTATCCTTTAGTTGAGATATTTGGTAAATAGAGACAACTCCTTGTTCTGGATGGTGTTGCCAATCAATTTCCAGTGATGAGGTTGGGTTGACTCCTCTAACTCGAGGAGATCAAAGTGTACTGTTATTTGGAGGATATCACTGAAAAAATAAATAAAACCCATGCTTATATTGATTTATAATTGGACAATCCGATATGGCTGATAGAGATCGTTGTTGGTCTTGAAATGCGAGTACTTTATTCCCATCAGCAATGTGATGAGGTTCAATGGTCAGTTAGTGTTTGAGGGGACATGTTATTCTCCCACAATTAAAAAGAGAACTGTGGTGATACAGATGGATTTTTGTCAATTGGTTTTGAGTTAAATTGATCTTGTCCTTTTCTGCTGAACCCTCGATTCTAAATGGGGTGTTTACAGTAATTATGTTGATAATCATGGTCTTTCATCATAAACATGACTTCAAAGTGAAAAAAAAAACAACTGGACAGGTGATTTTTGCCAAGGTACGAGTGGGTTCTGCTGATGTTTCCATATTCAAACATAATTTTAGAAATACAAATAGATGCTTTAATTGGAGAATTATGACTCTTAATGGTAAACACGAGTTTTAAATGGAAAATAAATTAGTCAACTATTCCAATAGATTTTCCCCATTCTTTCTTCATCTTTTTCATTATCTTTACCAGAAAGATCTATCGGTTTATTGATTTTTCTCAAATTGGATCACCCAAGATTGTCCTCTCTGTTGTCTCCAAATCTTTACCAGAAAGGTCTATCGGTTTACTGAGTCGTATCTCATGTTCATTTAAATTTCAGAATTTCTATCGAAACCTTGTAAGATTTCTGAATACATCTTGGTTCCCGCAGATCCCAGCTTTTGGGGCGTACAAGTTTTCTGGCCTTCTGAAAGGACTCTTACCTGGTTCTCAGGTATTCCAAGACTAGATGTCCCCACGCCCATGGGGGTTTTATTTTATTTAATTTGATGTCAAATATGTATGTATATATATTATGAAGTATTATAAATAATTGGATCTTGTGGCTACTACACAGGGAGAGGAGGAGGAGGATGAGAAGACCCGGAAGAAGAGGGAGAAGATGGAGAGGAAAGCCTCCAGAACCAAATTCATCAGGGGCAGAAATAGGTAATGGTTAGGGTTTCAGATGAGTCTGATTATCCCTAAATCGGTGTTCCTTCTTCAATTGAGGGTCAAAAGTGTCATTTTAAACACACTTTTTTGGTTTATGATTACCATAAATAGTTTATTTATTAATCCTCTACCTATACTTTAATTTGATCTATCAGTCTTTAAAAGCGGCCAGAATACTAGGGTTTTTGTCATTTCATAAACTCAGTAGAATAAATACAAAAATCGACCAGGTTTAGGGGTTTATGAGTAATTATTTCACGAGAGTTGTTTTCTGTTCTTGCATGAAATTAATTTAAAAGTATTTAATATGTTTTTATTTATTCATGAAATTATCAAGCTCAAAACTAATCTAGCTGGGTGACGCTGACTAGTTCTGTTGGACTGTACAGTCAATAGAAGTCAACCATCTTTGGTGTTCTAAGGTATAGTTGATGTGGACCTCCTCGAAGAGTCCTCTCCCTCTCTCTCTCTCTCTCTCCCTCTCTCTCCCCCTCAGAAACTTACACATATTCCACTGATCATCTACTCTCTTATTCCATGGTTGGCCATGCTTCTTCGCACTCTTAGCTCCCCATCATTCCTCGTGTTCGCTAGTCCCTGAGTAAACATAAGTAAGCTGTGGATCACATGAAACGCCATTAGAAGCTTGCAAGACACCCATCGAATGTATCTAGTGCGTGATATCAAATCAATATTGCAGTCTTGCAGGATCCTTTTCTCATGTCATGTGAACAAAAGTCAACGAAAAGGGGATTGGCATCATCTTTTATGATCGATTATGACTAAAACAAGCAATTTAGGTTTGATGAGAGTGAAATTAATATAGTTTTTATCAATGAACTTGATTGAATGCCTTGTTTTATGGTTGTGCTAAGATTGGAGAATAGTTGTCATTGACCAAATAAGATTTACTAAATCAAATATTAGAAGTCCACAAGGGTGGAGGCCTGACTCCCTAGAGGTCAACAGAATTAGCAGCAGCAGTAATGTTGGCATTGAAGGGGTTAAGATGGACCACCATGGCCAACAAGCTTGCCACCATGGGGATGGACCAAAAGGCCTAGATCAAGAGGCTCACAACTAGGTAAAGAAGATGATGGCCCATTTTGTATTACCCCCCTCTAAGTACCACTATGACACCCTCAGTATGAAAGAACAAGGTTCTAGGCACATAACTTTACCATCAGCATCGCCACATTGCAACATGCATAGATGCTAGTTAACTTAGAAAGAGGTTTCCCTAGATGGCAATTCAAATCTTCAACTTGAAACTCTTTTCACTCCTATCTATCTTCTCATATCTTTTTGATATTGAAAAAAATGGTGAGAAGTTTAAGAATAATTATGTATATATTCAAGGGGGAACAAAATATATGAAAACATTACTTTTCTTAATTATGAATGCTTCATTATATAGAACTGTAAAGAGAAATTAATTGATTTCTTTCATGACAACATCATCAATCCTTCACATTTCATGATTGAATAATTTTTCTCAAATATTTTTTAATGGAAAAATTTGGGAGATTATTTTTTGAACATTTTGATGTTAACAAGTAATCACAAAATATTAAGAAATAATCATTAAATACGTTATTATTGCACTAGTGTCCAAATGAATATGCAAATTCTTAGATCTAGTGCATTCATTGTTGCATTGTATTTTCAAGTGTTACACCAATAGAAGTCTTCATCAAAGGCATATATCAAAAAAAAATTAAAATCTTAATAAAGTAAAAAGGTTTTATAAAAAAATTAAGGAGAGAGTGTCTCAACCCAAATGTTGATCCAAGTAAAGTAGAGGGGGAAAATATGTTAAGTTGTGTGTTGACTTAGATAAAATCAAATTAAATATCATGCAATAGATCTCACAGAAGCTCTCTCAATTTTTAGTTGCCCAAAAAATCAAGAAAGTTCATCCACACATTATGTCATATGCTAGACATTCTAGATAAGTGTACATAAACATTGATATCCAACATTTTTTCTTGGCTAGACATAACAATCTAGAATGTCAATAGAAGAAAGTAAGGCTCAGAACAAAGGGAAAAGATCTCAGAAAAACAAATGAGTTGGCATAGCAACTACTAAGTCAAACCAAAGAAAAGAGAAAGTATGTCAGCTCGACTGATGTTGGATCAAATCTCAAGATAGACTATAAGATTTCTTCCAAGATATCTCACATGTCAACCATCTCAGAACAACTTGACACATGTTATAAGTTCTCTAACTAGATACACCATATCTTGACCTGTCCAAAGATCAAAACAAAATTAGAAAATCTCACACACTTGTTTGAGAAATGATATGAACAAAAGCAGATCAAATTGATAACCTAACTATGTACACAATCATGTGGGTTGATAGATGAAATCTCAAGTATTTAAATTTTAGATAGGAGTTTTTGGGCTCTACAAAAAATCAATATTAAGAGCTTTGCAAGTGCTATTCAATGGCATATCAACTTATTGTGTTTGTATCAAAACTATATATCTATTTTTACTACAAGTACTTCTTTGCCACAATTTTCTGAAGAATTAAAAGTCTACAAAACAAAAAAAGATCATCCTCTTAGGTTATAGATCAGATTTTAAGTCTCATATTATCATTTTTATGAAGTCACTCTTGGAAGTATAGATAACAAGAGAGAAAAAGGTAACATGATATCCTCATAGTTAGTGGGGAGAGACAGACTTCTGAAATCTATTGTGTAGTGGGATATGTTGAACTTGTTAAGTTCAACAATAATTTTCTAAGGCATAATAGTAAAAATCAAGGATAAGAACCTTTGGTAATTGGATGTAGGCTAGGAAAGGTTAAACCACTATAAAATTGTGTGAATTTCTCTTTTTTTTTAATATGTCAACATAATCAAATTAACTCAACTTATATTAACCCTTGTGTCAACCCGCTTAGTATAAATAAAGAAAAACATCCTAGAATTAGATAATAAGAAAGTATTTTTAAAAAGTAATACACCCTTAGTATTATGTTTAACCCACCTTATGACCAATATAGCTTATTACCTCAACCTCTTTAAGAAGATTGATGATTCATTTAGTCTTTTCTGTATCACTCCTAAAGCAATACATTACCAAAGAAAGTGTAACAATTCTCAATGAACATCACCAACTTGTTAGTGGGACATTGACATTTGGCTATTTGAGGACCTCATCCATAATTACCTTGTTGCTCACCCTTAGATAATGTTATCACAATTATTGTATGGGTAACATAAAAGGACAAGGTTCTAGGTGTAGAACATTGTCATTGACATGAGCTTATGCAGGTGGGCATGTAAGTATGTACATGTATATCAACACAAGCACAATAGTAATTCATCCAAAGTGGTGTGAAGTCCATCTTGAGCTCAGACTATTGAGTCTATCTCATCAGTAAGTTACAATAATATATGTTGCCCATGTTGGCCATTGTTGCACTCTATGTGATTAAGGTTGTTGCATTAGGGTTTAGGGGGACCCTATCTCAAGAGTAGAAAAATGAGAAGATACGAGGTTTCCTTTCTATTAATATGAAAATATGGGAACCTAAAAAAAAAAGATTGTCCTCTCCTATATAACAATCGTATGTTAGAAGAATACACACTAGCCCTTTGAGCAAGAAGAGTATATTCTCAAGAGAGGGTTGTTTGGTGTCATTGAGGATGACCATGGATAGGACAGGAAGAGCAGGCAACGTAAGTTTAAGTTGACCACCTTGTGACAACCATACTATTGGTGTAGCACACAAAGACGATAGAGTTGGTGATGCTAGTAAGTAGACATGCGTTTAGTGACTGGTTGAGTGGATGAAACATGTATTTAGTAGATGTTCCCAAGGGTGGTGGTGGGGATTGTTGGTATTGTTGAGCATGAACTTGGCAAGGAAGAGGTTGAAGGAGGTAGTAAACATGACATTGGTGTGTGAACTAAGGACGATGGAGGGTGATATGAGGTTGGCGAGCTCATAGATGCAAGTAATGAGCATGTTGAGGCCAAGCTCCTCCTCTCATGAACTCTTCTACAAAGCACAAGGTGGTCTCTCTCTCTCTCTCTCTATCTATCTATCTCCCTCTCCCTTGGAACTGCAAGATTAGGTTTTTGTTGACTTACTACGATGAAGAAGGAAGATGCAAGGGGAACACACAGAACTCACATCATCTTCCTTCTCACCTAAAGCTCTATAGAAAGTCAACTGCAAGAATTTTCTACTATTGATCGTCCATGCATGTCTATGATCTCAACGGGAACAAAAACGCATAATCTTCTGTGAATGCCCAAAAAAACATGGAAAATCAATCGCGGGGCTCAAAATCAAGCTGAGAAGTGCTGATGGGTGTGGCCCAACATGGAATTGTTCTCTTCGATATTTCATGGAATTATCCCATATCGATTGACAAAAAAATAAGAATGATCACATAAAATGAGCCCACATTGTTCTTTCGTGATGTATGAAGATTATAAAGCGGGTTTTATTGGAATTTAACTAAGTTGACATTGCAAGGCTCAAACCTTAGCAAGGTTTGCCTTTTATAGAATTGTCTACCCCGTTTGACTTGATTATGTCGTCAACTCACTGGGAAAATCAATGGCGCAAGGAGCCTCTCCATCGGATGTGCGTCTGGGATTCTTTAAAGAATGATAAGGCCCCCGGTCGAACGAGTGGCTCTGTGCTGGCTCCGCGCACTGAAGAAGGGAGCCACCACTTGCCGCCCCTCGAGCCCAAGATGGCAGCTTTAGCAGCCGCCCTGGGACCTTCTTGCCTTTCCATCGCCGCGTCTATCCGGGTCCGGTGCGGCTGCCCGGCGAGGGCATCGTTGGACATGGCCACCAAGACCGCGGTCATGCCGGCGGTAATAGTCGGCGGCGGAAGGGTCGGCAGGGCCCTGCAAGACCTGGGCGATGGCCGCGACCTCCTCGTCGGAAGGGGCCAGCCGGTGCCCGCAGATTTCGAGGGCCCCATCTTCGTCTGCACAAGGAACGACGACCTTGAGGCCGTTCTTCAGTCCACCCCTCCGTCGCGGTGGAAGGGTAATCGAGCTACTTCCCCCACCCATTGGGTCATTATCTTCCTCGCTTGGATGGGCATTTCTCGTGGGAGCTCATTTTCCCCGCAGATTTGATCTTCTTCCAGAATGGGATGCTCGAACCCTGGTTCGAGAGCAAGGGGCTCGGGGACGCCGACCAGGTGCTCGCTTATTTCGCTGTGGCGAAGCTCGGAGAAGCCCCCGTCGACGGGAAGACGGACACCAATCCGGAGGGCTTGACGGCGGCTTACGGGAAGTGGGCGTCGGCCGTGGCTTCCCGTCTCAATTCCGGCGGGCTTTCTTGCAAGGTTGTGGTCTTACCAAACACCCTCCCTCTCCCCATTTCGACATCGATCCTCTGTCTTAATCGGGAAGAAAAACTCGTTCCTCCGGGCAACGAACATATCTGAATTGGAACGTAGCATTCTCAAGTTTTCTTCCGAATTCTAATGGCGGTAAGAATTTTGATCGATGCGTCTGGTTCACTGAGTTTCAGGTCCTTGAGAAGGAAGCTTTCCAGAAACAGATGCTGGAGAAGCTGATATGGATCTCGGCGTTTATGCTCGTTGGAGCCCGGCATCAAGGGGTCACTGTCGGTACCGTGGAGAAGGAGCACCGATCCGAAGTAAGCGGAAACCTTTTCGAGCAGTTCCTGAGCTTGGTTCCTCAGCGTTCTTCGCCATTTTTTTCTTCCCCAGGGGAACTTCTATAGCCCTGCCTTAAAGTAGGTGGTTGACTTAGATGAAGTCAAGCTACTCGATTCAGTAAACTACATCATAAATTGACTATATTTAACTCAATCTAGGACTTTTATATGGATTGAACCCTGAATTTTTTTCATAGAAAACTTGCTGTTCGTCGACCCATTTCCAGTAATTATTTTTTATCCATTTCCAGTAAATTATTTTTTACATAGAAAACTAGCTGTTCATCGACCCATTTCCAGTTAAAATAAAATTGTGTTGAAGAACTTTGGGATATGAGTCTGGATTGACCTTTAGAACATAGTTTCATTGGCCTCGGATGATCCTTGCGAGTTTCAGAGCTCATGTCACCTGCCCTTATGCTGAACTTGGCTCTGCTGAGACCCCGGCCAGCCAACCCTCAGAGACACGGCTGATTCCAACCTTCTGGGTCTGACTTTTAGTGGAAACCAACCTCGGTCTAATAAGCATTTTAGTGGGTCTTGCCCTCATTTAATGAGCACTCGCAGGTGGGAAGCTTGATTGCAGAATTAGCAGCTGCAGCCGCCGAGGAAAAAGGATTGACCTTTGAGGAGGGTATGGAAGAACGCCTTTGCGCCTATTCAAGGGCAGTGGCTCATTTCCCTACTGCGGTTAAAGAGGTAACCATAGACCAACCCACTTAGGAAGACTCGATTTTTATTGATTCTAATGATCTCCCCGACGGGTTTTTTATTTTATTTAAGATTTATGTTGACTGAGTGCAGTTCAAGTGGAGGAATGGCTGGTTTTATGCGTTGACCCAGAAGGCAGCTGCGGAGGGGAGATCAGATCCGTGCCCATTACACTCGGCCTGGCTGAAGGAATTAAACGTAGTATAATGGAACCGTATATAGGGATTATTATTTTTATTTTTATTTTGTATGGGGGCTTGAGGTGGACTTTCTGAAACCACCGAGGAGTTTGAGGGAGAGATCAGACGAACTCTTGATCCTTTCATGTACCAGAATCTTTGTTTTCATGACCAATGAGAAGGATTCAGAGTATTTTCTCGTGGGTTACTGGTGACTTCGTTTGATTATTAGTGGGTTAATGACCCCCCTCACGGGATTTTTTTTATATTTTTTTTATCAATTTCTATGAAAAAAGGGTTCTTGCAGCTGAGTACCTTAACATGCAGAAATTATAGACCAGATATTGATAAAAATGTCTGATGATGTTTTTTTTTAACTGAAAACCCTAATGAGCTGTCTTGGTTTAGACAAAATGGGTGCATTTTATTTTTATATTTTTCTTCAAGAAAAGAAGAGTGTGGAGAATAATAGGTTGAGATGAGAGGAGTTTAACTTAACTTGGGAAGAGATATGATTAATGATAAAATAAATCTATATGGTTATTGCGCAGATGAAAATATTTAATGTAGATCATAATCTATATGATTTCACATCCAAATATAAGACATGATTTGCAAAAAATCGCCTGGCCTTAAAAATGAGACCCAAAATATCAAAAGCTCGGATGATCTGATTTATTTTCTCTTTTATTATTTTTAGCCAGAGGTTGAATTATCTGGAGTTATTTATTTAATATTCCTCTATTTTCAAATTATTAACGCGTTATTGAGATATTTTTATGGTCAACTAGTCAACCCTAGCTGACTTTTTTGGCCCCCAGTGGCTGAAATTGATAACCAGAATATTTATTTATTTTCATCGATATATAGCGTCATTAAAAGTGAGGGCTTTTTGCAGTGTGGCATTTGAACCACTCTGCCCTACGAGGCTTCTGCTTCAAGCTGCGGTAGAGAGCGGGAAATGGCGGGGGGCGGAGGAGACCTGGTGGTCCACAGATTCCCACAGTCGAAGGCCGTCGACAGCGTCCGGTGGCTGCCGGCGGTCTCCGCCTTCGACCGCTTCGTGGCCGCCGCCGTCCACGATCCCGACTCCGGGTCCTCCGCGCTGGAGGTCCACGCCTTGGAATTGATTCAGCAGGGGGAAGAATCTGATGCCCTCGACCTTCTCCCTAGGGATTCATGGTCCTCCGCCTCCCGGATTTCCGCCCTCAGGTGCTCCAATGTCCCCGCCGAGCCCCTCACCGTCGCGCTCTCTACCTTCGCGGGCTCCCTCCACTTCCTCTTCGTGGATCCCGTCGAGGGCACCATCGAGTCGGAGCTGTCGCCGGTGGCCGGCGAGCGGTGGCTCCACAGCGGGCCTATCTCCGCCGTCGACCTCCAGCCGGAGGGCCGGGAGTGCGTAAGCGTCGGCCAGGACGGGAGAGTGAACCTGGTGTCCGTTGCAGAGGGGAGCATGGAGCATCGCAGGGTTCATGATGCCCGAGGTCTGGTGTCGTACACTGCGGTGAGATGGGGCTCGTCAGTGGAGTTCGCGACGGGAGGGCTGGCTTTCGGCCTCCAGTGGTGGGACCAGAGGAAGCCCGGGGGACCTGTCTCGCATCTCAAGGGTGACTCGTATGCAAGCCTTCTCCACTGTTCTTCATCCTCCATTGTTTCCGCTCTGTCAGCTGCAATTAAGGGTGCATCTGCTTCTGGTTCAGACTGGTGGCATGAAATCTCATTGAGAAGAGGATCAAATACTGATTTTTTATTTTTTTTACTTACAGTTTATGCCTCTGTTTCTCTGTATATTCTCTCATTTCCCTTGGGAGCTCCGATTGTTGCAAATGTCCAGATCATCTACGATCATACTCTCTAGGATCAGGATGTTTCCAGTAGTAATTGTTTTTTTTAAAAATTATTGATCTCTTTTTTCTTTCTTGTTTTTATTTCTCTCTTTATGGGTATCTTTAATAGGACGGAAATATAGATTTATGTGGACATGCATTCATTGTTTTTACCATCTTATATATAAAATCCTCATTCCCATCAATCAGTGACGTGTTCTTCGCAGAATAATTATTTGGGTTTTGAGATATTTTGATGCAATTTGGTCTCATCTATGTGTTTAATTTTAGATCGCTTACTGCTCCTCTTGGTGACTGCATCAGGTTTCAGGGCATGGCATCAGGGATCGTCCATTCAATTGATGTTCATCCATCGAGGAAACATATTTGCCTTGTAAGATGAAATAATTTATTTTTCTCTTTAATGGAAAGAACTGCCGCATTATTTTTTCAATAATTGGAGATCACTGCATGGATAATAATTAATATTCGTCTGATTTTTTTCTTGAATTTATTCAAACGAAAATCGACTTCTGACATGATTACAACTTAGCAAGAACAAATTCTGACCAAAGTTTAATCCATAATGGTCCTCATAATCAAGGTTTATGTATAAAAAAATCGTAATCAATGTTTCATATGAAGAGGTACGGATCAGGACATCACATACTGGGCTACTTTATATTATACTATCTGATACATCGGACTTCTCCACTTCATGAAGGCTTGATGTGAATAAATACTGCTCGAAGAACCATGCGCCATGATGCTTTACATTATAATGTCTAATAATTTCTGGTTACATAATAACATCGGAATTATCTACAATTAATTTCTAATGAATTATTTATATGATTTCTGATTATAATCACATCATAAATGATAATTTCTGATTAGTCCAGGGCGATGGTTTCAGTAGAAATTAATTTCTAGTGCCTAATGGTTCGAAAGTTTGTCAGGATTCTCTGCATATTTTGTTTTTGTTTTGCATTTAACCGAATTTAACCGTGATTACAAGGGGATTCATAGGATAAACATGCCATCTACGTGGTTTTTCGGGGAAATATTTGGATAGAGAGCCTGGTAATCTTCTGATTAAGGGTACTTATCACAGTTAATTAGCTCTGAATATCAAAAAGTAATTATTGGAGTTTTTTTTTTAAAGGCAGGGGGATCTTCTGGTGCGGTATTTGCTTGGGATCTTCGCTGGCAGAAGCAGCCAGTCCTGCTATCCGGTGCCGGGCTCGGTCAACAGAGACAGAGCCCCTGCGAGAGCGAAGTCTGGGAGATCCAGTACGATAGTCTCATCCAAACTGGGTTCAGTTCCACTCCTTCCGCGAAGATTCTTCCTGTAATGATCTGCTCAGAGGATGGTGTTCTTGCTGTTCTTGAGCAAGGTAATGAAATCCCTGATCCAACTATATAGTCTGTTGGTTTATTATTCCCATGATTCATCAAGTATTGTGATTGTTACATGTATGATATGCGATTGATCTCAGTTTTTATATTATTCCCATGATTATTCTGTGAAACCTGTATATTCATCAGGTTGATAATCTCCAAATATTGCAAAATCGTGAAAATTACTCGTAATTATCATACTATTTTTATATATGATATCCTGATTTTGTTTAGTAAATGCAATTTATGGTATATATTCTATTTTTCCTTTTTTGGGTCTGCAGGGAAGGATCCCATCGAGCTGCTGGCAGAGCCATGCGCGGTCAACGCCTTTGACATCGACGGGAGGAACCCATCCGTAATTTCACGCTGAGTAGTTTTTATTTTCTTCCGTTTGACCTAGTTTTTCAACGGCTGATCTTGGCTGTGGTTTCTATTTATAGGACGTCGTCTGCAGTCTGGAGTGGGAGGCGATTGCCCTTCTGATGCGACCCAGAGACTCCTCTGCCTTCTAGGTCAGAGGGATAAGATTCCGCTGCAGCCATTGTTCGTTGATTTCCTTCTGTTGTCTGATTTTTTTTATGAAAGTCAAAGCCCTGGGACTGGGAAATCTCTCTCTCCCTCTCTTTCTCTCTCTAGAGGAGTAAATGTCCTAAAATAGTGTTGTTCTTGACGCTGGGATCGGAGATTGCGGCTGCATCTTCCACAGGGTCTTCTCTGGCATCCCGAGATCCGATGTCGCTTGAGCCCTCTGGGCGTTGACCTTCACCGCTTGCGATCGCTTCGTGGTTGCATGGGAAATGGCCGGTAAGACTTCATGTCCATGAAGGTGCTCGGGACAACGCAAAACAGGTCAACCCAAAAATATATCATGGACGTAGTCGGTTGGATCTGGTTGCTTCACCTAGTCAACGTCTCCATCTCTTTATGAGCATACTCTGCAGTTTATGATTTTCGCAAAGCTAAAAAATCATTTTTATTTTATCTTAAAAAATAAAATATTCAGTATGTGTCCAAAAAATAAAAAAAATAGCGAGAAACGGTTTTAAGGAAAACCCAATTTTGCTAATGAGTTTAGCATCGGATTGCTCGAGTGGGCCCCACTTGCCCCTGCCACGTGGACGATTGAGGGGATCGATTCGGGCCACTTTGATGGACTTGGTTCGTGTATTCCGGCCCATGGCTGGAATAATATGGCCCAATAGGGGGTGAGCCAAAACTTATTCGTACCGGGAGGTTTCCAGATCATCTTTTTTTTTCTTTGCATGCGGCGGGAAACGAATCCCGCCAAAAAAGAAAAACGCGACGATTGATAAACCACCGGCGGCGGGGGAGAAAGTGAAGGGAGGGGAACGAATAAGGAGAAGGCGGAGTTCCGGCGATCCGAGCTCGGGCGGGTTTGGAGCGTCAGATCCCTTGTTGCCGTCGGAAGGAAGTTCTGGTTGAGGAGTTTCGAGGAGATGTTCTACTCTCACACCTTCCTCGCGAAGAAGAGCCCCCTGGGCACGGTATGGATAGCCGCCCACCTACAGAACAAGCTCCGCAAGTCCCATGTCGCGGTCACAGATATCTCCTCCACCGTCGGTACGGTTTTTCTCCCGTCGACGTTACTGCGGCCGCCGAATCCCCTCTCCATTTTCACTTTTTTCCGGGCTCTAGGCCAAATATAATTGCGGGGTTGTTATTCGTTGGAATCCGTTCCTTTTTCTCTGTTCTCGTCGCAATCTATTGGAAGCGATGACTGGTAGGAATGAAAAAATAATTTTTTTTTTCCGATATATGTTGGGTCTTGTTTATCTAGAAATTGACGGCTAGAACTACTTAACATTCTCTGTGCTATTTTCCTTTTTTCCGATGTGTTGTGTGAGCCATTCACCATGGATCATTCATCACGGTTTTCATAATGTGCTCGGTAACATCGTCAAGGGTAGAGAAGCCAGTTTTTTTTCTTTTAATTTCATTGCATCCAATCCATTTTCAACTTTGCAATTCTTCTGTATCACGATGTTCTGTCTCAGAGAGCTGTGATTGTATGATACCTGCCATACATTAGCCCACCTACATCCCTTCTGCAGCCGAACGAGCGCACAAATTTAGCTGATTTATCTCTGTTCTCCTAGATTGTATTATATTCCCGGAGGTGCCAATTGCCCTGAGGTTGTCCGGGCATCTACTGCTCGGCATCGTTCGGATATATTCCAAGAAGGTCGACTATCTTTTCCATGATTGCAATGACGTTCTGTCCCAGATGAGGACGATGTTCGCATCAGTGCATGTGAATCTGCCAGCAGATGCAGATCGCGCAACATTTCAGGCCGTCACCCTTCCAGACACTTTTGAACTTGATGCTCTGGAGTTGGACTTAATCTATGAGGATGAGTAAGTCCACATTTTATAATTCGATCAATTTGGGCTGGTCTATCGTTCTAGTTTCATTTCCAATATCTTTTTACCGCCTTGTGATTTATTTATACAAAACTGAGTTTCGTATTTCCCTTCCATGCCTGATGTCACTATGGTACAGGGCTCCTGATAATCATCTGAGGACTCTTGAGCAGATCACTTTACCAGGTCCTCTTTCTCTCTCTTCTCCCTCCCCTCCCCTCCCGGCCTTCAATCTTCTCAACGATGCGTGTGGTTATGCCTTGCTTACAGTGATGTTTTGTATGCTTCTGTGGATATGTAGACCAGATCCCAGTTGAAGGAGACCCATATGTAGCTTTCATTATTAGTGAGGTAAGAAATATATTTATCGAAAAAATTATTACTTCCCATATAGATTTTCTTACAGTTTTTCTCCTATTCCAGGAGAGATTTGATTCATCTCCTCAGCCAGAGTCACGAAGCATATCTGGGGAGCCAACGGATGAAAAGTATGTGTACATACAATGCTTATATGCCCGAAAGATTCTTACTCCAGAAATGATTTCATAATTTCAGTTTAATTTATTTTATCTCTTTTCTAGTATTCATGGCTCGTATCAAGATAGTGGCCACCACGTCGATTCTGTTCTGAACCATGGAGCTTCTGTGGAAACTCACCCTCAAAGTGCTGACATAGACCATTCAGTTTACACTATCTCCCCAGTTGAGGTTGCCCGCAATGCTGCGCGCAGCAGCTCCGGTCTGGACTTCGGCCATGAGAGTGATGACCTCGAGAATGCCATCCTTGAGCCCCATGGGAGTGCAGACATGTTGAAGGATATAGGGGGCAGTGCTTCTCCGGCTGCTGGGCCTTTACCAGTTTCCGGAGAAGAGTCTCTGCCCTTCCTGGTGCGGGAGGATTCTCAAGCTCTTCCATCTCTAGATGCATCTGCAGGGCCGAATACAGGTTGTTCTTACCTTCTTCAGAAACAGCTTCTTAATCCCCTGACTGAATATCTTCAGTTTTTGTTTGCTTGTTCTACTTAAGAATTTTGTGCTAATGTATATATATATATATATATATATATATATATCTATATATACATATATAAACTGATTGCGCCCAAAATCATAGTTTCCTGACATTTTTCCGTGAGTCTATCTCTGTCAGATGATCTTTCATGTGTTATTGGAGTGAAAACGCTTGTAGAATTCCATGTTCTTTCTCTTTCATGACATTCTCTTTATTCATATCTTCTTAGGTCTTGGAGGGCATTCAGTTGAATTGGAACTCGAGCCATCCCCACAAGCTAAGAAACAGAAAAGGAAATCAAGGAAGAGGAAACAGTTCTTCGATGCATCCCTAGTGTTGACTAATGAGTATGCTTCAGTTAAAAATATTTCTTATATCTATTGAGATATTGTATGGTATTTGAATAATCTCCCTCACCTGGTCAACGCACTCTATGATCAGTTTGAATAATCTCGCCTCATAATGAATTACCTATTGATTTTCTTCGTGTGATTCTGAAACTGCTCCACACGTTTCCCCAGAGAAATGAAGAGGCAGCTTGACGACACTGGTGGGATAGTGCGCAAGCGGCAAAAGCTTCCTCGTTCAGCCTTTGATAACTGGATGTTTCTGAAGAACACGCAGAAAGAACAGATTTTCGACGGGCCTTTACTTCCTGGTAATTCCCATTTTCTGATCCCTCCGTTGACTTCCTGACAACATGTTATACCATAGTTTCCATTAGATCCTGCTCTGGATCCCGGGCTAGCCCGTTTTAAGTATATTGACAAGTTATCGTGCTTCGTTCAAGGAATATGCATCAAGCTTCAAGAAATATTGGACAGAACCATTCCTACTCAAGTCAACGCCGCCCCTCCCAACAGTGTTGATGACATGGACGTGGAGATTGAGCGGGCCAGGGACGACGGAACCCACGCTGAAGCCATATTTGAACCAATGCCATCTCCAAGTGAGAGAGAAGAGCCCTCACTTGTTCACCCCAGCGATTCATCAGTGCCCAGAACAACGATAACTCCGGAGCCAGAGGTTCAATGGAGACCGGAGATTCTCACTTCATATGAACAGCTTGAGCCTGGGACCTCCCCAGCTGATATAGGGGAGGCACTTGTGCCAGAAATGGCTCACTCTCCCGAAGTCCCCGGTCTACAGCAGAGTCCTGTGGAAGTAAGTTTATTTTTATAATATATAATTTAATATCCTGCGGATTCATAAACTAGGAATATATTTGTTTTCTAAGTTTATGAGTGGTATAATGTTTCGTAATTTTTGGTTTATATAATGTAGGATCTATTATTTCTTGATACCGAGAGCACACCATCAGGTAACCGATACTTCCTAATTTACCTGCAGTGGGGTTTATTTTTCCGAGGATTATTTCCCCGTGAATTGAGGTCAAACGTTGACTTTATTTGCAGGTCAAGGGACAAGCGAGCTTGATACCATGTCTGCACGGACAAGGTAGAAGGGCTTGCTCCTATTTTTTTATTTATTTTTAGCTGCTAATTTACTTGGGCTAAATATGCCTGTAGATGCTCTCATTTTGAATAATATTTTACATTAATTACGCAGGCTTGTGGCTAATTTTTTCAAAGAGCAGTCTCCCATGACTCAACTTTCAGATGATCGGTCTGGTCAACTCAGCTTGACCACGATTCTACAGGGGAAGACAAGGAAACAGTGCGCACGGATGTTCTTTGAAACTCTTGTGAGTAAAGCGTTTGTCTTTATATTATCTCCATTAATGTCTGCCGATGGGTAAATTAATGTAGGCAGAACTTACCATTTTTGGGTTTCAGTATCTGAATTATTTTTTGACGATTATCTCGCTTACCCTCAGCAAGATCATGTGAAAGTTGACCTTTTTTTGGGTTTAATTCTTTGGAATTGTTGGGAATATCCTCTAAATATTATCATTTTAATCATTATAATAATTTCTTACTCCAGGTTTTAAAGACTTGCGATCTCGTTGATGTAAATCAGGAAGAGGCTTACGGTGACATCCTGGTTACATTGACACCAAGTCTTTCAAAGTCAACGTTATGAAATACCTGTTCTCTTCTTGCTTTGTTTTGTGCCCTGTACAAAGAAAGGTAATCTCTCTCTCTCTCTCTCTCTCTCCTGCTTTTCTTTAGCTGCTCTTTCTGAGTGTAATCTGGAGCTCTCTGATTTCTAGTGCAGTGTGAGGTCAACCCCTGTCTGGACTCGAGCACCAGAATCTTCGGACGAGTATTGCAATTATTTATTTATTAATTTTTTGTACTCTTCCAATGTATGTCAAGGGAGATGTGATCACTGTTCATCTTTCCGTGTAATTATGAGCTCATAAGTTTTACTTTAAAATGCCCTGACTCATAATTTTCAACGGGCCTGGCCCAAGCCTACATCTTCTACAGGGCCCATGCCCTACTTTGACTTTGAGAAAAACGTTGACCCGTCTTCTGGGTTAGGCCGTCATGAAGCTTGAGTCCTCTCTCACAAGGAGGGAGTTTTTTCTTCTTGGGGATCCATCAAGATGCGTAGATATGGAAAAAAAAAGACGGTTGACTTCTGGATTGACCTGTCAATTAAGAATTGGTATCTGGGCTCTCACAAGATGGGCTTTTTTATAAGCGGAATTATGAATTTTTTTATTCAAAATAATCAAGATCTTAAGAAATCTGATGCCCATATGGGCACACGCAATAATTATTGTATCAATAGTTTAAAAATAATATTCAATGAATAATTAAAATTTGGGGCCAAGAAATACTGCAATCTGTTGATCTCTTTTATATAGTTTTTATTTGATATTTTATTGGTATAATTTATCCGGAGTAATCCAGTCCAGAAGCTGATGTTATTTTCACAGTTTATGGGAGATTAGTCTATAACAGTCGCCTAAGACCCAACCCCCTTCTTCTCCCCTGTTCTCCCCTCACCCAGCGAGGCACAGCATCGCCACCGCCACTTCCTCCCCGTCATTGTTGCGGGGGACTGAGTGCTGCGGCGAAATCGCCGTTGTTTCCATCTCCCTTTCTCCTCCTTGGGTTGCTCCTGCCATGTCGTATCAGGGAATCCACATACCTAGCCAGTGGTCGGAGGCGGCGGAGTCGATAACCTTTGCCTCGCCACCGTCGCACCCACCTATCATCTTCATCTGCGGACCTAAGAACACCGGCAAGAGCACCTTCGCCCGCCATCTCGTCAACGTGCTTCTCCAGAGGTGAGGGGCGGCTTTTTCCCACGTTGTCTCTCCGTACTTGAATTTTCTGCCGCCGATAGGAACATAGGGTTTCCTCTCCTTCATGCTTCCCTAATCGTCGAAGAAAAATTTTAGACACACTCAGGTGGCTCATTTGGATACGGACGTTGGCCAGCCGGAGTTCACACCGCCTGGGTGCCTCTCCCTCCATGTTCTTCACGAGCAGAGCAAAGGCACCTTCTCTCCCGCTCAGTCAACCAATTTGATCTCTCTCTCTCTCTCTCTCTCTCCAAATCCTTCCCCACTCTCCTCAAGTCTGTACTTTTGTTCTCTTCTGAGACTTTTAGTTTCCATTTCAATTCACAGATTTGACTGTCGTTTCCATCAAGACACCACTGAGGTGAGTTCCAGCACCCTTTTTTTGGAAATTTTCTATTACTGCATCATTAATTAGTACCCAAAGTTACTGCCCATGTTAATCTTTCTGATGTTCTTGGGCGTAGCTAGAATCATGCAACATAATTTTTTGCTAGTTGAACTTTTTTTTTTTATCGAGTTTCTGACTGGTAATTATAACCAAGTTGAGAGTGGGCATTTGCCCTAGTGGGTGAATGGCATTGCTCTTCTAGTTTATACAATTGTTTGATTGATCATACCATTTTTTTTTGCAACTTTTATCCGATGTGATGATCTTCGATGCTCTCAATCACCAGTTTCATTTTCCCAATGGTGGTAACAATAGTTCTCTCTTTCAGGTGCCACTTCTTTGGTGACATTTCCTCAAAAAGGGATCCAAAAGCTTATTTAGATCGTATTTTCCATCTATATGACTACTTCCACAAGGAGCATCGATTTAAAAAGCTTGAAAAATCTGGGAAGTCTGTGCCGCCGCTCGTCATCAATACACCCGGGTGGGTGAAAGGTATGTTATCATCTTGAATTTTCTAAATTAAGCTTAAAGTTTGAAGTTGTTCCTGCCTGTAGAGCGAATGGAATCTGATGATATTATGACATCAACTTAGAACTGTGGGTACTTATTTAATCCCAGTTTTTTTTTTTTCTCAGGCATTGGCTATGATCTGTTGGTTGATATGATCAAATATATGAAACCCACCCACGTTGTCCAGATCCGCACCACTTCAGAGAATAAGAATCTACCATATGGTGCATTCTGGTCAGATGGAACCCTAGAGGAGAATGTGAACTTGATAGATCTCTTCGCTCCATGCACTGACTCTTTCAATCAAACGTAAGTTCACTGTGCATTTATTCTTTCTCTCTCCCATTCCCACACCCCTCATCCTTCTTTATGAAAGATGTGTTTTAGTTTCACACAGGAAATTGGTTCTTGTTGCTCCTGTGAAAATTGATGCAAAGTTTATTTTTGCTTGTAAAATGGTAATTTTTTATAATCATAGCTATTATCAGTTATCTAAATCATGTATGACTAAATCATGGAGGATTGTATATGTTGATGTTATTTTATTATCAAGGAGAAAATGAATACTGACATAATCATTATTTTTCTATAAAATATCTCTTTTTTTTTTTTGTACTTTCCAGTCATCTGAATCATGTAAGAGTAAAAGATTGAAGATCATGTAGGAATTTAGTCCCTTGTTGACGTCGCTTTTTTTTTTTCTTTTTTTTTCTTTTTTTTTCTAAAAAAATATCGCTTGTGATTAAAACATTGCAGAGTACTAATTCAGAAGCAGGCCCTCACTCTGAGAGACAACCGAATAATCGCCTACTTTCAGCAATGCGTCCCGATCGGCATGAACATTTCTACTCGCAAGGAGCTTGCCCATGCCTTGGCTTCCATTCCTCCGTATGAAGTTTCTATTTCAGGAACTAAGGTTCTTCATCTGCATTGCAATGTAAGTTTGGATCGTATGGGGAATGAAGAGGAGCAGTACTTTTCATCATTTTTATTAATCTTTCGGCTCATAAATTAGGTTCCAAGCAGCGAGATTTTCCACAGTTTAAATGCAACAATCGTTGGTTTGGCTGTCAGTTCTTCAGAACCTACAGGCTCCAGAAATCACTTGCCTTGGTGTGTGGGACTCGGTAAGCTTTCTTCTCATATCTGAAACCCGTCTAGGCCACTTCGCACGATCTTTGTTTGGCACTGAGTGCACCAGTCCATACGTCCAGTGTGGCCAAAGAGGTCAACTTGATAACTGCAAGGTGCCGAATACAGAAGGTCTGGGTCCTTCTATAGAGACTGGGCCCTTGGGGTGATTAATCCCACAACTATCTAATCATTGGAGGATGCCATACTAGTGACATCATTTGTCTCTCTTGCCCTTGGCCCCCATACCATGTCTCCCTGCGCCCGTATCTTGCCGCCGTGTGCCTCTGCTGTGCCATCGCGTGCACACGCCGTGCCGTCATGGGATTCCTGTATCAGGGAAAAAAAAAATCTAGATTGTTGCAATCTGCAGCACCAGGAATAGAGTTCTCTGTTTCAGCTGGGTTTGAAGAACAGCAGCAGCAGCTCTTCCTTGTCCATTGGTACCCTGAGCTATATCCCATTTGTTCGCAGCCCCCAATATGGGCATCCAGTTCTAGAAGATTATCCTCCTCTGGGTTGACTTTTGGCAAGGTCTTAGAGGGTTTCTCTAAGATATTCTCGTCATGATATTCAGGGCATTGGGCATCCTTCGTTTTTGGTCAATCACAGCACCAGATTTTGTATGATTTCATCCCTCTAATGTTGGTCATTCAGGGATCGTTCGAGGCGTTGACCTTGTGAAGGATCTGCTCTATGTGATCACGCCTGTCCCTCTTTGCCATCTGGAGAAGGTCGATCTTCTGCTACAGGGGCTCATCAGAATCCCCACTTGCCTGCTGCAGGTAGTCAAATCTTGCTCCCTGCCTTATTAAATCTCACCCATCATCATCTGACCGTTAGTTTCGGGATCCTACTGTTTTTCATATTTTGATAGACTTTGACTTTTTCCATTATTAATGTGATGAGGGTGCGGCTCATGGTGATTAATTTGGTTCTGGTTTCTTCCCATTTCTGTGTGCGTTGACCACCAGGTGAGAGGATGCATGTGCCCCTACATGTCCACAAACGTCTTGAACAAGCTGGACCCCTCGGGGATGAGTTCCTAAGATCTGCCAAACTTACCTCGCATGGTTTCCAAATATTTGGCATCTGATTCATTCATTCATGTTACTCACGCCCGTTGACTTTTCTTGTATGATCCCAGTCAGACCATATTCCATAGGAACATTGTACACAGTTCTACGGATCATCCAATGCCTTGACCAGAGGGCAGCTGCGTACCTTGTTCTTCCCCCTGTCAATGCACCTGTTTTATGACGGTCGATGAAGGATAAATGTCTAGTTGAGTAAATGTGGGTGTCCAGTCAGGTGCGGATCGTTGACTATTGATTCTATGATAGTTTTAATGTATATATATTTAAGTGCATATTATAAATAGCTGGTCATATATTCGTATAATTGTCCACGTGAGACGGGGCAGTTCCCTCAAAAGTCAACGCATACATGATATAGAAACTTTTCTTGCACAGAATATCTATAAAACATTCATCGATTCTTTACACCCTTCATCAGCGATGGGGCTTGCCTGTAGAACACAAATTCCATGAATTTATCTATACACATCGAAAATAATAGGACAAAAAAAAGAGAAAAAAGACGGCGCAATCCAGAAGCCTGAGTTCGGCGGCGGGATCAGGAGTTCTCCGGTGGGGAATCAGCGTCCTCCGGCTCGAGCATGCTCATGAGCATGGAGATCTGGTTATGGAGCATGGCGTTCTCCCTCTCCACGTCCGCCCGCTTCGTCCGCTCCTCCAGCAGCTGAATCTGGAGGTGCTCCAGGCAGCGGGAGTCTTCTTCAAGCTGCTCGTTCAGGCCGTCGATCTCCCGGTCCTGAAGAGGCCAGGAAGTCGGCGTTGCAGAGGGAGAGAGAGGACGGGCGGAAGGAACCCTAGAGCTTTTAGAGGAGAAGCTTCCTCACCTTCCTGTTCATCTCCTGGACGGCGATCCTGCGCATGCTTTCCACGACGTCCACGTTCACGAGCTTCCTCTTCTTCCCCACCACCCAGCCCTTGGGGTAGGTCACGGCGTCGAAGTCCGGCGGCGGCAGGAGGTCCTCGTTCGAGATCCGGCCGTTCGTCGGCGCCAGCGGCTCGAAGAGAGCTCTGCGGCGGTCGGAGAGCAGGGGGGTCGGGTTCTCCGCCGCCGCATCGTCGGTAGCCATGGCGGCGGCGCCGCCCTCGTCCGTTACCACGGAGGATTCCTTGGACTTGCCGCTGCTGCCGCTACTGCTGCTTCCCGTGGTGTTATCCTCCTCCTCCATTGCCTTCTCCAAGCTCCGCCCATTGGCTACCAGAAAAACAATCAGCGAAGAAGAGGAAGCAGAGACATCACGAGGGAAGAAGATCGAGACTCCCTAGATTGAGTCGGAGATGGTGGTTGAGTAATTCAGACGCCACCGCCAAGCGGAAGGAGAACGGAGGGAGGAATCTGGGGGAAACCTAGGGGGACGCCGCCTTCCAGGCCCCTCCACCCGCCGGATTCGCCATCGAAGCTCACGATACGGACCAGATCAGAGGAAACCGTACCAGATCTCTTGCGGGAGTTCCAGAAGATCCGCGGGGGAGAGACCGGTGAGAAGCCTTCCATCAGTCCGCCACCGCCACCTCCCTTCTTCCTCGCCGCCGCCTCCATGGCGGCCGGAGACGGCCAGCTGCTACGCAATGGAGCTCTCCCGCCTCCTCCCTCCTCCACGTCTCTCCATCTGTACACACGAGGATCTGGAGGAGAGGTTGATTCCAGATGGTGGGGGTGATGATAACAAGAATAATAAACATTATTATTTCCAGACACCTAAAATAATTCACATCTCACAAATATCCAATCACCAAGCTAAAATTGCTCCTATACCTTTTTAACCTAATAAATTAATTAACTATAAACCCAATGATTACATTCTAAATTCTCAAATTGCGAGTAGAAACACAATTACATAATACAGTGGGGTCGAATTAAAAAGAGGGTTCTAAAATTAAATTTTATAAAAAAATAAATGGCCAATATCAGTTATCAACAGGTACTTTCTTATGACGGAAGTCAACGTCAACACGCGGACAGCGTGCTAGAAAGAGAGAGGAGACCACAGATACTGGATCTGAGTGGGTACAACGGACCCGGGCTCGATCCGAGATACCGGATAAACCACATGACATAAGCCAGAGGCCATGAGATATATATATATATATATATATAATTATAATAATATTCATATAGAAATGGCATCAGGGGACAAAAGTTTCTGATTATTTACATAAAAAAAGGAAATGCGGGAACATCAGCTGTACAAATGGGGGACATCCCTGCTTCTTCTTCTTCTTCGACTGACTGTACACAGAGCAAGAGAGAGAGAGAGAGAGAGAGAGAGAGAGAGTCAGTTCTTCCTCTTCTTCCTTCATTTCTCTTGGGGAAGGGGGTGGGGGGATCAGGAAGTGAGGGGACGGATGGCGTCGGGAAGCATTGCCACAGTCACGATGAAATATTCACAGCCCACGGGAAGGTCGTAGGGGTTCGTCGGCGGCGCCACCAGACGCCCGGCGGCGGCGGCGCCCCCGGAGATGGGTTCCGCCTGGTCACCGCCGGCGGCGGCGGCAGGCCTTACTGTCTGGCGTTCGATGTGCACGATCTGGCCGGTTATGTAGGCGGGCCTTGTCGGAAGATGATCGACGAACAGGGCCACAGATTCCGTGGAGAGGTAGTAGTTGGGGTGGCTCCGGTTGACCGCCACGTAGTGGCCGGCGGCGTTGAGGACGAACGCCGCCAGCTCGTGGACTTCCAGCCGGCCGAACGAGATCTTCTCCTTGCTCGCCTGCCCGGTAAGGAAGAAAGTCGTCGGCTTCAGGTTTTCAAAACAGGAAGAGAGAGAGAGAGAGAGAGAGAGAGAATCTTCCAGGAAGGAAATCAAATTGACCTGCTTCTCGAGGCGGAGCTTGGCATACAAGTTCTTGATCTGCTCCTTCTTCTCCTCCACCTCCTTGGAGAGTTTTCCATCGGTAGCCTCTAGTACTGAGCAGCGATCCAGGAGCTCGGTGCGTTGACGAGATAAGAAGTTGACTTTATCGGCGAGAACCCTGATGCATGCTCTGAACTCCGCGAGGCCGTCGTCTTCCTCCTCCTTGGGAGAGCTGCAAGGGAACAAAAACCACCCCAGAAATCAATTCACTTGGTCAACGAGAAAAAAAAAAGAGAAACTTTTCAAGAAAATTAAAATTCTCTATCACTAAAGCAGAAAGAAGTTAGAGAGAGAATCTGGTCGGGATGGATGGGTGAATACCTGGTTAGAGAGAGAGAGAGGGACCGGAGCGAGTCCACAAAGCCAGCCACGCCGCCGGAAGCGGCAACACAACTCCGGAGCCGCTCGAAGAGGCCACGCAGCTTTACGGCAGAAGAACGCAGGGCATTGTATTCCGAGGCCCTTCGGTCAGCGGCACACAGATTAGTCTGCGCTTCCTGCCTTGCTTCGTGTAAGCAGTTCTCCAGGTGGGCACAGTTCATCTGTTCGGTCAAGAAAAAACCCAAAGAAGAAAAAGGAAGCTTTTTTAGGAAGTTGATGCCATCCAAGGGAGATGAATGGAGAAGGGTTTAGAGAGAGAAACTAAAATTTACCTGGGATTCTTCCAAAAGCTTCCGGCTGACCTCAAGATCCTGCTGGAGAGAGAGGATCTCATCCACGGCCGTCTTGAGCTGAGACTCGATGTCGTCACACCGGCTTGATCTCTCCGCAAGGGCGCTCTGCAGCTCCGACACGAACATGTCCCCACTTTTTGACATCAAGGCGGATCTGCTGCTGCCACTGCCGCTGGAGGTCAACGCCCTTGGAGGTTCATCAGGGCCTCCGCCACCACCGTTCATCGAGTTGTCGAGCGACAACAGCGAATTGCCCGCTTCCATCTTTGGCCCACCGTTCTTTTCACAACCCGTGTTCTCCTCCCGGGGTTGCTCCACCATGGATGCATCCACGAGATTCTTCCCCGGATCAAGCACTGGAGGAATCAATTCTCCCGGGAAGTCAACCATGTTCTCATCGGCTCCCTCCCGGGGCTTGCCCGATTGCTCTGTGAAATGCTCCTTGAGCTTGGATTCTGCAGATGCCGATGCAGAAGAAGCCTCCTCCATGGCCTCAGTCGAGGTCTCCGCAGTATACGGCATGTGGACTTCGCCATCTCCGGACACCCCAGATTTGCAGTCATCATCAACCTTCAGCTCCCGATGAGCAGACCCGGAAGACGCGTCCTTGCCCGCTGGAGCCCTCTGAGCCTGCAGGTAGTGATCGGACAACCTCTGCTCCAGCTCCTGAATGCGTTTTTCATATGAGGAGCACTGCAATTCCTTCATCTTCAACATGGACTGAAGATGATTGCTGTACTCATCCTTAAGACGCAGGGCTTCGGCCGTCTTCTCCGCCGCGTCCTTCAAAAAGCCGCCGACTTTACTGTCATCCAGTGGGTCATCTCCGAGCTCCTGGCTCAGCGAGCAGATGCGAGCAATGGCTGATGCAAGGTCGGCCCTGAGCTGAGCATTCTCCACCTCCAACTTCCCCGTTCCGGAGATATGAACAGACTCCTCACCAGTCTCGGTCAACGCATCAGCATTCCCCTCCATTTCTGACAAGCTAGAGCCCTTCCTCGCCAGTGGCGCCGCCAGGTGCTCCGGCGCATACCGGTTGAGCTCCGCAAAGTCAATCTCCAGCAAGTTGGTGTCAAACGGGGCCACGTTCACATCACACGGCTTCGGATTGTCAAAGAGGCCCATTGTGGCCAGTATGTCCCTGGGGATGAAGCGGCCCTGAGCACGAAGGAACTCGCTCCTGCGGCCAATCTCGAGCTCTCTCTCTCTAGCCAGCCTCTCTGCATACTCTCCCGCCTTGCCCATGTAGAGCTTCATCGAGGACTTCCTCCTGATCACCTCTGCAAGGCAGGCCCGGTAAGCTGGAGCAATCCCCCGCGCCACGCTGAGGTCGGCAAAGACGTCGTCTTGGCGGTCCATGGCCTCCATGAATGCGGGGAATTGGAGGCGGATGTCTCGGATGACCGATTGAACTTGCACCACCTTCTGCATGAAGCTGTGAACGAACAGGTTCATGTCGTTCTTCTTGGCCTTGCAGAGATTTAGCAGCTCGCCGATGGCGTCGTCACAGGCCCGCATCTTCGGGAGGTTGTTCTTCTCATGGACGTCGTACATCGGCCCGAGAGCAGAGACGGCGTCGTGGGGGCGGAGCGAGGAGGAGATCTGGCGGCTCAAGCAGTCGTCCACCAATTTCTTCACAGTGTTGACGTCTTTGCTGCCGAGAAGATAGAACAGAACCCACGTGATAAAACAGATTGTGAGATATTCAGTCCATGCTAAAACCTCGCAGACATAAAATCTCACGACAAAAAAGTTGACTTTTTTCTTTTCTAAGGCTGATACGGGCGGTAATTATCCGACGTCGAGGGTATTTCCATGGTCAGAGCTAGATCTTTTCCATTCTGGGCTTCTATTTTCATGGACAATCACAGGATAACGGAGATTTCAATCCGGCATGAAGAACAAACATCCTGCCAAGCATTCCTCTGAGATTTCAGCGGAACTCACGCCCACATGCTTTCTAAGAACCGATTGTCAACGTAAGAAGATCGCAAGCTAAGAACTATTGGCGCGGAGGAGATGGAGATCAGTAGAATATCTCGATACGAGGAAGACTCCAGAGCCCAGAAGAGAGAGAGACGAGGGACCGACCTGAGGGACTGCATTATGCTCTTCTGCTCGGCGAGATACTTCTGATGGTCTTTAATGGCGACGTCCAGATCCTTGAGGGAAGCGGAAGCCCTGCCGAGGCCGAGATCCTCCACCCGCCTCTTGAGCTCCCCGAAGGCCGACTTGAACTGGGAGACCTTGACCTCGAACTGGCGGTGGGAATGAGCGCAGTTCTCCGCGAGCTTCCTCAGATGATCCTCCTTGACGAAGTCGAGCAGGCACTTCCTGCTCTCTGTCTGTAGAGCCGGGTGGAGCCTGCAGGATCTCAATCTCTCAATGTTGCTGGCGAAATTCTGCAGAAGCTCGGAATGGTGGCGGTGCTGCTGGGAGTAGAGCTTGACGAACTCGGAGAAGGACTGCTGCACCACCCTGTAACCCTGATCCATGCTTCCTCTCGCCGTCTCCATAGCTCTCTGTTGAACCCACTGCTCCAGCAGCAATCTCTGGCAGGCATCGAACTTGGTCTGCGAGAGGTTGAAGATGACCTGCCCGCGATGGAAGTGGAACCTGAACTGGCGCTCGTAGGAGGGAAGGGCCTTGAGGGCGGGGTCTGGGGCGTCGTCGAGGGGATGGGGATCCCTCGCGGCGGAGGGCGGCGGTGGCGGATCCGCCGGCGGCGGCAGGTCGAAGGTCTCTGCCGGCGGTGGCTGAGCATCGGCGTGGAGACGGGGGCGGTTATAGAGGAAGACCTCCCGATCGTCCTGGGGGAGCTTGTAGAAGGAGAGAGGGCGATGGGGCTCGAGCTTCCTGTCCAGGCAGAGGAGGAACTGGTCTCCGGGGGGGAGCCCACAAAGCTTCTCGATGGTCCTCTGCACCATCTCCACCGGAGTCGACTCGTCGCAGTCGAACTCGAAGCTGTGGCCATTCTCCGCCACATGGACGAGGAGCTTCCTCCCGGGGACGAAATCCTCGCTGATCTCCGACGAGGCCATCCCCTCACCGGGGCAAGCTACAATAACCCAAGACCCGCCGGCGAGAATCCCCAAATCCTCTTCTCTCGATTCATCGAAGATCAGTACGGGGCTCGATCATCGGCCGACCCAATGAAGAACACTCGACGATAATCCGACCTAGGAGCCCCAATCGGAGGAGGAAGACGATGGCAGCGGAGGGTTACGGAAGGGATAGAGAGAACCCTGCGAGAGAAGAAATCCCTCGATGTGGGGGGGACCCCTCTGCCAGAACGATTGAGATTGATCTTCTTCTTTCTTGGGCACCAAGAAAACCCCTCAAGGCGAAGATAACCCTTCCCCCACGGATTCACCCCACCTCCGTCCCCGCCATCGCGGAAGGAGCAGAAGATTGAGTCCGGGGATGAAACAGCCGCGTTCTTTCTGCAATCAAAGCGGCGTCTTCTTCGGCTCCCCTCCCGATTATCCGATATAATTTATAGACCAATCCCACGGTCTTACGGCTTCCCCTTCTCACCAGATGCCGCTTCCCCTCCCTCCCCCTCCCGAATCGACCCCGAAAAAAAAAATCCCCCCTTTCCTCCGGCGAAATCCAGCGACGGCCCCGATAATTCCGCCGACAGCGATTACTTGTATATGACATAGAGAGAGAGAGGGGGGCGGTTAGGTTGGAATATTGATGCAGGGTGGACGGCGGAAGGGGGGGGAGGCATAATTTTGTACGCCAAGTGTTCGGCAAAATGTGGGATTATTTCATATGATTGCTTGTAATGATTCGAGACGGATAATCAGATTGGGCACGCCCGATGGGATCCGAAAATCAGCAGATCCGAGCCGTTACGTTGCTGCTCCAGTGGGGGGGGGGGGTTGACTGGACGATTCTCCAAAAGTCAACAACCTTGGTCAACTTAAATTCATTTGATTTACCATTCCACGTGTCAACCACCAGATCTAGTTTGGCGGATCGACAACTCTTCCCTTAAGAAGCAGCAAGCTTGACTTTTTAATCCCAAGATACTCTCTCACGTTACTTGCGTTATTTGAAAAAATAAATCTCTAAATGATTCATAAAATGCAATTGGGTAGAGTTGGGCTCGTATAGTCAATGAGAAAGCCCGGATCTTGGTTGATTGCCCCCCCTCTCTCTCTCTCTCCTTTATCTTTCGGGCCCGGGCCGGGTAGGGGATTAGTGGGCCTGGCCCGCCGAGATATTAAAGCTGAAACACGTGTAAAGGGCCTAAAGAGCAATGAAATGATGGGAATGAATAAGGGTAAGAAGGGGGGTATTTTTGTACTGAATGTCCGTGGTAGAGAGAGAGAGAGAGAGAGAGATGACTAACGAAGGAATAAGTGAGGGTATGGGAAGGCTAGGGAAGACGGGTCCTTTCTTCATTCACCACCGCCAGAAGCCCTCAGGTTGACCCATCGCGTACTCACTCACCCCGCACGTGAATCACGCGACATGGGACCCACAGCATTAATTAATTTTCGGCATCATCCGCCAGTCAAAACTAATCCCTCGCTTTCTCTCTCTCTCTCTCTCTCTCTCTCTCTCTCTCTCTCTCTATCACTAGTTTTCCAGACTTTCCTCCGTCTTGGAGTCCGGGGCGGCCAGAAAAGTTCCGGGTCCGGTTTGGCATGCATTATGGGATTTCATCAAATGATTACTCTGACTTGTTTATAATTTATTTAAAATACTTTTATTGATTATTTATAGCGCCATTATAAATATTACCGGCAAGGTCAGTTGATAATTTAAATCGTCGTAAATACTTAAAATCTGATTCTAAACATATCTTACGTATGTGGGCTCATTCTTTAACACTTTTCACTTTATGGCCCAAATTTAAGATAAGTGGGCCCAAATTTGAAGTTAAGACTTTAACTTGTGTCTTGGGCTACATCATTTTTGAACCACCCTATGTATATGTGTTCTTTTCCCTTTCTATCTATTTGAAAATAGACTCGAGAAATCTCGACTGAATACAACCTTTGTTCTATCTCACCATGTAATATTTTGGTATCATTGAAAAGACTCTCGAGGAGATGATTCAATTGGCACCAACTATTTATGGTTTGGTTGTGTATCAAGGGTGTAATCCCAACTTGAATCAAGGGCTTTATTGTCATGGAAACACTTAGAAAGCCTTGGATATGGTGCACATTGAATCATTTCAATGGTAATTTAGATATATCTGAGGCTTGTCTACTAATTACGATCAATCTAAATAGATTTATTTACATTTTACTTGCTTCAATGTTTGGATTTAGATAATTTCAGTATTCATGATTCATTTTTCTGTTTTTCCTCTTTCTGGAGATCGATTTTCAATCGATTCATGATATTTTCCATCTCTCTTGATTCCATCCTCTAATATTTATATTTTTCTCCTTCGTCCACCCATTTTATTTCTATGACTCAAATCTCATGCTCTCTATGGATCGACCCCGAACTTGCTGCTGTACTTGATTTTTTGTATTTTAACTGGTGAAATCCAGATTTATAAATGTTTTAATCCACTAATTTTGAAGTATTTCAATGCTCAATCATGTTTTTCAAACCCTTAATTCAAGAAGTGAGTGAGGGAGAGGAATGACCTCTAATCTAAGAGGTGAGTGAGATAATAAGAGATTCCAAATTTCAAACCCCTTCTCAAGTGTTTTTATTGAGCTTAAATAAGGGTGATGAGAGAAAAGGGAAAGGTGGTTAGAGACACTCCCTCCCAAAGGATGCCATGAGACATCTCTTGTAGGGATAGGTGACTCATTTAGGGGAAGAAGGGATGTGTAGGTGACATGGCCTTTTCTCCACCCTCTTCTTCCTCCTCATAGGCCCACCTAAGGGGATGGATCCTTGTGACCTAGATAGATCCATTGACTTCATCAGGCTCAAAGCATGTTCAAGCTTGAGAAAGAAGGAATATCTTATGTGCGATGGTAGTATGAGTGAAGTTCATTAGTTAAAATGCTAAAATTAATAGGATTACCCTTACATTATTGGCCAAAAGGAGAAAAGTAAATGCTTTGGCCTTTATTTCAAGGACACCCATGAGAGGAAACTAGGTACAGAACATCAGATGGCGGTCAAAATGAGGATAGGAAAGCAAACATAATGACAAAGCAAGAGAAAGATGATTACACAGACCAAGAAGCAGAGCAGGATCAAGTTGGAGGTGCATAGAAGAACATGCAAAGGGAGACTGAGATAGATAATGACCATGGATGAGGAAATTCTCACAAACCTAGACACTTAAATGTGTAGAATTATAAGGACAACAAGAATTGAGAGACATCATGAGGGCCAAGGAGGCATCAAGCAGTAGAGAACCCTAGAATGAGCAATCATCACATATTATGAAACATATAAATTTGAAACAAGGAATATATGTAATTCAGCACATAAATTATCTTGGGTAAAGATTCTCTTATCTGCAAGCATGTTTTAGACAGAAAAGTAAAGTTTGCCACCAATCAATTTAGACCTTTTGTAACAAAATTACTCTACACAATTTTGAAATTCTTAGGTAGGTTAGGTTAGATGTGTTCTTTTCCCTTTTTAGCTAGGATTTGCACCTTTTCATGATTAGTTGTCATGTATTTTGCTATAATATGTTTTGAAAGGAGTCACTTTTTTTTTGTGATTTAAGAGACTAATTCTTGTAGGTTGGTAGCTCAGCTAACAAAGTGCAAACAAAATGTTTCAAAAGGTATGAAGTCAAAAAAACCTTTTATAAAGTGCAGAAATTTTAATTTTAAAATTATTCTTAATTAAGCAGCTCATTTCTTCAAAAGGTAGTAGTCAATTATTATGATGGAGATAATAATTTTTTTTTCTAAATTTAGTTGCAAGTTTTTTTTTATATTATTAGTTTTTTCTCATATTTTTTATGTTTATTTCAACATGCAATCAAAATTCCCCTACGTCATAAGGCCTTAAACATTACACTAAAGAAACTGTAAATGATAAAAGTTGTTGATTCTCCTTGCTTTGTAGACCATTTGAGAAACTTTGAATATATTTGTTCTTGGACATCAACTTACCAAAGATGTAGGTATCAGGTTTGAGCTAATAGGTTATAAAATGTTGACAAAAGATAAGACCAGTAGAGAATAAATTAAATGGATGATACATTGAGAAATTTGATGGGCTTGAATTTTTATTTGTTGATGGGACTACTAGTGACAACAATGGATTTATATCTGCATGAAATATACTTTTATCTTTTCCCTTATTTGCTATTAACATGTATGTGAGCGTACATGCTCACATACATTGGAAAGCTTAAATAATTAATTAGATTTGGTTGTTTGAAGTCTAGAAAAGCCTCCTAGAAAAGCAATTGTTAAATTCAGATAATTTGGTACATAATTTATAAATTATTTTAAAATGTCTACTAGAGCATAATGTAGATGGGCTTTTATGCCATTTTGTTCATCTTTGCTTGAGGCAATACTGAATGCATAATAAAAACAAACTCAGAAAGAATTAAAAATGTAATTTGAGTGCCTAAAAACATTTGTCTTGCCTTCTATACTAACTAGATTAAAAGCAATTTGAGTCTCTAAAAGTAAGTACTCAACTTAGTTGTTTCACATTATCCTTCATTCTACATATCAGCATAATAATCTAGTAACTATTGGAACTATGAAACCAAGGTCTAGAGATCGTTACAAGGAAGCGATTAAGGCTCTACCAAGTATAATAAACCAAGGTCTTAAGGCTCTACCTTCACGAAAGATGCATAATATTTTTCTGGATATTTGCTGGTTTATCTGACATGTGGACTAACATCTGGTGAGCAATCAGAGTTAATTTCAATTTAGACTATCCAAACTGGGCTTTTGAAGCCCAATTAGCTAACAAAATGACTCGGAAGCGGGCTTGGGCCCAGATCTTGATAAAATCGGTCATACTGTTCTTTTTTAAATAGTCTAAAAGGAAAATCACAGGCAACGTGTGGCTCAGGTGTGCTATAAAGGAGAAATAAAAGCTGGTCGTCGTACACGTGGAATGATTTTTTACATGATGCCCCGCAACACGACCGACCTGATGCTTCCAAGAGAAGCACTTCTCCTGCTCCATAGACATGGTTCTCTAAACCGTCCGAAGGGCCGTGCAGCGCAGCTCGAAGGCGGGTGAGGGACTTAGGAAGTGATGGCTGTGAAGGTGATTCTGCTGTTCTTCATCTTGTTTCTTATCAGAGACTCCTCTCTCCTTCCCCACCCATCTGCTTGCGGTTTCCGCCACGGGGGTGGGACTAAGCGAAGCGGCTTTCGCCTGGCTGTGCCGTTTCCTCTTGGCATAACTACCCGAAAGTCATCCGACGAGGCAGTTCAGTGGGAACGAACCGACTTGTCTGCCTTTTCCTTGCTGTATCAATGAACTTCTCCTAAGGATTTGCAGTCAGAGGCTGGTTGTCGATTCCTTACTTGATCTAGCTGCTGTGCTAATCTGAATTATGAATATCGGCATGTAGCTTGTGATTATGACGGATGTTCTTCATGTCTTGTAGGCATGGTTGATGGATGATGGGGAAGAGGATCAACGACTGCCTCACCACCGCATTCCGGTGGAGTATGTTTTGTTGAACCAACTCGCAGGTATTATTTTTCGAACCTTGTCAGAGTATCGTTCGCAAATTCATTATAATGACGCATACATACAGCTGCCCTTCATGCAAACGGAAGGGTGTAGCTTTGTCTATCCATAACTGAGTGTGTACTTCATTCACTACATATCTTCCAATGTAAATACATTTTCCGATCATACATAATGCGGCATGAAGCTTAACTTTAGAGCATATTCAGAATCTTTCAGCGTCTTTTGTTGGTCTATCATCACATAAAGATCTTTTTGCTGGCCCCTGATTGCTATTGGATAATTGATTACAACTAGACTAGACTCAGTTATTCAAATTCATCTTAGATAATCTAACTATGCGTGCTCGATATAATAAGATGGCTGAACGAACCATTAGCCTAGATAATGTCACTAACTTATTCGATCAACCCGCTAACTTATCTCTGCCATCATCAATTTGAGAAGCATATTAACCAAATTTTACAGTATGACCGAGGCAAATGTGGTGTGTTATCAAACTGAAAATTGAATAAGGTAACACAAAAATATACATCACCATTCACATGCCATCCACAGTTGATTTAGATGTTTAACCTGATCTGTGTGGAAGTCAAGGTTGAGTTGACATCAATAGCTTCAACCCCCACCATTAGGATTTTGTGCTGTCTGAAAAGAGCATACAACGCTTCTGCTGGAAGGAGCCCATGGATGGGAATGTCCTCCCCTGTAGTGGGGACGCAGGCCACCAAGCTGCAGATTTTCAAGCTTCCATCAGGCCTTGGGCTGTCAGAGGCGTCTTGCCACATGTAGATGACCAGATCCTCCCGTAGGTTATGGAAGGTGGCAGCCAGAACACCCCTCCAATTTCGCAGTAAGTGGTTCAACCGTTGGCATCTTTCATCTCCTTCTCGAGCCGGTCTGTCATGCCTCGTGGTTGTATAGAAAATGTTTCATGGATCACTGCTGTCTCGTCCAGTGTAATGGATTTGCCTTAATACGGTGGGGTTTTAGGAATCTAGCGACTGAAGCTGAAATATACTAATTGGTATCTTTCACTTTTTCGTAATTTATGCAACAAAAAATGCATCATTCTGTGTGCGCGTGTACATTTATCATGGTGATTGAATCAGTCTCCTTAATAGAATTCGTACCTTGTAGAGATCGGTATCCTGTACTGGCATCTCGACCCAAAAGACTATGAAAACAACGAGCAGCTAAAGGAAGTTAGAGAAAACAGGGGATATAATTACATGGTCTGTTCCATCTATTACTAATACCCTCGCTCTCTCTCTCTCTCTCTCTCTTTGTTCTCTCTCCTTTCCTCTCTCTCTACATCTCCTTTTTCTCAACTTCTCTCTCTCTCCCCGTCTCTTCTCTCTCTCCCTCTCCCTCTCCCTCTCTCTCTCTATCTCTCCCCTTGTCTCTATTCTCTCTGTATCTCTCTCTCTCTCTCTCTCTCTCTCCCCCTGTCTCTATTCTCTATCTATCTCTCTCTCTCTCTCTCTCTCTCCCTGTCTCTATTCTCTATCTATCTCTCTCTCTCTCTCTCCTTCTCTATTCTCTATCTATCTCTCTCTCTCTCTCTCTCTCTCTCCCTGTCTCTATTCTCTATCTATCTCTCTCTCTCTACCTCTCTCCCCCTAGCTCTGTTCTCTATCCCTCTCTCTCTCTCTCTCTCTCTCCCAGTCTCTGTTCTCTATCCCTCTCTCGCTCGGTCACTCACTCGCTCTATTTTGACTGTGCAATATGAGCATATAGTGGACCATCCACCTATTTGTGCAAATGCTTCTCCTTCTGTGGTCGTAGGATCTCCTAGAGCTATGCCTCGGGAAAGTTGAGAACTACGAGGAGAAGCTGAATAACTTCTTCCGCGAGCACATACATGTCGATGAGGAGATCCGCTTCTGCTTGGAGGGCAGCGGCTACTTTGATGTCTGCGGCAAGGACGACCATTAGATCCGCATCTGGATTAAGGCGAGCAATATGATCATCCTACTAGTTGGAATCTACCATCGCTTCACTTTAGACACCTCAAACTACGTCAAGGTACCAAGAACTAAACCTAAATTTCTTCTCTATTAGCCAGCATGGGTCTAATGGAAAGTACTATAAGTGAACGATGTCATCAAGTCAAACTGGGGGGGTATCAACGGACTGCAGTTGGTCTAGGGTTCTTCTAGTGTTTCAGGTTGGAGGGGCATGTTGAGAAGCCCAGGCCTGACTGGGTCTACAGTAAATATGTGTTATGATTTGATTAATTACTATAGATGTATATATCTAAGTATAAAGGTGAAGTTTTAAGAAAAATGACGACATTTAGTTTTAGACAATTGATGAGGCTGTTCATTGGGGAACCAATGTGGACAGCATACAATCAGCCCCAGGAGGACCATCTAGCAAGGCAAGTGTACATCAAGAGCTTCTTGGAGAAGCCTCGTATTGCTCTTAAGGCAGTCTAGTTTGTATTATGACAATCTGAATCAACAAAAAATTATGTATAGAAATAACTTAAATTTTTATGAGTCATGATCTGATGGTAATTGCTAAAACTTGAATTTTTAACATATTGTATTGAGCATTAACCTTGAAGTTTTTATTATTCTTCATTAACTTATTTAATCTTCTAGATAGGAAATCAATTTCATCTTCATCATTAGATGACTCAGCTAATTTAAAAGTAATGTTATTATTTTTCTTCTCAGAAAATTTCTTATTTTTTGACATTAATATCATGAGTTAAAGAACCAATCATATCATCAACAAGAATAGTTTTAAGTATTTGACTCCTATATCATAGTTTAAAAGAATAGTTTTGACTCCTATATCTTAATTACTTTGACACTCCATTCATCAATTGATCATCTAAGTAGTTTTCTATTTAACTTAGAATTAGTATAAGTTTTCCTAAGTTTCTTATACCATTTATGATTTGATCTAATTAATGAATTATATTTTGAATAGATTCTCAATTTTCATGATATGATATTCATGAGAAACACCATTAAAAATCAATTTAAATTGCTAATAGTTGAAACCCAAAAGTCAACTATAAAGAAGATTCTTTCAAAGTTTGACATATATGAAGTCTAAATCTAAATGGATAATAGAAACCCACCACTTATATATCACAGAAGTCATTAAACCCATTTGAGATCCAATGAAAAGGAGTTTATTTTGTAGTCTCAATTAATATGAAGAACAAATTGGGAAAAATTCAAGGTTAGATCAGTCCCACTAAGTCAACTCAAAAAGAATCACCTCAAATATGTAAGGACTCAAATAGTCATAAAGTGAGGCCAGTAGCTCAATCAATCATAAAGTCAACCCCACATAGCACAATTCCCTCAATCAACCAAAAAACATCCTTGATTTTGCCAAGATGGGTTTCATCAGTCTTCATGATGACTATGAGAACAGAATATGTGATATAACAGAAAATAAAATTGAGACAAAAAATAAAATAAAAGCTCAGAGTCAATTCCTTTAAACTAGACATTTTCCAACCCTTAGGCAATTAAAGCTCCATGGTTTCTTTGAGAGTGATTTCTTGCATAGGCAATCTCCATAAGAATCGCAACAACAAAGATCATAAATTACGAATAAGCCTAAAAAATGAGGACCTGATGATGTCATAAAGTCAACCATGTTATTTTGGCCGTCCCTCTAATTGTAGACTTTTGAGACAAACAGGGCTTTTGAGGCAGATGCTTTGACTAGTCTGAGGGAAATAGAGCGATTTGAGTTCAATTTTCTAGTAGTATAAACTATGATCTTGTCCCACTGAATTGCTTTCATCTGTCAAAAAGCCCCATTTCTGGACTATATGGGATGTCTGACTCATATGTTGACTTACGAAAGTCATCTAAAACAGATGGTGCATTTTGGCACCACAAGAAATATCTTCAATTTTTTTGCCATCCCATCAACCTAGTTTAATCCAAGAATGCTAAATTATTCTCCATGATCCCAATGATTAGTGTGTACCATTTATGTTATGATCCTTTACCTCATTAGGTCTCATTACTACATAATATCCCTACATGCATTTATCATCAATATGGTACTATAATCACAGTATTACATAAAAAATTCACTAGTAATGATGGCCAAATTTACTATTAATTATGAAAACCCAATGCTAAATTGATGGTTGACACACATGATATAATTTCACTTTAAAAATGATTTACCATGTGCTGAAAAAATAAATTGATCCGTTTTCTCATGAAAAAATTTCAAGTGATGATATGACAATGGTTTTTTTAGACATGAGCTTGTAACTCTTCCTCATTCTAAAAAATATGTTTATATGAGATTTGATATTTTATTATAATAAACGGTAAATTAATATCATGACATACTATTAGTTATTGACCATGTTAAACTCCAGTCAATTTCGAAAACAGTAACAAAAACCAACATTGGGCTAAGTAGTCAATCACAAGATAACTTAAGAGGAGCTAAGGAATCAATTTGAAAACAGAGAGACTCATTCACAATTATGTATTCGGTCACTATGGCCCATCTTGATATATTTTAATGTACAAAATATCTGTCCCGAATTAATGAGAACTTAACGATAATGGAGAGTAATGTCATTCGTGTGCATTGGACCAGCTTGCTGACGAGAGCACACTAAATGGGGTTAGAGGCTGTTGAAGTCCAACTGACCAACAGTTGTACTCCTCCAAGGGCGTCCCACCACGTCCCCAGGACCAGAACATACCAATCTACTCCAGCATATATCCACCTCTCTCTCTCTCTCTCTCTCTCTCTCTCTCGTTAAATATACATGTACACATTTCCCTCTGTCTATGCTCAAAGCTGGAGCATTCTCAGCAAGTACTTTTCTGAGGATATAGTCCATCTCCCTCGAGGTTTTCTTCTCTGTTGTTTTTACCGGCTGTGGCAGATCGAGTGCTTCCCGACGTAGGATAAATCTCTTAACTCCGATCGAAACACTAGAGCGGTAGACTCCACCATTGTCATGTGGGACTGTCTGCCTTTGTGGATCAGCAACCCATTCCCTGTTCGACCGGTATACTGCACGTCTCGAGGCCCACATCTCTTACTCTGCGGCTGGTTCACCCTCTCTTCCCTATTAAATGTAAGGGAAAGAGATTGGTACACACTCGGCGGTAGGTAGCTTAATGAGGAGCTCCTTCCCAACCTGGCAAAAGTTGAAGCTCCCCCCGCTAGCTGGGAGTTGGGTAGCCGGAACCGTGATAAGCCCCCGAGGGGAGAGGAATGAGATGCGTTCCACGATTTACCACGCTTTCCCGTTATCCTTTAGGGTTGACGAAGTTCGAGCGCTGGGCTGTGCAAAAATGACGGGGGAGCACTCAGATATGCTTCTTGAGGGACATGTCCCCTATTAATTATAATCGAGAGTCAACATTGAATGAGCTAGTTTTCCATACAGAGTGTGAGAAGTCGAGAACTTCAGTGCTCCACCTACTTCAAAGATGCCTTGGCAAGCGATCTGTCGAGCGCCTCTTACTCTGCGCTAGAGCAACCAGCGAATTAAGGGAGGGGGGCGAGGGGGGGGGGGGAGGGTGGAGCCCAGGTTGTTTATTCGTCAACGAAGCAGTGAAGAAACGTCAGCCCCGCATGTCTATTTTAAGATGATGTTGAACCCCTTCGTTGAGGAAATCTCGGGAGCTAAATCGTGAGGGACGTGTCGAGGTTGCTTTCCCCTGATCCTTTGATCAAGACTCGAGCTTGGCAGTGTTTTGCCAGCACGGGTCTCATCCTTACTACAGAACAGTCGCAGGGTCGCCGAGCGCCGTCCATTCTTCTCCCTTCCATCTGAAGGGAAGTGCCATTAAAAGATGGCTTACCTACATCCACAGAATTGCACGGAGGGACGAGGACAATGGTGAGCTCGCCCTTGGAGTATTCCAGGATCTCTCCCCTATGTTTCTTGTTTTGAGGAGGTGGTAATTAGACGGAAGAAAAGACTCAAAAGAAAGAGTGTCATTGACGAGGGGAGGAGCTGCCGGGTGCATTCAATGACGGAGGAAACCACAATGAGGCAACCTAACCAGTGACAATTGGCAGTCGTTAATCCACAGACGGGCTCTCGTCACATGTGATACCTTAATGGGAATGTCGGCTAGGCGGCCTCCGGCTCTTTTTAAACCCCGAGGATCCAAGGTATTGGCACGGCCATCGCAGTGGCCAAGCCTCGTTGCCATTGTTCTCTCTTCCCCCTCCTCCCTTCCTCCAGGCGTCTTTAGACGGTTGGCCCACCGACATGGGAACTCCACCTTGGAGGGTGAGATTCATGCTAGCATTGTTTCTAGGTCTTCTCCTGGAGAGCTTTTACTCTGCCGGCGCCGTCCCGTCCTCAGAAAGGCTCGTCTCTGTGATCGGTGCTGGGGAATGTTCTGACTGCGCTTCCAAGAATATCGATAGTGCAGTCGCATTTAATGGTAGTTTCCTCTCTCTCTCTCTCTCTCTCAAACACACTGGACAGTTCGCTTGTGGTCTCTCCACGAGTTTGTCCAAAGTAACGGACAAAGTTTGACGTCGATAATGGTTTAAAGTCATATTTGGCTAATGCGACGGACATGAATAATAAGAGCTAATCATTTAAAGTCTTGGTTTTTACTACCGTTAGCGATGAAAATCTTTCTGATGCGCGGCTGCACTCTGGGTCGATTTTCTTTCGGCAGGACTCAACGTAGCGATTTACTGCATGGCCAGAAAGGGCCAGTTTCAAATCAGAGGAGTGAGCAAGCTAGACAAAGATGGTCAGTTCAGTGTCAGGCTCCCCAGCGACATCGTCAAAGAGAAGGGGGAGCTGAAGGAACAGTGCTTTGCACAGCTACACGGTGGCCCGAAGAACACGCCTTGCCCCTCCGCCGGCGGCAGCTTCGACGCGGCGAAGCTCGTCGCCAAGACAGTCGAGGGCGAAAAGCACACGTTCGTCACTGCCGGGAAGCTGAGCTTCTCCTCTGAAACATGCGCATCTGCTTTCTTCTTCCCATGGTTCTTCCCCCCCAAGTTCTTCCCTCCAGTTTACCAGGCGCCAGCCACTCCGGTGTACCAGGCACCCACACCAACCGTCTATACACCTCCGCAGTACTTAGCACCGCCCCCTCCAGTATACATACTGCCGCCTCCTCCGCCACCTCCTCCGCCACCTCCTCCGCCACCTCCTCCGCCACCTCCGCCGCCACCTCCTCCGCCACCTCCGCCGCCACCTCCGCCGCCACCTCCTCCGCCACCTCCGCCGCCACCTCCGCCGCCACCTCCGCCGCCACCTTCCCCTCCAGTATACATGATGCCGCCACCTCCGCCCCCTCCACCGCCTCCACCGCCCCCACCACCCCCACCGCCCCCTCCGCCACCTCCGCCCCCTCCACCGCCCCCACCGCCCCCACCGCCCCCTCCTCCGCCACCATTCATTATACGATGCCGCCCCCCCCGCCCCCCCGCCCCCGCCGCCACCGCCCCCGCCGCCACCTCCACCCCCTCCGCCACCTCACCCCCTCCACCCCTCCGCCACCTCCACCCCCTCCGCCACCTCCACCCCTCCGCCACCTCCGCCACCTCCACCCCCTCCGCCACCTCCGCCTCCCTATTCAGTATATATGATGCCGCCCCCTCCGCCGCCACCTCCGCCCCCTCCACCGCCCCGCCGCCACCTCCGCCCCCTCCACCACCTCCACCTCCCCCCACCGCCACCTCCGCCCCTCCACCACCTCCACCTCCCCCACCGCCACCTCCGCCCCCTCCACCACCTCCACCTCCCCCACCGCCACCTCCTTATCCAGTATACATGATACCACCCTCCGCCGCCACCTCCGCCACCTCCGCCACCTCCGCCACGCCTCCTCCACCACCTCCACCGCCCCTCCGCCACCTCCGCCACCTCCGCCTCCTCCACCACCTCCACCACCTCCACCGCCCCCTCCGCCACCTCCTTATCCGGTATACATGATACCACCCCCTCCGCCGCCGCCTCCGCCACCTCCGCCACCTCCGCCACCTCCGCCACCTCCGCCACCTCCGCCACCTCCGCCACCTCCGCCACCTCCGCCACCTCCGCCACCTCCCGCCACCTCCGCCACCTCCGCCACCTCCTCCACCACCTCCACCGCCCCCTCCGCCACCTCCTTATCAGTATACGCGATACCACCCCTCCCGCCACCTCCGCCACCTCCGCCACCTCCGCCACCTCCGCCTCCTCCGCCTCCTCCACCACCTCCACCGCCCCTCCGCCCCCTCCGCCCCCTCCGCCCCCTCCGCCACCTCCCCCTCCATCATACATGCTTCTACCCCCTCCACCGCCTCCTCCGTCGCCACCTCCACCCCCTTTGGTTATTCCTTCAGTGTCCACTGGGCCGTCCCGTCCACCGACCCCGCCGCCAATCTTAGCATAGCCCTCTCTTCTACTGTACTCGGCACTACCCCAACCAGTCAGGAACTCGGGGAGTGGTGGGCGTACGGAGCTGTCGCACCAAAAGATGGTCGGACTACAATTCGATAGAGCCGAAGATTTGAACCATGAATCAACAGGTGGGAAAGAATGAAATAGAAGCTTGAATCCACATGGCAAGATTTCTTCAAATCCACGCTCTGATACCAACCAATTTAAGTAACCAGAGCTGCATGAAGTTGAAATTCCATCTTTGAATCCACAATAAATGTGATTTCTGTGAAGATTCTTACCCTAAATCCAAGGAACCAATAAATGATACTTGTGGATAATCCACATGAGGTTGACATTGAATCCACATGAGATCAGAAAGGTGAAAATTCCAAAAGAGTTGTCACAATCCACCCATAGCAAAACATAAATCTTAGAAGATAAGAGGTCTTCTAAAATTGATTGAATGCCTCTCAGCTAGGGTGGGCCTTTAAGTATATTGTCAAATATTTATTGAGGACATTCCTAAAATAGGAGGGTTCTATATTTATGGTGCTAAGATTTAGAATTTGAGCCTAGAAAACAAAACTTAAAATAGAAACACTAAATCTGGATGCATCTTTAATTTTGTTTTAATTATTTATTGAGCCAATTTGAGGTAGATGTGCACCAACTCACATGGCTGCAAATTTCCTAAGCATGTGGCCAACTCAAAAGTTGAGTGATAAGTTTTCATTATCATGAGTTAATAATTAGTAAATAATATAGTTTCAGTCTTAACTCATAATAAAAGTAATTTTTAATTGATTAATATGAATTTTTAGATAATGATGTAATTTTATATGAATTTATATAATTTTTATAGTCTTACTTTTGAGACAAATAAAGAAAAAGAAATAAAAATAAAAATAAAATAAAATGAGGAGGACCCGCTAGCCAATTGGGCCTGTAAGCAGGTTGGAAGTGCAGTTGGGGAGTAGCCAAGAGTAGGGGCTTGAGCGGCTTGGATCAATAGGGGTACGTGTACGCTACTCTCCTTCCACGTCACTAGTGGCTAGCCGACTGTGGGGTAAAGAGTGGTTGTACATGTGCGAAAATAGGACTTGTTTACAAATGTAACATTATTATATACTCACTCGAAAATTTGGCATACAAGTGATGGGGACTAAACCCGCGTCACACCTTCCTCAAAAAAGGCAAACAATCGGTGCGGGTTCAAATCTTTTTAGAACCAAAACTCATATTTTTTTATCTAATTATTGTGACTTTCTTGTAGATCGCCGGTGAAGGATTAAGCAACCAAAATCACTAGATCATTGGTGAAAATCTCATCAACATGATTTGTCGAGCATTGTTACTAAAATTATTGAATGATTCGTGATAAAAGGATTACAAATCCATCAAGTAAAAAACATATCTGATTGATCAACAAATAAGCCGTCATCGAGAAGAGGAGATTAGCCAGGAGACGAGTCACTACCTCCTGAGAGCGTATCAAATGTGATGAAGAGCCTCCTCTTGCTGCGCAGACATAAGGATGAAGCTCCCTGACATATGCCCCACCTCCATCTAGCTCTTCTCCGTTAAGTGACAGCTACTGCAGAGTCCCAAAGTCGTCATTTTTCTACTTGACCGGGTGATAGTTGTTGGAGATGATTTGACAATTTATTTCATTGATCTCTAGACTTCGTAAAGAGATCTAAAGATTACCCACATTATCTTTGTCCAAGGAGAGCTTTCGAGGTTGTGGACATCGCACGACGATCCTCTCGAACACTCAAGATTTCGATGCATTGCCGACATATTATCACCACGATGCCAAAACTCTATTTTCTTACTTTCAACCTAATTTTTGTTTTATTTAGTCATAATTTTTTGATTTTAAATTTACCAAGATAGACTTCATTCTATTACAATTGTTTCAGCTTTTAAAAATCTTAATTTGATCAATTAAATTGTTTGTAATCGCTTACGTAAGAATCACAGGGCAGAACTCTATTTTTGCCTGATTCATATTCACCGAACGTTGACATAATCCTAATGTTTGCACCCTTATTTCTTTTTTTTGTGAATTTTAAATATATTTCTTTTTTATTTCCTAGTATAAAATTTATAAAAAATAGTATTTTTTGAGAAAAATTCTGAATAATTACCAAATATTATATTACAACCCTGTGATTGACTTGGAAAATTATCGCTATTTTTGAAAGTTTTATTGAATGATAATTGATACATTTATTTATAAATACTTCTAAATATCTAAAAATTCATATTTTCTAGTTTTATAAATTTTAAATTTACGTGATTTACTATACAATGACTAAGTCACGTCATTAAGCTTGAACTTGTGTTTCACCAAAGCATGAAACTCATCTCTAATACATTTGGGACATCTAAATACTAGCAAGAAGTGGTTTGTGCTTATAATGGCCTTCTCATCATTGTATGCACTTCTATTTTAGGCCACCTAAGTTAGAAACCTTTCATCCATCCTTTCATTAGAATTGACATTCTACTTTAGTCTCTCCTACTTGAAGAAAACTCATCCTCAAGTGTTGATTAATGAGTGCATAATAATTATTAAGGTGAAACACATGGAATATTTAAAATATAATAATGCATTTTATTTTCCACCCAAGTACCCAAGTAATGTTTTTCATAATTTTGAATTCATGATAAGCAAACCTATTCATAAAAATCCTCTGATGAAATGATGCAAAAATTTATTAATAGTTGAGTATAAATATCACTCTATTAATATATCTTTCAAGATGAAATTAAGAGAACTAGATAGTCTTTCTTCATCAACCTTTGCTTCATAATGACACAAATGAACCTACTACTAGGGTTAATATTATTTACTACTTTTGCTTTAAAATATTTTCTACTGCTTGTTTATAATATTGGCCATTTTTGGAAACATTCAAGTTTTTAGTGAGAACTGCTTTTGGGCTGTTTGCTAATTCAAAAATAATATACTTTGTACATATATGTACTTAATGTTGGCAAACCTTGAATTGCTGATTCTACTATAGAGTTCTTAGAACCTCACTTTAGTAAAATATATATTCTTATGTTTCTTTGTATCAAAATGTGTAGCCAAAAAAGGAGAGAACCAACTGTTCAATATAGACATTGTGTAGGCTCATCATCCTTGCTTTAGATAAAGGAAACAAGATAAGTAATTTAGTAGAGGTTCCATCTTTCTGACTATAAGAAGTTATCCCTTTCTCACATATATGGACCTAAAACTCAAGATAATGACTCATTAAATAAAATTTTATGAAATAAATTGAAGAGAAAGGAAGGTCAAATAGACAATGATTTCATGCATTTTGAGGCATGATCTCTTTCTTTGAACTCTCTATTTAATTCTCTTTATACTACCTTCTTAGTTTGCATATAAAATTTTTTGTATTCAGTTTTAATTGAATACTATGAAAATTATGTTATGCATCTCTAAATAAAGTCATTATGCTTATTTGTAACACAAGCTCACAACATGTCACTAAAATTTGAATTTATACTATAAAATAGATAAATCACGACATATGAAAGTATGTACAATGCTGCACTAGCTTTCCTCACTAACAATTTCTTCTTAATTTTGACCAAAGTTTTCAAAGTTTGTTTATTTTAATTATTTTTTCTTTTATCTTAATTTTTGGAATTTTTATATTCTTCATAGAACATAGAACAGCTTTCTTCTAATTTCTATAAAATCCATATTTGTTCTTCTTGCAATTATACTTAGGACCTATGTTAATTTATCAAGGATTTCCTAAAGTCATATGAAAAAAATCCATATCAACTATGTCACATTGAATTTCATCAGAATAAATGTTACCAATTGAAATCTTTACTAAACAAGTTTATGCAGCATTTGTTTCAACATCATTGTTAATCCACCTGATTTTAAATGGATAGGGTGTTTCCCACTCTTTAACCCTAATTTTTGAACCATATATGAAGAAACATAATTAACACTACTACAATTGTCAATTATCACATCAACAATAGTTTTACTCTTACTAAACCTTGTTACGAAAATGTTATAACATACATAATAGTCTTCTTTTGAAGTAAGCGTGATCCTATCGACAATGAATAAATGAGAATGTGATTTTGCAGTGTATTCCTATATATATTTGTTTTGAAAATTTTGATTCATATTATAGAATCATTATAAATGTCCATAATAAATCACTTTCATACCTCACCATATCTCAATCTTTGAATCCACAAAGATTATTCTTCATGATCCTTAAATCCATAGGGATCATAAAACTCCTCCTGATGCTTAAAATTCCTTCAAACTTACTTTGGTACCAAGTGTTTTAACAAAAACTGCTATAACAATTTGATAGAGCTCGAGTTGCGAAGATAATAGATTTGAGCCATGAATCTTCAATGCACAAATAATAGGTGGTAAAGAACAAGAAATAAAAGCTTGAATCCACATGGCATAATTTATTTCAATCCACACTCTATACCAATTGATTTTTCCTGAGTTATGTGGAATTTTATCTTCAAATTAATAATAAACATGATTTTAATGAAGATTCTACAACATAAATCTAGAAAAAATCTTTTACAAAAAGTTTTTCATAAATACAACATGATTATAGATCTATTTACTAAGTAACTACCACAAAAAGTCTTTCACAAGCATATTGTTCAAATAAGTGTAGTTCCTCCTAACAATATTTAATTTAGTAAACATTTTATTTAATGATCTTACAATTTTAGACATCATATGACTATTTACTAAAAGAGTAAAGTTTATAGTCATTTTGTACTCTATTTGGTTGATCTCCATAATAAATAAGATAGACTAATTATAAATTACATGTATAAGTCACATTTCATGTAATTTCAATGCTATGGATTTATACATGATCTATAAGGTTTACTATAATGATATACATGAGTATTGATGAGTTTACTTACATATTAAACATAATGAAAATCATTTTAGTCATAATAGTATTATGATGAACAAGACTGTTAGACATGTAAATAATAATCATAAATTTATTGAGCTCATAAGGTTATCATGAAATTAGATAAATATCTTGTCTTAGGTAAAAGATTATTAAATTTAATCTATACGTGGGTATATATATCAGTTATAAATTATAATATTATCATTAAAGTTAATATCAATTAAAGATATTCATCAATTAAATATATGAGATTAAGACATTTCACTTAAGTATAGGCAGAAAGAAATTATGTGTACAGACCAGATCTTATTTTAATATGATAAGTAAGATTAGAAAAGAACACCAAAAGACAATAACCACATATTATCTATTTAAGGGGTCATAGTCTTTTGGATTATACAATGTGTGAGTCACCTATGGAGCATTCCATTGCTCTAAGAAAGACAATTATGTTATGTTGATCCAAAAGGTCACACCTCATTCTTAAGCCATAATAGAGTTAAATATATTTTTCTTGATCATTATCACTTTATTATTCTTATCTTTCATGACTCAACACTATATTCTTAGTCTCTATGAAAAAATATTTCACAAGACCACATATTAGTTCAAGATAAGATTTTTTTTTGAACTAAATACGGACGAGGACGTGCATTTTAAGTGTGACAAAGAACGCAGAAATCGCAACTCAGTGACAACTATTAAGAAGAGTAAATCGCCCACTATCGTTGAGAACTTTAGTTTTGCTTGGCCCTCGCCATCACTAATTTCTCGGAGGGAGAGGTCCCCTCGCTGCTTGGAATGACGGAGAAGTCAAGTCGCTTTACCTGCTGTGGATGCATGGCGAAACGTCTTTCTCCGACGGCCCCGAGATCTGAAGCGCACCACCGCTGGGGAGATACGCGGTTCCCTCCCTCCTGTCCTCTTTCGAATGGTTCCCTATGGATTTCGCTGGCCATAGAGACCTGTACTGAGCAGCAGCCCTGCTTGATTCGACCCAGCCAACACGCGCGGCAGCAGCCGGCGGCAGAAGAACCCGCCCTATCTGCTATATGTTCGACATCAGGTCGCCAAATGACGAGGATCCCTGTTAGAAACTCGCCGGAGAGACGATGGCAGTTAAGACGTCGCTGGCGAGATCACCTTCTGAGTCACAAGAAAAACCCAGCAGGAGGAACAAGGAAGACTATCTCGCTCATTGAAAACCTCTTACAGCCCTCTTTAAATAAGGGAGCAACAAAAGGAGAAAAGGAATAACCGTAAGCAATAAGCAACCTGTTACAGCTCTAGGCGGTGTGCCTCGAGACGTGTAAGGCTTATGCCGTTACGCGAAACGACGTGGAAGACATGCAAGGCTCCCCGTTCACGACAATCTCCTCCTGAGCCTTGCTATACTTACCATGAACATCAACGAGCCCAATCTTGGCGCGAAACTCATGGAACTTGACTTTTCCGAGTGGCTTCGTTAGAATGTCTCCTAACTGTTCTTCACTCCTGATGAACTCCACGTTGATCTGACCCTTTTCTGCAGATTCTTGGACAAGATGATACTTCACTTCAATGTGTTTGCTATGTCCATGGAGAACTGAGTTCTTGCTCAACGCTATGGCAGACTTGTTGTCCACCTTCAGCATCGGCACGCTTGGTGCTGAGCCATGCACCTCTGCTAACACCCGAGCGAGCCACACACCCTGGCAGGCAGCATTGGCGGCCGCAATGTACTCTGCCTCGCAGCTAGATTGAGCCACCACCTTCTGTTTCATTGACTGCCAAGTAATTGGGCTGTTGGCCAAGAAGAAAATAATTCCAGTCGTGCTCTTCCGAGCATCAACATCACCAGCGAAGTCACTATCGCTGAACCCTGTCAGCTGGACTTGCTTCTCCTTTTTCCTTTCATACCTGAGACCCCAACTCTTGGTTCCCGCCACATAGCGGAGAATTTGCTTCACAGCAGTCAAGTGATCCTTTCGTGGCTCCTCTAGAAAACGACTCACATAGCCAACCGCAAATGCCAAATCTGGACGAGTATTGACTAAGTACCTGAGACTCCCCACGATGCTTCTGTATGCTGTCGCATCCACCAGCGGCTCCGTGCTCATCTTGCTCAGTTTCAGACGTGTTGCCATTGGTACTTGACAAGGATTGCACCCTGCCATCCCGCTCCTCTCCAGAATCTTGGCGGCATAGGCTCCTTGGCTGATCAAGGTGCCCCTCGCACTCTGCCTGACTTCAATGCCAAGATAGTAGCGAAGCAGGCCGAGGTCGCTCATCTTGAATGCGTCAGCCATCTCTTTTTTGAAATGCTTGATGTCGTCGCAGCTGGCGCCGATGATCACCAGGTCATCGACGTACACCCCGACCACTAGCTGTGCCTCCCCATTCCACCTGGTGTAGATGGCATGTTCCGAGGGACTCCTCCTGAATTTGAACGACAACAACGTTTCGTCCAACTTCGCGTTCCAGGCCCTAGGCGCCTGATGTAAGCCGTAGAGTGCCTTCTTCAGCTTAAATACCTTGTGCTCATTGCCCGTGCTGATGAAACCGGCCGGCTGCTCCACGTACACCTCTTCCTTGAGATCGCCATTCAAGAACGCCGACTTGACATCCATGTGGTGCACCTCCCACCCCTCGTGCGCCGCGAGAGCAATGAGAAGGCGCACCGTGTCCAGCCGCGCCACAGGTGCGAACACCTCGTCGTAGTCGATCCCTTGGCATTGCGCATAGCCCTTCACCACCAGGCGCGCCTTGTACTTCGCCACGGTTCCATTTTCATCCCGCTTCACCTTGTACACCCACTTCAACCCGATCGCCCGGCGACCATGTGGGAGGTCTACCAGGGACCAGGTGCGGTTTTCCTCGATCGACGCCATCTCCTCCTCCATAGCCTTCCTCCAGCTCGGGTGGCCCTCTGTTTCAACAAAAGAGACCGGCTCATCAGAACTTACAGCGTGCAGCTCCTTTGCAATTAACGCCCGCGACGCGAGACCACGTGGCGAGGCCAGCCCAACGATGTTGTCGATCTTGCGGAACCGGAGTGGCGCATCATCGTGATTAGCATCCAGGTGGTCAATGTGGACACTCGGTGGAGAGGCGAACTCCACCTCCTCTCTTCCATCTTCAATCGGCGCTGCTCCCCCACTGTAGTGCATAGACGGTGGCGACATCGGCTCTGGTCCCGGCGCATCATCATCAAGTACCTCGATGGCGCCATCGAGCTCTGGAGGTACCTGGTTCCCGACGGCATACTCCAATGTGAACATATCGTCGTGGCTGCCCGCATCCCCTTGCTCCGCGCCGCTGCCCCAGTCCCACTGGGCATTCTTGTCGAACACCACGTCCCGTGTCACATGGACACGCCTCGCGGTGGGATCGTAGGCTCGGTAGGCCTTTGATCCGTACTCGTAGCCGATGAAGATCATCTTGCGGCCACGGTCCTCCAGCTTCTTGAGATGCGGTGTCGTGTTCAGGACGTAGGCGATGCATCCGAACACCTTCAGATGGTGCACCGCCGGCTTCTTCCCGTGCCATACCTCGAAAGGCGTCATGCCGTCCACGCTCTTCGTGGGACACTGGTTCAGGATGTATACAGCAGTTGCCACTGCCTCACCCCAAAACCAGCCCGGCAGCCCCTTTGCCTTGAGCATGCTCCTCGCGGTTGCTACCACCGTGCCGTTCCTGCGCTCGACGATGCCATTCTGCTGCGGGCTGTATGGCACCGTGTGTTCACGATGAATACCTTCTCCCGCGTAGTACTCCGCGAACTCATGTGAGGTGAATTCGCCACCCCGATCAGTATGGAGCGCTCCCAGCTTCAGTCCTGACTCGTCTTCTGCGCGAGCCTTGATCTCCTTGATGGCCACCGCAGCACGGTCCTTTGAAGGCAGCATGGCCACCCACATGTACCGGCTTCGATCATCCACGAGCAGCAGGAAATACTTGCTGCCGTTTGGCGTTTCCGGCGCAATCGGACCACAGAGGTCGCTGTGCACCAGCTCCAGAACACGCCGCGCCCGGTACTCTCCCTGCTGGAGGAACGGCGACCGCTTTTGCTTGCCAGCGAGACACGCCTCACACAGCTGGTCCACCGGACCAACCGCCGGCAACCTGCACACCAGCTCCTCCCGAGCCATCTTCCGCAGCGCGGTCATGTTGACATGGCCGAGGCGCGCGTGCCATTTCCAAGCTTCTTCGACTGCCCGCGCCTCCAGGCACACCTACCGAACCAGCTTGGCGTGGAGAATGTACAGCCTGTTCTCTCCGCGCATGACCTTTGCTAGGAGCCGTCCGCCTGGCTCATGGATCTTCATCGCCCCCTTCTCGATGTCGATATGGTACCCGGCCTCATCGAGTTGGCCGATGCTGACGATGTTCGTCGTCAGTCGGGGAATGTAATACACCCCCGCGAAGGACCGGTGCTCGCCGTTCTTGCACAGGAACACGATTGCCCCCCGGCCTTCAATCTGCGCCACCGAGTCGTCGCCGAACCGCACTGTCCCAAGTACCTTCGTGTCCAGCTCGGTGAAAGCTGTACGGGAACCCGACATGTGGTTCGTGGCGCCCATGTCCACGACCCATGCCTCCTCATCACGCAGCTCCTCCTCTTCAAGGTGGGCGAACATCTTCTCTTCCCGCAGGTGGATCTGGGTCTGGGCGCCTGGCTTCCGCTCTTCTTTGGCGGCCCCTCCATTGACGGGGACCCCTTTTGCTCCCGGCGGCGGTGGGCTTGCACGCCGGAGCCAATCCTCTGCCTGCGGAGTCGCAGCAAAACGTGGTGGAGTGGAGGTTGGTGGCGGCACCGTCGATCTGGCCGTCGTTGACTTCACGAGAAGGAGCGAGGCCTCCTCCTCATTCTGGACGACGTGGGCCTGCTCTTTCTTGGGCTTGGAGCGGCACTCGCGGGCCCAGTGGCCCAGCTTCCCGCATCTCTTGCACTCATCACCTCTGGGCCGGCCTGAGTTGCCCGTCATGCCGCCTGATGACGAGCCCTTGTCGCTGCCACGGCCGCGCCCGCGCCCGCGCCCATGTCTGACACGGTGCGTCACGCTGCTGCTACCTCCACCACTAGTTTTCTCATTATCACGCTTCCTCCGCCGTGCATCCCACTCTTCCTCAGTCAGGTGCAGCTTGCCGTCGTGGTGCATAGCCGACGGCAGTTCCTCGAAGGCATCCTCCGCCGCCTTGAGCCGACCCGTCAAATCCGCGACAGTGAGCGTCGACACGTCGAGCAGCATCGTGATCGCGACCACGATCTGCCTGAAATGCTGGGGAACACTGCGGATTATCTTCTTCACTACCTGCGTCTCTTCGACCTTGTCGCCGAGGGTGTTGAGAGTCGACGCCATGCTGTTGAGACGCAGCGCGTAGTCCTCAACAGACTCTCCCTCCTTGAACGTCGCCGAGTCGAACTGCCGCCGCAAGTTCTGAGCCGACGCTTTCTTTACGCGGTCATCGCCGATCCGCATGGTGGCGATAGCCTCCCAGGCCTTCTTGGCCGTCTCCTTGTTCGCGATCACCGGCCACATTTCCGACGGCACGGCGCTGCAGAGCGCGTCAAGCGCCTGCATGTCTTCGTGGGGTTCGACGCCCCCTTTCTCAATGGCGGTCCAGAGCAACCGGGCTCTGAGCTTGACCTTCATGAGCAGTGCCCAGTCGGAGTAGTTGGTCTTGGTGAGCATTGGGAACCCGGTCCCGGCGCTCACCTCACGAATCACCCTCTGGACCACTCCGTCCTTTCCTCCTGCCATAGCGCGTCTCGATTGCGCGTTCTCGATTCCAACGGCTGTACCTTGCCGCGATCGAGTCCCGGCCCACAACCTGGGAGCTCTGATACCACTTGTTAGAAACTCGCCGGAGAGACGACGTCAGTTAAGACGTCGCCGGCGAGATCACCTTCTGAGTCACAGGAAAAACCCAGCAGGAGGAACAAGGAAGACTATCTCGCTCATTGAAAACCTCTTACAGCCCTCTTTAAATAAGAGAGCAACAAAAGGAGAAAAGGAATAACCGTAAGCAATAAGCAACCTGTTACAGCTCTAGGCGGTGTGCCTCGAGACGTGTAAGGCTTATGCCGTTACGCGAAACGACGTGGAAGACATGCAAGGCTCCCCGTTCACGACAATCCCGAGCCGTCGCAGAGAACCAGATCTCTCCCACGGCCATCGTCCTGAAATGAAAAATGAGCGCGCGCCGTTGAATCAGCAAGAAAATAAACGACTCCGCAAGAAAAATTTCTGAACGAGGGCGGCGACCACCCCACGAGGGAGGAGGGACGGTCAGAAGGACAAGAGCCCTGCGGCTCGCCGGAGCCTCTCGTAGGAGACCCGGACTTGGATTGCTGTTGCATATTCAGCTCCTGTAGCAGCTGCTACTGCTGTTTTCTTGATCTACCCTATTGGTCAAGGAAGTTTTTCTGACACGAACTGCCAGGGACCAAGCCTGGCCCAGGTGGGGAGGAAGCCCTTCCACAGCGGCCCCACGCTCTCGAATCTCACTGTCTTCTTAACCAAGCAATCCTAGGAACTTGCGTAGACGGCGCTCGACTCTCTGCCCCCTCCTGGTTCATCATCCTAGTCTTTATCACGTCGTCGGCGGGGCAGCTCAGGGCCGTCGCAGAGAGACCCGACGCGAAGGAAGCCAAGGTGTGGGCGTAGACGCCGTCACCGCAGGCCTGGTTGGCGATGACGAACCTCTTCGCCTGGTCGTAGCAGGCTAGCTCGCCCATATTGACGAAGAACGCTCGCTGGGCATTGGGGACGAACCCCCTCCACAGCCCTCGAACGCCCTCCGCTTGTACGATCTTCTGGAGAGCGTCGGTGACCCCGGCGTATCGCGGCTTGAGCCCCTGGCTCCAGAGGCTACCGTCCGCCTGCATCCGGACCTTCACGAGGTCCGCTGGACTGGCCGCGATCTGCAGCACGCGAGCGATCCACAGGGAACCATTCGAAAGAGGACAGGAGGGACGATCCTGAGCGGAGTGTAGACGAAGTGCCGGAGCACGGCCGGGGGCAGGCCCCTGTACAACCCTGAGACGCCGCCGTTCTCCCTCGCGAGCACGGCCGGAGCAGGAGCCTCGTCTTCACGGCGTCGATGGGGAAGGTCGCTGACTCGGTCCTCTCCCTCCGCCTGCCGCCCCGGGAGCTGTCACCCGACGCCATAGCCGGGGCCTGCTCGATCGCCGACGTAAATTACCCAGTCCGTGGAATGTTTATTCGGATTGCATAAACTAATGATGACGAGGGCCGATGGGCGAAGATCTTTGGGCATGGAAGAGGAAACAGAGGAAGAAGAAACTGAAAGGATCCATCACTGCGCCTTCCGACGAGGATATCTACAGCTACGAAGCACCTTGTTTACAACAAAAAAGACGAAAATCCTTCTCTCGATCTGTTTTGTCGCGTGCAAGGCAGTTTGACTTCTCTTGGAGAGTGCTCACGCCAAGATTCTTCAGCCCGTGCGGAGAGGAGGATTATCAGAAGGCATCGTGAAGGCCAGCTCGCTGCAGCAGCTGATTGACACCAGAGGCCGAGTGCCCCGCACCTTTCTAAAGACCTCATTTTTCTCCGTTGGGATTTAGTACCCTAAGATTGTGAAGCTGAATTAGTAGTACATGTCATATACTGGGCGTCTGCTTTACGAACTTATGTGCGTTTTTCTGGCGATAATTACGCATACAAGTCACTGGGTTCTCAAGGGCATCCGACTAACAGTGACTGTGACTCCTCATACCCGTTTTAACTTGTTCTCGTCAGAGTAAAAATCAAAAGACTTGAACCGGCCTTCAGATTATATATATGAATAAGAGGGGCTTATTTGTTACATGTACAGCAGATTCCTGCCGGCCTTCGACTATTCCAGCTAGCCCTCCAGGCATCATCATATTAAACAAACAATGTGGTGGATGTAGCCAAGTCCTCTCCACAGCTAGCCAGGATCTCAAAGGGCATCCCTACAGAAAGGGAAGCTCAATCAGCAGGCGGTGCTTAAAACATGGTTAACCTTGAATGTTAGAGATTCATCAACTGGATAATATACGACACCACCGATCCTAGATCCCATATTTTTCCAACCAAAAAAAAGAAAAAGAAAAAGAAAAAGAAAAAGAGGAAGAGATCAAAAAATGGTTCATTATGCATAGGAAAGAAGCCAATCTTCAGTAGAGAATGACGCTCATTTAGAGAAATAAATAAGGAAGGGCAGCTAAAAACCGCTGTTAAATCAGGTTTTAAAGCCACCGGTTCATAAACCGGTGGATAGAAAGCTATGAAAAATTCGATCTTTCTTCTGGAGGGCACACGCAGAGATTAGTATATACATGAAACGGAAACTACAATAATACTCACACAAAATAGAAAAAGTATGTAAGAATGATTCTTTCTGCACAAAATGGAAAGAAGGATATTTCTGTGACATAGAAATATGAATCTTCGATAGAGAATGGTAGTCATTCAGAGAAGTAAATTAAGAAGGCCTTTATTCCAGGGGGATATGCAGAGATTCATATTTCTGTGACATAGAAATAGTACTAATACTCACAAAAGATCCCAATCTTCCACAGACAGATCGAGTGCTTTGTATTGTCCATCTTCCGTCAAAATCTATCAAAGCATCATAATATACGTAATTTCCACATTTATCACAAGACGCTACCAAGTACGCATGTAAAGAAAAAAATCTCTTACAGTATGTTTCCTTGACTGGCTGTCAAACTCTGATATCACTCCTCCGTAGTACCTAGACATTTTGGTGCCTTGTTACTGACAGGAAAGTTTTACGAATCGAACAGAAACTAATTCAATTGTCGGCATAATGATGCATCTAAATATACATAAAGGGCCAGCATATATGATCATAAACGTATCCAGCATACAAAAGACGGGACAACGAATCCACAGAATGTCAAGCAATTGCATTCCAGGTCCAGTCACAAAATGGGATAAGAGAACTGAGTAATGGGCATCTGTTTGTAGACTTCACAGCAACTTCACACCATTGATGATAAAATCCAGGAAAAACGAAACCTTAGATATGATACTTTACTCACGACCATTTTAGATAGAATATTATGGAGGTTATTGATAGAAGAGCATCTTCCCTATTATCTTTATATGTACTATATTTAACTCTGCTTTACACATGTACTCGGGTAAATAAAAATTGCAATGTACGGTCTACATCTGTCATCTGGTATCTAATCGATTTCTTCAACCTTCGTTTCTTGATCTTCTGAGTCAGCAAGTCCTCCAGAATTCAAAGCTCGCCGTTCTCTCATGCCAGCTACTGTTGAAAGCTCAGGCTTCCCTTCAGGCATGGACTTGCTCCCTCTCGCGCTTCCCTTCTGTCTTCTTCATACAATGGAAAAGGTCTCTCAGCCATTGCATTCATCGCAAGCCAACGATTAGCTTAATTTTCATCAGTACAATATATTAATGTTAAGTAAATGGGTCCAGCCACTGATAGTCCAGCAAACATGACTGACAAACAGACATAAAATCAACAGAGTCAACATCCATCCGAGAGGCTTTGATCCCACGAAATATATTTCGTCACATGGCATTGTTTTTCAGTTGGTGAGCCGCCACTACCATCAAATCTTGATATTCCAAGGACACATGTTTAGCTATTGTGTAGATCAGCATGCTCACGGGCAAGTTTTGAGGTTATGTTAATGGCTTAATCACCGGAGTATTGAGAGACCTCCGGTCTCCATTTCCCATTCAGGTCCCTCATCTAGTACTGCCAAGAGCCTTATCAATGCACCCACGAAATCTGTGATGGACAATGATTCTTCAACTGTGAAGAGAAGGAAGAAATTCAGACAATGTCATCATTTGTTAAATCTGTTGTTTTGCTGATTTTTCTGTTAGTCCGGAATTATTTGGTATCACTGATTAAAGCATTGAATGGCTTTACACGGCAGAAGGCAATCTTCAAGTGTGAAGTGCTCGTGAATATTAAGTGCAAAATGTGTTTGATAAACTTCCTCAGGGCGACGAGCTCTCTCCATGATTCCTTGAATCAACCTCACCTAATTTAGGGGATGCTCAGATCTCCAGATCACTTATTTACTTATGCCACATGCATGATCATCATAAGCTACAGTTATTATCCAACTTTCACCTAAAGTTGAAGTTCTCCCATGAATTCTTCGTCATTTACATGTCTATTATCATAGTTACTGAAACTAAAATAAGTACTAAATAGGCATGACTTCCCGTTCTCGGTTCTTCGGCTCCTTGAAATATGGCTTTAGCCGCCCGACCTCCACAAAGACCTTGCCTGGAGACACCATTCGTTCTCCAACTTGATTCTTCTACAATTATCGTCATCTTCCAGGTCCTTCGAGATGCTTGCCAGAAGCTTCCTCAGTGGTCACCAGATTGATCCTTTCAAACATCCTAGACACCTCTATTGCCACATTCTGCTGCCACTTCGGCTCACTTTTGTGCTTTTTTAAAAGACGAAATCTGTATCCTATCTTTATCTGATCAACATCATGCTGTCTTCTGTTCTATTTTGCTAGTCTCCTCAAGAGCGTCCTTATTCTTATCTTAGATTATCATGGTCAGCATTTCATCAGTTGAACCTAGTCTGTTTTCCTACAGCCACATTAATGCACAAAATTCTCTCCCCAAACAACCAACAGTGCTTGCCAAAGATATAAGCCTCAGGGATCATTAATATTGTAGTTAGGATCCGTTAGCTCACGTTTCACAATGTCCCCCCTCTTCGCATCCTTCTCTTAGAACTTTTTCTTCCTTTCTATTCGTAATCCTCCACCTCCTCTGTCTATGAGTCTGGGTTTTACTCTAGAAGAAAAAGCCTCCTCTAGCTCCTGCTGCCTCACCCCTAGGCCTTCACTGCCTCCTTATCCCATTACTGTCCAAAGTGTACACTGATTGTCTTCACGATATTTATCCAGCTCTCAATCAAACTTACATGTGATATTTATTTAGCCCCAAAAGTAAGCTAATCATGACCAGCGTTTCATTCTCAAACGTTCAACGAAACAGATTTGTAGCCGTTATCCTATGATTTCATGGGAACCGAGATTTCAGAAAAGTCGTTCATTTCTTCCTTTCTTTCTTGAAACAGGATAAATGCAGATGTAGCCTCACCACAATGCTTCCTGAGAAAAAAGATGCATTTTTGGTCGTATACTACTTCCCCAATCGCACCAGATTCAACAATTCATGATCGTGACAAAAGCTGGCAACCAAACTAAATGCATGCTTTTAAATATTAACAAAGGATTTTTTGGTACCTTCGACTTCTCGAGCACCATACTTTTATGACAGCGTTAATGCAGTTCAGAAAGGGGGCAGGGATACCATGGGATGACGACATATGTGAATTCCCTGCCAAAAGCATGCAGCTAACAATTAGAATATGAAGCATTCGGCTACTTTTCGTTCCTGTGGCTAATTAAGAAACTCTTAACGCGTCTGTAAATTAAAGAATATTTCCAGTTAAAAGAAAGCATTTACCTAGTTGCGACGTACAACTCACCAAGCCCTAGCAAAAAAGGTTCGGCATGTGAGTTGAATGTGACACACGTTTAACAAATAAAATGAAAACTACAACACCGTCTCCTTTGGACATGGCAAATGACTGGTAGATGTTGTAGAATAGCTCCGAATAAAAATAATTATGGATAACCAAGAGTCTCTTGTCCACGATTTTAGAGGACCTCTTTCAAAGATTAAAGACTAGGTCTCGTACACTGAGTTAAAATATGGATGGACCAATATGAATTAGCATGTTCTCTAATATCTATTGTTTAGAAAATTTTCAGCATGTAAGGCATGATCTGATTCAAACTTTTAGAGGAATCATATAATATCTAGGAGTGACAATATCAAACAGGACAAAAAAAGTGAATGTTTATGAAGAAAACAAAATTTCCTGACTGGAAACAATTTCCCATGGATGCTTACTGAGAAGAGAAGACGAACCAGATAAAGTTGTTTTCATGTACAAAGCAAATAAGAAAATCTGTTATATATTTTTTTATCACGTAAAGCAGTCTAATACAAAAACATGCAGAAAGAAAAGTCGATCAGCCTCTGTCCTGGCCTCACCACCCGATACCCACGTGTCAAGTAATGAGTAGTAAATTCCTATGTCTGAAGAACAGTAGCGCTCAACCCAGTGGAAAGAACAAGAAGAGACGCCAATAGTTACAAGCAAAAGTTCCCAATGATGATTTCTCTAACAGACAACTTACATCATTCCCACGGAGAAATCCTCCAAGCTGAACTAACTGAACAGTAGCGTCGGAAGATGATGGTTTCAACTTGCTTGGCTTGTTACCAAGTTTCCTCCTACAGCCTATGGCACCACAATGGCAATCTTGGTCTGCTCCGAATTGAACAAACCTGTGAATTTTAATAGGTCTCCAAAAGTAAATAGAAAGATGAGAAAATAATAGTGTGGGAAAGATCATCAAGTGAAGCATTAGGAACTGAAATCCTAATCAAAGTAATAACAATAGAGACAAGCGGGAAACATTAGCAAGTTTCAAATGAGTAAAACATACTGATAGTCGTATGTAAGATCCTCTCCCTTCTTAATGTTCCGTATTGCAAATATGCCAATTCGAGTTTCGCCATTGATTATCCTATAAAATGAGTTGGACAAAGATAATCAAAGAAAGAGATTGCCAATACAGGATGACTTATTATGCGTTGATATGGTATGATACGAACAAGCATTGGTGGATTCGGAAATTATTGGACTATCAAGTATGGTCCCTAATTATGCTGCAAAAAGCTTATTCGTCCATCAGGATTGTTGACTGGACAAAATAGTCATTATTGGAAAGGCTAATCCCGAAAGGAATTTCATGGCAAATGTAAAGGTTTTATTAGATATTTAAAGACATCGTGCAATGGAATCTGGATGTATGAATGGTTCCAAGGCAATACCATCTGAATGTATGAGATAGGCAAAGACAAGTCAATCTCATTGAGGTACACGAAAAGTCGTACATAAATCTGTTAATGGAACATGAAGCTCATGTATAATAAATATCATGATATGCATGGATGGCAGGTCTATATTGTAGACGATTATATTACTTGAAGTTACCCAATACCATTCAGGAGCACACTAAGAAAATTCATTGTTTTTCTAGCTCTCACAAATACGAGAAAAAACTCAATAATACTTACAATATGCAGACCTCTTTAAAATAATTAGACACGTTCATAACAGCTTAAAATTTTTATTCAATACCTCATACCACGTGAAACCAAAAGACACAGCCATTCAATAAAACTTGAACAGATGATGCTATCAATATGATGAGCACAGCTTGGCAGCATATGTCAACATACATAGGAGGCATACACTGGAGTATCAATGAATACTATTTGACTGACAATCTGGACCAGTACGAAGACAAGCAAGTTACTCTTTCAGGTATTGTGAAAAATGTCTAGTACCAAGCTAGAAAACGAGTTATAGAATGAAAGAAAAAAAGAGTTTAGTGGGGACCACTTCTGCATTTCAGTGTTGGGTTTGCAACTATGATTTATATATCTTGACTTGTTTCCTTTGAAAGTTGCATCAATCACCATATCACGATTAATCTCACAGAGATAAAAGTTTGTTTCTCCACGGTGCTTCATTTGCCAAAGTCGATCCTCACAGGTTTTATCGTCAATAACTGCAAGAGTGTTTTACAAGCTTAATATTCAAGCAAATTACAATAAAGTATTAAATGCGTGTCAAATATTTACGAGATCACCTTCACCCACATATTCAATAACAAATTCTCCTTGCTTTATATCTTCATTTGCAATAATGCCTGATCCACATTTTTCAGTCTGCATGAAATGTTTGTATAGATAATGTGACTATAAGAGGGATTGATAAAGAGGAATAACAGTCAACAGTAGAAAGATCAATCACCGGCAACTAATTTTATCATCATCCAAGTAAGAATAATAAAATGATAAGAAAAATGGGATAAAACTTCAAATGTTCCGTTTTAAACTATAAACTAACATATTTCTCCCAATATTCTATTTCTGTATTGGTGCAGGTGCTTCCTCCCGACATCATGTTATCCTTAAGCTCTCCTTCCAATCCCAGTCCCAGGAAATCGGCTATTAATAGATTATTCTTTTCTAGCAACCAACCAACCAATTGTCAAAGTTCGTTTTCCTCCCCTCCAGTTTATGGGAACAATGGCACTTTGTTCCAAAAATTCCAGAAGATGATGGATGGTTCCCCATATAAATCCTCATGTCACAGGCATTAAGTTGTGCTTATCAACAATTGTCTATGCTTGCATGCTAACTACATGCCATCCCATGTTTACTGAAGGTCCCGTAGTTAGTCTTCCTCAAAATGACAAAAAGCCAATGATGTCATCCATGAGCAATTGGTACCCCTCCCATTCGTGAATCATGAGAGGTACCAAGCTCATCAGCTGGAAGGGAAAACACGGACGGATTCCAAAAATCCAGCTTTTCACCAATAGCTGCGGTTTTGGTGAAAAGCTGGTCAGCATCAAAGTCACCAAGTCAGCATAAAACCCACAAAAATGGTCAGCATCAGCAGCTTTACACTAGACTACGATAATGCTTCACAACTTCTCGTTAGAACCCAGTGCCATTAAACTAGAAAAAGGTGAAGAGTCTAATGGAACTCTATTTGACAATGGAATCCTCAAATAAATATTACTTTCATTAGAAACAAGGATGATGTCATAACTAAATACTTAGTAACAATGTGCTTTGAGAGAAATCTGCATCACCTTCATATCACTTCCATCTGCAGAGAATTAGATGAGTCTTGAGATTCTGGATTATTAAGGAAATAAAAAGAATAAACCTTGATTTTACACCGGATTCTGGAGACTAACTTTCACCAAATGACACCTAAGTTCATCGTGAATGTGAGCTATATGATATGGTTAGACCAGCATATTCAAACCAACTCTCATGAATTTGATCATCATATTTTGGCTTTGTTTTCTCCTGCCTAAAACTCTCCAAAAATCCATTAAACATGATCGCTAAAAATATTAATCCCTAAGTAAAACATAAACAAAGAAAATTTGCGGATGGAACTTCCCCCAGGAATGTGACAAGTTCTATAGATAGGTAAAGTGTTGAGAAGAGAATATACTGCAGCTCAGGGTTTCTGTGGCCACGCTAGACACATGAGATTCATCGTATTTCACATTTAGAAACTGTGCGATTCCAATTCTCAATTAATCTTGCATTATTTTTGTATGTCCTGAATTCGGAAAATCAACAATGCACTAGTTCCCTCAAATCTTTATCTGCTTGTGCAATTCTTTTTAACTTAACCATTTTCCATTCAACAAAGTAAAATGCCAAAATTCATAACCTGTGTCTGTGGAACGTGACTAATTTTGGAAACAACGTAAAAGTTAGCACAACATAATGGTTAACATAAATATGAAAGAGAAATTCAGTAAATAAAATTTAAAATATACCTATACCTGAACTAGTTTCATTTTCTTCACAGGGCGGTGCTGAAATGGTTTGTTTAGACACTTACCACCACAATTACAGTTTTGGGAACAACTAGACAAGAGAGCCCTGTCAAAAATTAAGACGTTAAAGAAAACAAGAAAATTGATTTTACAACATGATGTTCTCAGTAAACTCTACACCCGAAACAAAGCAACAACAGAGTACGGAAATCTACTAAAATCGAGTTCTTATAATGTTGGTCATAACCAGTGACCAAGAAGAAACGTTATTTTCTGAAAGGAAATAAATAAAAAATTGGGGAGCAGCAGGAGAGGGTAAATGCTGAACATTACCCACACAAACAATCTCTACCACAAATAGTTGATCCTGGTGATGAACTGCACGAACAGAATATGCCATCGTTGTCTACACGCATTTTTGTCTTCTTGAAGAGGTAGACATCTTGACTGAGTTAAGAAAAAGAGGGAGAACTTCCAATGAAAGAAATTCGAACTCTCTATATTCTTGTTGGTATGCCACATGACCAAAATGGAATAATCACAAAGGAGCTCATGCCCATATATTTGTAACCGGCATCAATACGATCAAACTAATCATATACGATTATATCACATAAAGACAGAAAAATAACAACAAAAGCAAGAAGCGCACATATATCAAAATAGATGATATCCATAAACCGATGAAAGCAAAATAATCGTAAGGGTTCAGATCATCTGTGCATTTCTGGTTCAACGGTAGCAAAGACGAATGCCTTCACATTCCTAATGAGAATCTAGAGAGAACATAAACAGAGAGACTTAGCAGTCTGACATCTTTCCCCGTTTCCCTGGATACTGCGCTTGATATAAGTGTATGGCACCATTTTCTTTTTCATCAACCAGTCTGGTAGCTTGAACTCTACAGGAGTTCTCGGGTACTGAAACATTTGGTCAAATATATCTCCATACTCTGTCCCCTGCTCATAAACTAAAAGATCAAGTGAGAATCCAGAAGAGAAGAAAATTATGAATTCATAAGAGCCAGCTTTTCCATGCGAAAATGAAAATCTCCAACTGAGAATTACTGGACAAAAGCTCGTTAAGATTGAGACCCCTAGCCAAATAGAGGCTTGCCCAGGAATCAGCCACAAGAAATACGATCCTAAATTCGACATCCACTGTCACATAGGATCGGACAGGCAACTGAACAGAAAGAAAATAAGTAGCCATGTATGATTTCAGTTAGAAAATAAAATTCCCTCAAAACAACATTTGCAGATGCCAAATGCATGATTCATATACCATTGAGTAAGTTTAGGAGTCAAAACTACAATAATATAATCAGTAAGAGGCTGTCTCTGGCACAATCAGTTTGTGGGAAAATTCTGGAAGATACATATGAAAGGCTACTGTCATTACGACCTCTGAGCTATTGAGAATGGGAATACTAATGACATAGATACAGTATCGAGAATCAAATTCTAGCGACACATTATACACTAGAAAATACTATATTTTTTCGGTCTATTTATTTTCTAAAAAATGAATAAAGGAATATTTGATAAACAACCTACTAAGTTGAATTGTGCACAATAAGTTTATCAACATCATGAAATATACATTAAATGCCACAATTAATTGGACTTAATCAAAATAACTAATGGAGAGTACTTTAGAATTTAGATATGCTTGCAAACAACTTCAGCAACGTCTCATTTATAGAAGGCCTAGACAGTAATTGGTCACAACTATAAAAACGGAAGCTCTCCACTTTTCTGTAGGACAAAGAATATTCATCAACCCACTATGTGAAGTTATTGAATCTCTAATCAAAATTCAACCAACAAAAAAGAAGATACTGGGAGATGGGATATAAGCATAGGAAACCAGAAGATATCATTTTCAAAATAGGGGGGAAATCGTAGCAAGTTTTGGTTGAAAAATGTAGTGCATAAAGCTGTTCCAGAGTCAGATACAGAAGAAATGGCAAACAGGGGCTATTAAGGCAGGAATACTAGAGCTTAGATTTATACAAGTAAATGGAATAATCAAAGAACTCCAGCCATCCTCTTCTGTGAATACTCCAGCATAGATGTCACTCAATTTGCACTTGATCTTATGTTTCATAGTCATCTCTTTATATCCATCTAATAATAATTTGAAAGCTGCTCATAGCTTTTCTTTGGACAATTCCATAAAATATGCCATCTTATTGTTCACTTCATGGGACCATCGATGCTTTCATCTCCACCACCAAAAGCATTCTTCTTAAGAAGGATACACCCATATTTCTCTTCTTCGTCCCAGATATCCCTATCATCCAGTATGCAATATTTGTCAGAGACTGTCTTTTTCAGTACTCCCAAAAAGTATCTTACAAACATCAGTGCAGAACAGCAGATGATATCTCTGTAACTTCAGAGTTTTTTGATGAATTTCTAGTAGAATCCTTTAAGTGAGTGTCGAACAAAATGTCAGCCAATTTGGTAAAACTCAGAAGAAAACAACTTCGATTTTACCCACATTGTTTTTACACCAATACTTCAACAAACAAAATCACGAGGGAGTTTTAAAAAAGTGATAAATATGTACATAAATTAAAAGAACCCCATACTGGAGCACGCTAACAGTCTAGACACAAATAAGAATTAAAGAAGCAAATGAATAAAGCAAAATAGACTCAAGAAAGCCAACAAAACACCATCAACAAAATCAAACGGGACCAATAACACTGATAATATATTCAAAAGTCCGTAAAACAGGGCAACATAATCATACTGCACAGTCTATACCCGTAAACAAGTTTCTGTCTCAGCTTCTTTCTCTCTGTCAGATGACAATGCATCTTCTGCATGCGCATGCATAGTTTGTCCAATCTTCTAGGAAGAAAAATATAACTCTGCAGTTTTGCCTAAACAGCTGAAAGATATAACATTTATTCAGCATAAAAAGCACAAAGGCTAGAATAGGTTAGTAACAGTTAAATAACACAATTCCTAGTGGTGCATAGAAGAAGAGATCAGGACTTCAGGCTTGCTCGTCTTCTGCAGTGTGCACCAATTTTTATCATTTTCCAACAACGATAACAATAAAGAATTGCGCTGAAATTTTTTCAGCTACATGCCGGAAAAGAGAGCAGATACATGTAAGCTCATTTTAATTAAAAGCATAGTGCTCCAGCTTTACTCGCAAAGGAAGAGTAAAAAGCAATTTTAGGAAGGCACTCCTCGAACTGAAGCTATACAATTGAAAACGCAGTAATTTTTAATTGACTCCTATGTAAATTTAAAACAGAAGTGATTTTTGCCCAGGCCCATGCTTTTCTAACAAGAGCAAATCTCATTTAGTATTTACTTACCGAAGGTCCTCAAAGAGATATGTTCTACCCAAATCATTTTTAAATTAACAATAATTAATTGTGCTCATGAATTATGAATCAGAACTCTGGTTGTGAGGAACGTAATTCTGAAGGCTGATCGGATCCAAGGTATGGACCTCCTCGAATGGGTCTGGTCCATGGATCCGTTGTCTGGCCAGGGTCTTCCCAGGTCCTATACCCGGGTCTGGTGTGGACCCGGGTTCAGAACGTGGGTCCCCATGAGGTCCTAGGCTTCCCTGAACCCCCCGAACCGCTGACAAGCAGTTGCGTCCGACGGCATCCCTTCTGACGCCCATCGACCGCCGGATGTCGACCCAACCGTGCCCTACAGCCCTTCTGCCAGGTGCAAGGATTCGGGGATACCCCACAATGCCTCCTTTGTCTGGCAATCGGAGCGCAGCCGCCGGGGAGGCCTGTCCGCAACCTCCCCGACGCCTTGAGTCCCTTTCGGCCGGCTACGGAATGAGAAATGCGAGAAAAGCGGAAGGGGGTGGGGGCATACCCTTGACGGTCGGTCCGCGCCGCTGCCGCAGTCACTAGACTCGGAGGATGAGCGGAAGAAGAGCCGGGCGGGGGGCGGGGAGGGAGGGAAATCTCTCCGTGTAACCCTCGAATTGGCCTTATGTCTTGAGGTATCACTTTGACTAAACGGAGTCTTGTGCTACAATTATGTATGGTTGGAATGCTGTTGACCGAAATGAAACAACCTTTTTTCTGGTAGATATGAAGCGTATTAATTAATCTACTCAGAATGAATTTCTGTCATAGCAATTACACCATGCATTACAGAATATTATGCATTCCGATAGCCAGAGTAATGTCACTCGGAGGAGTAGTTTAGTTACAAAAATTCCTAAATGTTCGATGCATGTGAAACTAGTGAACATACAACAAAACAGTGAAGTTCATGCTTCATGTGTATACCATTTGAAGATAGAGGTGCGTCGCCACTGCAAGACTTGTGATAAAATTAACATATTATCTTTTCCACACAAAGATAGCTGCTTGCTGTTCATTTCTAGCTATTCAGATAGCTGTTTGAATCTGAGTATTAGGGGTTCCAATTGAACATAAGTCCTGGCTAATTTAAGAATTTTAGTGAAGATTAATGTACATAATCAAATACTTGGAATCACCAAGCCTTGTTCCTTTTTACATCAAAAACATCATCATGCCTATCAATATCTATACAAATAGGTTATCCATGTTAAGGATCATAATCATCCTCCTTATTGTCTGACAACAACTTGCTTGAGTGACTTATCTCTAGAAGTAACAGTTTGTGGGCTCAATGTAACCTTGATCTTTACCTAGCGCAAAGCAGAAAAAACCATCTTTGCAATTAGTCAAGATAAGTCTATACAAGTCAACTTGTGTACACAACCTGTAAGACCATTGTCACACCTACCCCCAAGCCTAAAGGCCTTAGCAAGATTTTTCACCTACTATATTATCATCTCATAGACAGGATCATTATTGAATATTGGATTTATGAATTTGAATTTTTCTATTTATTACAGAATTTTTTCACACCCCAATTGACTGAATTGTATAACAGATTAACGAGATTTAATGAAAGGGATACCATGAATAGTAAACATTATTCCATGAATTAAATCATGTATAAAATATCATAAATGACAAATTATCACAGATGATGATGGGTCTGATTTCACTTCTCATCTTGCTTCTTCTTCCTACGTAACAACCGATAAAACAGATTTCTCCTGTAACCTTTTTTGCACTGATCACTATTGACACATATGTACGAAATTGGATTTTATTTATCATCTTTTGATTGATAAGTTCAATTCACCAATGGTTGTTTCTCTCATCAGGCTATGAAAAATTGGAGGCATAGGTCTCAGATGAAATATCTAATAGAGGCAAAGGAATTTCAATAATCACTTCCTTAGAAGTACATCTATTACGATACGATTATACTTCCTTATTGCCTTACAACATACTAAACTATGTTATTTTTAGTAAAAAATATAATAATATTTAATTTGAATGTATTCCCATTGTTCTTTTATTTTTCTTAAGATATTCCTTTTGTATTTGATTGTTCTCTACTCATAAACATCTTAACAAAATGTAAGCATTCTTATTGTAGAACATAAAAGCTTCTCCTCCATCTATTAGAACATGCTTGCCGTCATAAACTCATCAGCATACAAACTGAAGTGGTGGAGACGATCTCTATTGTGTTGAATTTATGAAACTAAGGGACTCTTTCCCAATAGATGTCTTGATAAATTCAAGAGATCCAGGTATGCACCAAAACCAAGAAGATACCTTTCGTAATACATGAGAAGGATAAACTTCTTGAGAAACTCAACAGGTTTGATGTGCTCAATCACGATGATTATTCAATTATCTACTGTGATCAAGGTTGGCCATATTAAATAGAGTTCATTTTTACAAGAAACTAAATTCATCTGATGAAATGTTGGCAAAGGAGAGCGATGGTTGTAAAACTTCATTCAAAAGAAGGCTTGTGATATGGTAGGATGGGATTGCTTTCTATCACATACTGTGGAGAAGATAAAGAGCTATTACAAGTCATGACTAGGATGAAGTCAAACACATGCGGATCCTTTTGACAATTTTGCCGTTCTTTTTGATTGAAAAAACATTGATATAATTCCAAAAGTGGGTCTCTCAATTTCGCTTTTAGTTTTCAAACTATTGAGATATATATGGAAAAATAAAATATATGAGTTGATGTCGGTATCTCTCTTTGAACTAATGCTGCACAAGTAGAAATAATAGAAAACAATTAGGTGGAATTAAAAAGGTAAAATGTTATATATCTCAAGCCACTCTTGATAATAAAGCAAAAAAAAATCAATGGCCCTAAGATGCTGATTTTCCAATTCATCCAGCTGAAGAGTATGCCAAGATTGTCTTCAAATGAGATCAATAGTGTCAACCCATATAGCTTTAGACACATTAAGAAAGTTGATGTCCATTTAGTTCTTTTTGAGAACATAAAAAATTATTGAGGCTTCATATTGTGGTGTAACATATGTTCTAGAAGAGATGCTTGAAGATCTATGAAAAAATACATATTTCCTGTTAATATTAGAGAAAAATCGGTGTAGTTGGATTGATTTTGGTTCCTATTATAATACATGATAGAATGGAAGGCATTGGCGATTTTGTAATGGTTTCTAGGACATTACAACAATCGCTTGTTGTAGTGCCTTCTTATGGAGATAGTCCTTGAGAGGGCAGCATTATAGGCATTTGAAGACAAGATCATGCAGAAGAAGGGTATCTAACCTGTTCGAATAGTTAAAGTCATGAATTTTATCTAATCAGATTGCATGGGAATTTGAGTAGAGATATTTTCTACAAACTGAAATGTCTTAAATTGTACAGTTTATAATTCATAAAAATTCATTATTCTTGTAATTAATGCTCATTAAACCACCCATTTTGATACTTGGTTCATTGTGAGAAGAAAAACTATTGAGCTTGATTGTTTTGGATTGTATATGTTTTTTGGGACACATGTACTATAGTTTAATTTTAATTCTTGCACTTATAGTTTATTATTTCGAGGGCTCCTCTAGAAGGTGACAATCTACAAGGACCAATATGGCTCTTTTGGAAATATCTCTTCAAGAAATGTATGATTATAATAAGTCCCTATTTAGATAAATATGCACATGTACTTTCGACGGCTCCCTTTGTGTTGATCGACAACTATCTTGAAGTAGACAAAAAGAGAAAAGAAACATGAATCATAGATTAACTTGATTAATAATAAGAAAACTGAAGATTGTGGAAATATCTTGGAATAAGATTTTATCCTCTTGATGGTGATTCTATAAGTAAACTACTCCATTCCAAGAAAGAGAGAAAGCTATAGAACTTTGAGCCTGCAGTTTGACCTATTACACATTTAATATGTTCTTGTTTAAGAAATGAAAGTCTAATAAATGCAATTTATTTTATCAATAAATCTATAATTCATATCCATTTATTTCTTATTTCTTCAGCCTAATGAAACTTTCCAATTAATTTCTTTTTTTCCAAAAAAGATTGGAAAATTATTTTACACCATTTTAGAACTTGTCACTTAAATTATAAACATGTTATATCATCCTTAACATTAGTTTAACATATTCTAAGATTTTTCTCAGACATTGATAAATAAAGCAAGATAACTGCTCAGCAAACTATCAGGGGTGAGGCTTTATTAGATTAGTTTTCGATACATCGGAGCTATATTTATGTGACACAGATTTTTAGAGTTATATATATATCGACGCCAGTATATTTATCTAGATATGAAAATGACAAAAGCTACACAGGGTTCAACAATGAAAAGGGAGTTTGAGAGGGCATCTATGCTTTTACTATGGCAATCTGCTAACTTTAATTTTCAAGAAGTTGGGTGCATTGGGTACAAAGGTAGAAGATATTCAGAGACGACCTTTTTTGCAAAGCCATTGTATATACATATCAAGGACGACATGAGATTTCTGACAAATTATTTGCCAAGATAAAACTAATTGACACACTATTGAGCCCCATTCCCATTTGTTTTAATGGAGCTCATTGACTTCTCTGTAATCGCTGAGAATAAAAGATGTCGATCATGGAACACCAGTGTCATACAAGACGGACCCTGTGATATCTCATAGGCAAGATGCACATAGCTAGAAAATTCAAATCCAGCTGATCATTCACATGGTATGAAGACGATAACTAATATTTTAAATTAGGTCCCTCTTCTTTTAGCATCTGGCTAACAGATTAGAGGACACCATACTCGGGCAGAATTCATGCAGATGTTGTTTCTCATCAGGTTTAAGCCATTTCATCACATACACTTCGTAACATGATTGCTAGTGCCATATCCTTGATAGGGAACTACACAGAAAACGGGTCCACCAACTGGATCGTTGATTTGATGCAGCTGTTTCACATCTTTCCGATTGCACCTCGCTCTCCTGGTGAAGAACGCATTATTTTTCGTGCATATATCTTCGATTCTAGCTCGAACTACGCATGGATTTGTTCCAAAGAAAACATAGATGCAGTGCGTGTGCATGATAATGGCCGCCTTTGAATTTTGAATGATTATCGAAAGTTTCTTCAATAAAGGATGCAGCAGAGCTATCACTGTCCGGAGGATGTGTTGGCCATCGCTATAGCTATGTATATCGGCCAATGAAAATGGAAGCTTGCACCACGTCTACGGACGCTGCATGCAAGGGGTTTTTATGGGAGAACAAATATAGATGAAGCCCTGAAAAATGTGAGTGATTGCTGACAGCATATCGCTTAATCTATTTAACGGGGGCCAGAGTCAAATCATCACATTGATAGAAGCATCAACACTGGAAGAACTAGTATTTATGCGGACTAATGAAACAGGAGAGGTTGGCTTTCGACATTGTTACAGGAACTTCTGAATGACCGAGTGTCATTATTTCGTACTGATCTCATTTCCCGGATCAACAGCTTTCTATGTGCTGGCACATCATGTTATACGTATATAAACAAATTGAGCGGTGAAAGTGGGGGATTGGGGAGCCGAACCTTACTTTTCTTGTTATTTTCCCTCTTGATCCCAACCGCATCAACATTTCAGGGTTCTATGCTCTCTTCACTCAGTAACTACACAAGCTGCAAGGAGATGACCAATCAAGAAATCACAGAATATGATGGTGTATCATCTATAGATTTGGGTAAAAATAAACCAAAAAAAAGGTCACATACACCACCACAAAAAAAAAGAATTAAAGCAGAATGACGTTATAGATAAATGCACATATTTGCTCCTAGTTTCTCTTAAGATTTTACTCCCTACTACACTGTTATTCAGTCAACAGCGGCTGAAAGGACAAATTTGTCAGGGGACAGACGAAACTAAGTGAAATGAGTTCATAGATTGCTGAAATGGAATTGAGTGCTCTAATTTCAAAATTGGGTAGGCATAGCGTATCTACACCAAGGAAACATCTTCAGTTAAGAGTCAACCAATTTTTACGACCAAGATCAAAAGTTCCCCTTAAGGACATCAACCTCTGCTTGATCAATACCCATCACCTTTGCCAAATATTATTTCTGTACCTTAGTCTGCCATCTTTAAACCAGAAAAGCTTGTCATTTCATCACATGATACCCTACAGCGATTTGAATCCTCTTAAACTTCATGATAGACGGAACTCCATGAAGCCTGATAAATCTCCCTTTCTTGTGGCCATTGACTTCTGTCCAGCCTTCCTAAGAACTGTAAATTTAATATCATGACACCGCAACCTGAGCCATTCCAGCTCTCACTTTAATTTCTATCGCGCTAACCTCTTCTAGCCCTCTTTGTGGGCGGATTTGTACCGCCTCCAGAAAAAAACATTGAATTAGCACTGAACTTGAAGTCTGTTTATTCACCCTTTTTTCCACTGTGATCTGAACATTATTACATTCCCTCAGTGCCAGAGATGCTTTGACTGACATAACATCAACACTCGAACAATATAATTTGAAGCTGTCCAGTCAATGGATACCAATAGGAAAAACCTCCAACCAAGATTTGATGGTCTGTTTATCAAAAGTAGACTACTCTACTCTGCTCCACATTCCCAGAGCTTTTCTCTCTGTTCAATCCCTTCCACTCTGGCCAGTGATTTCAGAACCCTACCCATAAATTCCACAGCTCATTCCGAGGTCAGCTCCTCTTCTTCTAGGCTCTAAATCTATCAATCCATTAACCTCCATCGCCTTCTTCTTAGCCCTAAATTGACTAATCCATCCTCTCAATTCTTACAGAATGATCCTATCAGGCACCATCCGCGGCAAGGGGTGTGCTATCCAACACCTATGATATCGGAACTCCATGGAAGAACAGCTACTGGCCTGCAGGGCGTTCAGGTGGTCAACGAAAAGATTCAGCCCTATATTTCACGCCAATTGACTGTCCTCGAACATATATGGTGGGCATGATCGCGCAGTCACAATATCTTGCGTTATCTGGTCTAAGGCGCCCTACAAGTTTATTAGATAATTTGACAATTACCCACAATGATTTTCCTTTTGACATCACTTTAACCAATCGCCTGAACACTTCTCCTCTACCTCCTTTGACCCATGTATGAGATCCAGAGATGACAATGGAAAATGAGAACTCTCCACTGTAGCAGCTCGTCTCAATGACGTCCTGTGCTGTCCCCTTCTCTCATACTAAACCTAACTTGTTGGCCGGTTTTCCAATGGTGGATGCTGATGTCCTTTTAAGCTGATGGTTGCGGCCGCCCAATGCTAAAGATGAGAACAAGTTTTGACTGGTTACTATCAATTTGAAACTTCCTCATAAGGTAATGTCCCTAAAGGACTAACATCACATGGTTTCCACTCGTAGATGCTCTCTTATCTCTTTGATGTAGAGCGCCTAAAGCTGGTAAGCAAGGCTGAAAACCAAGCGGCCATAAAAGAAAAGAATGAGTAAAAGCCTTGAACAGAGCAGTTCCAGTCGTTCCTCAACAGAAACTCTTCTGACCATTCATGTTGGACGAGGAACAAATGCATCAAATGTAGAGCTAAATAAAATATGTTGGGTAAAACTCCACAATGAATAACTCAATCAAAAGAAGCCTCATAATAGTTCGCATAGCATTTGAAAATGAACGGAGAAGGTAACGACCTATATCACCAACGTCGTCATTTGCAGCATCCTATGACAGAACTATAAACAGGAGAGAGCAGGGCATAATTCAATCCAATGTTCAGAGGAGGAAACTAATGTCTGTCAACTTGAATACATGGGGGGAAAAACCTTTGTGTTGTCAGTCTTGATTGCTCGATGGTCACTTCCCAAAGATCAAGTTCATAATGCTCCTGAAAACATGGCCACGCTTGCCCAGGTGCTCCCTAACAGCCTTCTCGTTTGGCGCGAAACCCTTAGCCCGCAGCTCCTCCAGCAACGCCTTTGCCCCGTCGGCCTTGTCCTCCCTCACAAAAGCCTCAAATACAGAAGTATACGTGCTTACATTAGGCTTCATTCCCTTCTCCAGCATGTCCAGGACGCACTTCCTCGCCTCCTTCAGTTTGCCGTCTTTCGCGAGGCCCTTGATCAGGACTGAGTAGGTGTACGCATTGGGGTTAACTCCCGAGGCGACCATCCGTTCATATGTCTTGAGGGCCTCCTTGGAGTGGCCTCCAGCATTGGCGTACGCTTCGATGACGGCAGTGTGAGCCACCACGTCGGGCATGGCACCCTTGTCCTTGATCTGAGAGAAGAGAGCAAGAGCCTCGTGGGTGAGGCCGTCCTTTGACAATCCGTCGAACATCTTGATAGCGTAGTTGGTGAGGCCCTCAGTCCGCATCTTGTGGAAGATCTCCTGAAGATCTTTGGGGTCCTTGGGTTCCTCGATGACGGGCTTCTTGTTGAAGGGGTCGTAGGGTGGAGGCAGTTCGCTTTTGTCCAAAGGTGCCTTCTTAGCCGGCGATGGCTCCTTTGTATTGTCCGCGCCGTCTTCCTCGTCAGACCAATCGAACGAGGCATCGGTGTTGGTGAACCTAGGGGACGAAGGCTTTAAAGATGCGGAGGTGGTGAAGGCCCTGTCGCTGCAGCTATGGACAGAGGGCCTCGACCAGTGGAAGCAGGGAGCAGCTCGCCCGGAGGATGAGAGGGCTGGTACAGGAGGCGGTGTTGCCGCCGCTCGCGCCGAAACAGATGAGAGCGGGAAAAAGGCAACAGGGGCGGCCAAGGGGGAGCAATAACTGTGGCGGAGGAGAAGAGAGAAGAGGCGCCTCTGGAACTGCGGCAGCTCAGAGAAGATGAAAAAGCGGTGCCGCAGGATGAACGCCATCGCCGACGCAGATGCTGCTGCCATGCCTACGAGGGAACGAGAGAGAGGCAACGGCAAGAGGACGGACAGGCAAAAGATTAGGGCTTTGCAGTCCGCGCGGGTTTCCGGGAGGAGGTGAACGAGGGATCCGGGGCTTGTACAGGCTGTACTAACCTGCTGAGGTTCGAAGGCAACAGCATATATTTCATAATCAACGGATCGAATTAAGCACTGTGGGCTAACGCCAAACGGTCAACGATGCATCCAGAATATTTCGCTTTATTGAGAAAAAACTTCAATTGAAGTCTCAAGCCAGCTAGGTACCACTGACCGATGCAGACAGTTTTTACGGTAATAGCAGCGACCTTAAAAATGAAATTTTTGTCGACCTCGGCACCAGTTTGCTGTGCGTCCCAACATATCAGGGATTGAAATCTGAGCGTGCCCAAGAATGCAATATAGTTACCACGTCTAGGTTCATGTCTCCAGTGACACTTGAGACTACTGCATGAGTTGTTTGCTCTCATTCACGAGCCAATGGTCCTTTGGACATCGTAAATTTACTGAGAAGAAAACAGCGGCTGCGGAGACGACGTGGAAGGTCTTATTCCCTGCGAAGACGATGGTGGTAAGCGACGTGTGTTTATTCCCCGCCGGCGCAGTCTACGGCGGCGACGAGGCCTCGGCGGCCGCGTTCTTGGCGAGAGGAGAGGGCGTCAGGGCGAGGGTGGACATCCGTTGGGACTGACGGGAGATGATCGCCGCCGTGGAGGGGCAGTCGGAGAAGACCACCTCATACCCGTCCCCGAAATCGCTCATGCCCTGGACGAGCAGCTGCCAGAACACGGCGCCGCCGCCAGGGCCGCCGAGCCGGGCGGAGGAGAAGACGGCGTCGTAGACGGCGCTGAAGAGCGCGTCCCGTTGCGGCACGGATGCGGACCTCGTCGACTTGCCGAACTCGGTGATGAGCAGAGGCTTCCTCAGCACCCGGGTACAGTCCTCGACGTGGGATTGTATCCAGCTTTGGAGGAAGGCCTGCTGGGCCTGCTCACTGGTTCCGGGCTTCCTGCGGCGTATATGGGAGGGAGATAGTCAAGTCTAGTGGCTGATGATGAAGAGGCGGATCATTTTCAATCTTTGTACGTTGTTTCATACTAGTTGAAGAGAGCTGATTAGTCAACACTAAATTACCACTGGTCCGGGTACGCGTGGATGGTGGCGAAGTCAACACCGGGGATCTGGTGGTTGGAGATGAAGTCCGTCCCCACCTCGTAGCCGGGGTTGAACCCCTTCCTCTCCGGTGCGGACTCTCCGTAGAACCCTTCCATGCCCACCTCAAGCAGGTGGATGGGGTCGATAGACTTCACGAAGGCGGCCATCTCGGAGATCCAGGCCTGCCAGATCCAATGCATCAGGCATACACGTAACAAGAACATCTTCGGAATGAGGAGGTAGAGAGAGAGAGAGAGAGAGAGAGAGAGAGAGAGAGAGAGAGAGTAGCGGTATATTTCTCTTACTTGGAGAGTCCTGCCCGAGAGGTCGCTGGGGCAGCGGGGCTCGTTGATGAGCTCCCACGCGAAGATGGTCGGATCGTCCCTGTACGCCACGCCCGTCACCGTGTTGACCCTCGAAAGAACGGCCTGGAGAACATGGGGAGTCATCAGCAGTCAAAATGGGTCAGGAGTGGCCGGGTCGCGGGGCGATACCTTGACGTGGCTCTTGTAGAAGGCTTTGACGAGATCGCTGAGGTAGAAGTCGTCGTCCGAGTTCAAGTTCTGACCCCTCTGGCGCGCCCACCGGACGTACTGATTCTTGCCCCCGAATTCGTCGTAGTTGTTCGCCAGGCTCAGAATGAGATATACTCCGTGCTTCTTCGCCTCCGATACGACGAAATCTAGGCCCTAGGGAGGATAGAAAAGCGATTACCACTCCGCTGCAATAGGTGGGACGTACTACCTAGTCTAGTCTCAAAAGAGGAGAAAGCAACGGAATAAAATGAAAACACATCTTTGCATGAATTCTATCCTTCTGAAAAGATACTCTTGGCCGCATGCGCGCAGACGCATGCGTGCATCTGGTTAGTCAAAGCAAAGAAATCTGAGGAGAGAGAGAGAGAGAGAGAGAGAGAGAGAGAATCCATCACGATAACAGAGCTGGTCTCTTTCTCCGAGTTGGACACATTGACGGCTCTCTGAATATGAATGACTCCATAGGCAGTTTTTAGAGGTTTTAGAGCAAGCTCCTGCGGAGACCTTGAACATGTCCTCGTTGTAAACGCCGGGGGAGATCTGTAAGGGGCTGTAGCCTCCATCGCTGAAGGCCCACGTCCTGGCCAAGTTCATGCCGTAGATGGAGGCCTGCTGGAGGGCAGAGGACACCTTAGCTCTCTCTGCTGGGTCGGAAGCAATGTACATTAGCCAGTAGGCGTTGAACCCGTTGGTATAGAATGCCCGCCCATTCATCACAAAATGAGTGCCGCTCGTCCTCGCAAAGCTGGCTGATGCCGTACCGTTCGTTCTAACAGATTGAGCAATGGCCAGGAGCAAGAATGCAAGAGAATACAAATGTTTCTTCCCCATAACTCAACGGCGTGGAGAAACAGACCGAGTGGGTATTTTATAGAAGGGGAGAGCACGACTTATAAGAACACAGCTTCAATGGATGTGAAAGGAAAATGTAAGAGAACTGGGGAGGGCGACAGAGAGAAACCAACCTTAGAGCATGAGACAAGGGGTGGGTTGTGATGAAGCATCAGATAACGGTTGTATATGGGTGGGTTACGTATGAGAAGAGCCGTAACGCATCTATTTGCTATCCGCCTGCTGCAACGGCCCGGTAAGGTGGATAGTTGAGATTTAAATAGCAGAGAAACGATGACTGTGCAATGATGAGTCACCAGTGAGTTAAAAACGATGCGTTGTGACAGGCTTGATGTCGAGGCAGAAGCGACTAAGATCTCATTTCTAAAGATCTTCATCTTTTCTTTCCCTAGGATTGCAATGAGGGCTATTGTGAGATGACTTTCACAGCTCTGAGCTATTTTTGGCAAGCTCACCCTCGTGAGAAATATGAGGAAAAATGCTAGGATAGAAACGAGTCATCGGATTCCGTTAGGCGTTCGGGGCCCAGTGACATCAATACCAGAGACATTACGTCACTTGTATGGCTCTAGTGTCACAGAAAGGTATTCCTTCTGGTTCTCTCTCTCTCTTTCTCCCTATTGTCCCCACGCTCAACAGTCCGTTGGGTTAGTTCCTTCGACAAAATCACTATGACTTTCAGCTCTGATTCGTTGGCTCACTCCTCCCGCGGCTTGAGCCTCATTAAGTTACACTTGCTGCTTCTGCTACTGCTGCTGCTCTCTCTCTCTTTCTCTCTCTTTCTCTCTCTTTCTGTGTTCGTGGTTCGTTGCGGGGCTTCCCGAATGAGGCAGCTTCCAGATTGCGTGTTTATCCCGTTCACCCGTAAGAACAGTTACTGACGGGATCGTGATAGGGTGATCGAAACTTCGTAATGCACGGTGCCAACGCCATCACAAACGCAAAGATGATGTGTGAACTGTACTGAGCTGACAGAAGAAATAACAGAAAGCAAGTTCGAACCACTAAACTTTAAAGAACCAGATCTCTTTGATCCTCGGCAAAGTCGATTAATGGTTTGGAACGTTTGGCTCCCATTTTCTGCCCACATCTACTCTCCTCGACGTATATCAATGTTGAGAAGGTCGGCCCATTTGGTAGCACATCTAAGGGCCAGGGCTATTTCAGGGGCTAATCTTGTAATTACCTCCTTTAGGTTTAAGGCAGGGAGAGCGGCCGTCATCGAGTCATTTCGCTCTCGTTCTCTCTCTCATCTCACCTCCAACAATCAATAGCTTTTCTCAAAAGAGACTGGAGATGGGGTTCTAGGTCTATAAAGGCCAAAAGATGTTTTATTTGGAGTATGTGATGTTTTCTAGTAGATTAAACAGTAGCATGTACCAAAGATAGGAGCTTAGGCAAGAAGGCACAATACGCCGGGTGCAGATTACAAGATCGTTGAGAACATGTCATGAGCACGGCCACATTCTCTCGACTCCTGGTATCCAAAGTGTTACTCATCAATGCTTGGATCAACCTAAACAAAGCAAGCAAATGAAAGCTTTGGGCTGGGGTTTGAGAGGATTAAACTATTTTTCTTCTTGCTGGTATGACAACTAGAGATAGGAGAAAACTGGGAATTCACAATTAACTCTGCTACTGCATCCTTAGAGCACTGATGAACAAAGACAATATTTGCTTGGATTATAAAAGAGAGCACATCTAAAGCTTTTTGAATTACTGCCTTGGAATAAACAAGGTGCTTGCACCCTCAACGCCATGATTCAGTTGCTTGGGGAAGTCTGATCCCATCCTAATAATTTCAAGTTAGTAGGGAAAAATTAAACCAATTGCTAATATGTAGTATGATCAAGTGTTGTGAATTCAATAAGCGCTGGGCAATGCATGTCTAGATTGTCTATGCAAAGCCCTAGATTCTCTATGGGGACTGTGTATTTTACATCTATTCTCCACGTAATAGAACCAAATTGAATCAAAGGACTAAGACGGCTATTAGACTGGTCCTAAATGGAACAAGAGAAATTTGACGCATCTAAATGACTCCTCTGCTTACAATCTTGCTTATTGATTTCCATGATATTTATTTCATAATCTCCATATATCAATCTCGTCTAGAATAGCACCTTCGGTAACAACCTTCATCCATGATCAACTATGACAATTCTACCCCCTTCCCGCTAAAGCAACAAGGAAAATGATCGATCAGTATGATAGAGAACCGCTCACTTACTGTCTAAGACCTAAGAGAACATAGTGACCCAACCCACTATGGCAAAACCTTGCATAAAAGCCGGAGGGGAGACACGAGTAAGAGGCAAGAAAGAACTAAGATACAGAGTGATCCTTCCTTTTCCCTTTCTCTGGCTTCCCTACCTCGTCTGTGCTTGATCTCTCCTCTTCTCTCCTAGGTCCGCAACCACATGCGTCCTCTCCTCGAACAAGTCACCATCTTTTCCATCCTCTTCTTCTCTCTATTTTGAACATTGGACCCTTTTCCCCCTCCTTCCGATGCTTGTGTAAGGCTGGAACCTTATCACTGTACCTTTTTGGTTTTCTCCAGTTCGTGAGTTTGAATCTAGTGGTAAGATGGGATTCCTCACATCCATGTGACATCATCCCTGATACATTCCTTTATGAATCCGTTCCCTACATCCTCTCTTTGATTGCATAGCCAAAACGAGAAATAAAATGTAGTGTTGGAAGTTCTAAGTTGTAAGTAATACTGTAAAAGATTGAGGGTATTTTGGAAAATTTATGTAAGATTTCTCCCTACATAATGTGTTAGAGGTGAATGAATCTTTAGGCGGTTGTCAGCCGCTCTCCCCTCTATCCTCCGTGGTAGAGGTGATTATCCCTGTGCCTAAGTGTTTCCAAAATACACGCCACAACGTTTCTGCGATAAAAGAAGTCCTCCCCAATCACTCTCTTTCCTATCATACTGAAGATAGGGAGCCAGTAGATTTCAGGTGAAGATTGAGTATTAGAGAGGGCTTTACTTTTACGGAGATTCGGAGGTAGTGGGAGAGAGCGAATAATGATCTGTCACCAGCACTGTGGAAGACGAGGAAGGAGTTGACAGAATCATGCTTACAATCACTTACAGGAATAGATCTTATTCATCGAATCAAGCGTAAGCAGATCCGACATCTTGTCTTGAAAGACTTGTACCAAATTAAGGTATGGCGCGATTCGCCTTCAGACGCAACGTGCTTTGAGCTGTGAACTGTGAACTGTAACTCAGATTGTCATCGTCCCAAGAAATAGACTATCCAATGGGACACGTAAGAATCGACGGGCATGCGATCGTTTTTCTCCGTCAAATAAAACATTTTTCTTGGCAACTGCGGTTCGAGGCGGCTTGATGCACTGTTCACCGGAGAATGAGAAGTCAGGTTTCTTCTCTTAAACCCTCTCACCATGGCCTTCGATGTTAATGAGACTTCTGTTGAAGTATTGAATTTTTTTTCGGCTGTTGATTCCTTGATGTATATTGCTTTGCAGGAAGATTTCCCTGAAAGATTATTTTTCCCAGCTGGTAGGTGTGAACAAAGAGAGAGGGGAACAAAGTTACTCTGATACCCTGTTAACAGAAGAGAGGGGATGACAAGGTGATGATACCATGTTAACAATGGAGAGAGAAAGGACGAAAGGCCTCACACGACCAAACCTCGTTGCAACATTTATTTAAAGTACTAGAAAATAGGAGGGGACCAGCATGGCAAGACCAGAAACGTAGGAAAGACCAAGACAGGCCAAGTCGATAGACGTAGCAAGAAATACTAGACTATACTTAACAAGGGGGAGCTGTAAAAGGATAAGAGTCCGGGAGCATGGGAACTTATTTGCCTGTGTGAACTCTTCCGTTTTATTGTTGACGAGCTATTTATTGATCACGATCAATAATTATCAACTTAAGCATTTGAAAACGTACGATACCCACTGACCGATGTCTGCAACCATGAGAATACGTAGAGAGGTGGTTTCCTTCTTCTCGGGGTCGTCAGTGATATTAGGGTACCTGTACATTCCGTCTCGTCAACGATAAATCACAGGCGGGCAAAACCACAGGCGGAGTTGAACCCTAGTATACAGGAAAGATTTTCGTGCCTGCACATTTGCTATAATATGCACATCAAGGCACATTTTCGTGAGCCTGAGCACAAAGAAACTTAACTGACCGTCTGTAAGAATTTGCGATAAATATACAAGAAATGACCCAGTGAACAAGAGCAGGTACATCAAGGCCCAGTGTCAACGGGCCCTATGAGGCTTTTGGTATATGAAAACCGCATAGTAAGTCAATCCGGCTCTCCAGTTGATGCTCACTTTCCGTACAGAGACTTGTGCTGAGACGCAGAGGGCGGCCCGTTATGGCTGGGAGGGGGCGGATCGCAGAGGCGGTCGGCAGAAGGGCGTGCGTGATGAGTGGGGCGTCGTCAAGGCCAGATGGCTAGAAGAAGAGCCTGGTCCTCCTTGAAAGTATCAAGTATTATTCTGATTCTTGTATCTCCGAGTGGAGAAGGGGAGATTAGCCATCTCGAATTGGCCAACACGGGAGGTTCCTCGGGGTCCCTTCCCTCTGTCTTACCATCCCTGGACCCTTCTCTCTCTTTCTCATCGTCATCTCCGGGTGGCACCGTCAGTTTGCTTTTAGGACATGATCAATATAGGTTTTTCCGGTTCGATCCCTGAACATTAGAATCACAATATACCTATATAATTCCACAGGCGGCCAAGTCTTCTGACATAATTTGGTTTTACGTGGGGCGGTGCAGATCTTTTGTCAGGTGACTTTTCTTGTGAGAAATTCCGAAGAAATCCCCGAAAACATAATGGGTCTACCAAAAAAACGAGCGAACCGAAAAGTTAGTTCTTCAGTTTTCTTCCCAAGTACATGTAAATATTCAGCCGAGAGTGAAATATGAAGCGCACGTTAATACGATACCCTGCAAATTTTCTGATCAACCGAATATCCATCT